GCTTTCTTCGGCTGTGAAAGACGAACTTTCCGGGCGCCCAGGGCGGAGTCTATGGACCAGCTGACCAAATCAGCGCTGGCCATAGGAGCGCGCCAGGAGGCGAGAGCATTGGAGAGGCGGGAAGGGAAAGGGGAACGTTGGAAGGAGTTCCGCATTCCAGACATTCCAGAGCCAACTTTCCCACCGGCAGAGCCGATGGAAATCGGAACAGCGCGCGCGCGCAGTTTCAATGCCCCGGGAGGGGGCAAAGAAGGAGGGACAAGGCGCCCGGAACTGCTAACTCTGCCAACAGCCAGGTCACTTTGCCAGAGTCTGCCCCCAGAGGAAAGAATGGCAAGGGATGGTAGGGGCTGTGGATGGAAGAGAGGAAAATATACCGGAGCAAGTAAAAGCCAACGCCTGGCTGCCACTGTCAGGGCACAGCAGCCAGGCCAAAGAGCAGTGAGAGTGCCCACGCCAGAACCTCCTAAACCCGCCCTAGTGATAGAAGTGACGCTAGAGCTGCCAAACGGACACCCTCTAAAGATAAAGGCGCTGTTGGACTCAGGCAGCTCCTGCAATTTCATGAGCAAAGAGTTTGCAGCTGAACACCAGATACAGACAATCACTTTAAGCAGCCCCCTGCAGGTGACCACGATCGATGGCAGGGAGCTGTTGGGTGGAGAAGTCAGCTTGCAGACCGTCCCAATGATAATGAAGGTAGCTAGGCACACCGAACTGATAGCTTTTAATGTGGCCACCTTGGGAGGAGCTCCCATTATATTGGGGATGAGCTGGCTAGCGTTACATGATCCGCTGGTGGGCTGGCATCAGAGAGTGGTTTCTTTTGGTTCAGCACATTGCTTAGAACACTGCAAAGAGGGAAAGGGTTTGGCAGGGGTCCAAGCCACCCTAGCAGGGACTGAAGTAACAGAGAACGTGAAGGTACCACGACAATATGCAGATCTCCGTGACGTCTTCAGCGAAAGGGAAGCTGACCAACTACCCCTGCATAGACCCTTTGACTGTCAAATCAACTTACTCCCTGGAGCACAGCTCCCTGTAGGCAAGCTGTACGCCATGTCAGACAGAGAGATGCAGGAGTTAAGAGAGTTCATTGACAAGAACCTGAAGAGAGGGTTCATCAGAGAGTCCAGGGCGGTGGGTGGCAGCCCAGTGTTTTTTGTGGATAAGAAAAACACGAACAAGCCGAGGCTGGTGTGTGACTTCAGGGCCTTAAATGCAGTGTCAGAACCCGTAGCCTTCCCTATGCCCAGGATTGACGACATTTTGACAAGGGTGCGGAAGGGAAAGATTTTTACAAAGCTGGACCTAAGGGGGGCGTACAACCTGGTACGAATAAGGAAGGGGGATGAATGGAAAACCACTATGTTCACCCCTTTAGGGGCATTTGAATATTTGGTTATGCCCTTCGGCCTACAAGGAGGCTCCGCAACATTTCAATCGTTTATGAACCACGTCCTGGGGCCTTTGCTTTACAAGAATTGTGTGGCCTTTTTAGACGACGTGTTGGTGTATTCTGAGAATGAGGAGCAGCATGTGAGAGACGTCAGAGAAGTGTTGAGCAGGCTGCAAGCCAACCAGCTGTGGGTGAAACTGGAGAAGTGTCAGTTTCATACCAAGGAGGTGGAATTCCTGGGGTATCGCCTGTCAGACAAGGGATTGGCCATGGATCCCGGCAAGGTCCAGGCTGTGCTGGAATGGAAAACACCCAAAACAAAGAAGGATGTGCAGAGGTTCCTAGGATTTGGGAACTTCTATCGTAAGTTCATCCGAAACTTTGCCCACCTGACGGCGCCCATTACGGACTGTCTCAGCAGTAAGAAGAAGTTCGTGTGGACTGAGGAGGCGGAGCGAGCATTTGAGGAACTAAAAGGGCCTTCGCCTCGGAACAACAACTCCTGCATGTGGATTTACAAAAACCGATGAGAGTGGAAACTGACGCATCAGACAGAGCGATTGGGGCGGTGCTTCTGCAGCCAGGCAAGAAGGGGTCAGAGTGGAGACCGTGTGCCTTTTTTCGCGAAAGCTGAACAAATCCGAGAGGAACTACACGGTGTATGACCGAGAACTACTAGCCATTCATGAGGCGTTCCGGAGATGGAGGCACCTGCTAATTGGCGCACAACATAAGGTGCAAGTGTGCACTGACCACAAGAACCTAGAGTATTGGAGGACGGCACGAGTGCTCAACCAACGGCAAGTGAGATGGGCCCAGGAGTTCTCCAAATTTAACTTTGAGATTAGTTACGTGCCAGGCCCAGAGAACATTAGGGCGGACGCTCTCTCACGCAAACCTGAATATTTGGAGGAGGGGGCACCCGAAGAGAGACATGTCATTCCAGAAGACCGCTGGGTGTGTGGGGCGGCATTGGTGGGACAAAGAGAACTGGTAGAGGAAACAGAGAATGATGAATACGCTCAGAATAAGCTCAGAGGTCTTAGGGGTGATGGAGAGGAACCAGGGGGTTTCGAGGAAAGAAATGGAGCTTTGTATTACAAAGGGGCACTGTATATCCCTGAAGGAGAGTTAAGGGGGAGGGTACTCAAGCAGTTGCACGACAGCCCTACGGCGGGGCATTTTGGACAACACAAAACCATGTGGTTGGTCACCAGGGAATTTTGGTGGCCTAAGGTGAGGGAAGATGTACGTGAGTATGTAAGAGGGTGCGAGCAATGCCAGCGAGCCAAAGGGGAAAGGCGGGCGCCGGCGGGGCTATTAGAACCCTTACCAACCCCAGAACGACCTTGGGAGGCAGTGTCGATAGATTTTATGACTGATCTGCCGAAGTCCAAAGGGAAAACAGCCATCATGGTGGTGGTAGACCTACTAACAAAGATGTGCCACTTTGTAGCTTGCTCGCATGCAGTCACGGCGGAAGAGACAGCGAAGTTATTTGTAGAAAACATTTTTAGGTTGCACGGGGTGCCATTGAGGGTGGTCTCAGACCGAGGAAAACAATTTACTTCCAGGTTCTGGAGGAAGCTCATGAGCTTACTGCAGGTGGAGGTCAATTTTTCGACTGCCCGGCACCCTGAAACCAACGGGCAGGCGGAAAGAGCAAACGGTGTCCTCCAGCAATACCTGAGGTGTTATGTCAATGACAGAGAGAATGACTGGGTAGAAAAGTTGGCGCTGGCGGAATTTGCCTACAACAATGCCGAGAATGTGTCCACAGGGATGAGCCCCTTCTTGGCTAATTATGGGTGTCATCCCAGGGCTTTCCCAGGGGGAGAGGGGAGAGATGGAGCGTCCCGGCAGCCGAGCATTTTGTGGAAGAAATGGAAGCAATCCATCGTCAGCTCCAACTCAACTTAGAAAGGGCGAAGGAAGAATACAAGAGGCAGGCAGACAAGAACCGAAGGGAAGGTGAAACCATAAGGGTGGGAGATAGGGTGTGGCTGTCAACCCAAGGGTTGCCGTTCAAAGGAGGTTGTAAGAAATTAAGACCCAGGAGGTTGGGTCCCTTTGAGGTCATTCAACAGGTCAACCCAGTGGCTTTCAGGCTCCGGTTACCCAACCACATGAAACTGCACCCAGTATTTCACAGGTCGTTACTGTCACCGTACGAAGGGGGACGAGAAGGGCTGGCCACTCGGGGACCGGTCGTAGAAGAAAGAGAATGCAGCAGCCATGTGGCAGAAATCCTCGACGCCAGGTGGAAGGGGGATCAGGTGGAGTATTTGGTAGCGTGGGAAGGAGAACCGGAGTCAGAAAACACTTGGGTAATGGCTGAAGATATCAATGACGAGGTATTGATAGAAACGTTCCATCAAAGGTTCCCAAGGAAACCTCAGCCTGTGGAGAGGTTCCGGAGGGAATACTTTGGGACCACTGATGAAGGGGAGGAGTTGGAAGGATTCCCGGACTCGGAAGGGGAAGGGGAGATGGACTCTGAGGAGGAGGTGTACTTCGAGACCAGGAACCGCAACAGGTTGAGAGAAGTGTTCGAGACATCGGAAGATGAAGGAAGTTCATTCCGGGTTTTGCCTCCTCACCGCCCGTAGAGGAGGGGCGAGAGGGGTGAAGGGGGCCCTGGAGGGGAGGTGGATGTCAGGGAACTGCCATCGGACGGAAGGGAGGTGAAAGGGCTCACACAGGTTGGGAGAGACGCAGCAGCTGAAGAGGAAACCAACAGGGAGGTGAAAGGGCTCACACAGGTTGGGAGAGACGCAGCAGCTGATGAGGGAACCAGCAGGGGAGAGGAGCTGAGCTGGAGGGATGGCTCAGAGACACTTCCAGCGAAAACAGTGGAGAGGTTTCAGGACCTCCTGTAAGAACACCCACTCCTCGCCGGAAACTGTCACGCAGAGATTCCAGAAGACGTGTTTCCGTTAAGGAGCTTTTATGTTGGAAGCGATTACGAAAGCAACCACTGTCGGAATCTGCTAGTGACTAGAGTAGCCATGTCTGAGGGGCTCTGTCACAGACAGAGGTTTGTGGACTTGAACAAACTCTGAGGGGATACGATTTTACGCACAAGCAGCTCATCATCCCATCACAGAACCTAAAACTAAAAATCTGTCAAGAATGTATAATCTGCTGTTGAAATGGAATACACAGGATGAAATGGTTAAATCTGCTATGATTAAATGGGCGCAAGATGTTGGGCATAATATCATGTTTGCTGACTGGGAATGGTTATGGACCACAGGTATGAAATTTACGGCTTGTAATGCCTTAAGAGAAAACATAATGAAAATGATTTACAGGTGGTACTTAACCCCAGTCAAGCTAGCAAAAATTTATCATCTGCCTGATAATAAATGTTGGAAATGTAAAGAAAACGAACGTACCTTTTTTCACCTTTGGTGGACGTGCCCAAAGATCAAGGCCTTCTGGGAAATGATATATAATGAACCAAAAAAGGTATTGAAATATACTTTCTTGAAGAAACCAGAGGCCTTCCTCTTGGGCATGGTCGGCCAATTGGTGCGAAGGGAAGACAGGAATTTTTTTATGTATGCGACAGCAGCGGCAAGAATACTTATTGGGAAATACTGGAAGACACAAGAATTGCCTACCCGAGAAGAATGGCAGAGAAAAGTGATAGAATATATGGAACTGGCTGAGATGACCGGCAGAATTCGAGATCAGGAAGAAGGGTCGATGGAAGAAGACTGGAAAAAATTTAAAATATATCTTCAGAAATACTGTAATATAAAAGAATGTTAGAAAAGGTTGGAGAAGAATATTAGACCGTATTGGCAGACAGAGTATAATGGAATAAGTAAATATGAAGTGTAAAACAAAGATAGAGGAGAATTAAATACTTTCGAATGTTAAAATAAGTAAATGAAAAGAAGGTTAGAAGGATTTGCTGGAGATACGATTCAAACTAGAATACAAAGCAGAGAGGTGAGAGGAAGTCATGGAAATAAGTAAATGGGAAGACGGTTTTAATGGTTTAATTTGATTTTTTGTTACTTTTTTATTGTGATTTTCTGTCTTTTGTATTTTTCTTTGTATTGTGTGTTTTTTTTGTAAGATGTATGTGATTTGTTTTTCTTTTTCTACTTTTTTCTTTTTCTGTAATTTTAAAATTGGAATAAATATTCTTTAAAAAAAAAAAAAAAAAACCATGGAGCTGCCGGCGACTGACCTCAGGAAAAGCAGTTGCGGAGGCAGGGGCTCGGAGGCATCTCAGGAGTGACGCCCGTCAGTGTCTGTGGTGGCAGTGCTCCCTGCCAAACGAAGTGGGGAGCACCTGGGCGGCTACAGTCTGAAGCAGTTCTGTGCTCTGCTGGGGAGGCCGCTTGTTAGCTACATGGTGCAAACTATGGAAGGGTAAATAGCCGCCGCCACCTCGTCTTCCCTCACGCGGAGAAAAGAACGTTTTTGCTTGAGCAGCGCTGGCCTGACTTAGCGTGGACAATGGCTTTTCCCTTCACCCATGCATGCGCACACGCATGAAGAAGGGGTGAGTGGAGATCAACATTGGGAACAAGGTAGGGAGGAGGCCATCAGCACATTCTATTTCCCAAGAGGCTGCTGAGGGGCCGTTGCTGCTGTCATGGCGGCAGAAGTGGCAGGTGACACATTCCTTAGGCATATCCAAAGTCCGTTTTGGGGGCCTTATCCGGCCCTCTGGTCCATTTAATCCGGCTCCCGTGGCAGTTTATCTCCTGGGGTAAAATCCTAAAAAAAAAAGCTTGGGAATGTAAGAAAGTGAAAAACTTCTGGGAAATGATATATAATGAGATGAAAAAGATGTTGAAATATACATTTATTAAAAAACCAGAAGCATTTTTACTTGGCATTGTAGGAGAGGATATTAACAGAAAGGATTGTAAATTGTTTTTATATGCAACAACAGCAGCAAGAATACTACTGGCACAAAAATGGAAGCAAGAAGAATTACTGACGAAAGAAGAGTGGCAAACGAAATTAATGGACTATGCAGAGTTAGATAAATTAACAGGAAGGGTTTGAAACCTTTGGGACCAGAGATTCTTACAAGACTGGAGTATCTGAACTATTTGAAAAGCAGTTGTAACAAACAGATTACGCTAGTAGGACTGCAAGAAGTTCTGTAAGGAGGACTATGTGAAATATTGCAAGGAAGAGAATTATTAGTTAAGGATAATTAAAAGTAACAGAGAAATGCAGAATAAGTGATAAAGAATAGGAAATCTTCAGAGGTTGTTGACGGAAGTCCAAAATATTGTATAAGATAAGAAAGTATGTAAAATGACTGTTGGAAAGGATATGTTAAAAATAAAAATAAAAATGTATAACAAAAAAAATAAATCCTAATAAAAGTTCAAGAAGTTCAGTCCTAAAAAAAGGTTAACAACTCTGGTCAGCCCTCACACATGTTTGCTTCATCAAATGTGGCCCTCTTTGAAAAAAGTTTGGGCACCCCTGCCTTAGAGGCTGGAGGTGACTGCCCCTGTGGATCCTGCTGCCTGAGGCAGTCACCTTACCTTGCCTCATGGGTGGGTCTCCCTTGCTGTGATGCTTCTCTCTGGCTCTGGACTGCGGATGATGGTGTGTGTGTTAAACGGCCTCGGCCCAGTATACCTGAAGGAGCGTCTCCACCCCCATCATTCTGCTGGGACGCTGAGGCCCAGCGCCAAGGGCCTTCTGGCAGTTCCCTCCCTGTCAGAAGTGAGGTTGCAGGGAACCAGACAGAGGGCCTTTTTGGTAGTGGCACCTGCCCTGTGGAATGCCCTCCCATAAGATGTCAAAGAGATAAACAACTACCTGACATTCAGAAGACATCTGAAGGCAGCCCTGTTCAGGGAAGTTTTTAATGTGTGACATTTTATTGTATTTTTGGTCTTTGTTGGAAGCTGCCCTGAGTGGCTAGGGAAACCCAGCCAGATGGGCGGGGTAAAGGTAAAGGGACCCCTGACCATTAGGTCCAGTCATGGCCGTTTCTGGGGTTGCGGCGCTCATCTCGCTTTACTGGCCGAGGGAGCTGGTGTACAGCTTCCGGGTCATGTGGCCAGCATGACTAAGCCGCTTCTGGCGATCCAGAGCAGCGCATAGAAACGCCATCTAACCCCGTTTACCTTCCCGCCGGAGTGGTACCTATTTATCTACTTGTACTTTGACGTGCTTTCGAACTGCTAGGTTGGCAGGAGCTGGGACTGAGCAATGGGAGCTCACCCCGTCGCGGGGATTCGAACCGCTGACCTTCTGATCAGCAACCCCAAGGCTCTGTGGTTTAACCCACAGCGCCACCCGCGTCCCCGATGGGCAGGGTACAAATAATAAATTATTATTATTATTATTATTATTATTATTATTATTATGTGTGTGCATGCTCGCCAATGGCCGATCTAGTGCAGCACCCTCTTCTCACAGGGACCAACCAGATGCCCTTATGGAAACACCGTAAGCAGGACTGGAGCGCAAAATAGCACTCTCCCAACTCGTGGCTTCCAGCAACCGGAATTCCAAAGCATTCAGGCCCTGGGCTGGGGTGGGGGGAATCTCCCTGCCTGAAATTCTGGAGAGCCGCAGACAACATTGAGCTCTATGATTCAACATAAAGCAACTTACTAAAATGTTGGATTTCTCGTCCCCGCCCCCTCCCGTGTCCTGGGCCCGCCCCCTTGGCCATCTCCTCGCCTCTCCCCTCCCAAACGTCGGTCTTCGCCCCCACCCTGCGCGCCCATAAGTTTTGCAGCCTCCGAGACATGGTTTCTCCCGCGGCCGCGTCTCTTCTCCCATGCGCCCTGCTTCTCCTTCTGCGCTCCGGTTTGGGGGTCTCTACCCCGCCCAATGAGGAGGGGGAGGATGTTGAGAGGACGGGGAGCCCTGCCGGACCGCGGGAGGAGTTTCCAACCGTGGTGTTAGCTATTCTGGCTCGCAACTCCCAGCACTCTCTGCCCCATTACCTGGGGGCCCTGGAGCTCATGGATTACCCCAAAGAGCGCATCTCCATCTGGTAAGGGGCGCAGCAACTTTAAGTTGCGCTGAGCTGACTGGGGTGGGGTGGGGAGGCGGCGGCAAGCGGGGACAGGATGGAGTTTTGGGGGTTCCCCCTTCCCAGCCCAATTTGGGATTGGTTCGAGACGCCCTAGAAAAGTGTTTATGAGCGTGAGGGTTAGTTGTGGGGGGAACCTAATTAATTTTGGGTGGTGGTAGGTATCGCCAGTTGTAGTGTTAGTGAAGGTTTGTAGGGGCTTGAACCTTGGGCAGGCCGTGCAAAGGTGTGCCTCAGGACCTCAGGTTGGGGGTTACGTGGGGGGAGGGTGCATAGCTGTCAACTTTTCCCTTTTCTTGCGAGGAACCCTATTCGGAATAAGGAAATTTCCCTTTAAAAAAGGAAAACGTTGGCAGCTATAGGAGGGTGTCTAGGGAGGAGCAGGTCCTCAGAGGCTGCCGCCGTGCAGGGCATAGTTTTGGAGTGTATAGGGGAGCGTGATTTGGGGCGAGCCCTGAATACTTCTGGTGTCTAGTGTGGGGGCACAGGAGCATGTACATTTCTGGAAGTCTTCTTTGGGGTGCCTGAACAAGGAGTGCTGAGTTTTGCACAGTATCTGGACTGTCTCCTAGAGTGTTAGTTTGTTGTTGCTGCTACTTGTGTTGACGTGTTGTTGTTGTTTTCGCAGGGCCAGCTGCCCATTTTCAGGGCTGACCTGGCCATGATCCTTCCAGACCCAATGGGATCTAATGGAGCTGTTGTTGTGTTGATCAGAGGTGAGGAACATGTAGCATAGCTGTCAACTTCTCCCTTTTCTTGCGAGGAATCCTATTCAGAATAAGGGAATTTCCCTTAAAAAAAGGGAAACATTGACAGCTATGGCATGTAGCCCTCCAGTTGCTGAGGCCTCCAACATCTGAAAGGCTACATAGATGTTACTCCTATGATGCAGATCAGTGGGGAGAGCTGGTGCCCTCTTGGAAGACCTCATTTTATAGAGGTGGGCACTGATGAGGTCAGGAAATTGTTGCCGAATGCATCCCCCAATACATGTTTTTTCTTTAATGTACCTCCTCCCTCTTTGAGGAGGGAAACCTCCCGTTGGAAGGAACAAAAGTTCTAGAAGTTTTTTGTGTACATATAAGCCCTCTCTAAGGATACACAGGGGTGGTTGTAATCAAAAGTGTTTGTAATGCTTTGGGCTATGTTGACATGCTAGGACAGGGACAGGGTTCCTGTAGCCTTCCAGATGCTGCTGAACTCCAGCTCCCATAAGCCCTTGCTACTGTGGCCAGGGATGGTGGGAGTTGTAGGCCAGCAACATCCAGGTGACCACAGTTTCCTCATCCCCGGGCTAGCATGGCAAGTTTTTTAGTTACACTGGAGCTTCGGGAGAAAGAGCGGCAGGAACCACACCAACATTTTAGGGTGGAGGCTTCTGTGGCAGGAATAAGAAACCTGTGGTCCTCTGGGTGCGGTTGGACTCCAGTTCCCATGAGTTCCTGCTAGCATGGCCAGTGGGCGGAGCTATGATGGGAGTCTGCATCCATCGTAATACCTGCAAGGCTACACATTTGGGAAGGCTGGGGATCCTAAGAGGGGTAGCAGATCCTGAGGAGTGGCTGCTTCCCTTCACCTCTACCTCAGGGGTGGGGTAAACAGATAAACAAATGGAACAAAATGTAGCATGACCACTGCTCCATAAAGGCTGAAAGCAGCTATAATGAATTACAGAGGATCGTTAAGACACATAGCATGGAAGATTTGGAAGTCTCTCCAAATATGTCTCTGTGTCTGTGGTGGTCTTTAGGCTTTATAACTTTAAAAAGTACGTTTCTAGTCTCTAGTCCTTATGGAGGCTACAGAAAGCTGTTTCAGCAGTGCATGCTGGCACTTGGTTGAACATGAAAACTTGCCTTTGGCCAGCAAGTGTGACTTTTCTTACTGTTTCTGTCTCTTCTCACGGTGTTCCTGCCTATTCTGGTCTAATTTTTCCTTGGTCACTTACAGTTGGCATGTCAGTTTTTTCTGCCAGCCAGGTAGTCCATATCCATGCAGACCATGAGTCAAGTGACAGGCAGGTCTCCTGTTTTCCAACTCCTAGCTATTCCTTGTGGCCCTCTGGCTTTTGTAGGACTCCAGCTCTTCCCTCCAACCCCAAAAGCCTGCATGGCCAAGCGCCAGGGATGATGGCAGCTGTAGTCCAACAACATCTGGAAGGTCACATGTCCCCCACCCCACCCCTCTTGAATGGCATCCAGAGAGCCCTCTGTGTTGCCTGCCTTTTTATTTCCCACCCCCTACTGCCCCATTTCCCTAACCTTGCTGGGACTGCTCCGCTCCAGCCTCCCACCCCATGTTTCAGTACTCTGCAGAGACAACACAATTCCCTCCCTTTCTGTTCCAAAGCTTCTCCGCCTCAGGCGTGTTTTATAGCCTATTCTACGATCTTGTAGGAAACCTTACCCTGGTAGTATAAATCTTCTTTTTTAAGAGCTCATGAGCTGTTTTCCATCTGCTGTCTCTGTTAAACTGATGCACAAACCTCTTAATGATGTCTCAGTCCAGTTCGGGAGAGACGGCATCTTAGACCTGCAATTTAATCTGCTATATATTAGCATCTGTTCTTTCTTTTAAACCAAGTTAATTTTCCTCGAGTTTCGTTCTTGGACCTGTGGCTCTTGGCTTGTTCAACACTGCTGGAGGGAGTCTGTGTGGCAGGGCAGAGAGAACTCCCTTTCTGGGATTCCTGTAGCGCATGCAGATGGAAGTCTGTGTTTTCCAGATCCATGAAGTGTACAGTGGTACCTCAGGTTACAGACGCTTCAGGTTACAGATGCTTCAGGTTACAGACTCTGCTAACCCAGAAATAGTACCTCAGGTTAAGAACTTTGCTTCAGGATGAGAACAGAAATCACACGGTGGCAGCGGGAGGCCCCATTAGCTAAAGTGGTACCTCAGGTTAAGAACAGTTTCAGGTTAAGAACGGACCTCCGGAACGAATTAAGTTCTTAACCCGAGGTACCACTGTAATCCTAAATTTGCAAATGTATATACCAGCATGGTTGGCAAGAGAGAAGAGAGAGGATTGAGGTTGCAGGGAAACAATATGCCAAGGACTCTGGACCACAAAAGCGTCTGTCTTAATAAATTTGTGCCACAAGACTCTGGTGATTTTTCTCCTTTGTCTTTTTGCTGTGGTGAACTGACAACACTCCCCTTCTGGAAACCGATCTAGGGAAGCAGACTCATGGGTCCTTCTTTGGATACCACACACCTTCCTTTGTTTTGGGGACATTTCACTACCTTGAGATACATTGGGGTTTGTTTCGAGATTGGAAAAAGTTTCCCAAATTGTCTGCATACATTTCTTTCTGAGTTAGGAACTGAAGCAGTCTTGCCATATACCACTGGCTCTGCTGTGGCTGCGCTGGGGGCTTCTGAGCCCTGTTCAGAGTGCTGCTTTTTATTCATCAGGAAATAAGGATTTGTTTTTAATTATGTAGCATGAGGCTTTATATGCAATGTTTACATTTTTTTGGTAAATGAATTCCATTAATCCATTCACAATGTCATGCTCTTCCAGAGGTTTCCGTAAGATTATTTGGGGCAGTTTTTCTAATGAGAGGATATTATCACAGATGCTTGTTTTTGCAGTTCTCAAAAGTGTGAATTTGTGTCTGCAGGGATAACATGCCTTTCCTTCACAGGAAAAATGTTATAAAATAAACATACAGAGTTGAGGGAAAAAACCTTAATCCCATTGTTCCTTTGCAAATTTATATACACAGAACCAGTAATTTTTGATATAACTGTAAAATTTATTATTCCACAAATGAAATCTTCATCTGGCTGTAAATATTAAGATTATACCAGCAAGAATGAGTCTTTCTGTAAAAATAATGATTTAAATCAAGTCTTACTGACTAGTGATTTAAATCGTGTTTTAAACCAATTTGATTTAAATCAAATCCACCCTGCTTCATCATGTCATTGGGTGACCCACTTGGGGCTTGCAGATTAATTCACACTGGCTTCAATTCCTGCTTTAGGATGTGCCCAATATAAGCCCCACTTGCCAAGGAGCAATATGGAGCACATTTAAGGCATGGGCAATGGTCAGGGATGATAGGCGTTATAGACCAGTGGAAAGCCACAGATCCCCCAATCCCTGCTTTGGAAGGTCTGTTAAAAAGTGCCCATGCCAGCTGGTGCAAGTTTTGGCAAAGAATACATGCCACTAGCTATAAATATGCTCAGAGACGATGTGCTGGCATAGCCATGCTCTAGTCAGGAGCCCTTTGGGAAATTAACATGTAATTTTCAAGAACTGACTGGGTTGCAATAGTGTCTAAATTGCAGATTTCCTAGCCAGCACTGAGAGGACCTTGCAGTAGATGAGAGGGTTTGTCAGCTTTCAAGTCCAGGTTGCCTTTATTCTAACTCAAATTTTTTTTAAAAAGGGTAAACCCACACTGATCTGGCAGGTTTTCCGTTTTTTGTTCCCAAATGTTCAAGTGGAGAATGGAATGGAGTGTGCTGGAAGAGGGCATGGCTGGCTGGCCCCCCCGAATAGGAGCCTTCCACATTGCAGGTCCCACTTGCATCATGCCTGCCATCCCAGGGTATCAAATATACACAGGCTATAAACACACCAATAATGTGTATAATTAAATTGGCTTATGTGGCATTAAGCTGTTGCACTCCAGCTAGCTACAGTTCTAGTAGTTTTTTCTGCTGACATAAAGTGCCGATGTTTTGTGCACTGCAAATAGCAGCTGGACAAACCAATTGGAAGGCTACAGGCAGCCTTGGATTTCTAGTTGCAAACCACCACCACCGGTCCCCTTTGAGATCCCTCTTTGCTCTTTCTGCCAGCTTTTGGGTAAAATTGGCTAACGGTGAATTGAGGAGGAACAGATCCCTCACTTGCAATTTGGATTCTCAGGTGCGCCACTGACCACAATGTGGACAACACAACAGAAATACTGCATGAGTGGCTGACTGCAGTGGAAGGTCACTACCGGCACATTGAGTGGAGATCCGTAGATGAGCCCAGGTAAGTTTGGAATACTCGTGCCGACCTACTTGAATTTCATAAATAATTGAGAAGCATGCATAGGTTAGGAATTAAAGAAGATCACGGTGGATTTGGATACCCAGAAACAATTGCAGTACTTCTTAGAAGGTTGATGTGGTACAGCTGTAACTTTGTGGAAAAGTCAATAGGAAGATCTGCGTTCAGAGGCAATGTGAGTTGCTGTAGGAACAACTGTTGGTAGAATGCCTTCAGACCCTCTTAAGGAACATAAATGGAGCCTTGAGGCCAGATCAGGCCTAGGGGGACTGTGCACCATGCTGCAACATTTTGTTGCCATTCCCCCATGCTCTTACGCTATGATCCCTTTTTAGGGTAGAGAACTTGAGTTGGTTTATTCACGGGGATCTTCCCATCTACAGAATTCTCTAATTCCCTCCAGTGAACCATTAAATGTGCTTCTGTGTTTCTTGGAACTACAGTATGGAAGGGCTGTGCTAACCTGAAGTCTTGCATAAAATAGGCGCTTCAGCGCAAAGGAAAGGGGAGAGGGACAGGCCTTGCACTCTCTGCTTACCATCTTGCCTCTTACAGCTCTTATCCTGACGAACATGGGCCCAAACACTGGAGCGACGCACGCTTTGAGCACGTAATGAGGCTCAAACAGGAAGCTCTGAGCTTTGCCCGATCTGAGCGGGCCGATTACATTTTGGTAAGTCAGTCTGATCATCTGGAGGTGGGAAAATGTCCCAACGCGTGTCTCCTCCATTCTGTCCACGCCAGAAGACACTTTTGGGTGGACCTGATTCTCAACTACCTCAGCCTTCCTCAACATGGTGCTCTACAAATGCTGCTGCCACAATTTATTTATTTACTTATCATGCTTATTTGTTGCTTGTTATCCGGAAGGTCTCCAAGAGACTTACAGTAGAGAAAGACATATGTATGCACATACATAATACCCTGAGGGAGGGAGGGCAAGATCATAGAATATGTTAATATTTCACATAATGTACAACTTTGTAAAATGGAAGCAACATGCCAGCTGCATAAATGGTAGTGAACAACTTTAGCAATATTCATACCATCTCTCTCTTTCTTTATTAAGGTTCAGAGACCCAACAAAGCAATACACAATTCATACAGCCTACCTCCAGGTTAAACAAGCATTTTGTTCAGAATATAGGGATCATTGGTTCTTGCAACCACCAATAAAAACTTTGCCACTGCTAATGTTGTAGCATTTGTCCGGTCTTCCAATAGGAACCTGACATGGTGAGCCTCTGATTTTCCTGCGAAAGGTACCAGCAAGGGTAGTATCAGTTCAGCCTGGCTTGATATTCATACAATTAAAGCAATACTCCTAGCCACTAATTAGCAGATAAATGAAACCTGACCTTTGGTCATAGTGGCTACTGGAGCTGATGAGAGATGGAGTCCAGGTTGTGGGGTGGGGTGGGGGCTCCTGTGTCACCTTATTTCCTTCCCTCTCAAACCAAGGGCATCCCACACCCTGCTTTCTTCCTCGTCACCTGCCCACAGACAACTTCCTTCCTTAGTTTTCTTCAAATGTACATCTTGCCTCACACCTTCCAACCTCGACTGCTTGGTGCTCCTCTGCTTGGGGCATTTTTAAATCCACTGGAGCACTTGGTGAGATTTTTCTATCCATGCAGGCTATTTTGCAGTTCAGTTGTGCCTGCCAGGCTCCCTCAGGGGTGGGGTTTAGTTTCCAGACATGGTTTCAGTCAAGATAAAAGTGTGCACTTTTAATTCTGTCCCCAGTTCACAGACACAGACAGCATCTTGACAAATGACCAGACTCTGAAGTTCCTCATTGCACAAAACAAATCTGTTGTTGCTCCCATGCTGGATTCTCAGACCTATTACTCCAACTTCTGGTGTGGAATTACTCCTCAGGTAAGCCCGTTTGGTGGAGGTGCTTGAGCAGATTTGCAGAATTTATTTATTGCACGAGCAGGAAATCTGTGGCCCTCCAGGTAATGTAGGGCAGTGCCCAGGGGTGATGGGAGTCATTGCTCAACATCTGGAGGACCACAGGTGCACTACAAAGAGACAACAGAGTCAATTCAGCAAGTGAAAATGCATGCACCATCAGAGCAATATAAAAGCAAATATATGTCATAAATACAGCCAGGCTTCGACTGAAGTCACCCACTATTTGTTCTTCTGGAAACAACTGAAGACATTTTTATTTCTACAGACATTTTTGTTTCAAAGCCTGTTTAAGTTGTTCTTATTTTTGCAACGTTTTAAAACTATGCTAAAAAAATTATGTCTACTGTGAATAGGACTTAGTTGGACATAACCCTATGTGTGTATGGCCTGCTTGAAAGAAAACTGGGATGGGGCCAAACCTGCCTCCTGGGGAAGGGAGTTTCATAGGTGAGGAGCCACCACCCAAAAGGCTCTGCCTCCTATTCCCACCTGCTTGATTGGCAGGTCTGCAAGAAGGGGGTCTCTATAGCAGGCTCGTATGGGTGCAAGTGGTCCATGGAATAACTTGGCCCCGGAGTATGTAGGTCTTCAAAGGTAAAAACCAACACTTTGCATTGTGTGCAGTTGATGTAAACCTAGTGTGCTCTAAGCATTGAGCTCCCTCCAACATACGGACCTCTGCGTTCTGCACCAGCTGAAGCTTCTGGAACACTGGATCATGGCAGTACATCCTTAGTGTTCCTTCCACACTTGCCGCTCTCCACTTACCTTTCCCAAAAGGCACAGCCCTGCTTGAAATTCCTTCAGGCCTGTTGGGTGACTGCTGAGGGTCATAGACACACAGCAGGCAGAGCCAGAACGAATGAGAGGTGGAGGTAGGTCATTATAGTTTTGCCCCAAGCGTTGCATTCAGTGCTAGTCCTACTCAGAGTAGGTCCACTAAAGGCAGTGTATATTTTATTTGTTTGTTTGTTTATTAAATTTGTATACCACCCTATAACCATAGAGCTCGGAGCGGTTCACAACATAAAATCACAATATAAAAAAACACAGAATACATAATAAAAACAAAGACAACCCAATAATCCACAACACATTTAAAATGACATCAGATGTCAATTTAGCCAAAGGCCTGGTATAAGAGGAATGTTTTTGCCTGGCGCCTAAAGGTGTATCAGGAATGCACCAGCCGAACCTCCCTGAGGAGAGCGTTACGCAAATGGAGAGCCACTGCAGAGAAGGCCCTGTTCTCATGTTGCCACCCTCTACACCCCTTGTGGAGGAGGCACATGAAGAAGGGCCTTAGAGGATGATCTCAGGGTCCGGGTAGGTTCAAATGGAAGGAGACATTCCTTGAGGTATTGCGGTCCTGAGCCGTTTAAGGCTTTATAGGTCAAAACCAGCACTTTGCATTGGGCCCAGAAACCAATTGGCACCCCTTGAAATTCATCGGTTATAATAGCAGAGTCAGTATCACAGTGGCACATTAATTTTCATGGGTCTGCTCTGAGATTTGGTTGGATACAACTCTAAGGAGGATAAACGGGCAATGCTGCCCCCCCATCCCCGACCCCCGGGCTAATTTTAAGTAAGATGCAGGTGGTGGGTTTGGCGGCTGTGATTGGTAGACAAGCCTCCATTGCTGCAGGACCTTTCGTGTTTAGAGTTATGGTTTCCTAATTGGGTGGCAGACAGTTCTTGGCACGGCACTGGGCTATTTTGGGTTATGATACTCTGTCACACGTTCCAGGGTTACTACCGTAGGACAGCAGACTACTTCCCCACCAAGAACAGGCAGCGGGTCGGGTGCTTTGCTGTCTCCATGGTCTACGCTGCCTTCTTGATTGATCTGCGGAAGGACGACACTGCTGACCTGGCCTTTCACCCGCCCCATCCCAGCTATACCTGGCCATTTGATGACATCATTGTTTTTGCGTACTCCTGCCAAACTGCAGGTGAGAGTGAGGAAGGAAAAGGGGGAGGCAGACCATCATGGCAAGCAATTGTATAGAGTTTCCACATGTCCAGAAAGTGCTTGATAATACAGTGGACCCTCGAGTTATGTACCGCTCTGGATACGTAACTTTCGGGTTGTGAACGCAGCAAACCCGGAAATGTATACAGTGGTACCTCTGGTTGTGAACGGGATCCATTCCGGAGCCCCATTCGCAACATGAACAGAACGCAACCCGCATCTGTGCGGGTCGTGATTCACTGCTTCTGCGCATGCACGTGACGTCATTTTGAGCATCTGCACATGTATGAGCGGCGAAACTTGGAAGTAACCCTTTCCGGTACTTCCGGGTCGCCACGGGAAGCAACCTGAAAAGACGTAACCTGAACTGAACGTGACAAGAGGTATGACTGTCCTTCCGGGTTTCGCCGCATGCGCAGAAGCGCTCTGTGCACCGCGCACGTGCGCGGAAGTGGCGCCTCCAATTACGGACTTTTCAGGTTATGTATGGACCCCTGGAACGAATTTAATTCGTATCCAGAGGGTCCACTGTAATAAGAGCCCTACTTTTCAGACCAGACGCCCTTCTAGTCCAGAGGTACCTGTGGCCAACCAGGTGCCTCTGGGAAGCCCCTCAAACAGCATGAAAGCATCAGCCCTTTTCTGTTCCCCCCTCCCTGAAGCTCGTGTTTAGCATTATACTGCTACTGGACATGGAGGCTCCATTTCACCCTGATTTTTTTCTAATGTTTGATTCAAACTGGGGCAAGCAAAAAAGGGAGATGGACAGCCCATGCTCGTGTCTACCAAGGTGTGCAGAAGAGCACGGCGGTCTGGTGTGGCATTGGGCGGAGGAAAGGAATTCCACCGTCAAGGAGCCTGTGCTGGCGATGTGGCAATTGTTTGGACTTTATCTTAAATGCTCGTTTACAGAACCATAGAATTGTCAAGCAGCATACTTTTAAGTTATTATTCTGTTTCCTGTGCAGGAGCCCAGATGTACTTATGTAACCAGCATCGGTTTGGATATATCAATGTCCCTGTGAAATCTCACCAGACGCTGGAGGATGAAAGCATCAACTTTGTGCACCTGATCCTGGAGGCAATGGGTGAGTTAATACTGCCCTAGCCCACCAGAGAATCTTTCTTGGGGGTTATTGTAGGGTATTTTTCTTCCTGGCTGCGGGACCTTGATAGGCCTACACTTGATGGCATGTACCCAGTGCTTGCTCTACTCAGAGCAAACCCATTGCAATTAATGTCCGTGACTAAAGGAGTTTCCAGACCCTCACTATTTTCAGGTGGGATTCAGTCACGTGCTGGCAAATTCAGGCTGCATAATCAAATTCCATTGGGAGGGCGTGTGCTGCAAACCTGCTTCCCCAAAAGATCAGACTTTTTGGTGGTAAGGAAAGTGAGGGATCGCATTTGCTTTGGTGCAACAGCGTCTAACCTCCCTGCAAACAAATGGGGATGAATGCTCAGTAAGCAGGTTGTCTGGAAGCACCATAAGTTGTGCCCATTAATTTTAGTAGGTCTGCTCTGAGTAGAATTTTGTTGGATATGGCCCCCTATCTTTCTCTGGTTTACCTGAGAAAGATAGGTTTGAGCATATTATGCCAATTCTGGTCCAATTCAAAGTGCTGGTTTTGACCTATAAAGCCTTAAATGGCTCAGAACCACAATACACCAAAGACCACTTATCTCCATATGACCCTACCTGGACCCTGAGATCATCGTCTGAAACCCTTCATCATGTTCTTCCTCCATGAGCGGTCCAGAGGGGGCAACACGAGAACGGGACTTTTCTGCAGTGGCCCCCCATTTCTGAAATGCTCTCCCCAAGGAGGCTCACTTGGTGCCTTCATTATACACCTTTAGGCACCAGGTAAAAACCTTCCTCTTCTACCAGGCCTTTGGCTGATTGACATCTGATGTCATTTTAAATGTGTTGTGGAAGGGGGGATTACTGGGTTGTCTTTGTTTTTGCTCTTATTATGTATTATGTGTTTTTTATATTGTGATTTTATGTTGTGAACTGCCATGAGATCTGTGGGCATAGGATGGTACACAAATTTAATTAATAATAATATTAATAACTTAACCTTCTCAAGCTCAAGGGAAATTAGAACCAAAGAGCTGGAGAGAGCTTTGCAGGCCATTTTGTCTGTCTCCTGCTTGATGCAAGAAATCCAAACCTGGAACCTTTTCTCCCTCTCCATTTACTACTACTTATAATTAATAATGCTAATAATTAACAACAACAACAACAACACAATGGAAGCCCTATTATAAGCAATTCAAAGAGGGAAGGGGAGAAAGTTTTGGGAGCTGGTTTAGAGTTATTGGCAGAATACACCAGCAAAATAACAGCAAGCTGTTTATGGAACTCACTTGCTTAAGAGTACAGTACAGTGGTACCTCGGTTTACAAACTTAATCCGTTCCAGAGGTCTGTTCTTAAACCAAAACCGTTCTTAAACTGAGGTGCGCTTTCCCTAATGAGGCCTCCTGCCGCCGGTGCCCTTCCACCATTTGGATTCCATTCTTAGACTGAGGTAAAGTTCTCAAACCGAGACACTACTTCGGTTTTGCGGAGTTCGTAAACCGAATCATTCGCAAACAGGACTGTTCTTAAACCGAGGTACCACTCTATAGGTTAAAAACCTGAGCAGCAACATAGCCTCCTCTCTATGCTTTACATCTCTCTTGCAGTGGATGGTACCCCAATGTTCCCCTCCAGCCATGTCTACCTCCCACCGAAGCATCCAACCAAAATTGGGTTTGACGAGGTAAGCAAGTCTCTCTCTCTCTCTCTCTCTCTCTCTCTCTCTCTGTGTGTGTGTGTGTGTAAGAGAGAAATTGTCAGCACCTGTGAGGGCTGTGAGTGACTGAGTCAGAGTATGCCTGAATGCATGTGATGAATTTTGTGCGTTTTGAGTAAGTGGAATCCTATTTTATGGGGTTTTTTTGAGCTTCATTGTTTTACGTATTCCACTTTAAATTCATTAGTTAATTGCATTTGATTTTCTTTGTAAGCTTGCTTTTGTGATGAAAAGTGGTTTATATAAGTACTCGAAAAAAGGAATTGAACCTTCTGTTTTCCTTTTAGGTTTTCCTCATCAACTTGGCAAGGCGCCCAGACCGTCGGCAGCGCATGCTTAGTTCCCTCTTTGAGTTGGAGATAGAGCCCTTGGTGATTAACGCTGTCGATGGAAGGTGACTGGCTGATGCCTCTTTCTGGGGTGCTTTGTTTTGGTTTTTAGCATGAAATGGGGCTGCTGCAACTGGTGGACCTCTCTGCCACAAGGCTTAGATAGCTTTTTAAAAATGCAAATGTAATAGGAGAAAGGGGAACACATTGAGGCCAAAATATGATGGTGATGATCATTATTATTATTATTTACAGTCATACCTCATGTTACGTTTGCTTCAGGTTACGTTCTTTCAGGTTACGTCCCACAGCGACCCGGAAGTACCAGAAAGGGTTACTTCCGGGTTTCGCCACTCACGCATGCGCAGAAGCGCTCAATTGCGCTTCGCACATGCGCGCAAGCACCAAGTCACACTGTGCACCTGCGCAGATACGACGCTTCAGGTTGCGCTCTTTTCATGTTGTGAACGGGCCTCTGGAACGGATCCCGTTCACAACCAGAGGTACCACTGTAGATAGATTTGAAGGAGCAAGTCCATTCAGGAAACAGCTATCAAGTCCTTCTAGTCGTGATGGATTTACAGAACTTGCAGAACCAGTGTACCATGGAATATCAGTTGTTAGGTGAAGGGCAGTAGTCAGGGTGGGGGAAGCCATTGCCTGCGTGCCTCACTGGTGGGATGCAGGCATTTGCTTTGGCACTGTGGAAACAGGATGGTGAACAAGATGGGCCTGTGGTCCAGAAGGACCCTCTCCTCATGTTCCTAAATATCCTGGCCTTTCCCTCTGCTGTATGTGAAGCTTCTTTCATCACTAGCTTTAGTCATCTTTGTGAAGATAAACCTTTTTGCCCAGGCTTCCCCTGACCCATAAGATCGGACCCTGCTTTTGCTGAATTCCTCTCTTTTTTGTATAAATACCCCCCCCCCCATTTTTTTATTCATTTTATAACATAACTAAACAACACAAACAGAAAATACAAACAATACGAACAGATTCTTGTCTTATCCTCATTTTTTCTAAACGTTGTTAGGTGGGCTTCCCCAAGTCCCCACTATCTGATTTTCATTTTACCTCCTCTTTAGCAGTTTACATATATCATAATTTTTAACCATTTTTTTTTTAAATCACGCTTACTTTTACCATAAAAATCTTCACATTTTATCACTTACAAATAATACTATTTTAAAATACACTATCTTCTACTTCTAACCCTACAGCCTATATCCACTTCCAAAGCTATTCTAAGATTTAAATATTAACATATTTTTTCAGATATTCTTTAAATCTTCTTCCACCATCTCTTCTCTAAATACTTTTTAAAAGCACTTTCTCTGTTTTTATTATGCTGTTCTTTGTACATGGCTTTCAGAACTTTTAACTAGAAATGCTCCTGAACAAATGCAATAAATCTACTTGCTGTATAGTTGTCTGAACCCCATTGCACCTGAAAGCTGGAGAGAGGAGCACGTGGGCTCCATGCCACCTACAGCTGATGTGAACTGGCACCCCAACAACACCTGGGGGACCCAAGGCTGTGTGGGATATCTATACGGGGCTGTGTCGCTCCATGCTGCCTGCCCTGGTTCGTGACCTGCGCTCTTGGGAGTGCTGCTTTGCTAACCTCTGTTATCTCCTCTGCCAGTGCCCTAAACAGCAGTGACATCAAGAAACTGGGTGTGGACCTGCTTCCAGGTTATTTTGACCCCTTTTCAGGCAGGACACTCACCAAAGGGGAGGTGGGCTGCTTCCTGAGCCACCATCATGTGTGGAATGAGGTAAGGGCTTGGGCTGGGTTGGACGAAAGGGTCAAGGGCTTGGGTTGGTTCGGTGCAGGGAAGGGCCATTGATGTGGTCAAGCAAAGCCTACCCATCAGCTTCTCTCTGATTGGCTACTCAAGATCTGGGGCCAAGCCCTGTGCAATGGTTATATAGGTAGAGCCAGTGTGGTGTAGTGGTTAAGAGCGGTGGCCTTGTAATCTGGTGAACCGGGTTCGCGTCTCTGCTCCTCCACCTGCAGCTGCTGGGTGACCTTGGGCCAGTCACACTTCTCTGAAGTCTCTCAGCCCCACTCACCTCACAGAGTGTTTGTTGAGGGGGAGGAAGGGAAAAGGAGATTGTTAGCTGCTTTGAGACTCCTTAGGGTAGTGATAAAGCGGGATATCAAATCCAAATTCTTCTTTTAGGTCCAGCTAGGCTCCTACTGTGTCTCTCAGGTCACCTGGTTTGCTGGGCTGAAGAGGCGTTTCTGGCTGTTGCTCGACATTGTACAACATAGCAGAGAGTGGGTGGAGAAGTGTCGGGAGGCTTGGGGAGCCCAGTCCTTGCAAATCCTGACACTGGTTGACCTGACCCCCACCTCCCAGATTGACGCATGCATCAGGAATTCATTGCCCTCTCACTTTTGCACTTGGAATCATAGAGCTGAAGATTAGGAAGGGTCCCTGGCAGTCATCTGGTCCAAGCTGCAGCAGCACAGGAGTCAAACTCTTTCCCAATGTTCCAAAGTAGTTCTTTTGTTAGATAACTTATTATTTTTTCATTAATAACAATCCCATGTAAGCCACATTAATACAATATCAAATCACAATACAATTAAAAGAGCCAATTATCCAGTTCCAAATTAAACAATTTTGGGTGACTTCCCGTATTCTGATTATCAGGAGATGGTGTTATTCCTTGATCCTGGCTCCAATCCTCCTAATTAATCCAAGCCTGTGAGCATATAATAAAATTTGCTCTCTGCCCTGCACTTTCCCCAAAAAGGTCTTTTGGATTTCTCAACAAGGTCTACACCAGGGATGCAGAACCTGTGGCTATCTAGATGTTGTTGGACTCTCATCAGCCCCACAGCTAATGGGAGCTGTAGATCTCAGACATCTGAAGAGCAACAGCTTCTCCAGCTCCGAGCTGTGCTGTTATAGCATACACAGCAAGTTCCCTTGGTAAAGATGCTGATGTCCCTTTGCTTGCTGCAGTCCTGGGTGAGCTCTGCGATGGAACTTTAAGGTCTCTTTCACCCATACTCTCTAGCGCTGTTGTTTTCTCCCCCCTTTAGATTGTCGAACGGGGTCTGGAGAAGTCTGTGGTGCTGGAAGATGATGTGCGGTTTGAGGCATATTTCAAGAAGCGAATTTTGCGGCTGATGGATGAACTGGAGCAAGTACAGCTGGATTGGGACCTGATGTATGTTGGGTTAGCTGGTGGGGTTGGGCGAGGTCCTCAGCTGCAAAACAGCCCTAGTTGTTTGGCTACACTTTGGAATGCCAAAGTAACTATAGCTCAGTGGCAGTGCACCTGCTTTGCATGCAGAAGGTTTCTCCAGGAAGGTCTGGAAAAGTCTCCTGTTGGAAATCCTGGTGAGCTGCTGCCAGTCAGTGTAGGCAATATTGAGCTCAGTTGACGTATGGCCTGACTCACCATAAGGCAACTTCCTGTGTTCCTGTTTGGTTCATCCCTTTATTCAGAACTGTGAGGGCTGGAATATTTAGTTTAGACTTCCGGGTTGGTGCCTCCGGCAATGGCGGAGCTCCTCTGATCGGGAGGAACTAGCTCCACGAAAACCAGGGTCTGACTGCCACTGACTTCCCACTGAAATCACAAGCAAGAGAAGCTTGTGAACTTGGGGTCCGGCTGGCACCTTTGCGCCTCCCCTACTCGCGGGGAAACCCGGTTTTGGGGATCCGGAGCGACGTGGGGTGAGTGGCGCGGTGCTTCGAATCAACTGCTTTTTCCGCGGAGTGAAGCCACATTGCTGTTGCCAGAGAGCGCTGACTTTTTCCTGTGGACAATTGGACTTTAAACAACTACCCGTGAGTAGAACGCAAAATTGGATCTTCAAATAATTTAATTTGGCACCGAAACGGGGAAGGTTTTAAACTGAAGCAAAGACGTTATAAGCTAAAGTCTTTGGAAGCTTTTGGCAAAGGATTGAAGTGATGAAAAGATGGAATTGTTTTTAACTGGTTTTTTTTCCTACTTTGTATTTTTCCTTTTTATTGTTAATTTTTTTATTAATGTGATTTTTCTTCTTTTGAAACTTTAATAAATATTATTTTAAAAAAAGAAAGAAAAGAAACACTTGAACTTGGTGCAGTAACAAATCACCAGCCAGTGCAGACCTCTGAGCTAGCAAGGCCTCACTCCTGCCAGCAAACTGTCACAAGCCAGTCCTCTGCCCCTGAAGCCAATCTACATCTTCTGGCTGCAGCGCAAAGCTGAGACAGAGCTGCAGCTACAATTGTTTTTACTGTTTTAAATTGTTTTAACTGTTTTTGTTAAACTTGTTGTTGTTTGTTTATATTGAGGGAGGGGAGATGTGTCTGGGAGGAGAGGAGCTGGAGAGACCGGGGTCGTATGCTGTGGGAGGTGGGGCAGGCTGGGTAAGTGGCACATGGATAAGGGCCCCTCCTCCAACCTGGGGATTTGTGGTTGTCTGCATGCAAAGCAAGTGTGCTGCCACTGGGCTGTGGATCCTCCCCACCACCCTCAAATGGTGCCACCTTATACTGGGACAGATCAGGGATCTGTCCAGCTTGGAACACTGTGCTTTGACTAGCAGCAGCTCCCTGAGGTCGGTCTGTTAATTTAGGGGTGGGGAACCTTCTAGCCCACCAGCCAGGTTTGGCCTGCCAGGTCTCCTCAGTTCTGCTCAGTTACTATCTCTCTCCATCCCCATGGGCCTGTTGGGATGCGTCCGGGGAGACAGGGGCATTTGGCAGGCCCCCAGCTGGCTCCAGCCACTGGCCGGCAGCCGGGCAAACTCCGGTTCTCGGAACAGCATTAAAAACTGTGACTCAGGCCACAGAAGCCTTCAAAGCTTAAGCACGCAAGCCAGCAGAGATAAGAACTCTTTGCAACGGAAGAGGCATATGTGCTGTGAGTATTTGCAGGGACCGGGCCCCGAGTGCTGTGAGTATTTGCAGGGACCGGGCCCCGAGTGCTGTGAGTATTTGCAGGGACCAGGCCCCGGGTGCTGTGAGGCATATGTAAGCATATTTACATCATTTTATTCAGCAGCAGACAAAGGAAAACATGTCTGCTTCCCTTCGTGTCCAAGCAAACAGCATAGGCAAAAGCAATATACAAACGGAAGTTCCCAGCAAGCTGTGCTGGAATGTAAACAGACATGTGACATGCAACAATCCACATATCTGTTCCTCTCACGGTGGAACGGAACATCAACATCCTAACAGGGCCAACTTCTGACAGGTTGATGGCACTACCCGGGGCTAATGTTGGCTTTTGGAGGTGGGAGATGACGATCTGGCTTTCTGGGGCAAAAAGGTTCCCTACTCCTGGTGTAGGCAGAAGGAAATGGGTGAACACTAAAAAGGCCGATTTGTCTTCTTCAGTTACCTGGGCCGGAAGCAAGTGAATGCTGAGGATGAGGAGCTGGTGGAGGATGTACGAAATCTTGTGGTGCCTGGATATTCCTACTGGACATTAGCTTACATCATCTCACGGCGAGGGGCTCAGAAACTGATTGATGCACAGCCGCTCTCCAAAATCCTCCCTGTGGATGAATTCCTGCCCATCATGTATGACAAGCACCCCAAGTAAGGAGCTTGAAATATTGTGGGTTTGTTTCATTTGGCTTGGAGTTCAGATGTAGTAATAACAGAACAGCAACCTTGCCTTGATGTTCTCATGGAAGCGCTGAAGAAGCACCCTGTCTGTATGGGAAAGTCTGTGGCGGATTTAATGTGTGAGTGGGACCTGCGACAAAATGTTGCAGTGTGGAACACTTGATGGAGGAGAGGGCTGTTAATGGCTAGCCATGGTGGCTATGTTGTGCCTCCACATTCAGAGGCAGTAATGCTTGTGGATTCCAGTTGCTCTTGTGCTCAGGTTTTGCAGGTTTCATACAGGCATCCGGTTGACCACTGTGAGAACAGGATGCTGGACTAGATGGGCCATGGGCCTGATCCAGCCTCAAGGCACTTACTGTATGTTCGTAATGCTTTTCTTCAGGGCCCCTCTAGACCCCATTTTTATTGTGAATTTGTGGTTGTTTGTTTTCATGGTGCTTTGGGGGCAGTTATGCACTATCCCACTTTCAGTTCTGTTCACACCCGCAAAGGTTTCAGGGCAGACATGCTTTGTTTCCGTGTCGCGCAGCTCCCTGCTGATAATCCTGTTAACTTTCTATACCACAAATACTCCTTTTGTTGTGCTGCAGTGCAAAAGCTTAGTAATCCAGAGGGCAATAAAGCAGCAACATAGGAGGAAGTATCTCAAAGCAGCTAATGACGGGGAAGGATGTGTGGACCGTCCAGTACAAATCCACAGCTATTGTACTCTTGTTGCACCAGTGATGTGGCAGTATATGTCTGGGAAAACCAAACAAGCACCAACCAGTCAGGGGTGGGAGGCTAAATCTCTAATAATAATAATAATAATAATAATAATAATAATAATAATTGTACCCTGCCCATCTTATTGGGTTTCCCCAGCCACTCCGGGCAGCTTCCACAAAGACCAAAAATACACTAATATATCATACATTAAAAACTTCCCTGAACAGGGCTGCCTTCAGATATCTTCTAAATGTCAGGTAGTTATTTTTCTCTTTGACATCTGATGGGAGGGTGTTCCACAGGGCAGGCGCCACTACCGAGAAGGCCCTCTGCCTGGTTCCCTGTAGCTTTGCTTCTCATGGTGAGGGAACCGCCAGAAGGCCCTCAGAGATGGACCTCAGTGTCCGGGCTGAACAATGGGGATGGAGAAGCTCCTTCAGGTATACTGGACCGAGGCCGTTTAGGGCTTTAAAAGTCAGCACCAACACTTTGAATTGTGCTCAGAAACGTCAAGGCTGACACACACAGATAAGGCCTCCAGAATAAGTTGGGCAGGATCATGCCTTGTAAGCAAAGAAAAGAAGAAAAGCGCCTCTCTCCCCGCCCCGCAACAATCCCTGCCTTCACTGCTCCGGCATCAGTTAAGGGAAAACATCTGTTCCTATGACTTCACTCCCTCCAGCCTGCAGAAGTCTGTGGAAAAGAATAGTCAGCAAGCCCCCAGGAGGAGGAGGAGGAGAGGGTGTTGAGGTTTCTTGAACGGCCATTCGCTCAGTTTGCTGGAAGCATAATAGGAGCCAGGGAAATGTGGCTGATTGCCATGCCTTGGGACTGGGATGGAGAATCCTTGGTCCTCCTGATGCTCTAGGGCAGAAGTTGGGGCGTAGAAGATGCAGTTTCCCACCAGGTCCTCATGTCTCTCACAAAACATCTTCCCTTGATGCTTGGGGTGCCCTGCCAAACAGTGGGGGTTAGCATGGGGGGTGTTGTTGTTGGGGGAGGGGTATGTGAAAGTTGCCTCCCCTGTTGGTGAGGAAATGGTGCTGGCAGGAAGGATGAACTCCCCTTTACCACCAGATCCTAAACCTCTGCTGTCTTGTGGCTCTACTCATTCATGAGAAAGGTTTCAGGAGTAAACCCCGAGGAAAAATCCACACCTGATTCTTTGTGAGACACCTTCAGGGGAAGAAAAGGCTGAGCTAAGGAATAAACCCTACACAAATTCAGAGTGGAGTCCCTAAGGCAGTTGAATGGTGCCTTGTACTCCTCCTTCCGGCAACTCCTGCAGTCAAGCTGGTGCCCAACGTCTTGCTCCGCTTTCCTTTAGACCACACCTGCAATGCTGAGAGGGGGGGGTCTTGTCTCCTGGGCAGCCCAGGACCTCCATGCACACTGCCCAGGCTTGTGCTTCAGAGTCACTCTGGTGCTGCAAGCACAGTAGTTTGCCTTCACCCCTAGAGGTGCACTCCATTGTCTCTCAAGACAGATGGATGCCAGCAACAACAAGGGGAAGTTGTCCCCCCCCCCCATATCATTTTTATTACCGTAATTTTACAATACAGTCATACCTCATGTTACATTTGCTTCAGGTTGAGCATTTTCAGGTTGTGTCCTGCGGCGACCCGGAAGTACCGGAAAGGGTTACTTCCGGGTTTCGCCGCTTGCGCATGCACAGATGCTCAAAATGAAGTCACGCGCATGCGCAGAAGTGGTGAATCACGACCCGCAAATGTGCAGACACGGGTTGCGTTCTGCTCATGTTGCAAATGGGCCTCCAGAATGGATCCTGTTCGCAGCCAGAGGTAGCACTGTAATGCTTTCCATTACAATCTCTTCTCTTATATTATACATTTTGGCTTTTTAGGACCATGACTTCATTCAAATCTTCCTTGTGATTTTCTATCTTTCATTTCAAATTTCTGCATTTTCACTACTTAATATTGCTTTCAAATCAAAAACATCAAAGCATCATATTTTCTTATTCCTCTCTGCAGTGATTTTTATACCTTTCCTTACAAAGCTTCTTGCAATCCTACCAACGTGTTTGATTGACTACAATTGTCTTTCAAATAATTTACAAATTTAGTCCAGTCCTTGTTGAACTTCTGGTCCCGCTGTTCTAGGATTCTTCCCGTCATTTTGGCCAGTTCCGCATACTCTGTTAACTTCAGTTGCCATTATTCCTTTGTCGGTAATTCCTCTTGTTTCCACTTCTGTGCTAATAAAATTCTTGCTGCAGTTGTTGCATATAGGAAAAGCTTAGTATCTTGTCTGTTAATGCCTGTACCACAACAAGGGGAACTTGTGGCCCTCTAGATGTTGTTGGACTCCAACTCCCATCAGTCCTAGCTGATGCTGAGAATCCAACAACATCTGGATAGCTTCAGGCTCCGTATCCCTGTTTTGACGGATGGGCTATTTTCCTGGACTACCCTACTGTGTCAGTAGGCAGTGATTGGCTTTGACAGGCACAGATTAAGGCCCACGCTGTGGTAAGGGGCCCCACTGTTGACCTTCAGAGCCCTCCTCCCCTTCTGCCCTGTTCAGCCTTGCAGTTGCCACATGTTCGCCTTCCCTCTCAGTTGAGCAAGGAGGAGCATTGGCCTCCACTTGCCTTGCCCACTTCCTCTGTGCGCTGGTGCGGATTAGGCCCAGTGGGAGAGAGCAAGCAAATGGGCAACAGGGGCAGGTCTTGTTCAGCCCTCCTGCCCCCAAATCTGGAGTCCATCACTGGGTCACCATAGTAAGCAATGCCGGCACATGGGATGGAGCAGCCACGCTGTGCCCCAAATAGAAAGTGGGCTTGATAGGAGAAGCTTTTGTGTCTTGCTTGCTGCATGGCTTCCCACGGGCTACACTGGCTTCTGCTCAAGACACTTCGGGAATGTGATTTACAGGCAGCCGGCTGAGGCTGAGCCAGGATTCCTGGCTGTGTTTTCAGACTTTCCATCTGTGCCAGACTCTCGCTCCAAACCAGAATTTCACCTGGCCTTTTTTGGCTCTGTGTTTGCGTAATGCAAAATCAATCTCTCTTTCTTTCTTTCTTTCTTTCTTTCTTTCTCTCTCTCTCTCTCTCTCACACACACACAAACACACACAAACACAAATAAAATATTGCTGGGTAGTCAATAACACTTCCTTTGCTAATGGGGAGGCATTTTGGCTCCCTTTGATCTCACTTCTCTCCCCACCTGCCCCAGTTTAGGACTGAGCTTCATGCATCTGATGAAGTGGATTCTTAGTCAATAAATGTTTATGCTAGGTTAGCCAACACTGGGTAGCCACAAGGTTGTTGTGGTGGTGGTTGTGGTGAATGACTTTAAAAAAAAAATGCTTTTACAGTACAGTATCGAATTTCAAAATTATTAACAAATACAGAAGAGAGAAAACAAATTTCTGAAACAAATTCCTAGAAACTCATTGAAAATACATTTATTTTCAGTGTTAGGAACTAATGGTGTACTTATATCAGGTAAGTTGTAATACATTTTACAGTTGTTGCTGGACTCCCAACTCCCCACAGCTAACATAGCCAGTCGTCAAAGACGATGAAAACTGGAGTTCACCAATGCCCAATGGGGGCACCACGTTGGCTACCTTTAACAAATGTGCAAGGTTTTAAGATGCCACAAGGGACGCGAGTGGTACTGTGGGTTAAACCACAGAGCCTAGGGCTTGCCAATCAGAAGGTCGGTGGTTCGAATCCCCGCAACAGGGTGAGCTTCCGTTGCTCGGTCCCTGCTCCTGCCAACCTAGCAGTTCGAAGCACGTCAAAGTGCAAGTAGATAAATAGGTACCACTCTAGTGGGAAGGTAAACGGCGTTTCCGTGTGCTGCTCTGGTTCGACAGAAGTGGCTTAGTCATGCTGGTCACATGACCCGGAAGCTGTGTGCCGCCTCCCTCAGCCAGTAAAGCGAGATGAGCGCCGCAACCTTAGAGTTGGTCATGACTGGACCTAATGGCCAGGGGTCCCTTTACCTTTACCTTTAAGATGCCACAAGAGTGCCAAGTGGCTGAATTGGCTTGGAGTGCAGATGTCTTAATGCAGAGCAACCTTTGAGACTCACTGGTTAGAAGGATAGGCTGATGCTTCCTTCTCTTCCCTCTCTCTCAGTGAGGATTACAAAAAGCATTTCAGCAACCGGGACCTGCGAGCTTTCTCTGTGCGCCCCCACCTCGCCTACCCAACCCACTACACCGGTGATGCCGAGTGGATGAGCGACACGGAAACCTCCACCATCTGGGACGATGACTCACGCAAGACGGGCTGGAGCGGCTCGCAAAAGACACTGAAAGACACCCATGGCAGCGTAGGCACTTCAGGCCACTCCTTCCGCCCGGCCTCTCGGGATGAGCTATAACATCTGGCTGGTAAGTAAGGCCTGGGAAACAGCTGTGCAGCAGATGTGGAACCGCTTGGGCAGAGCCGTATGCTGTAGGGCAGTTGGCTGCAGGAAGCCTTTCCCAGAAGTGATTGCTTCTCGCCCCCCCACCCCCTGCCCTGCAACTCATCTACAGCATGATGGCATTTTATGCACAATTAACTTGCAAACTTGCACGGTTGAAAACAGACCGGTTGAAACTGTGCAAATTAAATGCACACCAGGTGGAGAGCTTGAAAGCTCTTTTTGAGCATGGAAGGAGCTGTTAAGCTGTCTGCCTTGCTTACTGGGCAGTGCCCAGTAAATGTTTTTATATTACTGTACACTGCCCTGATACCTTATGAGTAGGCAGTATATAAATACTTTTACTGCATGACCAAAATAAATAAATGAGCACCTTGCAAGGAGGCTCACCTTCATCACTGGGTTTGTGGTCTCCTGCAGGCCTGTATGCAGAGATGTGTGTATGTAACTTGCAGTTTGTTTGGATTCTTTGTGTGTGTGCGTGTCCTCAACGTGTCATGGAGCTAACTGGAAAGGTTCCATCTCTGAAAAAATAAATAAATCAAGAACTGTCTTTCTGGAGCCACCAATTTTGCTGAGACATTGGGCGCCAGTTTGCTGAAGTCCAAAGTATTCATTCTTGCCAAGACACTTCAGTTCTGCCATCGTTGCTGTTTAGATTAAGGCAGCAAAGTAATAATTATCCTGGTGAGGGTTGTCAGTTGTTTGAAACTGGTTGCTACTCGTTAGAGAGCTGCTTGAAATGCACTGATGTATGTATTGAGCTCTACATCTTCAGTTGCTCATTTCTGCAGATCTCTCTTAAAAAGCAGCAAGCCAGGCCTGTTGTTTGTTTTTCTGGCCATGTCTGTGTCCTGTGAGGCTCTTTCTCCCTCCATATTTATGGGGGGGGGGGGAGAGCAAAGTGGGTGGTTACCAGGGGTGGCACATTTGAGGAGGCAGTGCCTCCCCCAAAAGTTTGGCAAAGGGCTCACCCTAACCCAAGTGATCAAGGGGATGGAGCAACTCAACTATGAAGAAAGTGTTCGGGATTTTTTAGTTTATAGAAAAGACAAGGAAGAGGAGACAACGATAGAAGTTTATAGAATTATGCATAGCCTGGAGAAAACCGACAGAAACATTTTTCTCACTCTCTCAAAGCATTGCAACTCATGGACACCCAGTGAATCCGAATGTTGGAAGATTCAGGGAAGATAGAAGAAAGCACTTCTTCATGCAGAACGCACGTCAAGCTGTGGAACTCCCACAGGAAGCAGCAATGGTCAGCAACCTGGAGTGCTTTGGATTAGACCATTTCACGGGGGCCACTAGGGGGCGCATTGGAAGATGGCCGACAATACCATCTCTCCGACCCACACGGGGTAATTAAGAGGCTGTTATGGGAGTAGGCAGCCTCCCTTGTTGCCCCAAGGAAATGGGGAACACTGCCCTTGCATGCTGTGCCCATAAATTACCCCCTAATTCGAAAGAAGGGGGTGAGGGCCCTAGGCAGAATGCCCCCGTGTGGACCTCGGGTCTCCTGGACGCTGTCTCTGATCGCGCACTAGCTGCAGCAATTTGGAATAATTAATTACAAAAGAAGCAAATGCACATATTTCAAGTGAAGAAGTGGAGTGAAGTCTGCTAATTTAAGTGACCTCTGCGAAAGAAGACGATGGGTTGGAGAAACAGGAATATTTTACGATGAAGATACACCAAAGGCTGGGTATGTTGACAACGGGACTGAATGGGGGGGGAACCTTTTTGCTTTCCTTCTATGTGATTTACAAGAACCCCTCCTCACTAGAATCGTTGGTTGAACTAACCCAAGCAGGATGATTAAGGTCTGTGTGGAGATAAACTTTAACCAAAAGTATGCTTTATGGAGATCGAGAAGCAATAAGAGCTTTTGGAATGGCGCAGCAATTAATTTGGAGTCGCCATCTTGCCAAAGGATTTATAGCCGGGAGGAAGAACGGACTTGTTTTCAGACTGCATTCCTGGTGAATCTCCTAAAGAGGTTTTGAGAAAGGAGGCAGATTGGTGAAGATTAATGATGCTAAGACTGTTTTGATGTATGGAAGTGATGTTATATGGAAAACGTCTGGATATGGCTACTGGATAAAAAAAAAAAAATCCACGCAGGATTACAAAATGTTCTAACCAGCTTGTGGAGACTATCAGAGGTCACAAAGAGAAAGGAAAATATATGAAAATAACAACAAGAGATGTGGAAAAACAATAAGAAAGGACTGGATAGTACTGTGAACATCATAAGGTTAGATTTGTGGACATTAAAACAGCAGTAAGAAGCAAGAAGTTGATTGGATCCCCTTCAGAACTTGAAATATGGGTACCCCCAACAAAAATTTAAAATTCGGCTGTGTAATTTGGAATTTATGTGAATTGGTTTGATTTGATGTGATTGGTCGGTTAATAAAAAATTATTCTAAAAAAGAAAGAAAGGATTAGACCATTTCACAGAGCAGAAGGCTATTGACGGTTACTGGACAGGATGGCCATGCTCTGCCAGCATAGTTGGAGGCAGCAATGTTTCTGAAAACCAGTTATTGGAAACTTCAGGGTTTTTGTTATTGTTCCTGCTGCACTCATGTCCAGCTTGCAGGCTCCCCAACAGAGGCATCTGGTTGGCCACTGTAGAAACAGAATGCTGGACTAAATGGGCCATTGGCCTGATCCAGCAGGACTCTTCTTATGTTCAGGCTCTGGAGCTGCTGCCTTGGGCTGGTCAGTGGGGAGAACTAAGTTGCCACACCAGCCAAGGGCAGGGTCCCCTATTCAGAAAGGGAAGATAGAGCAACTCCAGAACAGCATCCCCCATGTTGGAGGGCAAGGAGCCCCCTGGCAAAGCTGGTGGGAGGTGGGGCACACTCAGAACACTCCTGCTTTGTTCTGCATCCAGGAAGCAACCTCCCCCTTTCCACTTGCCCACCTCCACTGCTTTTCTCACCACTTGTCTACTTGCCCCTAGCTGTGAAAGCAGGCTTTTCGCTCAAGACTCCCTCTGTGTGGGGCCTCATCTTGCTAAGGAGGATGTCTCCACCCACTGCACCTTTGCTCGTGTCCCACACACTGCATACACTTGGTCATGATCCTCCTGCAGAGTCCTGTCTGCATCTACTCAGAAGTGAACCCCTCCCATAGCTCAGAGGGGCTTACTTCTTCCAGGTATGTGGGCCTATGACTGCAGTTTCCTCTAATCATGTATACAGTTTATTACTGAACGGAGTGGAAGTCGCTTCTGCTGTGGGTAGCAGAGCACACACCATAAATACTGCGTATGAATCAAAGAAGCAGACTAATACAGTGGTACCTTGGGTTACATATGCTTCAGGGTACAGACGCTTCAGGTTAAAGACTCGGCTAACCCAGAAATAGTGCTTCAGGTTAAGAACTTTGCTTCAGGATAAGAACAGAAATCTTTCTCTGGCGGAGCAGTGGCAGCAGGAGGCCCCATTAGCTAAAGTGGTGCTTCAGCTTAAGAACAGTTTCAGGTTAAGAATGGACCTCCGGAACGAATCAAGTACTTAACCCAAGGTACCACTCTACAGAAAGCTGAAATATGTGTGAATTTTGCATTGTTTTCTCTGTCTGCCCCTAATTTGGGTGATTTGGAATCAGGTTGGGTTTCTTTTTTTATTTTATATTCTTCATTGAAAAATTAAAAAGTACAAAAGTACAAGTGCACAGAGTAAGATAAGACACAAAGAAGAGGAAACAAGAAATCGTATCTATGTAGAAAACAAAACAGAAAAGGATATTGTGCACATTACAAAAAAGGGGGGCGCTTGTTATTGTAGTTAAGGAGACTTTAATCTAATATGTTTGGGTTTCTTTTTACGTTTATACCCCACCTTTCCCTCAAGGAGTTCAAGGTGGTGTACAAGGTTCTTTCCTTTCTCTGTTTTATCCTCACAACGCCCCTGTGAGGTAGGGCCTTGAGCTGTGACGGACTGACTGGTCCAAGGTCAGCCAGTGAGTTTCATGGCCAAGTGCAAGGGGAGGATTTGAACCCAGGTCTCCCAGATCCTAGTCCAAGGAAAGAGGGATGCATTCTCCACAAGCCCCACCCTCTCTCCCACTTCTATGGATTTCTCTCTGATTTGTGCCTTGCTTTTGTGGGAGGTTTTAGCACTAGCAGGAGCCTGACATCTGGGCAAAGCCTGCGACCCTCTAAAGAACCTGGAAACCAGAGAAAACTCAGCAGCTGGAACATGGCTCTGAATCCTGCTGCCCTTATCCTGATTTCAGGCAGTTGGCCTCGGCTCCCAAAAGCCGCTTCCTCTGCTACTCTGGCTGACTCTTTCTCTCCTCTGGACTGCCTGTGTGTCTTGCAGAGCCTAAACAAGCAGGAGTTTCAAAAGACTCTGTCTAAGGACGTGTGCTGAGGCTCAGTGCTGCTTTTGTGAGTTCCCTGAAGCTGCTAGGACAGGAAATCCCAAGAAACTGCTCAGATTCCGAGGTAAACAAACAACGGCCCTGTGCTCCCTGCAGCTGGAGGTCAGGAAAGTCTGGCTTGCTTTGCTGTTAGCCAGCTGGTTCTCAGCTGTAGCCTCCCGCACCCCCACTTTTTGAAAAAGATCCTACATACTGGTGATGCACAGTTCAGGGAAAGGAAATGAAGCAGCAAAGCACTGCACTCGGAGCCCGCTTGCTGTTTCCTGTGTCAAGAATGCAACCACAGGATAATGAAAACCATGCAACGCAGGTCGCTATAAGCTTGATCGGTTTCCTGCAACGAAGATATTTCTGGGTCCCAGTTTGCATGTGCTGGTTAATGATTTGCCGCAGGAATGAGGAGCCTCAGACCCAGGAGCCAAATCTGACCCTCCTGGCCTCTCTGTGTGTGACTGTTCACTGGCTGCACCCATTACCAGCCTTGCTTTGGGACTTTCATGAGTGCTTTTGCCTGGCTGGAATATGTCTTTGAACTCTGATCATGCCTCTTGGTTGCCTGGACGGAGGATAATGTGCAATCTGCTCATGTGTGCAGAAACTAGCTTATTGCACAAATGCAAAAAGCACATTTGTTGTCTACTCCCCCCCTTTTTTTGGCCCTGCCCACCAGTGGCATGCTATGAAAGTGTCTATTCCCCTCACAGACCTACAATCCCCAGTGTTTCCTGTGAAGAGGGATTGGTTGTTTAAGCCACCCTGGGAAGGGAACAGGGTATCCCTTATAAACTTTCAGCACGCTTAGCAAACTGCATCTCAAAGGAAGCTGTGTTTGTTTAAAGTGGTTTCATAGCACTTTAAATTCATAGCACAGTATGAATGTGGCCTTAATCTATCTTCTCTTACTATGATTGCTGCCATTGGGCAGGTTTATATGTTGACAGTGTGTGCCTTGAAATTCCATGCAAATCGCAGAGTTTTGTAATTTGTCAATAATGAGAATCTTGGCTTACTTTTAAACAGCAACGAAGGACAAGTTCCTAGCCCCTGTGCCCTGAAACCAATCCCTGCAAAAACAGCAGCTGGTGGAATAAGCACCTTGCTTATCATTGCACACACGGCCTATGTCTCCAACTAGGGCAGCAGATCTATGCCAAAATGTTTTCTTCCTGCTCTCTATCAGTAGGTTTTACTCTAATAACACCCATCTCTTCCTTTTTCCCTCCCAGGTGTACCTGCTGCAGCCCATAAGCGAGAAGACGAATATAGATCAAGGATTGGTTCCCCCCACTCACCACCTTGTATTAGGACACTGTGTTTGCTTGAGCTGTGTTGAACAGGGAAACGAATGCACTGTGTGCAAAACTTGCATCAAAGACCAGTTTGTGCTCTGCCAATGCCTCTGGAATTTCCCTTTTTGGATGACGGTGGAGTTTTGGGGTGCTGCAATATTTGTGCTCTCCTAGCAGCAAAAGCTTCCTTCACTTATACGATGGTTTGGAGCTGATATTGGCACCAGCTGGGTGCCTTTGGCTGTTTTCCTTTCTCCACAAACACGCACACGTGCACAACAGTTGCAAGAGACCTAATTTCTGCAGCCTCCTGGGATATAGATTGGTTTGTGCAGATGTTTGCTGTCAGAACAGGCCATTCCAACTTTTTTTTATAAAAAAGACTGTCCAATTTGGATAAATAATCTGCACAGCGATTGGAGTTTTCTGCACTGCCTGGCATTGCCATGGGGCATGGCTGGTTTAGAGAGACAGTGTCTTCATTGAACACCAGAGGAGGGGAGAACCTCTGGCCCTCAAGATCTTTCTGTCAGGCCTTTGACATCCTCCTGAAGCCACACACCCCTTGAGTCCCTTCCCTGGGTGAAATGTGTTGTTCAGCAGGGATATAGTGGCTCTTGCTTACCAGGGTGGAGCAACAGGTGTGGATGTGTATATGGGAAAACTTCTCAACATTTGCATGGTTGGAATCTGGCTTATGGTACAAATGGCAGAAGTTATACCTGATGCTTCAGTCACTCTTGCCTCTGGCCCCCCCAGGAGGCTGCTAGTAAGTAAATGTTTCCCCTAAGCCATCTAGGAGACCTCAGGACTGCCTCTTTGACTTAAAACAACAACAATTTTCACAGTATAGCAAAATAGAAAACACCCATACAATCAAGAAGAAAGAACACTTCTCTCAGAAGAGTAAGATAACAAAGGCTAACCAAATGTACCTCACTATACATAGCTGGCCATGTCTTGCTGGAGGATGCATAACTGAAAACATTTAAGATAACTAGGGTTTTTTTAGTTGTACATTCTTGGATTGCATGGGGTTAGACTAGATGACCCTTGGGGGTACTTTCCAGCTTTATTGTTCTGTGGTTCCATATTTCTTTGAAGTTGTTTTCCATTTGTGGTCCATTTAGTGCTCTTAATTGTTGGGTTTGCTTTTCCATAAGAGCTGCTGTGCAAACCTCCTGCTTCCAAACAGCCGACTGTAAATTATCCGAAGTTCTCCAGTTTTGAGCAATCTGTTGTTCAGCTGCCACCAGCAGGGATGGGATTAGTTAGGACCTCCACGTTGGCTGACAGACTGTGTTCTGCCTGTTGACTCTGGAGTTCTTTAGTTCCAGTTCTCTCTCCACTGTCAGCTTCCGCTGACACACCATTTCCTCAACTCTTTGTTGCATTTCTTAAAAAGGCAAAACTAGTAAATCAAACTGAAGATTAAATTGGATCTCTTATTTAAATGTACAGAGCCATATCTTCACTGTATTCTTGTTCCCCTCTCCAAAGCTACGGGGGAATATCCATTGGCCATAACCAGGGTAGACCCATTGACTTCAGGAATTTTATTTATTTCATTGGGTGTCCTCTCAATATGACTTGGCTGGATATCACCCATCATTGCCAACTTTTTCTGCCAATGTTCTTCTGCCCTTTAAAGCCCCTGTACAACAAACAGAGGGACGCGGGTGGCGCTGTGGGTTAAACCACAGAGGCTAGGACTTGCTGATCAGAAGGTTGGCGGTTCGAATCCCCGCGACGGGGTGAGCTCCCATTGCTCAGTCCCTGCTCCTGCCAACCTAGCAGTTCGAAAGCACGTCAAAGTGCAAGTAGATAAATAGCTACCGCTCCAGCGGGAAGGTAAACGGCGTTTCCGTGCGCTGCTCTGGTTCGCCAGAAGCGGCTTAGTCATGCTGGCCACATGACCCGGAAGCTGTACGCCGGCTCCCTCGGCCAATAAAGCGAGATGAGCGCCGCAACCCCAGAGTTGGCCATGACTGGACCTAATGGTCAGGGGTCCCTTTACCTTTACAACAAACAGAAGTCCGGCCTATGATGTTTTCTCCACCAGCATGTCTCCATGCTGGGCAGGGAGGGGACTTCACCAGCTGAATATAAGTTTGTACAGGTGTTAACAGCACAAGGCCCTGTGCGGGAGGGAAATCTGGCAACCTTGAACATTTAGGGTACATGCTAACCTGGAGCATTTGCACTTCAGCCGTTGTGGGTTCTAATGGTCAGGAATCTAGCATGTAAAACTAATGATGTGATGAGAAAATTGTAGCTGTGCTATGGGGCGGGGGAGGGGGGCGGGATTACAATAAATGCATAAAGAAATTTGCATTCTTATTTTGCCTTGGTTATTTTAGTTATTTTTAAATATTGATGAAATTGCACATGAGTTGAAGGAGCAATAGACAGAGGCCTCTGCTCAATGCTCAAATCCTACATCAGTGCTTTTAAGTCAGATTAAAAGAAGCTGCTTTTATACCTGGCCAGAAAAGTGATAAATTTTGCGTTCTATAGGTCTTGTGACAAAACCATAAGCACAGACAATAATAAAATAAAAAAACAAAGCCTCTACTTGAACAAATGGGACCATGTAATGCAAGCGGGAGTATAAATGAGAAGCCTCCATGACTACATGCAGTATATTTAAATTTACTGCTGTTTTGTCTAGTTATTTCTTCCTAATCTTCCTTGCCACCAGAGCAAAAAGGGCCGCTTTGTCAGTCACAACGGTGTTAGAGTCACTCAACCACCTCAGAACCCTCTCTGCCAAGGGGAGGCTGCTTTCTTGAACAAACGGGGTTTAGAAAGCACCTCCTAGGCTCTGTTTGTAATGGACAATATAACAAATAATGAAGACTATATTCTACCTGTGGTTGCCCACATGGCTAGAAACTTGCACAACCTTAAGTACCTGGTGGTGGGTGGCAGCAGCACAGGGTAGGCAGCCCCCCCCCCCGCATTTTAACATCCTAGAATGTCCTAGAGCAACACTGAATGAGCCCAGCCATGCCCAGAAATGCTGCGAGGGTGGACCTGGGGCCTTGACGCATGCAGCTGGGCATCCTGCTTCTTATAACAAAGGCGGCATTTTTTCATCTCCGCCAAGCTAAGCAGTTGGCTCCTTACCTCTCTCGCCCTAACCTAGCCACTGTGATCCATGCAACAGTCACCTCCAGGCTTGATTATTGCAATTCGCTCTACGCAGGGCTGCCCTTGAGACTGAACCAGAAACTCCAGCGGGTGCAGAATGCTGTGGCGAGACTCCTTACGGCGTCCTCACCGTGGGATCACATTCACCTGGTGCTATACCAGCTGCATTGGCTCCCAGTGGAGTTTAAGGTTTAAGATGCTGGTTTTAACCTTTAAAGCCCTACACGGCCTAGGACCCTCATACCTACGGGACCACCTCTCCTGGTATGCCCCGCAGAGGACCTTAAGGTCCACAAATAACAACACTTTGGAGGTCCTGAGCCTCAAGGAGGTTAGATTGGTTTCAACTAGGGCCGGGGCCTTTTCAGCACTGGCCCTGATCTGGTGGAACGCTCTGTCACAAGAGTCTAGGGCCCTGTGGGACTTGACGTCTTTCTGCAGGGCCTACAAGACAGAGCTGTTCCACCAGGTCTTTAGCCAAGGCACAGGCTGACCCCCTCCTTCGGTAATGCTCACAGAACTCTAGCCCAATGGTTGCCATTAATTTGATTTTGAATTGATTTTAGAATGCTGTGTTACTTTTATTGTTGTTAGCCGCTCTGAGCCCGGCTTCAGCTAGGGAGGGTGGGATAGAAATAAACTATTATTGTTGTTGTTGTTGTTGTTGTTGTTGTTGTTGTTGTTAAGTGATAATTCCTTCCCACAGTGGGAACCAGGCCCTTGTCCACAGACTTCATGGTAAAGGAGAATCGAACCCTTGTTTTTTGTTTAATATTTTTATTAAAGTTTTCTTGGTTTACAAAGGTATGCGCAATGTCTCTTTTTTCAAGTTACATTTTCCATAGGTCAATTTCATTTGTTGAGGGTTACATTAGGAAGAAAAAGGGGGGGAGGTTATGTTTCTAATTTGCTTAATGTATGTGTGGGGTTTGGTGCCAGCGTTGCTCGTGCCGGTTCTCTGCTGTTCGCTTGTGTTCCTTTGGTGGTGAGAGAGGTTGGGGTTGGCCTCGGGTGTGGCTGTTCATTTGTGGTTGGCTGTGGTGGTCTTTGTTTTCATGTGTGAGTGGGGTGGGTGGGTGTTTTTGAATCAGGTTAGCCATATTGATTCGTATGCTATTGGTGGATTCTTGTCATTGTCTTGTTGGGCTGTGTATGTGATAAAGGGGAGCCATACCAGGGTGAAAGCGTCTTCTATTTTTCCCCTTGTCAATTTCAGTTTACAGTGGTACCTTAGGTTACATACACTTCAGGTTACATACACTTCAGGTTGTAGACTCCGTTAACCCAGAAATAGTACTTCGGGTTAAGAACTTTGCTTCAGAATGAGAATAGAAATTGCACAGTGGTGGCGCAGCGGCAGCAGCAGGAGGCCCCATTAGCTAAAGTGGTTTCAGGTTAAGAACAGTTTGAGATTAAGAATGGACCTCTGGAACAAATTAAGTACTTAACCCGAGGTACCACTGTACTCTATCGTAGTTATAGATTAGATTATAGATTATGGGTGTAGTGTGGATTTTATCTGGATCCATTTGCATATACAGTGGTACCTCGGGTTACATACACTTCAGGTTACAGACTCCGCTAACCCAGAAATAGTGCTTCAGATTAAGAACTTTGCTTCAGGATGAGAACAGAAATCGTGCAGCGGCGGAGCAGCAGCAGCAGCAGGAGGCCCCATTAGCTAAAGTGGTTTCAGGTTAAGAATGGACCTCTGGAACAAATTAAGTTCTTAACCCGAGGTCCCACTGTACTGGTTAATTTTTCTGGTAGGGCTGTTTCCCAAACTATCCCTTCTAAACGAAAGGAAACTGCTTGTGGTGTCTTTGAGGGAGGTTTCCTGGCCCTTTAAGGTTTCATTCCAGATGGGCACGCCCCCCTTCCCACTGTTGCTATGTACATCTCCTCCACCCTAGTGACAGCGCAACCATTCTGCCTCTGAAAGGGCCCTGGCGGCATTCCCTTTCGACCTCGCCATCCCTGAATCTCCCGCTCTCAGCAAGAGAAAACCCCAGCAACACCAATGGCGCCCAAGAAGAAAGGAGGAGGAGGAGGGCGCAAGAAGGAAGAGGCTGCCAAGGAACCAGAGCTGGATGATGCTATCGTACCTGAGCACAGCCGGGAGTTTTACTTGATTCAGATCCGAGATCTGGAGGGGCGACTAGCCCGGTGGGTAAAGGTGTGTGTGTGTGTGTGTGTGTGTGTGTGTGTGTGTGTGTGTGAAGACTGTATTCTCTGAGGTGTATAGGGAAGGGCAGCTGGAACAGAGCATAGACACCAACTTCCACAAATCTTTGCTATGCATTTGCTCCTTAGATGGGGCATACGGAAAGCATCCCCTTTCTTGGTAGCCAGAGGTACCATCAGGGTAGGATTTAGGGGCTGAAGTATCAAAGAATCAGAGAGCTGGAAGAGACCACAAGGGTCATCTAGTCCAACCCCCTGCAATGCAGGAGTCTTTTTGCCCAATGTGGGGCTTGAACCGACGACCCTGAGATTTAAGGGTCTCATGCTCTACTGACTGAGCCAACTCTACCTGGGGCCTCACTGTGCAGAAGGAGCACACCACCACCACCCCACACACAACTGGAGCAGAGGCTGGATTCCTGCATGCTAAGGTGGTGCCCAATGTGAACCCTACTTGGAGTACACCCATCGTAATGAATGAGCCATGACCACCTTAGGCCCATTCATCTCAATGGCTCTGCTCATGGGTGTCAAGTTAGTTGGTTACAACCCGCTGCACTTGGAATGGGTTCTGGGTTCCTGCCTCTTGACTGATCTTCTTTTGCTTAGGTACCAGAAGAAATGGGACGAGATGCAGGTGAGCGAGGAGATCTTCCGCAATGAATACGAGAAGATGCTCCATGACAACAAGGAGATTGTGTCCTTTCTGAAGAAGACGCTCAACCAGCGGGTCGACGAGATTGCAGAGCTGACGGAGCAGCTCCAGTTACTCCAGCAAGCCAAAGACACAGAGAAGGACGCCTTTGAGGCCCAGCTAGGCCAGCTGAGGCACGAGTTCCAGGAGACCAAGGATCAGCTGACTTCTGAGAATATGAACCTCAGTAAGGCTGCCAGGCTGCTTTTTGGAAAAAGCAAAGGGGAAGGAGGTTTAGGCTCCCCTGCTTAGCTGCACAGGCGGAGTGTGCCTGTGTAGAGCACACTAGAAAGGAATTGCTTTCAGTTGCTTTCCAGGAGAGTGCCTGCCTTGGGTCTGCAGCACTTTAAACTCTATTTTCAGTTAACTGAAAATAACACCAAGCTTCTGAAGCATGCTGAAGGTAAAATCAGAGCATGTAGTTCTGTTGTTCCTAATCTGTGTGTACATAATTCCACAATCCAGGCTGCAAATGCCATTGGCTATGTAGTCAGAAAAGCACCACCCGTGTGCAAGAAGATGTGTGTCTCCTATCAAACCCCCACCTAGGTTGGCACTACCAGGAGCCTTGATGAGGCAGTTGCTTCAGCGGCAGTGAGGGGAGGGGCAGCAGGTTTGGATTTGGGGCCCCACCTGCCTCCCTGCCTTGCAGAGACCTCAGAAGTGCTCCAGGGGACGGCGCCAAGGAGAAGGACGTGGCTGCACCTCTCTTTCTTGCCCCTACTGATACCTCCTTTTAGCAACTGGGCACAAGGAAGGAGTTAAATCCCAAACAGGCTGAGAGGGGTGTGAGGATGGGTGGCAGCTGTCCTGGTGAGTCAGGTGGTCAGGCCAGGTGCAAGACCTGGGTGAGGGCACAAAGTTCTCCATGGCACTCCTGAGGTGAGGTCACTTGGGCGGCAAAAGGGTAGGTAGAGGCAGGCAGACAAGGAGGGGTGGGCAAATGAGTACCACCCTGGCACATGGAGGCTGCCTCAGATGAGCAGCCAAGTTGATCACTTGGCTGCCTGGCTGGGCTCTGTACTTAGAAAACCAAAGGGAAAGAGACAGAGCCCCCGGTTCAGGGGCAGCCTACCTCTGCATAACAGGTTACAGGGATGGGCACTGTTTCCTTGTTCATTTCAGGTAACAAAATATATTGAGCTGGCTATGCTCATACCCTAGTATGATGACTGGAGCCTAAGGGGGTTGCCTAAAGTCAGAATTTCTGGTCGCTAGGTGGCAAGCTGGCTGCCCTGGAGGATTTTAGGATCCACAAAGATGAGATCATGTCGAAGTTTGCCGAACTCGAGGCGCAACTGAAGAAGCAAGCAGAAGACCACAAGGATTACATCTATAACCTGGAGAGGAAAGCTGTGATTGATAAAGAGAGGTGTGTACTGTGGGATGGGGGTGACCAGCTTTCACCAACCTAGTGCCCCCCAGATGCTTTGAACTACAACTCCCATCAGCTGGCTGGGGCTGACGTAAGTTGTAATCTGAAACATCTGGGAGACACCATGTTGGTGAAGGCTGGGATTGACCAAGGGCGCCATTGTGTCAAGTGTTCAGTAGGATGGAACACATGCAGACTACAGGCTTTGCAGACCTGTATTGTTCTTGTTCGTTCGTTCTTTCTTATTTATTTATTTATTTATTTATTTATTTATTTATTTATTTATTTGCAATGACCTCATGGTTCAGCCAACTGGAGCTAGTAGCAATACAATGGCAGAGTAGTGAGGGAAAGAGCTACAGGCAAAATGGCGGGCCCAGGGGTGGAGACATGCTCTGCTGAGATGGCCTGCCTATCCAAACCCAGACATCCCCACTGTGAAACTACAGATCAGGGGTTCTAATGTAACCAAGAATCAGTATATGGAAAGGGACTAAATATCAAGTGGTGTGAGAGACCTGGAGAGCCAGTGCCTGTCAGAGCAGGCATTACCTGGCTTGGTGAAGGCAACCTCTCTTTTTGTTTCTTATTTATTTATTTCACCGGTTGTAAAAAACAAACAAAAACCCGGACAAACCTCAAAGTGGTTTACTACAAAAATAAAGCAGTAAAATCAAGAAAAATGTGTAACCCTACTTTCAAACATATGAAAGTTAAATTATCAGAACAGATTAAAATTACCTCTCCTTTCTAAGCATCTGATTAGGGTTGTTGAAACAGGAATGTTTTTAGCAGGCATTGAAAAGAGTACATTGAAGGCGCCTGCTTAATCTCAAGAGGCAGGGAGTTCCAAAGGGTAGGTGCTGCCACACTAAGCGATTGATTTCTTACAAACACAGAACAGGTATTATGTGGCACTTGTAGTAGTGCCAGTTTTGCCGACTGAAGTGGTCAAGTGGGCACATGTGGGGTAAGGCGATCTCTCAGATAAGCTGGTGCCAAGTTGTTATGGGCTTTATGTACTAATAGTAGCACTTTGAACTTGACCTGGTAGCAAATTGACAATCAGTGCAGACCTTTGAGCACAGCTGTTGTATGCTGACAAGGCCTCACTCCCGTCAGCAACTGTGCTGCAACATTCTGCACTAACTGCAGCTTCCAGATCAAGTGTGAGGGAAGCCCCACACAGAGCACAGTGCAGAAATCCAGGCTTGAAGTAACCGGTGCATGAACTACGGTGGCAAGTCTTTATCGGTCCAGGAATGGCCATAGCTGTTGAAAGGTTACCCACCCCTATTATAGGACAACAGTGTGATTTTTAAAAATGTGTATTTTGTTATTTCCTGGATTGCAAATTCCTTGAATCCTGTAATGCAGAAAAGCATGAAAACAGGCACCTGGTTTGCCATTGTGAGGATAGGATGTTGGCTGAGTTGGGCCTTTGGCCTGATCCAGCACCCTTATGGTGGTACTGAAATCACAAATGAAATGAAATGGCACATGTTGCCTGGGGCAGTAGGATAGATGATCCTTGGGTGCTTTCCAGAGGGCTTCCTACTGGACCAAGGTGGCTCAGACACTGGCCAATCCGCCTTTGCCACCTCCCAGCTGCAAGGCCAGGAGCTGTGCCTACTGCCAGCTCCTTGCTGGGATAGTGAGCCAGTGTGGTGTAGTGGTTCAGAGCGGTGGACTCGTAATCTGGTGAACCGGGTTCGCTTCCCCGCTCCTCCACATGCAGCTGCTGGGTGACCTTGGGCCAGTCACACTTCTCTGAAGTCTCTCAGCCCCACTCACCTCACAGAGTGTTTGTTGTGGGGGAGGAAGGGACAGGAGAATGTTAGCTGCTTTGAGACTCCTTAGGGTAGTGATAAAGCGGGATATCAAAACCAAACTCTTCTTCTCTTCTTCCTTTCTCTCTCTCTCTCTCTCAGGTTAAAGAAGGAGATGATGCACCGTGTGAATACGGTAGCCGCTGAGTTCCGCAAGGTGGCCCACAGCCAGATGGCAGAGACCACTAAGCGCACCATCCGGGAGAATGTCACCATCAGCTTCCAGCTGACCAAGATAACCGAGCAGAGCCTCCAGCTCCTCCAGGAGAACGAACGGCTCAAGGAAGCCCACTCAGAAGCTCTGAAGCAGCTGGAGCTGCTGGAGGAAAACGAGACAAAGATGGCACAGAACAGCCTCAGCAACCAGAAGGTAAGAATTGTCCTTTGCAAAAGTGCAGGGCTGGGCCACAATTTATGCCTGGGGTGGCCAGCATGGTACCTTCTGAATGCTGTTAGACTCCGAATCCAATAACACAGTGGGTAATTCAGAAGTGCATGAAGTTCCCTTCAAAGTAGTCACAACGACGCAACTTCACAGCTGCATCCACTTCTAAGATTATACAATCCTCTTTAAAAGATACAGTCCACTTCTTCATGTGGCATTTGGCTAAACTATGGAGCTTGCTTCCACGGGAGGCAGTGATGGTCGCCAACTTGGATGGTTTTAAAAAAGAACTGGACAAATTCGTGGGGGAGGAGAAGGCTATTGATGGCTTCTAGCCAGGATGGCCACACTCTGCTTCTACAGTTTGAGGCAGTGATGCTTCTCAATGCCAGTTGCTGGAAAGCTCAGGAGGGGAAAGTTGCTCTTGTGCTCAGGTCCTGCTTTCTGGTTTCCCTTTAGGTCACCTGTCTTGGCCACTGTGAGAACAGAATGCTGGAACAGATGGGCCATTGGCCTGATCCTGCAGACTCTTACGTTCTTACAACAATAATACAGTGGTACCTCGGGTTAAGTACTTAATTTGTTCCAGAGGTCCGTACTTAACCTAAAACTGTTCTTAACCTGAAGCACCACTTTAGCTAATGGGGCCTCCTGCTACTGCCGCATCGCCGGAGCACAATTTCTGTTCTCAACCTGAAGCAAAGTTCTTAACCTGAAGCAATATTTATGGGTTAACGGAGTCTGTAACCTGAAGCGTATGTAACCTGAAGTGTATGTAACCCAAGGTACCACTGTAATAACTATCAATGAGAACCTCCATGCACTGCCTTCCAGCTAGATCTACTGTATTCTGATCATGTACCTGGACAAATTATTTGGAGTGCTCCAGTAGCTACAGGTGAAACTCAGGAAATTAGAATATCGTGGAAAAGTTCATTTATTTCAGTAATTCAACTTCAAAGGTGAAACTAATATATGAGATCGACTCATGACATGCAAAGCGAGATGCGCTTCTGCTTCTCAGAGGTCCAGTCTTGCTCTATTTGCAATCCTTGTTTTGCTGATTTCCTTGAATATTCTAATTTTCTGAGATGGTTAATTTGGGGTTTTCATCAGCTGTACGCCATGATCATCGCAATGATAACAAATCAAGGCTTGGCATACAGTGGTGCCTCGCAAGATGAAATTAATTCGTTCCGCGAGTTTTTTCGTCTAGCGAATTTTTCGTCTTGCGAAGCACAAAATCCCATAGGAATGCATTGAAATTCAATTAATGCGTTCCTATGGTCAAAAAAAGTCCAAACAAAGTCAAATTTGGTACAACAAGAGTTTATTAAGTGCTCTTTAAAGTCACACATACTGTAAAGAGCATTTCAAAAATTGAAGGAACAATAAATTAAGTTTCTAAACATGACAGAAAAACATTTAAAAATCAACAAAGTGTACAGTACATTTTCTAAGACTCTGGGGGACAACTCGAAGAAGGTTCCTCTTCCACTCTTTGCTTCTTGCTGAAGAACCCCGTCCTTAACTGTTCCCCCAGCCACCCACCACACAGAAATTCAAATCCAGAATTTTTTTTAAAAAACAGCAGAGTGGCCCAATGGTCACAGAAAATCATAAAAATGCAGAAAAAAACCACACAAGCTTCCAGATTCTTGCAAACCCCTCCTCAACTGTTCCCCCAGCCACCCACAACACAGAAATTCAAATCCAGAATTTTTTAAAAAAAACAGCAGAGTGGCCCAATGGTCACAGAAAATCATAAAAATGCAGAAAAAACACACACAAGCTTCCAGATTCTTGCAAACCCCTCCCCAACACCAAGTCCTTGAATTCCAAACACCCCAACCCAAAATCCAACCCCCGCAAAAAAAAGTTTTAAAAGTTTAAAAGAAGTTTTGGAAAAGCTTCAAAAATCACCAAAGTCTTCAAAAACCTCAAAAAGGCTACCACACCGCGTTCTATGAGTTGCTCCTCGAAGTCAAGTCGCAACTGTATTAACGGTGTTAAGAAATAGGAAACAAACTTGCAAGACGTTTTCGTTTTTCGTCTTGCGAAGCAAGCCCATAGGGAAATTCGTCTTGCGAAGCAGCTCAAAAAACGCAAAACCCTTTCGTCTAGTGAGTTTTTCGTCTTGCGAGGTATTCGTCTTGCGGGGCACCACTGTATCTCGCTTTGCATGTCACAAGTCTATCTCATATATTAGTTTCACCTCTCAAGTTGAATTAGTGAAATAAAGGAACTTTTCCACAATATTCTAATTTTTCGAGTTTCACCTGTACTTTTGGAGTGACTGAAGTTGTGCTTTCCCTGAAATTCCATTGTACGTAACAGAACTTTCACACCATTCTCTTGAAACCAAAGCTCCTTTTGTTTTCAGTGTTGCTAAATGCTTAGCTTTGGAGCATGCCAAACTCCTCCTCCTTTGTGTCCTTCCTGCATACCTTCTCCAGAGTGACCCTGGTGGTCCATCCTCAGTGGCTCCAATCAGCACAAAGGGTGAGAATACTTATTTTCAGTGGTTAGAAAGCTCCCCTTTCATGCTTATTGGGCAGCCTTGGACCATGACACTTCTGTACAATTCCCATCAGCCTCAACCACCATGGTCAATGGTCAGGGATGATGGGAACTGTAGTACAAAACATCTGAAGGACCCTACATTGACTACCCATGAAAATAAAACAGCAGCTGACTCCCATGTTGCATTTTCTGCTCATCAGGAAAACAAGAGCCAGTGACATGATCCAGGGCTGATGCTTTTGTGCACTACTTGAGTAAACCCACCCAGCTAATAATAATAATAATAATAATAATAATAATAATAATAATAATTTATTATTTATACCCCGCCCATCTGGCTGGGTTTCCCCAGCCACTCTGGGCGGCTTCCAACAAAACACTAAAATACAATAACCTAATAAACATTAAAAGCTTCCCTAAACAGGGCTGCCTCTAACATCCCAACCTTGTGCTTCCCATGTTACTAGACTCCAACTCCCATCATCCCCAACTTTGCCCATGCTGGCTGGGGATGATGGGAGTTGGAGTACAACATTACCAGAAGGGCATCAGGTTGTGGGAAAGCTGATATTAGTTACTATATTATTTTCAAATGGTGCTGAGCCTTTCCACACCCAGCTGAAGGCAGAATGCAGGCTGATGATCACCTGTGTATGTGACAGGTATGCTCACATGTGCATGTTTGGTACACAGATGATCTGGATGCTCACCAACAAGTGCAAGGAGCTGCAGGCGCAGGTGGAAGAGTACACGGAGATGAAGAAGGTCATGGCCCAAACGCAGGAGACCAACGAGGTGCTGGAGCAGCAGAACGTGGCGCTAAAGTTAGTACAGGCATCTCTCTCTCTCTCTCTCTCTCTCTCTCTCTCTCTCTCTCTCTCAAGAGTCAGAGTCAGTTTTTTCACTGAACTAACTGCCCAGGCTTCTTTCCTGGTTAGGTGCTGCTGGTTGTTGACTAACTGTCTTGTTCTATTCCTGGCCTGACCTTCTCCTGCCCCACTCAGAGAGGAGCTGACTCTGCAGAGGCAGGAGATGCAACGGAAAAGCAGTGAAGAGGAAAGCCAATCAAAGGCCCTTGAAGAGGAGCATCAGCTGCGGCTGAATGCTGAAAGAATCCTCAGGCACACTGCCCAGGGCCTCAAGGAAGTGCTGCTGGTGAGTGTCTGGGAATATTGGGACACTGTTGGGAGGGTTTTGAGACCTTTTGCCACATTAAGAAAATCCAAGTTGATTGGCCTTATGAGCTTTGGCTCATTTTTATGGGTCAATATTGCATCTATTTGCATTTGAGTTGTCTGTCTCGGGAGACAATGGAGGAGTGCGCCTTTGGGGGTGAAGTCAAACCACTGGAGAGTTACAGCACCTGCTGTGGCTGTGGAGACTGATATGGGAGAGACATGTTTTGTTGCAGCTGGGGCAAAGGAAGGTGTCCAGTTGTGCTGCTGCAGGTGCACCCAGGCATTTTTTTAAATATAATTTTTATTAATTTTCCAATATAAGATTATACAAACAAAACCTCCAATTTATCACCAACATCCTCTTTTTGGACTTCCATCAACATGTCTGGTAATTCTCCGTTTTACTCACTTCCACATTTCTCAATTTAATATTGCACTACCTTAATATCTTATTTTACCTTATTTTTTTAAACAATATTTCTATTATACATTCTCAAAGAGCTTCCTGAAAACTTACAAACATTATCTGATCATCACATATACTTTTCATATAATCTGTAAATTTATTCCAGTCTTCAGTGAATTTCTGGTCTCGTCGGTTCCGGATCCTCCCTGTTAATTTATCAAGTTCTGCGTAGTCCATTAATTTCATTCTCCATTCTTCCATCGTAGGCAATTCTTCTTGTTTCCATTTTTGAGCCAACAAAATTCTTGCTGCTGTTACTGCGTACAAAAACAATTTCCATTCTTTTTTATTAATTTCATTTCCTATTATTCCTAATAGAAATGCTTCTGGTTTTTTAACGAATGTATATTTCAACATTTTTTAAAACTCATTATATATCATTTCCCAAAAGCATTTCACTTTTTTACACTCCCACCACATATGGTAAAATGTTCCTTCTTTTTCTTTACACTTCCAACATTTATTACTTACTTTATACATTTTAGCTAATTTCACTGGTGTTACATACCATCTATATATCATTTTCATCACATTTTCAGGTGCACCCAGGCATTTATTCTCTCTGCGCTCCTCCCAGCAGTCATTCCTTCTCTGGTTACTGCTAAGGATGCACGACCTGTCTGTCTGCAGGCACTGTGGTCGCTTGCAAGTGATTCCCACACGGTGGTGGTGATGTTTCCAGCCTTCATGTCACATTTGCAGAAATCTTTGTAACACAGAGTTGGTTTGCCAACAGGTCTGGTGCCTGAAACCATCTTTCCATAGAGAAGATCCTGCCATCTTCCAGTCTGCAAACAGGATCAAGCTAGTAAAAGCCAAACTGTTGCTAATCTCCTTCTTTGTAGATCCTGCATTGAGCAAGGGGTTGGCTACAATTCTACAAGCTAACCTAAACTGTCTGTTTCCTGTATGCATTTGGGCTGGGCAAACTGGGATCACAAACTTGCCCACTTCAAACTTTGCATTTTATTTGAAGTGTGGGGAACAAATATGGTGGAAATCTAGGGGGGGTTTGCAGCCACATTCTTCCTCTTCACTCCCACAGGAACGCCCATCTGATGAGGATGAGGATGGCCACTTTGATGTGATGTTCCACTTAAGGCGCAATGATGTGCTGCAAGCCACCTTGAATCTCCTGAACAGAAGCATCGCACGCATCGAGGCCAATCAGCTTCTCCGCACTCTCTATGTAGAGAGCAAGGTGTTCAAACCTACCACCACGGAGGGCAGCAGGTAAGCGAAAAGGGGATGAGATCCATGAGGGTTGGGAGGGGTGCCACCGCCTGTTAAAGGTAAAGGTACCCCTGGGGTTGTGGTGCTCATCTCGCTTTACTGGCCGAGGGAGCCGGCGTACAGCTTCCAGGTCATGTGGCCAGCATGACTAAGCCGCTTCTGGCGAACCAGAGCAGCACACGGAAACGCCGTTTACCTTCCCGCCAGAGCGGTACCTATTTATCTACTTGCACTTTGACGTGCTTTCGAACTGCTAGGTTGGCAGGAGCAGGGACTGAGCAACGGGAGCTCACTCCGTCGCAAGGATTTGAACCGCCGACCTTCTGATTGAAGAGCCAGTGTGGTGTAGTGGTTAAGAGCGGTAGTCTCGTAATCTGGGGAACCGGGTTCGCGTCTCCGCTCCTCCACATGCAGCTGCTGGGTGACCTTGGGCCAGTCATACTTCTTTGAAGTCTCTCAGCCCCACTCACCCCACAGAGTGTTTGTTGTGGGGGAGGAAGGGAAAGGAGAATGTGAGCCGCTTTGAGACTCCTTAAAAGGAGTGAAAGGCGGGATATCAAATCCAAACTCTTCTTCTTCTTCTTGATTGGCAAGCCCAAGAGGCTCAGTGGTTTAACCCACAGGGCCACCCGCGTCCCGCCACCGCCTGTTACGTTCTTGTAAAAGGACAAGCAGGCAGAGCTACTTAGTGAAAGGAAGCAATGCAATATAGATACCTGCCTCATAGGAATGGAAGAGGAAACTTGATTCAAATAGCACAGAAAGACAAAACTGCAGAATCCACACTTTCTTCCCCCACCATTAAATTTTTAATATGTATACATAACAAGGGGGTTGGACTATATGAGCCTTGAGGATGCCTTCGAACTCTGTGATTCTAATATCCAAGGAAATAGTCTTACCAAAGACAATAATTCCAGTCTACCCAGTCTACAGCAATCATAGGTCATATGCAAATTCCCAATATAAGCTTAACATTATAGGCACCAATTCTATAGGGCAGAGATGTATTCAGCCCCTGCAAAGTTTGTTGGGATGAGCCCCTTCAATCTGCAGGGGCCAGGTCATGCAGTAACAGCCCTTGCTGAGCCTCGTGGCAGCAGTGGGAGGCCTCAACAAACGTCATGACGCCCATGATGGGAAACCCCCAATGTTGGGTAAAACTCTGTGCCTCTGCTTAGCGTGGAAGTTATCAGTCTACCTAATCGTATCCACAGGCATTCCTGAAAGAGGATGAAAAGGTCTCTCCCCTTTATTAGCGCATGCAAAAAAAGGGGGGGAGCCACAGGTTGCCAAAATTCTATATGCAATGCCTTGATCTGAAATGGCCACTTCCCAAACATTACAAGCCTGGCTGCTGTTAATAAAATGCAGATTGGCTCCTTATGCATATTAACGTCTAATGAGGAGTGCAAGGGCCTGCTCCAAAGATGTACACGTGATTCAAATGTCTCATCCCAGAACTCTCATACTACTGTGTGGAAAGTCATGTATGGAAAAAGGAAGTCACATCACCACACTCCTTCCAGCACATGGGTTTTATTTTTACAAGCCTAGATGGGCTCCAGTGCTGCCTCCGTACAACCGTGAAAGTTGCACTTTCTGAAACAGTGCATGAACCGAAACGCAGCCACTCTTCAAAATTCACGCTTCTTTCAATTCTGCAGGGTAGTTCTCCAGCCAAAAATACATGTTCTAGAAAGAAAAGCGTGTGTAGAAACAGCATATACACCAGCAGAAAGCACATGCACAAAATGAACCCCAGGCCTTGGCTGGGGAGGGCGGGGTATAAATAAAAATTATTATTATTATTATTATTATTATTATTATTATTAGACAGCAGCATTCTGGGAAAACGTGTGGGTTAGGCAGAATTGCATGTAGAAATGTTGAGTGTTAGGGGAAATTGGCTGGAAAATGCTGCTGAATTTCCACAGGAACGTTTTGTAAAATAAATAAGCAAATTCGCAAACTGGTATGGAACTGTAGATATCTGTTTCTCAGCCTCTCTGCTATCAAGCCTTCCCGCATCATGTCGCACATGAATGTTGCCAAGATCCCAGGGACTCATGCTGTCCACAGTATGCCATCTCTGAGCAACGTCTCCCAGGTCCGTGAGGATACTGTCCGGCCGTACGCTAGTGCCACAGAGGTGAGTGGGGAATCAGGACTTATTGGCCCCCAGGTGGGAAGCAATAACCAAAACCTAGGCAACAGCATGGCTTCCAGGAAGCACCTTGCAGAAATGAAGGCTGGAGCAATAATTCCTGACATGCATGGAATTTGCTGCCACCGGTCTATCAGCCAAGGTAGTTGCAAGGATAAAACTGCGTGTATGCCCGCTTGAACTCTTAGGAGAAAAGGTGGGATTTAATTTAATAGTAAACAAACTGTCATGGCTGCTCCCAAAGATTTCTGGGAACCTCCATGTGTTATGGTTCTCTTCCCTAACAAATCTTGGCACCCTTAACAACTAGAGTTTCCAGTATGCTTTGGGGAGAAGCACGACCGTTGAAGTGGTATAATACTGCTTTAAAAATGCACAGTATGGATGTGACCTTACAAGCCTTTCCCTTCTGTTGGGGTGACAGAGCTGTATGGGCTGCACATAGCCTAGTGTTTATTTTATTTTCATTCATTTTCACTTTTCTATCCCACCTTTTATACCCTTTCCAAGGAACTCAAGGGGGCTTGTAGTTTTTATCCTCATTTATCCTCACAACAACCCAATGAAGTAGGGTAGGCTGGCCCAGATTCCCACCATATATATATATATATATATATATATATATATATATATATATATATTTCCAAACCACCCTTGAATTTACTACGCCAAGAACAATATATAAATGAGCCTGATAAATAAAGGTGTCCAGTGCTATTCTGTCGAATCGTTTTGTGGAGAACTACCCTTCTCCTCTGCCTCAGGCACTGAAATGGATTGGGCTGGTCCTGTTTTTTATGAGTACATTTATCCGTGTTTTCATCTGTGAAACTGTGAGGGGTGTGGATTTAACATCCCTAGCCTGAACACCTGCCCTTTCCCCCACAGCCTTTAATAGCAGCATGGAGAACGGAGCTGAAAGAGGAAGAGACCAAACCACAAGAGAAAGCTGTCTGTAAGAAACTGGCTACACAGCAGCCAACGGAGGAATAGTGAATGGAGAAGAAGCAACCCTTTATCCAGTATTCTCATTTTGCATCAGCACCTATCCCTCCAAGAGATAATGATACTCAGGGTGGAATTCTGAGGACTTTTATCCCAATAGGTCAGTGCAGAACTGTCTGAGGAAAGTTACAGAGCCACTGAGCTGCTTTGAGTCAGAAACGGAAAGCAAACAAAGGAGGAGGCACAAGCGGCCCTCTAACCCAACCACGTTCCGAGGCTGGGTGGATTTCCTAGGGCAAGGCCACCACACTGCTCCTGCATGACAACAGGTCTTTGCAAAGTGGGATCCAGCTAGGATAGGAGGCCTGCCGCCTTTCTGGTAGCTGATATATGCTCCCACCTTCTTCTTCCTTTCTGAATTAAAGTGGAAGACACACTTCAACCCTTATACTCAAGGTTTACTCTTTAGAAGTGTGAGGAAACTTTTATTTATGTAGAAGTTAAAGGTAAAGGGACCCCTGACCATTAGGTCCAGTTGTGGCCAACTCTGGGGTTGCGGTGCTCATCTCGCTTTATTGGCCGAGGGAGCCAGCGTACAGCTTCCGGGTCATGTGGCCAGCATGACTAAGCCTCGTCTATGGGTGAGCGCATTGGAAGCTCACAAAAAGCTTTTAAAATTATTTCATTCACGTTTTCTTCATGGTAGCCTGCAAGATGCCCACACTCTCTCATACTACACAGCGTGGGAATTACTAGGCTTGGAGATCTGGGACGAGTAATCATTGCAGCTTGTCATGAGGAGTAGGAGAAGGGAGGGGAACATTCCTCCCCTCCAATGCACTTCCTCCCAATTAAGGTCTTTGTTGCAACAAAAGTGCATTGCAGTGGTACCTTGGGTTACAGACGCTTCAGGTTATAGACTCTGCTAACCCAGAAATGGTACCTCAGGTTAAGAACTTTGCTTCAGGATGAGAACAGAAATTGCATGGCAGCGGCGCAGGAAGCCCCATTAGCTAAAGTGGTACCTTAGGTTAAGAACAGTCTCAGGTCAAGAACGTACCTCCAGAACAAATTAAGTTCTTAACCCAAGGTACCACTGTAATGGTGGAATTATACTAGACTGTTCACACATCATTCTGCCTTATTAGTTGTCCTGCAAAGCTTATGAGATGTTTTTGCATTATTGCAGTCCAGAGGGCCCCTTTTGCACTGCAGCATAACAAAAGCAGGACAAAAACAACAACTTTGGAACATTTGTGGTATAAGAGGTTGCAGTTTTGCAGCAGGAAGCTACATGATGTGCATTGACTGGAAGCGAAACTGTATGTCCACCCTGAAACATTTGCAGGTGTAAACAGCCTTGAAAATGGAATTATGTATAACCACCCTCATACTGTCATGGGCACAAATGATCAGGAACACACAAGAAAAAAATACGACATACGTAGTGGCCCTGTGTCCAAGGAGCTCAGGGCTGAATACTGAGACCGAGTTTACGCGCCCCATCTTATCCTCACAGGAACCCAGCGAGGTGTCTCCGGTGGCACCCAGTGGTCAAGGAAGATGGGAGTTGGGTGACCAGCAATATGTGGCGCGCTTTGGACCCAGTTTGGGCCCGAGTCAACAATTCTTATTCTACACCCTAACCCGTTTTGCTGCCTGCACTTGACTTACCCAGCAAAGACATTGCCTATGACTCGACCCACAGCCTAGACAAGAAAGAAGCATTGCCACAGGTTCAAGGGCAGATTCCAGCCAGGCAAAAACACAAAAGGCAGCTGCAAAGCAAGGGTGGTGTAACCTGGGGGAAGAGAGAGTGGTCTGCAGAGAGGTTCAAGGGACAGATAAAGAGGCCCAAGAGGATTTTGGGACTGAGGATTCCCGTTCCTGTCCTAGGGGGAGCCCTCAGCCAGCTGTATTACTCAAAAGAAGGGTTAATATCTGGGGTTTTCTGAGTGGGAACTTGCTCCGAGGCAGCTGAAAGGCACAAGGGAAAGTGACTCAGAGTGGTAAGTAGTCCACTCCTGTGATAAACTGGTAAATCCCACCCTGACTCAATGTTCCAAGGGGTAGGGGGAATAAAAGAAGAAATTATGCAAATTAAACATGCATTTTCTTATTTTGCGCCATTTGTTCTCCCATCATGGAGGGGCAAGGTACAAAGCAAAGCACTGAAGCCCCCACCCCCCAACTCCAGCTTTACCGAAGGCGAATTAGTAGTGACAACCAGGTGCTTGCTGCCCATGTGATTACAATCCTGGCTTTCATGAGGGCTAGAAGGATTGTTTTTCCCCTGAAAGCTGTGATTTGGGGGATACTCCAGGTAGCAAGACAGTGCATGGTAAGATCACATAAACATGGAATATCCATAGCCTTAGACTTGCTGTTTCTCTGATAACATCCATTTGCTCGGTTCTGGTGGTTTGCCTTCCCCCTCTCAGTTCCCTTCAGGAATCCTAGGCGCTGCCTGCCCATCCTACTCCCAAGTAATTCTGGGTTCAGATGTGTTAACAGGTCACAAGTTCTGGCAATCAGAAGCCCCCAAATACTTTCTTTCCGGGAACACTGGCTCACAAACACCCAAAGCATTCATGATTGCTATGCGCCTTCCATCCCAAGAGGTGTCTTGGCTGGTGACCCAGAAGTGATCCGGGTCCCTGGGCTGCTATTTCTCTGCTGGATGTGTCCCAGGAGCATTGTGACTGCCTGCTCAAAGACTTGCGGTAAGATCTCTTGCTCAGCTCTGGTGAACTTGCCCAATACGTAGTGTTCCACGGCAGCTTCTCCCACTGGGCGGCCGATCCCTATCCTCAGTCGGACCATACGCTGAAGCGGGGAGAGAAAGAGAGAGAGAAAGGGGGGAGTTGGTTTTGTTCTGCCCAATAACATACACCAGAATTGCTGGTGTGGTGCTTACCAGTTATCATGTGTTTGGATCCAACAGCAGATACACCGAACCATGGTTTGCCCTAACCAGTTTCATAACCCAAACCATGGTTATCGCTTCCAAATGTACAACACAGTCATACAACCTACAGTTCAGAACAGCTTGCTTGCTTTCATTTCCCACCTGCTCAGAGCTCTGGTCTTTGGTGTGGCGGCCTCCCAAGGTGAGGCAACTGTTATAACGATTGTCAGTCAATTAAGACAGCACATCAAACCATGGTTTGCAAATTTCAAATACTGGCTTCAGAGTACAGTTTCCCACATGACTGTAAACCATGGTTTTTTATTTGATTTTTGGTCATTTCAGTCATCATGTGAAAAGACTGTTAAGCTTCCTTAACCATAGTTTGCTGTCGTGTCTATGTTGAGGCTGCGTATTTTGAACTGAACAGAAGTGACCCAATTCTTATGGTTTGAGAGTGGCAGCTGACAGTCTTGTTGTTTAACCTGTCCAACCCTCACTTGATGGTGAGTGTGGGGGAGGGGAGATACATGATAGAGGTGTATACGATAGTTCCTAGCATGAAGAAAGTGAAGTGAGAAAGGTTTTTCTGCCTCTCTCACCAAACTAGAACTCTGGTACATCCAAGCAAGCTGAACGCTGGAAGATTCCGGACAGACAAAGGAAAGTGCTTCTTTACACAATACATAGTCCACCTAAGGAATATTTTACCCTAAGAGGCAGTGATGACCACCATTTTGGATGGCTTTAAAAGACACAAATTCATGGAGGATAAGGCTACCAGTGGCCCCTAGCTGTGATGGCTAAGTTCTCTCTCCACTACTTCTGAATGCCAGTGCTAGGAACCGCAAGTGGGGAGAATGCTGTTGTGCTCAGGTTCTGCTTACAGGCTTCCTACTGCAGCATCTATTAGGCCACCGGGAGAGCAGGATGCTGGACGTGACGGGGCATTGTCCTGATCCAGCAGCCAGGCTCTTAAGTTCTTATTATGCCCAAGTACTTTCTGGAGAAAAGCAATGACAAACCTAGACAGCATCTTAAAAAGCAGAGAATGCTGTTGAATTCTGGTGCTGGAGGAGACTCTTGAGAGTCCCATGAACTGCAAGAAGATCAAACCTCTCCATTCTGAAGGAAATCAGCCCTGAGTGCTCACTGGAAGGACAGATCCTGAAGTTGAGGCTCCAAGACTTTGGCCACCTCATGAGAAGAGAAGACTCCCTGGAAAAGACCCTGATGTTGGGAAAGATGGAGGGTACAAGGAGAAGGGGACGACAGAGGACGAGATGGTTGGAGAGTGTTCTCAAAGCTACCAGCATGAGTTTGACCAAACTGGGAGGCAGTGGAAGACAGGAGTGCCTGGCGTGCTCGGGTCCAGGGGGTCACGAATAGTCAGACACGACTATACGACTAAACAACAACAACAACTTTCTTTCCATGCCTCTTCAAATAAGCTTGGGGAGGGGAGAGGAGAGGAGGGATAGAGACCCGGGGGCGAGGAGCAGCTGCTTCTCTCAACCCTGCCCTACCCTCACTCATCTTCCCTGAGAGGCAATTTCCAAAATGTAACCTCCCCTCTCCGCCTCCTCCTTCCCACTCTGCTGTTACCTCTCAGGCAGCACAAGGGGAGTCAGGGGTTGCCTTTACTAATCAGCAGACTATTGGGGCAGGATTGAAGCTTTACTTCTAAGAATTACATAAGAATATAGAAAGAGCCTACTGGATCAGGCCAATGGTCCATCTAGTCTAGCATCCTGTTTTCACAGGGGCTGGACAGATACCTTTGGGAAACCCGCAAGCAGGATGCAAGCACAAGAGCAGCACTCTCATCTCACATGGTTAACTAGGTTAACATAGCTTAACTAGGTGCTGCTTAAAGAAGCACTTGCTTTCATCTGTCCTGAATCTTCCAACATTCTCCTAAGGTAAAAAGGTAAAGGACCCCTGGACAGTTAGGTCCAGTCAAAGGTGACTATGGGGTTGCGGTGCTCATCTCGCTTTCAGGTCGAGGAAGCCAGCGTTTGTCCACAGACAGCTTTCCGGGTCATGTGGCCAGCATGACGAAGCCGCTTCTGGCGCAATGGAACACCGTGACAGAAACCAGAGCACATGGAAATGCTGTTTACCTTCCCACCACAGTGGTACCTATTTATCTACTTGCACTGGTGTGCTTTTGAACTGCTAGGTGGGCAGGAGCTGGGACAGAGCAACGGGAGCTCACCCCGTCATGGGGATTTGAACCGCCGACCTTCTGATCAGCAAGCCCAAGTGGCTTGATGGTTTAGACCACAGCGCCACCCGCTTCAATTCACAGGTGTTTGCCCTGCAGGTGCTCTGCTACTGAGCTTCAACACTTCTCTTGGTAGGGTGCCTGCATTGCTGTAATTTCAGGACAGGCTTTGCCTCCCACCTATCGTCTCATACTTTTAAGGAATATCTGAAGTCTTTTTATTTGGTTTTCTGAGGCTGTTGTATTTTGCTGCTTTCATTTTTATTTTATTTTAAAGCACATAGGCTTAGATTTAGATAAAGATTATTGTGATTTGCTCGCCTTCAAGTTATTGGGAGCCATGCTCAAATCTTCACATAGGAATCCCTGAATTAAAAAATGAAAACCATCTTAATGTGAATCCTATCAACAGAACATTGTTTTCAAAGTCATTTGTGGCAAAATAGAGGGGGAATTCAACTCCTATATGCAAGCTAAAAATAAATAAATGAGTCAGATAGACGAGAAAGCAAATCCCTCAGAAACCTGATGAAGTCAGTCAAATATCTGACAACTGGTATTAGAAGTAACAAGCTTTCAAGCCAACCCAACAGTCTTGAATTCATCCCATCTTTAAAAAGACACCAATAAAACAATAAAACCAGTATGGTCCAATAAAGGACTGGTTACAAAATTGGATTTTCTTCCTATGATAGGGATTGTGAATAACTCCTCTATACAGTTGTAGGATCTGTTATTCTCTCTGGTAGCGACTCTGTGGGTTTTGCAAGCTTGCAAAGTCTCCTCCAGCCTTTGCCCTTTGGCTAGACATAAGACAGCAATCCACGAAGGCCGCAATGTTTTTTAGTTTGGCGTCCTGGGATTGCAGCCAGCCATCTGCTTCCAATTGAATAACCTCCTCCCTCCACCACCCCCGGCCTGGGGCCAAGCATGAAACATGCAAGGGTTCTCGCCCGGTGTAAGCTGAGCTCCAGACAGACACAGCTGCTAATATGCGAGAATCCCATCCTTGGATGACTACCAAGACCCCATGTCATGGTAATAAATGAAGATCGGTCCTCTTTGGTGGTACGCGGGTGAACCAAAGCGGCAACTCACATCGGATTTCAGGGACTTGATGCAGGAACGGACTCCGTTATGACCTCTGAAAAAAAAGAAGCAAGGCATCTAAGCCTCCGGTCAGTCTCTCTACAAAGGAACCCTACTCCTGACAGGGGCCAAGAAACATTTACTCAATGGTCCAGATTGCTTTGCAAGTCAGATACTCATCCTCTCGGCCAGAAGATTCCCAAAAACGCTGAACAAGCTGTTTGAGGACAGGGGTGGCTGTCCTTTTCCTAAGAGAGGCATTGTTCCTTGAGGGAGCCATCTAACAGTGCAGAAGTTTAACAGCTGTGGGTGGCTTCACTGCCTCTTCCTGTCAAAAAAAAGGCACACTGGCAAAATTTATACTTTGTCCCGTGGCTGCCAAGAGACAGAATCCCTTGTCAGAAACAAACAGTGGAGGCTGGTTGGTTTGGGCAAATGGGGCACGGCCCCATGAACCTAGGCATGCCCCATGCCAGCCCCTACCTACTTACCATCTTACAACCAGTCTAGGGGGCAGCATGGCTGGTCAGTTTCTTCCTGCTTAGCCTCACTTTTGTCCTTGCAGAACTCCGGAGGGAGGAGGATGGGGATGAAATTAGAATTAGCTGTCACTGCACTGGCACCATCCACTGCTGGCCTTTGTGTCCTTCCAGATATTGCTGGACTCCAGCTTCCACCATCCCTGGCCACGCTGGCTTGGGCTGATGGGAGTGCAGCAGCATCTAGACCAGCCTTTCTCAACCTGTGGGTCCCCAGATGTTGTTGAACTACAACTCCCATCACCCCTAGCTAGCAAGGCCAGAGCTCAGGGATGATGGGAGTTGTAGTCCAGCAACATCTGGGGACCCACAGGTTGAGAACCACTGATCTAGACGGACATACAGCTTCTCTATCCCCACACTTTTCTCATCCAGAAATCAACATCAGTCCCCCATCTGCACGCACTCCACTGATCTCACACACATGTTGATCTTCCCCTTTGTATTAAAACAGGTTAATTCTGTGCCCAGGCCAATTGGACACAGCTCCATCTACCTGCCTGCGCACTGTCTCGCCAGACTGGTGCATGCCCTGGTTATCTCTCATTTGGACTACTGCAATGTGCTCTATGTGGGGCTACCTTTGAAGGTTACTTGGAAACTACAACTAATCCAGAATGCAGCAGCTAGACTGGTGACTAGGAGTGGCAGCTGGAACTATATACCGTATTTTTCGCCCTATAGGACGCACTTTTTCCCTTCCAAAAATGAAGGGGAAATGTGTGTGCGTCCTATGGGGAGAATGCAGGCTTTCGCTGAAGCCTGGAGAGCGAGAGGCATCGGTGCGCACCGACCCCTCTCGCTCTCCAGGCTTCAGGAAGCTATCCGCAAGCCTTGCGCGCCTGGGGGGAGTTCCTGCGGGCTCGCAAGGCTTGCGAGCGGCAGCCTGCAGCCCGGAGCACGGGGCGCCCTCCGGAGGATGCCCCGTGCTTCGCGCAGGTGTCGGCAAGCCTTGCGCACTCGGGGGGAGTTCCCGTGGGCTCGCAAGGCTTGCGAGCGGCAGCCTGCAGCCCGAATTACAGGGCGCCCTCCGGAGGACGCCCCGTGCTTCACGCAGGTGTCCGGAAGCCTTGCGAGCCCGGCGGGAGTTGCCGCCGGGCTCACAAGGCTTGTGGATAGCAGCCTGTTCTGGGGGCTGGGGGGGGGGATAAATTTTTTTTATTCATTTTCCCCCAAAAAACGAGGTGCGTCCTATGGGCAAGTGCACACTATAGAGCGAAAAATAAGGTAACACCGGTCCTAAAGTATCTTCACTGGCTCTCAGTGTGTTTCCAAGCACAATTCAGAGTGTTGGTGCTGACCTGTAAAGCCCGAAATGGCTTTGGCCCTGTAGCCCTCAAGAAGGGTCTCTACCCGCCCCCTCGTCCAGCCTGGACACTGAGATGCAGCTCTGAGGGCCTTCTGGCAGTTCCCTCACTGTGAGAAGTGAAGTTACAGCGAACCAGGGAAAGGGCCCTTTTGGTATTAGCACTCACCCTGTGGAACGCCCTCCCATGAGATGTCAAGGGGATAAATAATTATAAAAATTTTAGAAGACATCTGAAGGCAGCCCTGTATAGGGAAGCTTTTCAAAGTTTAATGTTTAATGATGTTTTTGTATATGTTGGAAGCTGCCCAGAATGGCTGGGGCAACCCTGTCAGATGGCTGCGGTATAAATAATAATAATAATAATAATAATAATAATAATAATAATAATTATGCACTCTGTACATAGGGAGCGCCATAATTATGAAGAATTACCTTGCGCTGCCTCCCAGCTTCAGGGCGACCTTTCCCAAGGACTTGTCCAGGTCATCATGAACTAGGTAAATATCTTCAGCGCCCAGGTTGAATATCTCCGCTTTAAAAGAGAGAAAAAGTTCGAGGAGGTTCAGTCAGATGGGGAGCCTAGATCTCTACTTGGCCAGAAACAGATGCAATGCAGTCCAGAAGCAGCAGGCGAGGCTCGTTGAGGACAGGAGTCTGCTCTGCCTCACATCAGCGAACAAGCAACAGAATTTGCAAGTACAGATGTCCTCCCACCAGCTTTCAACAGACCATTAATAACAAGGATGATGGCAACTGTAGTCCAGAAACATCTGGCTGGCATAACAGTGCCTATCACTGCCTTGTACTGATGGGCCACCCTGTCAGTCTTCTGAATTTATGCTTCCGACCAGAGTAAGAGAGAGATGTCTTGAACCAGTGGTTTTCAACCAGTGTGCTGTGGCATCCTGGGGTGCCTTGAATGAAGGTCAGGGGTGCCACAGTCAACACTGGCCTCTGTTCCTCTTTCCTTTTCTCCCCCTTGTGATGCCTCTTGTGACTCAGCCTCCCAAAGATTTGCACAGCCTTGGCTACAAACTCCTCAGGTGAATGGTGACCAGGGGGTGCTTCCAAAGCCCCCGTGGGGCAGTGTTAGGAGGTACCTGTCATGGGGGTAGGGGGCAGCTTAGAGACCAGGGGCTGCGGGAGCAGCAGCAAGGAGAGGGCAGAGGACAGGAGGCTGAGGGACATGCCACAAGGACATGCCTCAAAAGAGGACCTCTGTACTTGCTCCTCTCTTAAAGCCCTCATCTCCGTGTGTGAGAAAATCTCTTTCAAGGCTAACACAATGAACAAATAGCATTTCTAGATGAAAGCTCAATATTTGGCCAGCTACAGTCTCTTGGTATTGCAGGAACCGGGGTAGCTTGCCCTCTACTGGGCAGAATAAGAACAACACAACCTGCGGCACAGAACGCAGATGGGAAGTTTGTGGCCCTCCGGCTACAGAATCATAGAATCGTAGAGTTGGAAGGGACCCCGAGGCTCACCAAGTCCAACCCCCTACAATGCAGGAATCTCAACATGTGATCCTCCATCCAATTTGAAACCACCACCGGACCCTGCTTAGCTTTGCAAACACTCTAGCAGTTTTATTAATGCAAAACTACAGTGGTACCTCGGGTTACATACGCTTCAGGTTACATATGCTTCAGGTTACACACTCCGCTAACCCAAAAATAGTGCTTCAGGTTAATAACTTTGCTTCAGGATAAGAACAGAAATCGGGCTCCGGCAGCACGGTGGCAGTGGGAGGCCCCATTAGCTAAAGTGGTGCTCAGGTTAAGAACAGTTTCAGGTTAAGAACGGACCTCCAGAACGAATTAAGTACTCAACCCGAGTTACCACTGTATTATTAATTTCCATCAGCACCAACCAGTACAGCCAATGATCAGTGATGATAGGAAATGTGGTCCAACAACATCTGGAGGACAACAGAGCGGCCATCCCTGATGTGTTGGACTCAATAGAGTTTACGTTTCCGGGTATAATTCAAAGTGTTGGTGCTGACCTTTAAGTCCCTAAACGGCCTCGGTCCTGTATACCTGAAGGAGCGTCTCCACCCCCATCGTCCAGTCCGGACACTGAGGTCCAGCGCCAAGGGCCTTCTGGCAGTTCCCTCACTGTGAGAAGCCAAGTTACAGTGAACCAGGCAGAGGGCCTTCTCAGCAGTGGCACCAGCCCTGTGGAACACCCTCCCATCAGATGTCAAAGAAATTAAAAACTATTTGACTTTTAGAAGACATTTGAAAGCAGCCCTGTTTAGGGAAGCTTTTAATATTTGATGAATCATTGTATTTTAATATTCTGCTGGAAGCCACCCAGAGTGGCTGGGGAAACCCAGCCAGATGGGCGGAGTATAAATGTTGTTGTTGTGTGTTGAAGTGGGGTTCAAATCCCAGCTCAGCTATGAGGCTGAAGAAGTGGCTTTGCATTGCGCCCCCATCTCTCATACTACTTTACCCCACGAGGTTGTTGGGAGGATAAAACAGAGTAACTCCATAGGTGCTGGAGGGCAGATAAATAGAAATAAATAAAAGATGTCTGGTAGTCTCATGTTGAAGAGAAAATTTTAGGTAGGTAGTGGGAAGCGCTGTTCTTCCTCCTAACAGACACACGCCAGCCTGGAGCAGAATGGCACTTGCAGCTGGACTCATACATGGGGGGCGGGGGAGGCGCACAAACATGTTTCCATTCTTCTAGCTGGACCTCACCTTGACAAGTGAACAAGCAGGAGAAGTGAACTTGCTGCCTCCTCACTGGCTCCTGCTGACGCTCCCAATAGGAGGTGGGAAAAGAGCATATTAGGCTTAATTTCTAATGGAGGAGGCAGGTGAGTTGGCTGGAAAGGCAGTGGAAAAGTGAGCTGGCTGGCTCAATAGCCAAATCTTGGAGGCTTGAAGGACCCCAGAAATCTCCTGCTCTGAAAGGTGCCCCCAAGTCCCACACCCAAGCTTGGTGGCTCACCTTGGCTCATAGTGGGGTCAGCTCTGCTTCCAGGTATGAGCCAGAATACCTCCGCTTGCATTCTAGGCAATGAGGATGCCTTACTCTCTGCTGATGCACTTGGGGAAACTCGTGGCCCTCCCTGATGTGGCTGAACTGCAACTCCCATCAGCCCCAGCCAGCATGGCCAATGGCTGGGGACAGTGGCAGCTGTAGTCCAATGGTACCTGGAGGCATGCAGGTTTCCGACCTCTGCTCTGCTGGGTTGAGTAAGAACCAGGGTCCCTATGGGTGGGTCTCCCCTCATGTCAGTTTCTACCTGTCTGCCATGCAGGCACATGGGCTTTACTGAGGGAGGGCAAGACGAGTTCTGCTGCACAGGTTAAGGAAAATAAAAAGGTTGTTTCTTACCAGCGCTGACTACGCAACGGCCGTTGATGTTCATGAAGCTACGGGGTTTCATCAGCACCAACTCCACCTCTCCCAGGCTGGTGAATACCACATCCGCACAACAACGCTTGTCCTTTCTCCACTGGTCAGCCATGCTCAGCTTGGTAGCCAGGTGATTAAGGACAGCCATGCCCACACTATGGCGGGTGCCACACAGGCCATGATTGCCCAGTCCTGCCACCTGCAAGTGAGACCCGTCAAGGACAGTAAGCAGGAAAGCTGGCTCAGTGTGCAGGGAAAAGGTAAGGTGGTGAATAGCCAAAGGCACCTTGCCAAGAATGGGGAACCTGTAGTCCTGCAACGGTTATTAGGCTATGGCTCATACACACCATACATTTAAAGCATACATCCTTTCCCTCAAATCCTGGAAGCTGTAGTTTGCACCTCACAGTTCTACAATTCCCAGCACCTTTTAAACAAACTACAATTCCCACAATCCTTTTTTTGGGGGTGAGAGGTTTTAAATGTATGGCATGTGCACAGCCACAATCATCTATCTTTGGGGCTTATGACAGTCCAACTGCATATCTAGGGCCACAGGTATCTGAGAAGCACCACCTCTCTGATTTATTGCAGCAGAGATGGCAGTCCAGTTCGAGAACAGAAAATAAGAAAACCTATATATAAGCTTTACATGAACATCAGCATGGAGGATATTCATACCCAGCATCCCTCAGCTGCTGAAGATGCTGCTTTTCTGAATATTCTATAACCACTACCTCGGCTACTACAGCAGCCCTTGATATGCGCCAGGCGTAGCTGTCAACATTTTCCTTTTTTTAAGGGAAATTCCCTTATTCCGAATAGGATTTCTCGCAAGAAAAGGGAAAAGTTGACAGCTATGGCACCAGGGCAGCAAGCAGGAGGACTTTGGTATTTATTTATTTTTTACCACTGTAATAAACATAAGTACGGCTGTGTATGTGACACAAGCAGGCAGACACACGCTGCCTCATACTGCTGAGTAGCAATCCCCAGATGTCCAATTTGCTTTTATTTCATTCGCCTCTCGATACTTCCGCCACCCTTGCCCCGCATATGGAGGGCTGTCCTACGCAAAGTCGGAAGTGATGTGTGAACCGGACGCTCTCCCCTGTCTCTTCATTCGACTGTATCCCTGACTGCTTGAGACCCCCCCACTTATAACCCGGAAGCAGTTGCCCTGAGCAGGAAGGAACATCCCCAAAATACGTCGTCTTCTCCCCCCGCTCCCCGTCCCCCTTACCAGCACCCGCTTCCCAACGGCTCGCAGTTCCTCTTCATGGCGATTCATAGTCCAACTAAGGAGTTTCTGAAGGGGCCGGAAAGGCAACATCAGCCTCCCCCCACCTCCTTGCCGGAGACGCCCCTGATGTTACACTTCCGGTCCTCGCCTCAGTCTGAGGAGAACGCCGGCTCACCGCCTTCATTTGTCAGTGTGACGCCATCCACGCCTGCGACCTATCGTAGAAGTCCGGGCGTGAATACGTCACTAGGTGGGCATTGAAGAGTTCTACGCCATCTTTCTTGTGGGCGAAAACTCGCACAAGCGACTTTACGCCACCGCCTTTAACAGACATACAGAATCTTTGGAACTGAAGTTTTTTTAAAGGTTGTTGGAAACTGTATGTCTCAACAGACCGCGGTTCCTAGGATTCTTTGTGGGACGCCACGACTATTAAAAGTGGAATGAGACGGCTTTTTAAAAAAATAGTTTTTATTGATTTTTACATTTTTATCTTCATCACAATAGCATCATCTCAAATATAAACACAAACCCAAATAGCCCCCTCCCCCCTACGACTTCCCTCAACTTCCTCTTCTGGTTTGTTGCATAATAATTTCCCCTGCTTTTTGGTTATATCTTAATATTGTATTCTCTAAATTAGATCCTTTCTTTATTCTGTTTGGTAAGTCTTTAGTCAAATCCCGCTAGTGAGCTCATTTCTTTACAGTATTTCTGTAAATAGGTGGTAATTGGTTCCCACTCCTTTTTGAAGTCTCTGTTATCCTTAGCTCTTAATCTCTCAGTTAATTTTGCCTTTTTGGTGTGCTGTAGTCCATAAGTTTGTCTTGCCGTTCTTTAGCTGGCATCTTGTCGCTTTCCCACTTTTGGACTAGCAGTATCCTAGCCACTGTGGAATGAGAGTGTTTTCAATGTATGGCGTGAATGTGATCCTTTTAGGGCCCACTAACACCTGGAGGGCAAAGCAGTTACCAGGTGCAAAACTGAGAACTGCAGCCAGGAAGTGCTGGTGGAAGATGAGAACTTGTCACTGTTGATTGCAAGATAATTAAAAGCAACAAAAAGTTACATGGCACATCTAACTACCTTTTTTAATTATGTAGGATTTGTGGCATGTAAATGTTAATGATAAACAGTGCATTTTTTTTTTAAATAGAAAAAGGGTGCCACTGCGTATTCTTGAGTACCCCCAGAAAAAATCAAGCTGCGCCGTACAGCCAAGGCACTGTGGAACTTGCCGAGGCAAGATGTGATGGCTAAAAATCAAACCTTTTAAAGGGGCCTGGACAAATCCATGAAACGATAAAAGACTATCAACATTTACTAACCCCCATGTCTGAAAATCCTAGAGAGACAAAACTGAGGGCTCATTCAGATTTCCTTTTGTGCTGTGTTTCTAGGCACTGACCCATGCTTTAAAACTCCACATCCAAGTGGTTTTGTTTTGTTTTCCCAGGAAAATCTGCATTTTACAGCAATTGGGTCTTCCACAGATTGCTGTTTGGTCCAATTCAATGGTCAAATGCAGGTTTTCCAGGGGCAACACAAAACCACATGGGCCCACGCCTAGAAAGCACAGGACAACTGGAAAACCGTTTTTCGTTGTTACGAAAAGGCTGGGCAGATTCCCCCCCACCAGCCCAAAAATTAGCAAACAAAACAAATGATTATAATTACCACCGTCTCATACTGCAAATCGAGTCAGGACACACACAAGACCTAATGCTTGGGAGATCATGGACTTTCTAACGTGTGGGTGTGGGTGGGTGTGACAGAGAGAAAGAGAAAAGAAAGAAAGAAAGAAAGAAAGCAGGTCAACGGTCTTTGTGCATGTGTAGCAAAGCATATTCACACAACCTCAGAGCACCGAGAAAGACGTGAGGATGCTCAGATTCTTATCTGGCTCCCCCTAGTGGCAGTTCTAGGAACAGCAGCACCTGAAGGGTTGTTTGCTTTTGTGTTTGCTTAGCAACCGGAGGACTTGGAGATCCAGGAGGCAGGCACGATGGAGTGGGATGAGGAGGAGGAGGAGAACGAGAAAGAGGCACAGGAGGTGAAGGTGAGACAGAAGCAAACAGCAACCTAGCAGAGGGCAGCTGGGGAGGCACTGGAGTAGATGAGAGACCCAAAAGAATGGTGTTCCATCCTGCAGTCATGCAGAAAGGTCCCAGATTCAATCTTTGGTATCTCCAGGTGAGGTTGGGAGCATGGGCATAGCCAGGATTTATGTTAGGGTGGGGCAGAACCGAGTTATCTGTGATGCAGTTGGTCAGTTAGTTATGTATTTTTGTTTGTTTACTTGATTGCCCCCCTGGCTACGCAAATGGCTGGGAGTGACCCTTATCCAGATCCCTGGACAGCTGCTGCCAGTCAATGTAGACATTACTGAGCTAGATGGACCACGGGCTGCCTAGGTGTAAGGCAGCCTCCCAGGTTGCAGGGCTTCATTCATTTTGTGGTTGTTCTTTCTCCTACAGGAAGTGAAGATGTCAACAGTCTACCTGGAGTTCTTCCCTACTGCAGTCACTGAAGAGAAGCTTGAGGAAGCCCGGCAGAGAAAGATCAGTCGCATTTTTGGGGCTGCTAAGACCTTGCAACATGTTAAGAACCCCAACAAAGTGGGGACTTTTGAAGGGATCCTGCAGAACAAAATAGATGAGCAGTGAGTGCTGTCGCCCATCCTCCGTAATAGCACGTGGTGTTCTCACGTTTAAACTAAAACACGTTTTACCCAAGCAGATAGAAGCCTCTCCTTTATACGTGGTTCAGTTTGGGCACAACACCAAATTATAGTTTGCAGTCAGCAGGCAAACTAGAATCAGAAACAATTGTTTGCAGTTGGTTTCTAAACCATGGTTTATGTTGACTATGGATTGGTGTGATTTTATTTAATTAATTACATCTTTCTTCCAGGTTGTTCAAGGTAGTTTGCATGGTTTCCTTTCACCATTCCTCTGCTTTTGCCTTGCAAAATCCCTGTGAAGTAGACTAGGCAGAAAGGTGGTGACTAGTCCCAGGTCACTCAGCCTTCCCAGTGCTAACTGGACAGTCTGATTCAGCTGTCCCCAACCTGGTGCCCTCTAGATGATGCTGGACTCCCATCAACTTCCCGTCAGCCAGAAGGCTGGGAAGATGGGAGTTCATAGTCCAAAAATACCCAGAGGGCTATTGTAGGAGCTGGAACCATGTCGTTGGACTCTGCATTCCATCAGCCACAGCCAACATGGCCATTGGCCAGAGATGATGAGAGTTATATTCCAGCAACATCTAGAGCAGGGGTAGTCAACATTTTTATAACTACCACCCACTAATGCATATTTCTTGATGTAAAATTTCCTTACCACCCACCAGTGCTCGATGGAAGGATTCAGCTTGTGCCATAGAACCCCCTACCGCCCACCTAGAATCCTGAAACGCCCACTATTGGGCAGTAGGGACCAGGTTGACAGCCCCTGATCTAGAGGGCTATGTGTTCCTCACCTCTGATATAGATTGAGTCACAGAAATTACTGAATAGCTTTATGGCTGAAGCAGACTATAGTTCTTTTCAGGCTCTTCAAGATGGCTTCTAGTCAAGAAGTGGGTGGTATGTTGCTGCTGCTGTGTTGCTGCTGCTAACAACTGTGGCTTTCTCTCTTTTTTTGCGTCTACAGTTGCAATAAAGGCGAAGAATACTTCTCTCAGAGAGAGTGGGAAAACGCTATCACCTGCTATACCAAAGCCCTTAACCTGGATCCTAACAAGGTAATAAGGTAGAGTTGAGAATTTTTCAGGCTCACAAGACCGTCTACTGAATATAAGAGCCGTGCTGGATCGGACCAGAGGTCCATCTGGTCCCACATCCTCCTCCTCACAGCATTGAATAGGGTTCCTCTTAGAATATGGTTACCAGATTTTTTTCAATGAATCTGAGGACACTTTTTTTTTTGAAGCTGAGTAGCAACAGGGAGTCAGTAGTGGGGATGGTGAGGCAAAAGACCCTTGGCCCAAGAACATGCCTATTGTATAAAGGTGCAAAGCCCTTCTTTTGCACCGTGAAACATAAATGCACAGAGTTTTTGAAAAACTGGGCAATGGCGCACCACCCACCCATGACTCCCAAGCCTTCCCCGATCTCCTTCCCCCTTCCTTTTGACAGATCAGGGGAGGCTTGGGAGTCACGGGCGGACGGCCATTGCCCAGGAGGGGCCAGCCTGGTTGTGCAGTTGGCTCTGGCTGGCTTCAGGAGTTGCTCTCTGCTCACTGCTGTGGCGCAGGAAAAATGGCGGGCACCACGGCAGCAAGCAGCTCCTGAAGCCAGCCAGAGCCAACTGTGCTAACAGGCTGGCTCTGGGCTGCTGAGGCTGCTGCTGCCACGTTTCCTGGGGACAGATTTGCAAATCTGGGGACTGTCCCCTGGAACCGAGAACGTCTGGTAAGTCCATGAGCAGAACATGATCACAACAGCAGTCTCTTCACTTGTGAGTTCCAGCAGCTGCCATTTGGAGGTCTTCTGCCTCTAATATACATCCATTGTAGCTAGTAACCATTGGAAGCCTTCTTCTCCTTGATAAGGCTACCCCCTCATGTGCCAAGGGAGCCATCCACAGTAGATAATTCTGGGCTAGGTGGACGTGGCCTGAAGCTCTCCACCCTTGCTGCAAAACCCAAAGCTGAATCTGTCCCAGGTTGCCCAGACCAGGAGCAGACGTTTGTAATCTTTCGTAATATTGTGCCATGTGCAGAGCCAAAATTTGGCACCCCCAAATAGATCTTCTCAATTATGGATCTCTTCAGTTTTGCACCCCCTCAACCTGGCACCCTGTGCATGGGGAACCACTTGCGCTGTCCTAAATTTGGCCTTGCCCAGACCAAATTGGCATGCACCCCTACTCCCAGTTGCTGAAAAGAGAGGTTGCTCCCGAGAAGTCTCTAAGACAAGAGCTCCTAGGTAACCTTCCCTTTCTGGGAGGGAGAAGCGTCTGCCAGGTAAGAGGCTGAGCCTTGTGTTCCTTCCAGTCTGGCATTGGGGAGGAGTTGGGAAAAGCAGGACAGATCTGGATGTGGCTACCCTTGGTTTGTGTGTTGCATCTGGAAGTGTAGGGGGTTTTGACGCCCACAGACAGTCCTTTTCTGCAGGTAGAACTGTATGAGAAGAAGGCAGAAGCTCTTCTCCAGCTCTGCGACTTCCAGTCTGCTGCATTACACCTCCAGAAGGCCTATATAGTGTCATCACATCAGGAGGACATCGGATGCCGCTTTGCTTTCATTTTTCACCTCCAGGTAAACAGATAAAGATCAGCATCCCTCCACAGCTCACTCAGTGCTTCCCTGCCACATCTCTGCGTCCCCTCCTACAAATGTATACCAGCATCACAGTATTGGTTTCCCCCACCCAGTGAGGGAATCACATAATTGTGGTTTGACAAAAGGCTTGTTAGATGACGCTGTTTCACATGCAAAAGCAGAGCCAGAGTTGCCCAGTGAACCAGGGAAATGTGATTTCAAATCCTGACTTCAGACATGAAGCTAACTGGGTGACTTTGTGCTGGCTGGTGTTCATCATTTACACCTTCCTTGCCAAGTCATTATGAGGTTTAAATTGTGTGTGTGTGTGTGTGTGTGTGTGTGTATCCTGTGTTTGATTTTGGATATGAATATAATCGATAGAGAATTCACAGAGTTTTTGATACCGTGCTTTTCATTTCTGGGGGTGGTAATATTGTTTATTTCTGGGGACTGTAATATTGTGTAATACTACTTATTTTCTGATATTTGCATCCTGGCTTTCTTCCATGCTGGAACTCAGGTTCAGTGTTGAAGCTACATACACCACAGTAAGGTAAACTCTAATTTAGGCTCGTCGTACACCCGGAATTTCCCAGACATACCCAGGATTCTGTCTTCTGTAACAGTGCCCGGGCGTATGGCAACCCATGTCGGAAGTGTAGATTTTTGTGTCCAGATTTTCACTTTTTGGCAAGGAAGCTAGCTTTTCCGGGTCATGTGGCCAACATGTCTAAACCACTTTTGGTGCATTGAGGACCGTGATGAGTGCCAGAGCATGCAGAAACACTGTTTACCTTCCCGCCACAGCGATACCCATTTATCTACTCGCACTTATATGCTTTCAAATGGCTAGGTTGGGAAACAAAAAAATAGGACATTTTGTAGGCCTCGCCTGCTCTTATTCCCTAGTATTTGATATTCAGAAGCCTGCAGTGAATTCTGATTCTGGAGGTAGCTTATAGCCATTGTGATTAGTAGCGTTGAAAAGCTTTATTCTCCTCCATGAACCTGCCCATTTCTCTCTTAAAGCCATCTAAGTTGGTGGCTTTACCTTGCCGACAAAGGTCCGTATAATTAAAGCTTTGGTTTTCCCAGTAGTGATGTATGGAAGTGAGAGCTGGACCATAAAGAAGGCTGATTGCCAAAGAATTGATGCTTTTGAATTATGGTGCTGGAGGAGACTCTTGAGAGTCCCATGGACTGCCAGAAGATCAAACCTCTCCATTCTGAAGGAAATCAGCCCTGAGTGCTCCCTGGAAGGACAGATCCTGAAGCTGAGGCTCCAATACTTTGGCCACCTCATGAGAAGAGAAGACTCCCTGGAAAAGACCCTGATGTTGGGAAAGATGGAGCGCACAAGGAGAAGGGGATGACAGAGGACAAGATGGTTGGACAGTGTTCTCGAAGCTACGAACATGAGTTTGAGTAAACTGCGGGAGGCAGTGGAAGACAGAAGTGCCTGGTGTGCTCTGGTCCAGGGAGTCACGAAGAGTCGGAAACGACTAAACAACAAACAACAAGTTGGTGGCTGCCACCACATCTCATGGCTGTGAAGTTCACGGTTTTAAGTATGTGCTGTTTGAAGAATCAACTTTCTTTTGACTATGCTGACTCTATCTCACAGTTCCTGTTAATTTCATAGTAAAAGTCTATGAAAAGCCAAAAATCTCCTCAAAACAACCTTGTGAGGTAGATTCGGTTGAAAGATGGCTACTGGCCCAGCCTGCTTCAGGGCCTAGTGGGGATTTGAACCTGATTCTGCCCATCATAGCCCAGTGCTCTAACCACTACACCTCGCCACATTGTGTTATTTGTTAGGTTGTATTTATTTATTGTTTTCATTAACATCTTTGGGCACCTAGTAGGTGGAACCAAGGGAGGGAATAGGTTTAAGCAGAGATGGGACTCTTAATCTCACGGTCGTGGGTTTGCTTCCCATGTTGGGCAAAAGAGTCGCGCATTGCAGGGAGTTGGGCTACATGACCTTTGTGGTCCCTTCCAACTCTAAGATTCTGTGCTACTATGAAAAGTTAATGACTATGGTGCGATTCCTCTTCCTTTCACCCTACCATTAGGTGGAGTGAGGCAGCCTCCTCAGGCAGCTGATTCTGCCTGAACTGAAAGGGCAGCGGGTTGTTTTGTTATTTAATTTATTATTAATGTATTGTTACTGTCAAGGATGGGGTCAGACATCAGGGGACTTATTTGTGGGTTTTTTTGCCTCAAGTACCAGATTAACGTGTACGATGTACCCACACTTGGGGGCAAGAAGCCTACCTTGTAAAATATGCCACCCTACTTCAGGGAACTGAATGTCCTGGGCTGTGTCGGCTACTTATTCCAGAATTTTATGATGGTTCCGTTTTTTCGCGGGATCTGATTTTTTTCCGCAGGGCCTGTAAGACAGAGTTGTTCCACCTGGCCTTTGGCTTAGAATCAATTTTATTCCCTCCCCCCCCCCCTTTCCCCCCTTTCTCCTCCTGTGATGAGGCTGCATTTTAATCTTTTAATTGTTTTAATATTGTATTTTAATCTTGTTTTTAAGTTGTATTTCAATCAACTTGTTTTTATTATTGGTTGTTAGCCACCCTGAGCCCAGTCTTGGTTGGGGAGAGCGGTGTATAAATAAAATTTGTTGTTGTTGTTGTTGTTGTTGTTGTTGTTTTCAGGGCCAGTGTCTGTATGAGCAGAATGCCTATCTGGATGCTCTCGAATCCTTCACTCGTGCCTCGGAACTTCAGCCTCAGAATAAGCTTTATCGCATGAGGAGGTAACACTGGGTTTGCAACAGAAAAAAAGAGATACACCTTTGGAAGCAGAAGAGTTTCAAGAACGTTGGTGGGTCTCAGTCTCATCTGGCACAACACTGCACACTGTATAGGACTAGCCTTCGCCAACCTGGTGCCCTCCAGATGTTTTGGACTATAAGTCCCATCAGTCCCTGGAGGGCACCAGATTGGCAAAGGCAAGTGTGCACTAAATTTAGGGTGATTGAACAACAAAGGCTTTTCTTTTTTCTTTTTAAAGTATTTTATTAGTCTGGGATTTTAACAGATCGTCACAGGGTGAGCCAACCTGGTGTCTTCTAGATGTTGTGGACTCCCAACTCCCCTCAACCTAGGAGATTGCTATGCTATCCCTGGTTTATTGCAAACAAAAAACAAAGTCTTTCTTCCTCCAGAGAGGAAACAGTAAATTAGAGTGCAAGAGCTCCCTCTTGAGAGCCACATTTTTATCACCTCAAGGGGACCTGTTGCCACGCCAGGGGTAAGGGAGCATTTTTGTTACCGTAGTAACTGAGGCCTACTTTTCAGGGCCCCATCTAGGCACGGCGCTATTCGTGCAATTATTAATTATTTATTAAATTTCTATACTGACCTTCGCCCAAGAGCACAGGGCTGTTTACAGTATAAAAAACAAAAAAACAAAAAAAAGCATAATAACAAACAAAACAATACTCCCCCTCCACAGTTTAAAAGGCCATAGATTGCTTAATTAGCCAGGTTAAAGAGAGACTTTTTTGCCTGGTGCCTAAAGATATGAAATGAAGGCGCCAGGTGAGGCTCCCTGGGGAAAGCGTTCCACAAATGGGGAGCCACTGCAGCCAGAGCAGTTGGGCCAGGATTGGCATTATATGCTTAAAACATCTTGCGCTGGGGAGTAACCTGGCCACTGAATTCTGTACCAGCTGAAGTTTCTGAATCATCTCCAGGGGCATCCCCAAATATAAACCAGGTGTTGCAGTAATCTAACCAAGAGGCAATTGTGCTTTAAAAAAAGAAAAAAGAAAACAACTGAGATGGGCCCAGTGATCTGGGTGGGGCTCCTGTAAGGGGTAAAGGTAAAGGTAAAGGGACCCCTGACCATTAGGTCCAGTCGTGGCCGACTGGGGTTGAGGCGCTCATCTCGCTTTACTGGCCAAGGGAGCCGGCGTACAGCTTCTGGGTCATGTGGCCAGCAGGACTAAGCCGCTTCTGGCGAAGCAGAGCAGCGCACGGAAACGCCGTTTACCTTCCCGCCAGAGCGGTACCTATTGATCTACTTGCACTTTGACGTGCTTTCAAACTGCTAGGTTGGCAGGAGCAGGGACCGAGCAACGGGAGCTCACCCCGTCAAGGGGATTTGAACCGCCGACCTTCTGATCGGCAAGTCCTAGCCTCTGTGGTTTAACCCACAGTGCCACCCGCGTCCCCCTGCAAGGGGTAGTGCAGGGGATTTTTAAAAACCATTACCTCCCACCATTGCAGCTCTGATCTGGATCTCCCCCCTCCCCCCCATATACAAACAGGAAAGCTCCAATTTATAGGTGTGGTTCCTCTAACGAGGTCCATGCCTTCAGGGTCTGTGTCCCCACCTGCCTCCTCCTTCCATTCTTCCTCAGCAGGCCAGGTGACCTTTGCAGAACCCTGTGAGCACACAGGTTCAGATTCATGGCTTTGCTCTTCTTTTCTGTTTTGCTAGCATTGCCTGCCTTGCTGCCCTGAAAAAATACAACGATTGCCTTCAGATGGTCAATGAAGAAGTTGCTCAGGAGAGAAAGAATCCAGATCTCTTTGTCCTGAGGGCTCGACTCTATCAGTGCTTTGGAAAGGTAAAGAGCTGGCCAGGTTGGTTTTCATTTGCAAGCGATGACCAGGTGGAGGAGCAGGTGATGGAAGAGCTGCTGCCAGTTCTGGTTGGACCAGGGATTCCCAAACTGAGAGCTTGGACCAGGGATCTCCCATCCCCCTCCCCTACCCCGGGTCTTGGCAGACTACTTACCGTATTTTTCTCTCTATAACACGCACATTTTTTTCTCCTAAAAAGTAAGGGGGAATGTCTGTGCGTGTTATTGAGTGAACGTGTGGTCCCTGGAGCCGACTGGCCCGAGTGCAGAGGCAAAAATCAGGAAAAATCAGATCACGCGGAGGAGGGAAAGCTGCAGAGAGGAAGCTGCTGCTTTCCTGCATTCTGCCTCAGGGTCTTACTGCCCACCTACTTCTGTTTTCGGTTGCTGTGTTTGCTCAAATGCAACAAAGAGCAGGGAAATCCCCTGCCCTCCTGGCAAGCAGAGGGGAAAGGAAAGGATCACGTCCTTCCTTCTAATTCCTTCCTAGTCACACTGCACGCAGGCTCCAGCCCACCCGGCTCAGCTGACAGCCACCACCTCCTCCTCTCCGTGCTCCGGTGCTGCTGCTGCTGCGTCCAGCATTCTAGGGACTCGCAGGCAGCCGGAAAACATGCAGGTGGGGGGGGCTGGCTTGGGTGGGTGGGGGAAAACTTTTGCCTTCCTTTCCTCCCTCCCGTTAAATCCCTCTCCTGCATTGTTAGCCAGCTGCTTCTCTGCACACCCCTCTTGTGCTCCTTGTCCCTTCTGTGTTTTTCCTTCGCTTCCCACTTAAAATGTGGTTACAAAGCACGGATCCACATGGATTCTCAGGATCTTTGCATTGGGTCACCCCAAATTCACTATCAGATCACATTACATGTCCATGGCTACAGCCTGCACCAAAAAAATCACGCACCCACTGTTGCCTGGGGCCACAATGGTGCAAAAACGTGGTTACAAAGCACAGATCCACACAGATTCTCAGGATTTTTGCATTGGGCTACCCCAAACTCACCGTCAAACCACATGTCTGTGGCCACAGCATGAAGCACAATACATCCACTGTTTCATTCAGAATTTTTTTTTCTTGTTTTCCTCCTCTAAAAACTATGTGCGTGTTATGGTCAGGTGCGTGTTATAGAGCGAAAAATACGGTAACTATTTTTCTGCCTTATGTTTAGCAATTAAAATGCACTGTGCCAAATGCAAGCATGCCAAACGGAATTTGAGTGTTAATATCATAGGAAATAAAAGAAGCAAGAAAAATGCAATCAAAATCAATGTGAATCAGCTGTTCCCACACTTCTTCCCCTTTCTCTGCTTGCTTTGCTCCCATGTATTGACTCTGCTTCTTTCAAGTGTTCTGTCAACCTGTTGCCCTGAGCAGTTGCTGCATCCGCTGTTCTTTTCACACCTGGCCACGCTCTTCCACTGCCTACTTGCATGAAGCTCGTGGGCCACTAGTTGTCCACAGAGTCCACTTTGGGAACCCCTGGATTAGATAACAATGGGTGATAGAAGGGTTGGGGGTATTCCTTCAAGCCTGAGGGCCACATTCTTTTGTGGGGAGCCTTTTGAGGTCCATGCAGTACTGGTGGGTGGCAAAATTGAATACAGTGGTACCCCTGGTTGTGAACGGGATCCATTCCGGAGGCCCGTTTGCAACCTGAAAGGAACGCAATCCACGTCTGCGCAACTGTGCACACGCGGGTCCTGATTCGCTGCTTCTGCGCATGCGCGAAACATCATTTTGTGCATCTGCGCATGCGCGAGCGGCGAAACCTGGAAGTAACCCTTTCTGGTACTTCTGGGTTGCCGCGGGACGTAACCTGAAAAAACGTATCATTAAGCAAATGCAACACGAGATATGACTGTAGAGCTGTAAATACCCGTTCACTACACACACTCACCCCTGTCCCACCCTCCATTACTCTGTATCCTCCACCCAGGCAAGGACTTCTTAGAGTACAGGTACACTTTACAGCCAAGCAAAGAGTGTAAAGGCCTTGGGGGAGTTCTGAGGGCCAGAGAAAGAAAGGTTCCTGGGGTTCCCCACCCCTGGGCTGCAAGGACAATTACTGACCAGGTCTGAGGCCACTTTTTAAGTCTCTGTGCCATTTCTGCTTGCTTCTCTATGGCTCTGTAAGTAACAGTGAAGAACATAAGAAGAGCCAGTGGATCAGCCCAGAGGCCTGCCTGCCTTGTTCAGATTTCTGTTTCCCACTGCAGCCAAGCAGGACACGAATGCAACAGTCCCTCTCCTGCTGTTGTTCCCCACTGCCACCCCTATCCCGCTGCCAACAGCTGGTATTTAGAGGCTCCATGATCTTGGAGGTGCCATTTTATGGCTAGTCACTGCTGACAGGCTTGTCCTCCATAAATTGGTCTTACGTCATGTTTTATAAATTTATTTAGAAGCTTCTAAGTTGGTGGCTGTCACCACCTCCTGTGGCTGCAAATTCTGTAGTCTTGGCTATGGGGTAGATCCGCACGTAGATTTGAAGCACATCCCACACACATTTAAAGCACATGACTTCCCTCAAGGAATCCTGGGAACTGTGGTTTGTTGAGGGTACAGGGGATTGTTGTTCTATGAGGGGAGGAAACTACAGTTTCCAGGATTCTTTGGGATAAATGATGTCTGTTAGCTATGCTTTAAATCTATGGGTGAAACGGACTCTCTCGGAAGGTGGGTGGGACTCTCCTTCTTTGGAGATTTTAAAGCAGAGGTTGGGTGTCCATTTGCCAGGGCATCTTGTCAGTTAAGATTCCTGCATTGTAGGGGTTTGGGCTAGATGACCTTTGATGTACCTTCCAACACTACAATTCTATGACCTCCCCACCCCCACATGGAGTTTGACGAAGAAACCTTCTTTATTGGATGAGCCCAAGTTCCAGATAGCATGCTGCCTTCTCCATAGGTCACCTTCTGTTTCCACAACCTCCAAGATGCCCTTGAGTTGGACCCAGAGCACAGCGAAGCTCTGCTGATGCTGGAGCGCTTGAGGAAAGAGGCTCAGAAGTTCAAGGAGCAGGCTGTGAGCAAGGCAGTGAAGGGAAACCTGAAGGCAGCCCTGCTGAAAATCAACAGGGCCACTGACCACAACCCCTTGCAGGCAGACTACTTCCTCTTCAGGTACCCACCATCTCAGCACGGTTTGAAGGCCTGGGCCTCTCAGGGTTTCCCTGCCAGAAGCCTCTTCCATTTTGTGGCTTGAAATTGTTAGAGGCAGCCAACCATGGTGCAAGAAGAAGCCTTTCTTCCGCCATTTTCTCAGCACCGTGCATAATTTTGTGCACCCCTGTTGTGTGTCATGCCCCACCCCATCCCCCAAAAGCCTTAACAGTTTTTGTTTTATTTGTGTAGCTGAGAAAACCATAGCCATTTTCTGGTGGCTTAATGTAGGCTCGCTAGTGATCCATATGGTGGAACAGCTCACACAAAGCTTGATACCTAACCTCCCTGTAGATTTTTCAGAAGTGGAAAATACCCGTCTGAAACCCTGGATTGCTGCTGCCAGTCAGAGTAAGTGGCACTGAGTTATTCACCTGGAATAAGGCAGCTTCCTTGGTCCTTCTGCTTTGCCATCTTTCCCGCTCCCAGCTCACTGCTAGCCACCAGCACCCTTCCTTCCCCATTCTTGGGAACATAAGAGCCTGGCAGGATTAGGCAAATGACCCACCTAGTCCAGCCCCTGTTCTCAACCAGATGCCTGCGGGAAACCTACAAGCAGGACCTGAGCACAAGAGCACTCTCCCCTGTCCTGCGGTTTCCAGCAATGGGTTCAGAAATATGGCTCCCTCTAACTGTGAAGGCAGAGCCGAGCCATCTGGCTATCAGTCCTCCTCCATGAATTTGTTTAATCACTGCCTCCTGTGGGAGTGAGTTCCACAGCTATGTGCTGCATCTTTTCTCTGTTCCAAGTCTTCCAACATTCAGCTTCTCTGGGTTCCCATGAGTTCTGATGTTATGAGAGAGGGATAAAAACTTTTCTCTATCCACCTTCCCCACGCCATGCATAATCTTCTGTCATGTCACCTTTTACTTGCCTTATACAGTGGTACCTCTGGTTGCGAACGGGATCCGTTCCGGAGGCCCGTTCGCAACATGAAAAGAACACAAGTGCACGTCTGTGCACGCGCGGGTTGCGATTTGCCACTTCTGCGCATGCGCGTGATGTCATTTTGCATGCCTGCGCATGCGCAAGTGGCGAAACCCGGAAGTAACCCTTTCCTGTACTTCTGGGTTGCCGTGGGACGTAACCTGAAAGAACGTAACATGAAGCGGACATAACATGAGGAATGACTGTATACCAAGACAGACTTTTGATTCACAAAGCTCAGCACTGTCTTCACTGACTGGCAGAGGCTCTCCATGCTTTCAGAAATCCTACTTGGAGATGTTGGGAATCGAACCTGGGACCTTCTGCATGCAAAGCAGGTGGTCTGCCTCTGAGCCACAGCCCCTTCTCCCAAGGAAATATATTATTGTGATCCCTTTTGCAGGGGAAACATCTTGAGAAGGCTGAGAGACTTTGATGCAGCCATTGGTGATTACCTCAGAGCCGTGGAGCTCAGCAGAGAGGAGGATGGCAGCGAGGTTTGCGTGGAGGCCCAGAAGCAGGTGCTCCTCACCTATAACGACTTCGCGGTACACTGCTATGACAAAGGCTTCTACGAAGAGGCAGTGCTCCTCCTGAATAAAGCCATCACGGGGGAGAAAAATGAGAAGGGGCTCTATGTCAACAGAGGAGGTGAGGGGCTCGTGTATATTTTCTAGTTCTGTGTAGCTGTGGGTGGGAGCACCAAAATGCGGTGTTTTTGTGGGCGCTAGATCTCACTGAGTAAGTCAGCTTTTAATTTTGATGGAGCAAGTTAGGGCTGCAAAGACTTCATTGAAATTGTGTGAAATGGTTTATTATTGTTGTTATTCATTTTATATCACCCTTCCTTCAAAGAGCTCAAGGAGGCACCTATGCTTTCCCACCCTTCCACCCCATTTCAATACAAAAACTCTGTGAGTTAGGCCAGATGCCAGACAAGGCCCCTCAGCTAAATGAGATTCCCAGCAGCCGGGGAGTGAGCCTTCCAACTCCAGGGGAAGCAGAAGCAAAATAAATTGTGCAGATAGGCTTCATTGGCACAATATGTGTGTGCAGCTTGTAGGATTATGTAGTCCTTGGAGCACAGTTTGGATTACTGTGAGACAGAATTTAATTGGTTATTAAATAAAATAATAAAATAAGATAAAATAAAATAAAATAAAAGGACAGCAGGCACATCTCTGAGTTCTCCTCATGCTTCGTAGCTAAGAATCTGAAGTGAATCATCCTGCTGCATCAGGCCAAAGGTCCATCTCATCGAAGTGGCTAGGTGGGTGCTTCCAGAAAGCCCACAAGCAGGGCATGAAAATGCCCCCGCTCCTGCCCAGCAGCTGGCATTCATCAGAGGCTCTACTTCTGACTGAATAAGCTCTACACCACCTGTATGCCTCTATAATATTCTGTCCCCACCTTCCCTATAGAGCCCGATTTGAACAAGAGGCTCAGTTCCTCTGGATTGAATTTGTGGACTGTAAGATCTTTGGGGCAGGGAGCTGTCCTCTTTTTCTTGGCTTGGGGTGGCAAGCAGAAACTTGCAGCAGTTGTCTAGGCTTTACCATCTCTGCGAGGGATTGAACCTGTGGCTTTCTGCATGCAAAGCAGGTTCTCTGCCACTGAGCCACAGCTCAGCGTATGTGTGTGTGTGTGTGTGTGTGCTGAAAGTGCCTTTTGAACCAATAATTAAAATAACAGAGGAAAACAACCTGTGCTTGCTGCCGGTGAATTCTTGGCTGTTCTCCTTCAGACTGCTTCCTTAAACTGGGTGAGCTGAATTTTGCAATGGCGGATTATCAGCAAGCCCTGGATTTACAGCCTTTCGACCCCAGCCTCCAGAAACGCGCAGCTTGGTTGTACGATGAGATGGGGCTGCAGGAATTCAGGGAGAGGTATGCTGAGGATGGCGGGATGGGGTGGGGGGCAACCCAGGGTCTTTGGTGGTGGACCCAGGATCCTCTTCCCTGAAAAGCACAGCACTGGTTGCTCAGACAACATCTAATATATAGCACATACATATGCTATGCAAATCTCTATCATGGGCCTGTGCCCTGAATCCTTTAAGTAACCTTGCAGTGCCCCTGCAAACGGCACATTTACCAGAAAGCTCCTGGGGGGAAAGACAGGCTTTTGCTTATGTGTGGTTTGACATTTTATACACCCCTTATTTAGGAATGCCTTTATGCTATGCACTGGGAGCATAAACAGAGAAAATAAATGAGCAACCACCACGATAATAGCAGAGCTGTGGTCCCCCAGGTGTTGCTAGACGCCCAATTTCCTTCAGTCCCAGCCAGCATGGCCAATGGGTAGGGATGATGGGAGTTGGAGTCTCAATGATGTCTGGAGGAGGCAGTCCTAAACGCCCAAAGCATGTTGCATCTCAGTTCTTACAGCAGCCCTCTTAGGTGCTGGTTTTGACCTATAAAGCCTTAGACAGCTCAGGACCACAATACAGTCATACCTCATGTTACGTTTGCTTCATGTTACATTTTTTCTGGTTGCGTCCCGCAGTGACCCGGAAGTACAGTGGTACCTCTGGATGCGAATGGGATCCGTTCCGGAGCCCTGTTTGCATCCTGAAGCGAACACAATCCGTGTCTGCGCATCTGCGCGTGTCGTGATTCGGTGCTTCCGCACATGTGCATGACATCATTTTGAGCGTCTGCGCATGCGGCGAAACCCGGAAGTAACACGTTGCGTAACTTCTGGGTCGCCACGGAGCGTAACCTGAAAATGCTCAACCTGAAGCATATTTAACCCAAGGTATGACTGTACTAGGGACGCGGGTGGCGCTGTGGGTTAAGCCACAGAGCCTAGGACTTGCCGATCAGAAGATCGGCGGTTCGAATCCCCACGACAGGGTGAGCTCCCGTTGCTCGGTCCCTGCTCCTGTCATCCTAGCAGTTTGAAAGCACATCAAGTGCAAGTAGATAAATAGATACCACTCCAGCGGGAAGGTAGATGGCGTTTCTGTGCGCTGCTCTGGATCGCCAGAAGCGGCTTAGTCATGCTGGCCACATGACCCAGAAGCTGTATGCCAGCTCCCTTGGCCAATAAAGTGAGATGAGCGCTGCAACCCCAGAGTCGGCCACGACTGGACCTGGTGGTCAGGGGTCCCTTTACCTTTACCTTATGACTGTACTGGAAAGGGCTACTTCCGGGTTTCGCCGCTATTGCATCTGCAGAAGCGCTAAGTCTCGCTTTCGCACAAGCACCAAATTGCACCGTGCACCTGCGCAGATATGGCACTTCAGGTTGTGGGCTTTTCATGTTGCGAATGGGCCTCTGGAATCCCATTTGCAACCAGAGGTACCACTGTACCTCAAGGACAAACTCTCCCCATATGAACCGACCTGGACCCTGAGGCCCTTCTTTGTGTGCCCCACCTCAGCAAGAGATCCGAAGGGTGGCAACACAAGAGCACACCTTTTCTGCAGTAGCTTCCCATTCGTGGAATGCTCTCCCCAGGGAGGCTCGCCTGATGTCTTCATTACATATATTTAGGCACCAGGCAAAAATGTTCCTCTATAACCAGGCCTTTAATAATTATAATAAAGTAAGCCAATATGCCAACAGGTGTTTTCTCCCTGCTTTCAGTCGATACCCACAGGCCGAAGCATATTTCTCCCAGGCTATTGAGAATAACCCACGTGAGCTGAGGTATTACATGCACCGAGCCAAGACCCGGCTGTTTCTGCAGGAGACAATGGGAGCCAAGGAGGACCTTATTACAGCCTTCCTGCTGGACCCCACAAGGGAGGAGGTACCTGCTGCATTTCAGTGCCATTTTCATTACGCCTTAATGCACAGCCTCCCCTCCCCTAGTCCTTTAATCAGGGACAACCTGACACTGCCCTCGGACAGGCCTCTGGAAATTAGGGGAAGGGGAAAACAGAAGGGCAGGTGAGCAGGAAGGTGTAAAGCAAGGGGGAGGCAAGGAAAATTGATTGCTGTTGCTTTATTTTTAATCACAGAACTCCATGAAACGTACCTGGGGTTCCTGAGCAGTCTTCTATCATTTCAGAATGCTTGCTGCATCCATACGCCTATAGAGAAGGGAATCTTTCCTCTACCTGAGCGCTGCATTCAATAATAATAATAGTAATAGTAGTAGTAGTAGTAGTAGTAGTAGTAATTTATTTATACCCCACCCATCCGGCTGGGTTTCCCCAGCCACTCTGGGTGGCTTCCAACTGAATATTAAAAACAATACAGCATTAAATATTAAAAACTTCCCTAAACAGGGCTGCCTTCAGATGTCTTTTAAAGATAGCTGCTTATTTCCTTGACATCTGAAGGGAGGGCGTTCCACAGGGCGGGTGCCACTACCGAGAAGGCCCTCTGCCTGGTTCCCTGTAACTTGGCTTCTCGCAATGAGGGAACCGCCAGAAGGCCCTCGGAGCTGGACCTCAGTGTCTGGGCTGAACAATGGGGGTGGAGATGCTCCTTCAGATATACTGGACCAAGGCCATTTAGGGCTTTAAAGGTCAGCACCAACACTTTGAATTTTTGAATTCTCTTGGGCGTGCAGGGGGCCACATGGCAAATGTGTGACCTTTTTCTATGCTAGGAGAAGAGGGAAGCTTTGGAACTCACAAGGGTATCTTTTAAAGCTTCTGTCACTAAAAAGTACCAGATTTTTCCAGGTATAACATGCCCCCATGTATAAGATGCCCCCTATTTTTTCGGACTCAAATTTAAGAAAATGGGGGAGATTGCCCAGAGTTGTTAAGCTTTTTTTGGGCAGTGTTGCCAGAGTTGCTGAGCTTTTTTTTAGGGGGGGTTGTCAAGAGTTGTTGAGCTTCTTTGGCGGGAGGGGGGGGGGGCTGAAGCCACCAATCGTCTGACCACTCGCCACCAGCCGCCAATAGATCGCACAATTGACGCAGCAGGAGCAGGCCTGCGCACAACCACCAATCACCCGCCCAATTGCCACTAACGATCTCCTGCTTGAGACTGGAACCAATTGCCACTCCCCCTATGCACTATCTGTGTATAAGACGGCCCCAAATTTTAAATTTCACAAATTAAGGGAAAAAATATAGTCTTATACACGGAAAAATACGGTACTTGCCCCAAACCTAGATGCATGCAAGAGGTATTTTCACTGTCTAAGGACTCATCTCAGCCAGGTGAAAGCACGCCAGGAACTGGATGAAGCAGGGCTGGTGATAGCTGTGGCCAGGGGAGAGTCCCAAGGGCCAGATGGAGGCCTAGAGGGCCGCATTCAGTCCCTAGGTCTTAGTCCCCGTCCCCCCTGCTGCTGTAAGCCTGTCATCCAAGATGTTGCCAGTTCAGCTCTTGTTAACCATACACTTACTTGGTTGCTTTAGACAAGCATATCCCAGAAATTGTACCTCGGGTTAAGAACTTTGCTTCAGAATGAGAACAAAAATCACGTGGCGGCAGTAGGAGGCCCCATTACCTAAGTGGTACCTCAAGTTAAGAACAGTTTCAGGTTAAGAACGGACTTCCAGAATGAATTAAGTTCTTAACCAGAGGTGCCACTGTAAATTTAATTAATAAATAAATACACAGAGGAGAGCAGCCAGGATGATCAAGGGTCTGGAAACTAAGCCTCATCATGAGGAACAGTTGAGGGATTTGGGTACGTTTAGCCTGGCGAAGAGGAGACCGAGACGAGATAGGATAGCCATCTTCAAATATCTCAAGAGCTGTCACATGGAAGAGGGAGAAAGTTTGTTTTCTCCAGCTCAGGAGGATAGGACCTGAACCAATGGATTCAAATTACAAGAAAAGAGATTCCGACTAAACATTAGGAACAATTTTCTTATGGCAAGAGCTGTTCAACAGTTGAATAGGCTCTCCTTCAGTGAAGGCTTTTAAATAGAGGTTGGATGGCCGTCTCTCAGGGATGCTTTAGTTGAGATCCCTGCACTGTAGGAGGTTGGACTAGATGATCCTTGGGGTCCCTTCCAACTCCCCAGTCCTATGAATCTATGTGAAATGCTTTGAATGCTGTAAGCACTGTATAGCCACCAGGGATAAGAGTTTAAAAAAAAATAATTCATTCAGTTGAAATCACTTCTCTTCTCTCCCCCTTTTTTATTTTTCAGATCCACAGTCTGGCCAATACTTTGTTTCCAGGAGAGCCCATACAGTCTGCCGTTGACAGTAAAATTGGAGAGCTTGCTAAAGCTCTTCTGGACCGGAGGCTAAAAGCTTGCCCAATATTCGAGGCCTCAGCCAACCAGAAAAGGTACTGCAGTGAGCACAAACATGGTGCCATAAAACCAGGCTCCTCCACTGACATCTTTGGGTGATTTTCACCCTGTGCAAGTGACCACCTCAAAAGGAGCCACTGTTGCTAGAAAAAGGATTCTTTCCTGATTGCAGTATGATCACGTTGTGTGCGGTCCCCTTGTCCTTAGTCCCTCCATCTGCCAATATGGGAGGGGCATGAAACCTTACAGTGGGGGTAGCCAACCTGGTGCCCTTAAAACCCCCCACACATTTTATTCATTTTGTTAAGAAGTGCAAACAATAACGGAAATAAAACAAATAATAAAAAATGCAAACCGTGGAGCATCACAGCCTGGAAGGACAAATGTACAAAGATGTAGCACAGCTCCAGGGGGTTAATAAAGCTTTGACTCATACAAAGATTAGCTTTACAAATAACAAAGATGTGTAAAAATGAAAGTAGTCTCCACCTGTGAGATCCATTATTGTGAATAAAGGTTCTAAAAAGTCTCAGACAAACCAGTTGTTTACATATATTGGTGACATTGTGTAACTGAGTGCCACACAGTATTTGTGCAATAGTAAAAAAAAGAAATCTGTCATTCAAGTTCTGTCCTTTAGTTTCTTTTGGTTTATGAGATATCTTTTCAAGAAGGGCAGTTTGCCAACCCTAATATGCCAGCAATTGAAATTGTTATCTTCCAGGATTTGGCAATGGAGCCCATGGCTGCTGCTAAGAGATGAGAGGTTTTTTTACTTTTCTAGCCCATTCTGTTTCCATCTACAGCAGTGGTTCCCAAAGTGGGAGGTGGGTGGGTGGGGATTACTGGGGGTGGGGGGGTGCTAAAAGGTAAGGGGGTGGCAAGGAGTGCTGGAGGTATAAATGCCTATCGGACCTTGAAAAGCTGGCATCACTGAATCAAGTGAATAAATTATGTTGAATTAATTAAACTATATAGTTTTAATTGGATTTATTCAAGTAAACATGCATTTATTCAAATAAATGTGCAATTAATTGTTACTGTTTTGAATCCCATTGAGTTTTAATCTTCTGGATAATGTTATTTATGGGATAGGGGGCACTAGAGATAAGTTTATGGAACCAAGGAGGCAGTGGCCCAAAACATTTTGGGACCCACTGACCAGGCTCAAAGGTGACAGGTGGAAAGATGGAGCAATGGTTTGCTCAGTTATCAAAGATATCTCTGCAACACTTTATTCCAAAATTCATCCATCTTGGGGCAACCACCATATGTGCTTTTACAGGGATAGAGAAGCTCTACCCAGCCAAATGTTGTTGGACTACAACTCCCATGAACTCTTGCCAGTATGGGTCAGTTGTCAGGGATGATGGGAGTCCAATAGCATTCAGAGGGCTTCACTGGCTACACCTGCCCTAGAGGGTGGTTTTAAAGATTGCACCTATATGCTTGTGAAGTGATTCAAACACTTGAAAGCATAGTAAAAATGATATTATGATTATGATTTCCAGAAGGCCTCTAGTCTAGTCTATGCCCCTCTCACCAGGAGAGGGGAATGGCATAATGGTACCAAAGATGTATGAGATGTATGAAAAGCAATGGATGTTCAAGAAAGATTATATCCTTGAGGATCTGACGTTTTAAACAACTGGGAGACAACCTTTAGCTCTCAAAGGTCCTAAGTGTCGGTGGCTGCAAAGTGCAGCCTGCATGGGGTAGCATGTAGCCTGTAGGCCTGAAACCTCCAGTGCTAATATTTTTGCATTTCCTTGCTATTGCCTTGTTTGGCATGTCCTCCTTCACAAAGCTTATGTTTTGCTATCTGCCCTTTTCCACCCTCCCACAGTTCAGAGTCAGAAGGAAGTAGTTCTCCCAAAGATTTCTACATTCAAAATGATGAGCTAGAAGCACCAGAGGAGGAAAAGAGGAAGCAGCAAACGGCTGCTGAAGAGAAAAGGCTGAATGAGAAGATGGCTACCTGCCTGAAGAAGTCTAACATGGTGAGGGCTGTAGCTCAGCAGCAATGCAGGTTCAACCACCAGCATCCCCAGTTAGGGCTGGGAGACAGCTCTGTCTGAGACCCTTGGAGAGTCACAGCCAGTCAGCATAAGCAATATTGGGTTAGGTGTATCAGTGGTTTGACTTAGTGTAAGGTAGCTTTGCTCCCTGTGTTCCTGTGTCTCAGCAATCATTACCTACTAGGGCAGTGGGAAGCACCTTTTCTGGTGCAGCTGAGATAATTCATTTGGTTCACATCACAGAGATGTAGATTTTTACTCTGACTTGGTTGGCAGGCTAGATTTGTGGGAGTCTGCTCCACTATTGAATTAACTCTGACTTTCAGAAAGCTCTTCATATTTAGTTGGAATATCCTTTCTTGTGACTTGAATCCATAGGTTTGGGTCCTACCCTCTGCAACTGGAGAAAACAAGACTGCTCCACCCTCCATGTGACAGTCCTTCAGATATTTAAGAATGGCTATCATATCACTTCTCAGTCTCCTCTTTTCTGGGCTAAACATACCCAGCTCCTTCAACTGCTCCTCATAAGGCTTTGGTTTCCAGGCCCTTGATCATCTTGGTTGCCCTTCTCTGCAGACGTTCCAGCTTGTCAACATCCTTAAACTGTAGTGCCCAGAACGGGACACATACTTGCCAAGCTGAATGCAGCCTTCAAAAGACCAGGGCTGGCTATGATCCTTGGATGAAGTATGACATAGAAATTTAATAAATAAAATGCCTGGGCAGGCAGCACAGTACAACTGAGGCACCTGCCTATTATTAATATAATCCTGCCAGGCTTTTCTGCTTGGTCTGGTGGACAGGCAAGTGGTGATAGTGGAGAAGCTTCTCCATTTAGCCTGGAAAAAGAGAAGTTTCAGAGGAAATGAAACAGTGGTCCTCAAATATCAGAAAGCTGTCAAGTGGAAGCTGGAGCAGACTCAGCCCCTATTGCTCTAGAGGGTTAGAACTAAGAAGGAAATGGCAAGGGAGCAGAATTCAGCTAAAAACTGAGTGAGTTTGGTGAGCACTGGGAGTAGGTATTTAAACAGAGCACTGGGAGTAGATATTTAAACAGTGGACACTCGGGTTGCGAACGTGATCCGTGCGGGATGCACATTTGCAACCCACAGCGGCGCGTCTGTGCATGTGCGGGTTGCGATTCGGCGCTTCTGCGCATGTGCAAAGCACGATTTAGTGCTTCTGTACATGCACGACCCCCGAAACCCATGGTACAGAGCTGGAAGTAACCCGTGGTACAGAGCTGGATTCTGAAGAGCAGCTGCTGGGTGACTCCAAGGTCCATTCCAACACTGTGATTTAACTGTTGTGGTCTCTTGCGCTTTTTGCAAAGCCGCAGAAGGCAGCCAGATCTACACTGACATTTCATGTAAAATGGTGCTGCATCTCTCTGGCAGGTAAACAAAGAGCTTAAGGCAGCGCGAGAGAACACGTCCCTGGAGCCTACCACTGTCCGCCTGGACCCTTGCCCTCACCTGCCTGAAAAGGAGCACTCAGAAGAACCTTACAAGTGGCGCAAGTTCAGCCAAGGCATTGGCCACTTTTAGCTCATATTACAACCATTGCATTTTTTTGCAGTCTCATCATAAAGAGGTAGACATGAACCAGGCTGGCTGAAGTTCCAATGCATTTACTTACTTAAAGACTACAGCCACCAGTTCTGGCAAGCACATGGTGGCGTGGTATTTATCACCAAAGTAGTGTGTCTTCCATTCCGTTCCGTTGATAGGATCCCAGTCCACAAGACTTCCGCCAGCTGCTGGTGCAAAACTTACCATGGGGCTACTTCAATTCTACAATGAACACTTTTTCTCAGGTACAGCAGTAGTTATTGCACAGCTCCACATACCTACTCATGGAGGAATCGGGAGCAACTTAGCAGTTGTGGGCCAATCTGTTTTTCCCCTCTCAGATAAGTACGTAAACACTTAGCCCTGCCTTGTTCTGCATATATGGATTGCACACAGCAGCACTTTTTGTCTAGTGTGGTATCAGTTGAGCCCTCTTGAAAACAAAACTTATTCTGCCATTATCATGTTTAGTCTAGTCTAGGAGCTATCACGTTCACTGCAAGCACATACGAGTATTATTTTTTATGTAGCCAAGGCCATTACAAAAAAACATACTAACGCAGAATGGCTGTTTGTGCCTTGACAGCTGCAACTGTGTCTTGTAGCCCCTGTGCAGTAAAGGTAAATCAATACCTTCTGAGTAGCTCAAGCCCAGTTTTGGAACAAAATAGGTCCTGCATGTAAGGGTCCCAGACACCCACACTGCTTGTCTGCAGATTATTGCAGGAACAACTTTAAAAAGGGAAATTTATACAGGAGCCTTTAGCAAGACAAAAACATAGGTTTGGTATGATTTACTGGTAAACACTCTTAACTGCTATGCCTATTCATAGACCTCCATCTTGAAAAGATGCAAATTGTCTATTCTTAATTTGAAATAAAAAACAATTGTGAAAGTCTAATTTTAAGGAGGTTCTTAACATAAGATTTTAAAAACGTGTAAGGGGTCATGATAGGAGCTTGTCATTGGTTTTCCTCTTCCTCTGAATATACAGAAAAGGCTTGTCTGTACCACAAGCCTTTCAGAGAGAAAGTTGCACAGGCTTTTTGCCAATTACTAAGTGGCAATAAATTGGGAGACTGAATGTATTCTGGTTTGGATCTAGGATTGCACAAGGAATCTTTCCCATCTCCTCCTGCCCCATGGTGTCTCTGAAAAGCCTTGCCAGAGAGTTGGAGCGGGGACCCACTAAAAAATATGTCTTGTATTGTAATGGGGCTGTATTTGGGAAGAGCGAATCACCCCAAATGGGATGGTAGAGTATCTTGTCATCTGGTAACTCGCATTTATGTAATTCTAATGCACTATTCTTGCAGGATAGTGACTAGTGCACACAGAAGCTCGGCAACTTGGAACCATTTAGATTAGTAGTGCTAGCGTAGTGGTGGGAAGCTTGTGGGCTGAATTAGCTCTGGCAAAGGTCCCGATTTAGGCCATGAGGCAGTTTTCCTCAAGCCACACCCACTTGCTCTACACCTTTTGCCATATACAGTGGTACCTCGGGATGCGAACGGGATCCATTCGGGAGCCCTGTTCGCATCCCAAACAGAACATAAGGCGCGACAGCACGTGTCACGTTTTACCGCTTCCGCGCATGATGTCATTTTGACCGTCTGCTCATGCGTGAGCGGTGAAACCCGGAAGTAACACGCTCCGTTACTTCTGGGTCGCCACGGAGCGCAACCCGAAAGTGCTCAACCTGAAGCGTATTTATCCCGAGGTATGGCTGTACTGTATAATATCAGGTCAAGATGTGACTGTTTCCTGGCATTGCCCAGCAGCTGAGTACCACCAGCTTCAAAGCCCTGTGTAATTTCCCATGTGGCTTGATTTCAAGATGCATTGCCAAAGGAAAAACACTGGTGCCATGGGGATGTCAGGTGGGCAGCTCCCACCCACCCAAGGATCCAGTCTGCCACCTGGTTAAGGTCTTCCCACCCTAGTGCATTACACAACACTGCAAAACAGCTGTTTTATTTACCTGTGGGCTTCTCAGGCACTTTTGAGTGAAAATCCAGTTCTTGTGTACAAAAGGAGGCACTGGAAGACCATCTCTCCCCACAGCCCCATTGCCAACAGTGCCTGGTGTCACTTATATTGCCACCATCAGCACGTAATCACAATAAGGCAAATCAATCCTGTATGGATCAGTTCAGATGAGATGGATCTTGCTACAACATTTTAGCCTAGGACTGTGGCTTCTGGCACATTGATACAATCACAGTATGTCTTAAAAAAATGGTACGAGAGGTAAGATTTTTAGATTCCAAAGAAAACTCATCAAATTGTGCTGTGTTAAGGGAATCTAAAATTGTGATCATTGCCTATATAAGTCTATATATAAGACAGTGTTATGAGAGCAGCCAAGATTCCCTTCCAATACATCACAGACTCTACTCCTTTGTTCTCAAGAGTCCACAGCACAAGGCTCAGGGCAAAGTATAAAGTGCTTTTTGGTTTCCTGGTCGGTCAAGTCAACATTGCTGTTTGAGTCTATGCTCTGGAAAGTCTCTTCCTTGATCCTAAAGCCAATCAGGATAATTGGTGAGGCAGTCTTTGTGCTGAGCCTTTAAAACTCCAAAATTGTCACCAGCAAAGTCTTTGCAGGCAAGTGACCAGAATCTGGAGAGATCAAAGGAAGAAAGAGACCCGTGAAGCCACTGTTTTGCAGCCTGTGGCTGAGAACACTTTCAACTCTGCTGGAAAGTAAGGGATGCTGTCAGCAACTGCCTGGATGACATCTGGCTGTGGCTCTAGGTCTAGGCTGGTCAGCTCACTGGCCACACACCGTTTCACATGGTGCTGCTTCAAAGGCAAGAAAGGCACGAGGAAGTCAATAAGGTGCTGATCGATTATCCCAGACTTCCAAAATCCATCTGCAGGAGAGAGAGATCAAGTTTCTAAGTAGGGAATTAAGTAGTGGAAAGGCCTGTACTCTTGAAGAGGCCAGTAGTGCACCACATATGTTTGAACTGGACCACTGAATCCCACCCCTGGGGGAGGAAAGATAAGTTTTTTGCAAAATAAATCTCTGGCGGACAATTTTATTTCCTTCCAGGTAATAGGGGCCACAGTGCCTTTGTGTGGCTCCTTCTTCCTCAGCAAGAGTTTTACTGCCCACATTTTGTGTGAAAAGCTCAATGTTCCCTTTGCTGTGGGCATGGTTCTCTCACCCAAGGCCACTGAATGTGGCAAAGGGTATTTCACCCACAAAAGGGTTACCACTATAAAATGACAGTAGTTTTTAAAATGCCATGTGGGCAGGTGGTCCTAAGCACTTCTGCCTCCACAAATTCCTGGTGGGGCTTGGAGGTTACAAGTAAACTCAGTTTGTGGGGAACCAGGTATGTTGAGGGGAGAAGTGTGGGAGGAAGTTTAGCACTTCTTTCCTTTTTCATATTGTTAAACTATGGAATTCATTCCCACAAAAATATAGTAATGGCCACCAACTTAGATGGCTTTAAAAGAGGGTAAGACAAATTCATAGAGGATAAGGCTATTGGACACTATGGCTATGTTCTGCCTCTACTGTTGGCACCTGTATGTCTTTGAATATCAGTTACTGGGAACCACATACAGGGAGAGTTGCACTAAGGTCCTGTTTGCGGGCTTCCCACTGTGGCAGCTGGCTGACCATGGCGAGAACAGAATGGTAGATCAGATGGGTCTCTGACCTGATCCAGAAGGCTGTTCTTATGTTTCCTGTTTCTCAAATGATACTCACTTTGGGGGTTTTCAAAAGCAGCTTTGTAAACTGATTCTTCCAGATCCTTGAGGCTGATCTCCTCACGGTCTTTATGGGCCCGCCAGAAGTCCAAGGTAATTTGGTTTATCTGCTCCCCACCAGCATTGCTATCAGAGAACAAGACAGGATGCAAGAGAAAAGATGCCTTGTGAGAACACACACTTCACTCATAAGGATGTGCTTCAGTGCTTTAACAACAATACTGTATGGATCACCTGCTCCTATATCAGGTTTGGGGAACTGTGGCTCTCCAGATGTTGCTGGACTCCTAATAATCTCAGACAGCATGGCCAGTAGGGATGGGGGGAATTGTAGTCCAGCATATCCGGGGTGGGGGCTCAGGTTCCCAATCTTTGTCCCTACACCATCTTGCCACTTCCCCAAGATCAGGAGAGGCCTTTCTCTGCCCTGCCTAGGTTGGAAGCACACCTGGGTGGGTCAAGGGTCAGCCTTTTCAGTGGCTGCACCCAGGTCACGGAACATGTCGTCCCCTGTGAAGTCTGGTTGGCACCTCCCTCACTTTTCATTTTTGCTGGTTACTGAAGACATTTTTATAACGGCGGGCTTAATTGGATAGGTAAACAGAGTTTTCATGAAATTGATTTTTTGTTATTTGTGCTAAGGTGCTCTGAGTAGTCTACAGAAGACAATAGAAATCTTCTAATAAATAAATATAAAATATGCACTTATCAGTCCCAGAGATTACAATTTTGAACCTGCTTACTTGAAAGTAAGCTCCACTGAACTCAAACAGTCCTACTTCACAATGGGCAAGTATAGGATTATGCTGTTAGAGCTGGCTGTTTTCATTTAGAATAATATTTTAAAGAAAGCAAAATCAACTGAAGTTTATGCACAGACAATGGTGCTATCAGGGCAGGACTTTGGGACAGGCATCTGGGGTCAGGCCTAGCTGAATGAGCAGGAAGGCAGACAAAGACAACAGAGCTAGGTTTACCACATTTTGAAAACATTTAGCATCCAAAGAAGGTGCTGTACACACTATGGGATCATTAAATCAAATATTCTCTTACTGCACTACAGCTGGGGTCTTTCTTTCATGACTTTGAGGCAGAAAATATAATTTGCGGATGGGAAAGGAGGAATTGGTTTCAGATGGTAAGCAATTCCTTACTAGGTAATTTCCCACAAAGTCCTATATGGAAGGGCTGTATTTCAGTGGCAGAGCACCAGCCTTGCATGCAGACCAATCCCCTGCAAGAGCTGGGAAAGAACTCTTCACTGGAAACCTAGAAAGCTGCTGCCAGTCAGTGTACGCATTACTGAGTGAAATGGGTCAATGGCCTGGCTCAGTATAAGGCCTGGATCTGGCCCAATCGCTTTCTAAATCCGGCCCGGGAATCAGCATGTTTTTACATGAGTAGAATGTGTCCTTTTATTTAAAATGCATCTCTGGGTTATTTGTGGGGCATAGAAATTCGTTCAATTATACTCCCAAAAATACAGTCCGGCCCCCACAAGGTCTGAGGGACAGTGGACTGGCCCCCTGCTGAAAAAGTTTGCTGACCCCTGGTATAAGGCAACCTCCTGCCTTTTATATCTGCTATTTAATCAGTGTCTACCTAATAAAAATGAAGATGGCTTTCCTGTAGTTTGTTCCAAACACAACCCAGGAAGGTCCCAAGAATGGGATAATCACGTCGACCAAGCCTGGGTGCATCCTGTCCATATCGTCAAAGATAAACAGTGATCGGCCACAGCGTGTCAGATTCCCCTGGATCCAGTTCTTCAGATCGTTCTGGGAGAAGATAGAGAAAAGAATACTCATCCAATACACGAACAGCACGAGCATGTAAGGAAAAAAAGACCACTGCAAACTGCAAGGCCTTTTACACATACTTTTATTAGGTCAGGCTACACTGAAGCCTCCAGACTACATGTGTCCTACTGCATTCTAAAAACAGGGACCTGTGTGATGATTTGCCACAGAAAAACAAAGCCTGCAACTTGGTGCTGAGAGGCAGCTTCCTTACCTTGTACTGCTCGATGTGTTCTGCATGGGGGAAATGAACTACCGGGGTGAAGTGGTGGACATATGGGCTTCGCAGCCCAGAGCGAAAGAGGTGGGGGACTAGCAGAGATCCAACGAAGGTTTTCCCCGTGCCGCTCGATCCGTGGAAGGACATCACCAGAGGCTTCTCAGGGCTGCTGTTGTGCACAAATCCCTTCAGGCCTTTCATGAGAAGCTCCCTTGCCAATTGCTGCCCGACCAGGTTCACGGCCAAGTTGCATTCTAGACCTGGGATGAATCAAGAGGCTTAGTGGGGGCGGGGATTCTTCTTTTTGCATTGCTTTTAAAAAACGCACACATCTCACCCCCCCCCAAGAACTGCACCTGAGGGGTGGGGGGTAATATGGGGATACATATTGTTGGGGGCTCCAACCCCCAACCATTCCTGACCCTGGGGCCAAGATCTGACCTCACAACAACCCTTGGAGGAAGTCGTATATGATACAGGATTAGGAGTGGCGAAGTGGACGTAAACACAGTGAATAGATAATATAAGGATTTATATTTTACAGTATGCAGAGAATAATATCTGTTGAAAAATCAGAGAGAGGAGCTGAGGGAAGTCTGGGGGGGAGGGAGGGAGGGAGGGCCTGATGGGGAGGTGGGGGGAAATAATGAATATGATATGTTTTGATATTTCGATATGTTAAAATTGTTAATTAATTTTTTTTTAAAGGAGTGGCGCAGCGGGGACTAGAACTTCTGCCACCCCGGCGACGCTCCCAGCTGAGAGTTTCGAACCGTTGAGGCGCACGCGCCTGCGCACTCTTGCCTCTCTCCAGCACCTTCCCCCCCCCCTCCTCTCCCCTCTCACCTGCCAGGTCGGGCCGGAAGTCGCACTCGCAAGTGCCCGAGAAGCTGCAGTGCCAGGAGCTCAGATCCAAGGGGCCGCTCGAGCTCACCAACCCCAGCGGAGGGTAGAGGTGGAAGACGACCTGCAAGAAGGGCAGCAGCAAGCGCCCCCCTTCCCAATCCATTGCGCCTGCCGAGAGTCGCGTGCCTGCCGCCGCCGCTGCCGCCGCCGATCTGGCTCCCAGCCTGCCTCGGGGTCCAAGCGGGAGGGCGGGGCGCAGCTTCGTAACTGGGCGAAAGTTCGCTTCTGACGCTGCGGAAGGGGTGGCGCCTCAAGGGGCGGGCGGAGCTTGGGTGGCCGTTGGTTAGGATGGGAGGGCTTACCTCACGGCAGGGTTTAGGCGGGAAAGGCGCTGAGGGGAAAAACGGCGTTTTATTGACGGGTGGGGATTTTTAGGATAATTTTTAAACCTAGAATGCCGGTAAGGGATAAGTTGGGAAGCGTGTATGGGACTAATGAAAGGAAAAAATGTATGAAGTGGGAAGTGTAACTGGAAAACTATAAAAATATATTTTTTAAAAGAATAAAAAAGGAAACAGTGCCTCATACAAAAGGCCTTATACAAAGTCGGACCATTGTTCCTCTGACTGGTAGTGGCTTTCAAAGGTTTTTAAGCAGGATTTCCCCCCCTTTGCCCTCTGTGGGGTGGCAAGAATCCTTCTATGCGCTGTGCCTTTCACTGTCCCCTTGGTGTCTTCTGCGGTTGGCAGCTGCTATCCTTGCTCCTTTGGGCCAGAATTGGTGTCCCACATGTGGGAGCGATTTGCAGCTCAGGACTGTCCTGCTTCTGAGACTCACCTTCCTCCCCTGTGTGATCTTTCTCCTCCCCAGGGGCATAGCTGTCAAGTTTCAGATTTGAAATAAGGGATCAGCAGCCTCACCTGTCCCGGGGACAGTCTACGGGATATCTAACAATCCGGGATAGCAGCGGGAAGTGGCGCTGGAATAAGGGAATTTCCCGCAAAAAAAGGGGGAGGTTGACAGCTATGCCCAGGGGCTCCCCACCTGTCTGTGTTGCCGTTCCTCCACAGTCCGCTCAGCTCCACTGAGAAGCTCCATCTTTGCTTGGAGCTGCTCTCCATTCTCTGCGCTTGCTACAGATGTACTTTTGTGTGTTCTGCAGCAAAAAGACAAACATGGCACAGGTGTTGCAGATCAGCTCCCGTAGTCTGTTTCTTGCTATCATGTCAAAAGCAGACTTGAAGTTTATAAAAGCTGTGTAAAGTGCTCCACCAGCAGAAGAATATTTTTCTGATGCTGTAAAACCAATCCCTGGTCAATGGATGAGCAGCCAGACCTAAAACATGCTTGCTCTTCCTCCAGGAAATTTTCTTCCTCCATCTAACTAGAAAGTTTCTCTAAAAGATGGCTAGCATACAATTTACTGATGATACTTAAGAGACTGATTGGTCTAGAATTCCCTTTTTTTGTAAATTGGGATAATGATTGCAAGCCCCCAGTCTGGTGGAGCACATGTAGTATGATCAATACATGTGAACAGGACAGCAAAAACTGGTGCCCACCATTCCAAGTTTGACTTTAGTAATTTGAGGGGTGGGTGCGGGTGTGTAATTACTACCTGGGGGCTTTGCCCAATTTAAGTCCAGAGGTGAACCTGCCAATTTCAGATAATGAAACGGGGCCACAGTATGCTCCCAGAAACGTGAAAGTGGTCGACACCTTTTGGCAAAAAGCTTTTAATCTGACCTCCAAAATTGCCAACAATATATCCTTCCTGATTCGGCACTTGCTTTCTTAGCCCTAGATTTGACCCCAAACTCCACCCTTAAATCTAAAGAATTAATTTCCTTCCTGTTCACAATAGTTAGTTATTGCCCAGCGATGGAAGGAAACCTCTAATATACCAACAGAGGTTGGGTTAATATCTGGAACATTGCTGTATGAGGCATGTACAACCCCCGTGGGGTTGGTCGATCTCAGAGTCTTTCTCTGCAACCTCGGGATCCACATCAGCTGCAAGGCTCCCTTTGATGGGGGGGGGGGGGGAGAGATCGCACACTGGTTTGGGGGTGGGGGGAGAAGAAGGACAGCTGTGATCATAGATCACAGGCTACTTGAAGTTGGACATGCCTGGACTACAGCATTAAACTAAACAGCATTAGCCTTCATACGAGTAAAACTAAACTGGAGATAAAAAAGATAGCTTCCAAACAGCTACTCATCTTCACGTTACCTGCACCCCTCTCCATGTCTATTGTACAAGAATGCAGAATGCATCATATCCTAAGAAGAAATCACAAGGTCTGGAAGAGAGGCTACACACTAGGCTGCCTTCCCCTCCTTTCTCACCTGTCTATAAAGGCTGGTTGTCTCCCTCCCTGACCTAGCTGTGCTGTGGTGTCCAGGCAGAGGGGTGGATTTGGTCAGCAGAACAGGCTCTGTGACCTCAGTGAGTAGCTAAGGGAGGCATTATGAGCTCCTCATTCAGGTGTCCAGGCAGAGAGGCTGGTCAGTGGGACAGCCTTTGGTGGGGATAGCCTATGCAATTTTACTGAATGAGACTCCCCTAAGGCCAGGCTGCTGCTGCTGCACCACCAGCACCAGGTAGAGATGCAGGCTCCTGAATGAGTGTGTCTAAGAATTTCCTGCCTGCCTGCAAGTTAGGCCCCCACTTGCAGCGAGTGTGCCCTGATGCCCTGGTGTCAGTCTGCAGCAGAGAGGTGGGAACTGCTGTTGCTGCCTCTTGCCCTGGCTTAAATCTTAAAAGTTAGAATATCCATTAGAGGCAGTGCTCAAGGTGAGCTCTGCTTCTCCTGCTCCTCCTTTGCAGATGAGGGAATGGTGGGGGGGGTGCCCACTCATGTGGATGCGAGCCAGATGGTCCTGCAAACACCTGGGGTAATCCACATGGGTGAGCAGGGAGAGGGGTGCCAGCCTCTGCCCAAATTGGGCTGCTGGCTTTGGCAGGGAGGGGGCTGGGGAGGGGGCATCAGCCGAAAGAAGCTTTTGGAGTGTTTTTAGGCCTTTACCTGAGGGTTATTTTGTTCCCTCGGATGCCTCAGATGCCCCCTTTCTCTACTTTTGGGGCTTTTGTATTTTTTTCTTAGGGGGTTCTCTTTTTGGGGGTTAGGTATGCCTATCCCTTTTATGGCCAGGTCTCCCCTATCTTTCTTCCCACGGGTGGGTGGGCTTTGTTGGATTCCTTTAGGGATAGGTTCCAGGGTCTTCCTCCATCTCAGGCGTTCACCCAAGTCTGGAAGAAAAGAAATGGAGGTACAATCATTGTTTTCAATGCAACTAGTTTGTCTATAATGGAGAGTCTTCATTTATTCCAATGTTTTATATCCATATTTAGAGCTTTCCAAACCGTACTATAATTAAACTGATACAACTTGTTTGTTCAAGTTTTGGGTAATTTGCACCCCCAGATATCTAAAACTTCCTAGCTATTTGAATCTTCAACATTGCTGTAAAAGTCTACTGCATATGAATGGGGTGGTGTATGAAAAAGCATTACCTCTGCTTTCTTAAAAGTATCTTGCAATCCTGAGACCCTGGAGAACTGTTCCAGCTCTGTATATAGTATTTTGCCTGCTGTAATAGGGTCAGAGGTACATAAAATTATATCCTCTGCAAAGAGGCCTGAATTTTGTTCATTTCTGTTTGCAAGCACTCCTGTACGAGTAGGTCCCAGAGTGGGTTGGGGTTCTACCTGCGGGAGGACCAGAAGCATTTCCTTGTTTGCGGCTGATAGCATAGGGACAGGGCTCCCAGTCTGGACAGTGGGGATCCTCTGTTCCTGTGGAATGGGGGCTAAGGTTCCGCAATGGTAGAGGCCCACCCTGGCTAAAGATTTAGGCACCGGCTAAATCTTATACCTGTTAAGCTCACCTGTTTCTACAATTCGGTGAGATAGGGGTTACAACAGCAACAAAGATCATCATTCATCTAAAGAACAATTGTTATTTCAGGTTCTCACACCAGAGCGGAATCTAACCAAACTGCATTTGTTTCTGGATCAATGTGGATCATTTATGGATATTTGCGTATTTATCTACTGCTTTTCCTCCCAAACTGATGTTTTGTGTTGTTGCTCCCTATAAACTCTTGGTTTGTAAGCTGCTTTGGACTAATAAGAATAATAAGAATAATAATTTTTATTTATACCCCACCCTCCCCGGCCAGAGCCGGGCTCAGGGCGGCTAATACCAATAAAATCACAGTAAAAACATAATGGGGGGGAGGGAAAAAACCAATTTAAAATACAGGTTAAAATGCAATTTAAAATGCAGCCTCATTTTAAAAGTAGCTGATAAATCAAGACCATAAGGGGAGGGAAACATAAGGGTCAGACTGAGTCCAAACCAAAGGCCAGGCGGAACAGCTCTGTCTTGCAAGCCCTGCGGAAAGATGTCAAGTACCGCAGGGCCCTGGTCTCTTGTGGAAGAGCGTTCCACCAAGTCAGGGCCAGTACTGAAAAGGCCCTGGCCCTAGTTGAGACCAATCTAACCACTTTGCGACCTGGGACCTCCAAAATGTCATTTGCAATGACAATGCAATGTACATTGTTCTACAAAACGCAATGTAGATGGACAGTAGTACTGAAAATAAATATGTGATTTTGAAGGAGCCTCAGACTTTATTGGCACATCTAGTGAAATATATATTCAAGAGTACCGGTAAGTCCCACTGAAGGCCATTGAATGGGCCTTAGTCATGGCTTATCTAAGCCCCATGGGGGTACTGGGGCCTTGACTAACTGGGGTGCCTTTTTCAGAGAATCTGCCTTTCTCCCTTCTCTCTTGCTGTCTATCACAGTATCCACTTGCATGTATGTTACTGTCCCTAAGTTGTCCAAAGATTTCATCCATTCCCTGGCTATAAATCCTTAACTTCTCAGCTGGCTTCTCTGTCTGCTTCATGGGACAATGAAGCAGATCAGGAGAGCATCTAGATAGCACAATTTCCTACCTGCCATGTTGATAGGAATGCTGACACAAAAACCACAATTATCTAATCTGAGAGCACGCCTCGCACTGCTTACTGAACGACGTCCGGTAAGAAGTGGGCAACGGAATAGTGATGGTGCAAAGTTGTTTCCTGCTGTCTCTACGGTAACCCTGCAGAATGTGAGGAAGGGTCGAAGAGAATATTAGAATCAGAATCAGATGATATCATTATGGAAGGTGGAAGAGCAGCCTGGGGATGAGAAAAGGGTGATCAGTTCACCTTTCCTGGTTGACCATTCATCTTCACAAATGCTCCCTACACATTTTTAAACATAGTCACCTGAATTTTCCTTTGGAGTTTATTACTATCTTCCATGGAGACGATGTTGGAAAAAGAGAATTGTACTCTGGAGATGGCCAGCCGAGAGGAAGTTGTAGGAAGTACTCAAACCATACGGTTCCTACCTTTGTAACTTATCCCCATAATATCAAAATAAGCTCCAATAGACAAGAGGGGAAGACTCAAGAGCAGCAGGTGCAGACTTAGAGCACTCCAAACAGGCTTTGGAAGGCACAGCACATTGAATGATTCCTGCCCTTCCCAGAGGAGGAGGAGACGAGTGGTGGTGGTAGGTGTCTCCCAACTGAGGGGAACAGAGGCACCAGTGTGCAGAGGAAACAGGATGTCCTGGGAGGTGTGCTGTTTTGCAGGTGCAAAGATTGACGATGTGGTGGAGAAGTTGCCAAGTGTTCTCAAGCCCACTGAGCACTACCCCTTCCTTCAGATTCGTAGTGCCACACACAGCCTTTAACATATAGAAAGGGACTATGAGACTCTGGGCATGGAGCTGAAGAGCCTTGGGGCACAGGTGGTCTTTTCATCACTCCTTCCTGTTGAAGGTCGTGGCCCAGAAAGAGAGAGGGGCTGTGTTGTGAGGCATCCACTGCATGTCCCGAACCTCACTCGCCAATGCTATAAAGGCATCAAGGAGGACAAGGAACACAACTTTGAGGCAGTGTGGCATGACAAAAGCAACCTGAACAAATATTAGCTCCTCAACTAACCAACCAAGGTGTTTATCCCCTGAGTACTGCTGGGATTATAAAATTGTCATCCCCAGCGAGATAAGAAATGTCAAGTTATCCTGGATGCCAAAAGAATATGAAGAAGTTAGAAGTAACTTATGACTCTGTGGCCCTCCTAAAATCACACCTAAAACTAAACTGGAGATAAAAAAGATAGCTTCCAAACAGCTACTCATCTTCACGTTACCCGCACTGCTCTCCATGTCTATTGTACAAGAATGCAGAATGTATCATATCCTAAGAAGAAATCACAAGGTGTGCAAGAGGGGCTACACACTGGGCTGCCTTCCCCTCCTATAGAAGGAGCCCCATTCTCACCTGTCTATAAAGGCTGGCTGGCTCCCTCCCTGACCTAGCTGTGCTCTGGTGTCCAGGCAGAGGGGTGGATTTGGTCAGCAGAACAGGCTCTGTGACCTCAGTGAGTAGCTAAGGGAGGCATTATGAGCTCCTCATTCAGGTGTCCAGGCAGAGAGGCTGGTCAGCGGGACAGCCTTTGGTGGGGATAGCCTATGCAATTTTACTGAATGAGACTCTCCTAAGGCCAGGCTGCTGCTGCTGCTGCACCACCAGCACCAGGTAGAGATGCAGGCCCCTGAATGAGTGTGTCTAAGAATTTCCTGCCTGCCTACAAGTTCGGGCCCCTCTTGCAGTGAGTGTGCCCTGATGCCCTGGGGTGAGTCTGCAAGGAAGAGGTGGGAACTGCTGTTGTTGCCTCTTGCCCTGGCTTGAAGCTTAAAAGTTAGAATATCCATTAGAGGCAGTGCTCAAGGTGAGTTCTGCTCCTCCTTTGCAGATGAGAGAATGGTGAGGGGGGGTGCCCACCCATGTGGATGCGAGCCAGATTAGCAAGGCCTCTGCTCAAATCCTTTATACCGCAATCCAACAGGGAGATTTCAGCCTCATTGGCCTCCCCTAGCTCAGTTTCTCCACCTACAGCACTAAATTCCCTCAGCTTGTCCAGGGGACACCAAAGGATCCTGTTGGGTTGTCCTCCCTCTGCTCCCAGGGTCCTCAGGATGCTGAGACCAAACCAATGAGCGAGTCTGATATGGGGACGTTCTGCCTGAGGGTGCATCTTGAATTGGGGATGGCGCCAGGTCAGGGTGACAAGAGTGCCATCAACAGGGACAGGATTGGGGTGAGACACATAAGGGGGAGGGTCATATTCTTCAAGATCAGAAAGTACTGGGGGCGGGGGCAGAGGGTTTATGCAGAGGAGCCTAAGACTGGCAGAAACTTACAAGGCTTCGTCATAGCAGGTTTCAGCGTCAAATCATGAAACAATTCTCCATAGTCATGTTCCATCCCATTTCCCAGTGTTCCTAAGGAACTCCAACGATTTCAAAATAATGCCGCGATCTATCATTCCGAATTCAGGCCAAACAACAAGTTCACTGAGGTCATAAAGGGGCCGTTCCTGCTGGCAAATTTGCCTTAATTTTTGCTTGGTCAAGTTGCTCCCCAGCCCTCCCGCCACAATGGACCAATTATTTAGTGGAATTGCACCCATCCCTGCCGCCCACCCTGCACCCATCCTTGCCCCTTCGGGGGAAGTAGCCAGCGCCCACCCACCCATCCCTGGGTGGTAGATCACTGCTTGTTTTTTATATTGGATCGTAGATCACAGGCTACTTGGAGACTTCCGGTCGGCGCCAGCGTTTAATGGCGGTCCTCGCTTCGAGCTCCGGAGGAGGACTGCTCCGCGAGTTTGGGTCTGACCCGCTACGGCGAGCGGGGGACCCCTAAAATCACAGGCGCTGAAGCCTGTGAACAAGGAGACTCGGTGGGCACCTTTTGCCCCCCGGTACTGTGAAAGAGCCTTTTAAAGGCTACGGAGCGGCATCGGGGTGAGCGCGGTGCTGAGAGTCGCAACCCAGCCCGTGGAGTGAAGCCGCGTCGCCATGAACGGAGAGCGCCGATTTCTTCCTGAACCAGAAATTCGACTGTAAACCCCGTGAGTAAGACGGAGGGACTGAACGGGACATTCAAATTTAAATCCTGAAATTTGGCTGAAAACGGGAAAGGCATAAATTAAGGAAGTCTGCCTCCCCGATCTGCATGGCAATTAAAGCAACGAAAGAGTAAAGCTGCATTTGAAAGAAAATTATCTTTGAGCTGTCAAACCTGACATTTGACTTAAACTTCCCCCCAGTAAGCAGGAGAAGGGGGGAAGAAAACTGGACACTGTTAATCTGCCTGAAATTAACTGAGGAAAAAACATCGTCCACTGCCCACTCCCCAGGACGGACTGCCTGAGTAAGGCACCGGGAAAGTGAACTGTCAGTTTAGACTGGATACAAAGTTGGGGTTTTGTCTGAGACAAAGTTACGGGACTTTAATGGAATTACTTTGTTGAACTTGTGACTATACTGAAAAAGTGCGACAGAAACTTTTACTGTGGACTCTTGGATTTTTGTTGATTGCTCTATGTTTCCTTGTTCTTTCTCTTTTCACTTGGATACAATTAAATGCTCCCTCTAGAGGGTATAAAGAGAAACTGTTACAGTGAAAAAGAAACAGTGGGATTTTCCACTTGCAAGTCTTTCCTGTGAGAACGACCTTGAGGATATGGAGTGGTCCAGCAGAAGAGATAACAACTAGATCCAAAGCAAAACAGACACAAAAGAAAAGGGGCTCAATACCTGGCATACCACCAGCTGCACAGGAAAAAGTGGCAACAGCATCTATGGATTCAATGACACAGGCACTGCTCAAAATAAACCAATCTTTAGAAGCACTGACAAAGCTATCTACGGAAAATTCAAAAAATTGACAGAACTGACAGCAAGATTGGACTTGAATACTGCAAGTGTAACCTCTTATACAGAATCTATCAATAAATTAATTCAAGAAAGTTCTGAAACACGAAAGATTGCTGAAAGTGCAAAAATACTGCAGAGGAGACAAGGGAGGAGCTTGTGCCGATTACAAAAAAAGTGAATGAACATGATGCAGCCCTATCTTTGCTGGAATTACAGAGAAAAGAGAGAAATTTGAAATTGAGATTGGTTCCCGAGAGTGAGGGAGACAGCCTTGTGGACTTCCTTACACAGAACTTTACGGAATTTTGGCAAGAGGAGCTGCAGGAAGAAGAATTTGAAATAACAACAGCTTTCCGGCTGGGCAGGAGGCAAGGTAAGAAGCCAAGGGATTGTTTGATCACATTGAGATCCAAAGGAGAAAGAGATAAAATATTGAACTTGCATTACCAAAAGGCATTGGAGATTGAAAACAGTCAAGTACAAATTTTTAAAGATATCCCTAAATATATTTTGGAGGTGAGAGCCTTCTATAAAGATTTGGTCTACCTGCTGAAGAAAAATATCATACCCTTCAGGTGGGAGTTTCCACAAGGACTGTCTTTTAACTTCAAAGGAAGGAAGGTCAAAATAAGAACAGTTCAAGATAAAGAACAGTTTTTGGAGAGATATCAGGAGGACTTGCAGAAAGGAACAGTAGAAACAACAATACAAGAAAAAGGAGTGACAGACATTGCAAACTTGTCATTTGGACTCATACCACCATCTGAAGATGAACAAAAGCTAGGAGCAGTCGGAGGAACAGGTACTTAATAACAAAATGTCTCTGCAACTTCTTAGCTGGACTTGTAATGGTTTGAACCTTCCCGAAAAAGACGCCAAGTTTTTCATATTTTGAAAAGAGAACAATTAGACCTAATATGTCTACAAGAGACCCATGTGACCAGGACACATAGGAAATTATTGGTAAACAAGAGACTTGGACAGGAATTTATTTCATCAGACAAAGTTAAGAAAAGAGGCGTGGTGATTTATGCAAAAGAAAAATTGGCTCCAAAGATGATATTTAAAGATGAACAAGGAAGATACCTGGCAATTGAAATACAAGTTCAAGGAGAAAAATCTTGATAGTCGGAATTTATGCACCAAATGACGGGAAGGCGGAATTCTTTAAGAAGTTGCATGAGACTTTAATGGACTATCTAGACTATAGAGTAGTAATGATGGGAGACATGAATGGTGTAGTTTCCACAAATATGGACAAAGCACAGAGACAAGTAATTTCTAAGGAAGGGAGACTACCAAAGACTTTTTTTGAAATGACTGAAACTATGGACTTGATTGACATTTGGAGAACAAGGAACCCTCTTGAGAGAGAGGGAACTTTTTTCTCTGAAGCAAAAATGACATGGACAAGAATTGACCAAATTTGGGTAACTAGCAGTATGGCGCCAAGGATCAAAAAGGTAGAAATCTGCTTAAAGACTTGCTCCGACCATAATGCTGTAAGGATGGAGATGAAACTAACATCAACTGGATCCTTTAGATGGAGAATGAATGACACCCTATTTAGAGATGAAGAGATTTATAAGAAGGCCCAAAAAACACTGAAAGATTACTTTGAGATAAATTTGAGAACAGAAGTGGAAAAAGAATAATCTGGGACGCAAGTACGGCCGTGATGCGAGGTTTCCTAATACAACAGAACTCCATAAAGAGGAAAAATCAAAATGAAAGGAAAGAAAAATCCTGGAAAAAATAAAAGAAGGTGAAAAGAAATTGAGGTCTAAACCAAAGTCCCATGAGATTCTGAGAGAAATAAAGCACTATCAGGTGCAATATATGGAATTGATGAATCAAGAGATAGAATGGAAAATAAAGCAAATGAGACAAAAGACATTTGAATCAGCAGATAAATGTGGGAAATTTCTGTCATGGCAATTGAAAAAGAGGCAAAAACTGAACACTGTGACAAGTTTAGAAGTGGATGGAAAGATTATCCACAAACCAAACGAGATAAGTAATTGTTTTCAAAGTTACTTCAGGAAATTATATGCACAAGGGCCAGTCAACGAACAGGAAATAGAAGAATTTGTTAAGAAACATGGATTACCAAAAATTTCAGAGCAAAGCAGAAGGATTTTGAATGAGAAAATAACAGGACAAGAAATAGAGGGTGCCATTCAGAAGATGCAATTGGGAAAATCTCCAGGACCAGATGGTTTGACCGCCAGATATTATAAAGCGTTGAAGGAATGGTTAGTACAACCACTGAAGGAAGTATGTAATGAAATTTTGGAGGGGAAAAGGCACCAGAGTCGTGGAAAGAAGCCTTTATTTCACTTATACCGAAAACTGAGACTGAAAAGAACCAGGTTAAAAACTACCGCCCTATATCATTACTCAATGTGGATTACAAAATTTTTGCAGACATTATGGCAAAAAGACTGAAGAGAGTGTTGGTAGGGGAGATTCATAAGGACCAAACTGGCTTTCTTCCAGGGAGACATATGTCGGACAATGTGAGGAACATTATAGACATTTTGGAACTGTTAGAAGTGGACATCAATAGGAAGGCTGTTTTAATTTTTGTGGACGCGGAGAAAGCCTTTGATAATATTGGTTGGAGCTTTATGAAGAAGAATCTCCAAGGGATGGGGGTAGGTCAAGGGTTTGAAAACGGTATAGGTGCAATATATTCTAAACAAAAAGCAAAGTTAATTGTAAACAATGTGGTTACGGAAGAAATATCTATAGAAAAGGTACACGACAGGGGTGCCCAATATCCCCTTTACTTTTTATATTAGTCCTGGAGGTTTTGTTAAACATGATTAGAGGAGACCAGTTGGTTAAAGGAGTACAAGTCGGAGCTAGACATTACAAGCTAAGGGCATTTGCAGATGACCTAGTACTGACCTTGCAACAGCCAGATACTAGTACTAAAAGAGTATTAGAACTAATTGAGATATTTGGTCAAGTAGCAGGATTTAAACTGAACAAACAGAAAACGAAAGTGTTGGACAAAAATTTAACATTGGCTGAAAAAGAGAAGTTTCAGAATGAAACAGGTTTAGTGATAACGAAAAAAGTAAAGTATCTGGGGGTAAACTTAACATCTAAGAATGTGAATTTATTTAAGGACAATTATGACAAATGTTGGACAGAGGTAAAGAAAGATCTAGAAATATGGTCAAGGTTGAAACTCTCTTTGTTAGGTCGAATTGCTGTTATCAAGATGAATGTATTGCCTAGAATGTTGTTTTTATTCCAGACATTGCAGATTTTGGACAAGATGGACTGTTTCAAGAAGTGGCAGAAAGATATATCTAAATTTGTCTGGCAGGGCAAAAAGCCCAGAATAAAATTTAAGATTCTAACTGATGCAAAAGATAGAGGGGGTTTGCCCTGCCGGACTTAAGACTCTACTATGAATCGGCGGCTTTCTGCTGGTTGAAACATTGGCTACTTCTTGAGAATACAGACATTTTGGATCTAGAAGGGTTTGACAATAGATTTGGCTGGCATGCATATATATGGTATGATAAGGTAAAACTGCATAAAGGTTTCAAAAACCATATTGTTAGGAAAGCATTATATAATGTTTGGATGCGGTATAAAGATTTATTGGAAAGTAAAACTCCCAGGTGGTTGTCACCAATGGAAGCTAAAGAGGTGAAAAAACTTAATATGGAGTCTAAATGGCCAAAATATTGTGAAATTTTAGAACAAGATGGGGAAAAAGTTAAATTACAGAGTTATGAGAAATTAAAGTCCAAAGTGCGAGATTGGTTGCACTACCTTCAGATAAACGAGACATTTAAACAGGACAGGAAAATAGGTTTCCAGATGGAGAGGTCAAAATTAGAAACAGAACTGTTAGAACCCAATACTAAGAATCTGTCGAGAATGTATAATCTGCTGTTGAAATGGAACACACAGGATGAAACGGTGAAATCAGCTATGATAAAATGGGCACAAGATATTGGTCATAACATTATGTTTGCTGACTGGGAACAGCTGTGGACCACCGGTACTAAATTTACGGCATGTAATGCCTTAAGAGAAAACATTATGAAAATGATGTATAGGTGGTACATGACCCCAGTCAAGCTTGCAAAAATTTATCATCTGCCCAATAACAAATGTTGGAAATGTAATGAGACTGAAGGTACTTTTTATCACCTTTGGTGGACCTGCCCGAGGATAAAAGCTTTTTGGGAAATGATCTATAATGAAATTAAGAAGGTTCTTAAATGGACCTTCCCTAACAAACCTGAGGCTTTTCTCCTGGGCATTGTCGGCCACGTGGTGACAAGCAAGGACCGGACGTTTTTTTTGTATGCGACCACAGCAGCAAGGATTCTTCTAGCAAAGTATTGGAAGACACAACAACTACCCACACTGGAAGAATGGCAGACGAAGGTGATCGACTACATGGGACTGGCGGAGTTGACTGGCAGAATCCGTGACCAGGGGAAAGAGACAGTGGAAGAAGATTGGAAGAAATTCAAAGTTTATCTTAGAACTTGTTGTAAAATTCAGGAATGTTAAAATGTCAAGGGGTTGGGAAACAGAGAATTGCAGCTGTAATTAACAATATTAGAAGAACTTAAAAGAAATTGAATTGAATAATTAGTCGACTGAGGAGTTGCTGAAGAAATATAAAACAAGGATGCAGAAAAGGGGAGGTATGGGGAAGTCCGGAAAGTAAGGTTTATGAAAAAATGGTTATGAAATTATACATGTTTATATGTTTGTATGTCGGTGTATTGTGTATTGTTTTTTTTTTTTTTTTGTGTTTGGAAAATTAATAAAAATTTATTTAAAAAAAAAAAAAGATCACAGGCTACTTGAAGTTGGACATGCCTGCTGTATCAGAACACCTCACATACCATTGGTGACTAATCAAAGGCATCTCCAAAAAAGATACCTTTGATACAATCTGGTCTCCCCTTTTCTCTTTTATTGAAGAGGAACAGGGTATTTTAATGCCTTCATCACAGAGGTGTCTGTGGAGGGGATATATTCATTGAAAACGTTAGGCTTTTTTGAAAAAGAAATGCAAAAACCTACCTGTTTGTTAAGTCTGGCACCAGAGGTCCTTCTCCGAATAGGCTTAATAAAATGTAGGCTTAATAAAAATTACTATTATTTATAAGCTGCCACGTGACTGGGTTGCCCGGAGAGACATGTTTTAGACATTTAAATATATATACCGGTATATATTTCCCAGAATTTTAACTGATTTTATATGTACTGTTTTTGTATTTTTACTGTTGCTACAATAATTGCTTTTATTTCTGATGTTTTTGATATAAAGTAATTCCCAAGATTACTTGCCAACAAAGATCCGTATAGTTAAAGCTATGGTTTTCCCAGTAGTGATGTATGGAAGTGAGAGCTGGACCATAAAGAAGGCTGATCGCCGAAGAATGGATGCTTTTGAATTATGGTGCTGGAGGAGACTCTTGAGAGTCCCATGGACTGCAAGAAGATCAAACCTATCCATTCTGAAGGAAATCAGCCCTGAGTGCTCACTGCAAGGACAGATCCTGAAGCTGAGGCTCCAATACTTTGGCCACCTCATGAGAAGAGAAGACTCCCTGGAAAAGACCCTGGTGTTGGGAAAGATGGAGGGCACAAGGAGAAGGGGACGACAGAGGACAAGATGGTGGGACAGTGTTCTCGAAGCTACCAGCATGAGTTTGACCAAACTGCGGGAGGCAGTGGAAGACAGGAGTGCCTGGCGTGCTCTGGTCCATGGGGTCACGAAGAGTCGGACACGACTAAACGACTAAACAACAACAACAATTCCCAAGACTTCACAGGGATATGGGAATCTAATCCATGTGTGCTACTTTGTCAACCTCGGGATCTATTTTCCAGAAAGTAGCTGAGTCATGAGTCTATGATGCAGCAATTAACTTCTGCCAGTTCAATCTTGTCGCAGGAAACCCCCCACCCCATCATTCAGTTTGTACAAACTCTGACACACACTCATAAACGACATACGCTATGCTTCTGTTATAAATTATTAGAAAATCAACCATACATCAGATCTGCACCGTTCCACTTTTATTTTACTCCATGAAGGAAGGACTACAAAATGGGGAAGGTTTGATACAGGGCAGCCATAATCTCTTGAGCATACCAGCACATACACAGGAGCCCTGCCCAGTTGCTATGCCAACACTGATGGTCCTAGACAGAAGACCATCAAGGTCACAAAGGACTTGCATATGGGAGTGGATTCAACACGAACTGGAACAAAGGACAATGATCAGCTCTTCCCTCTGGGGGCAGGAAAATGCCAACTCCCCTTTGTCCTCTGGAAATGACTCATGGGGAGGGGGAAAGGAGGAACCAACCAGGTGACAAGATACTCAGGTTACCTCCACAACTCCTCCCTCAACCCCTCCTTTTTGTGATATGTCAATGATGTAGTCGTGATGTAGTTCTAGGGGTGTAGCTTGAGGGATTAGTAACTAATAAAAGTTGGGGTCTTCTTTTGTTCTGGGCTTCCATTTTGTTTCACCTGGTGGCAGGTGGGAGTCCTGTTGCGACAGTCTTCAATAAAGACCAAGCCTACTGGCTTGTTGTTTTGCTCTGGTATTCCTGACTGGTGTCCTTGTTTTTTTGTCCAAGGGAGCCCTCGGATTTCTCCGTTAACAATCTCAACACCTGTTTCTTTTTTCCTTAATTTAATTTTCATATTCCTTCTTTAGGGACAACCATTCCATAGGTAAAGATGATATATCTAGCTTTCCCAACAAGAATTTTCTTCATATCTAAACACCCTTTGTCAAACTAAGGTTTAGACATGTGGGGGTGGGGGTGTTTAGTGGTTATTACATAAGAATTTTGCAGATATGTAATTAGGTTCTGATAGGAATGTAAAACATATTCTGGTGATCTTACAGATAGCAGGGAGCCTTTTAAAATGAGGCAGATTTCCAAGTATACCAGGTGGAATGAGGCCTGCTCTAATTTAGCAGTCCCATTGACACAAGCAAATCTTAAATCAGCCTCCAATCTTGACCCTGGTTCACAGTCAGCATATAAACCTTGCGCTTTAAGATTACAGTTAAAGGAAAGTGATCACTTTCAGTACTTACAGCCTTCTTAAAACTTGGCACCAGATTTAGAGATACCATTATGTGGTCGATTGTTGATGCCCCCATGCCAGATGTATATGTGAATTCATCATATTTATCTCCCTCAATGCTCCCCCCTCCCACATTCAATATCACCAAATCTGTTTACCATTTATAGATGAGACATTCACCAAAATGTTTCTAAATCACTCAATCATTGGGGCCCAGTCTGGCATTAATCAATCAATCAATCAATCAATCAATCAATATTTATTACGGCAAACAGCCAGTATAGTCTGGCATTAAAGTCACCTTCCAAAATCACAGATGCTTCTGGGAAAATATTTTGTACAAAAACTAATATTGCTATATTGTTCTTCTGTTTTCATATCTTAGCTCAATACATTCTGTTACTTCACGTCTAATACTATTTTAAGCCTCCTATTACACTGCATGAAATTTGTATCAGGATGGACAATCTGGAAAATCGTTCCTCTTTTAAATTTACATCCTAAAATAAAATAAAATAAACCATTCTCCTCAAAAATCTGCGTTTGAAAGCTATCGGGGGGGGGGGGGGGGACGGACGGGACTAAGAACACTACCACCAATTGGCCAATAATTTGAATTGCAGTGCTGAGGTTAAAAAAACCCCTATCTTCTGGGGGTGTTCAAACTGCTGTTAGCCGCACCAAAATAACCTCCCTATGGTGCAAGCCTGGGCAGTATGTATGGAGGCTGTGGGCTGTCAATACCACAAGACCACCCCCTTGGCCTTGCTGATGTGGTCCAAAGGAAAGCAGAGCAATGTTTGGCACCAGGTTGGCTGCAGCAGTTGAGGGAAGGAGGCGTACAAGGCACCATCCAACTATCTTACAGATTTCACTCTAGATTTATGTAGAGTTTACTCCTTAGGCTTTTCTTCTCCTGAAGATATCCCACAAGGGGGGCTTAGGATCGAGAGTTTTCCTCCCTCTCCCATACGGGCTACCTTCCCAGGCTGATGAGTCCCATTTGCCCCTCACTTCCCTCTACAGCACATGCAGAAACCACTTTCTTGACTGTTGGACACACTTTTGGTCTCATCCACTCAGTCCCCTAGAGCCGGTCTTCACATGAAGGGAAAGTCCCTAATTCACCAAGGGTTTAAAATCAAATGCACATGTAGTAATAGCAGGGAGCAATTCTAACCTTATTCCCTCCAGCCTTTATGGAGTGGCAGAGATCTGCCTGTCCACACAATGGTCTCGTGAAGTAGGTTAAGCTGAGAGAATAGCAACTGGCCCAAGTTCACTAACTGAACATTGCGGTTGAGCAGTGTTATGAACTTGGTCCTAATACAAAATGCTGCACCACCTTTTCAGTCCAGGTTCCCCTTCTGTGGAACGCTCTCTCACCAGGGAAGCACACCTGGTACCACCACACAGGTGTGTGTTTTAAGGCACCAGGCAAAACATTTCCTATTTACTCAGGCGTGTGGTTTTTAATTGGGAGGGTGGTTAGATATGTCAGTGGACTTAAGTTATACAGTGGTACCTTGGGTTACATACGCTTCAGGTTACATATGCTTCTGGTTACAGATTCCGCTAACCCAGAAATAGTGCTTCAGGTTAAGAACTTTGCTTCAGGATGAGAACAGAAATTGTGCTCCGGCAGCGTGGCAGCAGGAGGAGGCCCCATTAGCTAAAGTGGTGCTTCAGGTTAAGAACAGTTTCAGGTTAAGAACGGACCTCCGGAACGAATTAAGTACTTAACCTGAGGTACCACTCATCTTTTAAAGCAGGATGAGTTGGACTTGTTCAAATTAAATACATTGTCAGATGAGAAATACTCACTTGTGTGTTGCTGTTATTTTTAAAATGTCTTTTTAATATTTTACTGTGTAAGTCACTTATGGGCACTTGAGTACAGAAGTGCAATTTAAAAACAATAAAGAAATAAAATAATTTGAAAAAATCTACCAAAGAACAGTTCTTGAAGAAAAAAAGCATAAAAGTTTATTGTATGCAAAAATCAAGAGAAGACACTCCATGGTATATGTACATTAATTTACAAGAAAAAAAAAATAAAGAGGCAAGTAATTATTTACAAGATGTCCCTTTTGAGTACAAATACACACACACTCACACTCCCAACGTGGATCTTTTTATTTACAAGCAGAAAAAGGCCCTGAAACAAACAAACAAACAAACCCTGAAGCAAAGCAAAATAAAATTTTAAGATGTTAAAAGGTGGAAATGGGGACTCAGGCATATTATAAGCTTCAGGGGAGAGAGGCATATGCGAGGGTCTGTCTACACATTATGAGGAATGCCGAATGTAAGGACATATCACTAGTTGCTTTTACCAAATGTTGGAGAGTGGTAGGCGGGATGATGGTCAGCAGCAGCCATGTCTTCCTCATTATGTGTAATTAAAAACCCTTAAGGCCTTATTTGCTAAATACCTGGAGTTGTGGCCCTGAAGAAACCCCATGCTTAACTTACTGGACCCAGGAACAGCTGTGAACATTCAAAATAGGGAGTCAGCACTGACTGGATATGCCAGGGGCCTTTTTGCCTTCATTAATTTTGATGGAGGACAAAACAAAGAGCTGACAAGAGACTGGCCAGTCTAGATTATACTTCAACAGCAAGGTAGCAAGGGGACCAGATTTCTGCTCTGGACTCAAATGCAATTGTGAGGTGTAAAGGTCCGTTTTGACCAGGTGCAAGTTGATGCAAGGTTCTACCTCATACTGATGAGTTTTTGAACCAACCATGAACCACGCTATAGGCCTTAAATGCTATTTACTCTGGCTATTAAACCAATCTGAGCAAAGCATCCTTCATACACTGCTTGAAAAGGCGCCAGTGGTAGGTGAGAGGAGCCATGTCACTGCCAACCTTTAAAAGGAGGAAGCCAGCCCTGTACAGATCGTATGTTGATTGTCAGTAACTCATGCAGGAAAAGGCCCATTTTACTACAGCCAACTTCTGGCTTGGCTACTTTGTTCTTAAGATGTTTTTATGGGCAGAAACTAACCATGGGGCTTCCCCATGCCCAGCCTGAGATTTACTTCCCACAATGGCAACATCCTACCAAGGCTGATGTAGAGAGGAATGTGCTAGCAGCTCTCTGCACCCTGCTCTTCCCTTGCTGTTCGTGCCCAGAGCTCACATTGTTGGGCTACAGCTCACTAGATCGCACTGCCGGTTCCAGTTTGTGGGACAATGCTGTTAGAACTTTGTTGAACTTCTCGTAGCGCTCACTCTGGCTGCTCTCGGCCCCTCGGCTGCCCCACAGGAGGCGCAACTGGAACTCTGTGCTGAAGATCTCAAGCAGCTCTGGCTGAGGCTGGAAGCCTGTAATGAAAGAACAAGCATGCTTGTAGAGAAGCACTTTTCCAACGTTTCCAGTACGTTTCCAAGCACAGTTCAAAGTGTTGGTGCTGATCTTTAAAGCCCTAAACAGCCTCAGTCCAGTATACCTGAAGGAGCGTCTCCACCCCCATCCTTCTGCCCGGACACTGAAGCCCAGCTCCGAGGGCCTTCTGGTGGTTCCCTCACTGCGAGAAGCCAAGTTACAGGGAACCAGGCAGAGGGCCTTCTCGGTAGTGGCACCCGCCCTGTGGAACGCCCTCCCACCAGATGTCAAAGAGAAGAACAACTACCAGACTTTTAGAAGACATCTGAAGGCATCCCTGTTTAGGAAGCTTTTAATGTTTAACAGACCACTGTATTTTAATACTTTGTTGGAAGCTGCCCAGAGTGGCTGGGAAAGCCCAGCCAGATGGGCGGGGTATAAATAATATATTGTTGTTGTTGTTGTTTCTAATTCAAAGAGAGAAACCACATGGGAATGCTTAAGGGTCTGAGGGCACAAATATTTCTTATTTTGACAACAATTCCTTCTGGTTGGTATCCATATAAATATGGGGATTGTTGTTGTTGTTTTGCACCCCTTTTTGACACCTGTAGGATGGAAACACCTGTACCACCCTAACTCCAGCACTGACTGGTGATCCATGAGGACCCCAAACATATTGCTACTCAAGGCAAAGGAGAAGATGCCACCGTCCCCTGCTACATTCCGCATGCAGAAGCCAAGTTGACAGGCAGATCAATCTTAGTTCAACATTGGCATCAGGATGCCTGAAGGCTGCAGGCTAGTTTAGGGAGTGCAGAACAGGCCACGGGGCACACACTGCTCTGTCTTCCCAACATGCTCTTAGCTGAGCTTTGTTCCACATGGCCTTCCTTACCCTGCAGCTTCATCTCTGCGTTGGTGTGGTACAGTCCGCCATGATGAGCCACCATTCGTGCCGCTTCCAGGTGGGCCATGACTACCTCCACACCATTGTCCAAGTTTTCCCAGGGCTCGGGGTTTTCTGGAACTGCTGCGTCCCGTTCCAGAAGTGTGATGAGGGGCACTATGTGTGGGAAGGTAGTGTTGGACAATGGGGGGCCTTCTGGAAGAAGAAAGCAAAAGGATTTATTTATATGAGGAGCTGAGCTGTCACTGCATATCTTGCCCTGCACCATTTCCTTTTGACTAGCTGCAGCCCTTCAGAAATACTCTGTTTACAAGTTTGAGGCTCCTGGTCTGCACTATACTAATCCGGCTACGCCCACCAACCCTTCCCTGGCAATATTAAAGAAATTGTACTGCATTAGTCACCTGGAGTACTATGGCCAGTTCTGGGCACTGTGCTTAAAGAAAAATGTAAAAGTGGTTTAGAGGAGGATAATGACGATGGTCTAGATTCTAGAAAGCTGCTGCTCATCAAGCAGATAATGCTGGACAACGTGGGCCTGGCATAAAGCAGCTTCCCATGTTTCTATGTCTCTCGCATGCAAATTCTTTGCTATGCGCACTGGATCACAGCATAGAATTAAAAGCAAAACCTTCACTGGAGGTTTTTAAGCAGAGGTTGGCTGGCCATCTGTCATGGATCCTTTAGCTGAGATTTCTTCATTGCAGGGGGTTGGAATAGCTAACCCTTGGGGTCCCTTCCAATTCTACAATTCTATGAAATATTTGCTAATGCTCGCACAAACAACACTAGACAGATAAATATACAAGGCTAGTTTCTACATGGTGCCTAGAGAATAACTTGCACCTTAATATCAGCAAGACAAAGGAGACGGTGTTGGACTTTCGGAGGAAGAGAGGGAAACTAGCCCTGTTGTATATTGGGGTGTGTGTGTGGAGAGAGACTCTTCCTTTAAATTCCTGGGAGTTTGCCTTAGTGAAGACCTTACTTGGAAAAACAATATAAACTCAGGTGGTTAAGAAGGCCCAACAGACTCCATTTTCTCGGGGTCTTGCGAAAGAACAATGTTAAACAACAATTGATGACCTCCTTCTACCGGTCCACAATAGAAAGTGTCCTCTCGTATTGTATCACAGTGTGGTACGTTGGCTTGACAGCCATGGACAGAAAGTCTTTACAGAGGGCGGTGAACACAGCGCATGATATCATGGGCTGTCCCCTGAGCCTGCTAGATGACATCACAAGGGATCATTGCCTTAGGAGAGCGAGAAAAATTCTCAGGGACGATTCACACCCCGGCTAGCACCTCTTTAATCTTCTACCCTCGGGCAGGAGATACAGAAGTATAATCAGTCGTACCGCCAGGCTAAAAACAGTTTCTATCTGTGGGCTGTTAGGCTGCTGAACGGAAAATAATATAGTGCAACTGACTTTCAGGGTTGGTGTGTTGTGCGACAAGCACACAGAGTGCAATGAGATTGAGTGGGGGGGGGAGGCTTGGTTAATTTCATTGTACACAGGTTGTACATTGACAATAAAGATATTATTATTATTATTATTATTATTATTATTATTAGTTTCAAAACTTAAGCATTTCTTTCATTTTGCTGTCTGAGGCAAAAGACATGATGGCACTCTACTCCAAGACGTATACAGAAGCCAACTGGACTGGTAGCTGAATCTTACTCCAGTACTGCTGAAAGGACTGTGCCTTCCAGGTGCAGGCTGCATTGTAATCCCAGCTCAGTCCACTCCCCGCCCCTGAGCGACTGCTGCCTGAGACAGCTGCCTCACTTTGTCTCATCATAGAGCCGGCCATGTCTGTTAAGTAACAAACACAACATGTGAAACTAGATGATGCAGCAGAGTAGCAGACTCTGCGTAACCTAATAGGGAGTGAAACCTGAGGGCAGGCTCACCAAGATGGGGGGTGGGTAGCTTACTTCCAAAGCTTACCTTTGCCTTCGTTCAGGCTTTTAAGGAAAGGCTTCAGCTTCTTCTCATAGAGAATAGCTCCCTCCGTGTGACGCTGGCGTAGAACCATCCAGGTCTGCTCCAGACGTGAGATCTGAAAGCCAAGGGGGAAAGGGAAACATAAGGGGAGGGGCACTGAAGCAGAGCTATTTATTTATTAAATTTGTATACCTCCTTTCACCCAAAGATCATGGGACAGTTCACAACATAAAAATACAAAAAAAAGAAGAACACAAAACACATTGTGAGGGCTGCAGGTGAGCAACCTATGCCTGGAAGGGATACTGCATAAAACCTGGCCTGGCTCACAAAGCCCCTGTACTGAGAGGTTTGCTGGGGTGATTTATGGTGATTTGGGGTGTCTCTCTGGTTCCCTTGGGCTCCTTCTCATGGTTTCTAAAAGGGGCTTTGGATATCATCCAGAAATGCAAATAAGCGTAAGAGCCTGGAAACTCCGCTTTCTTTATTTCTTTGCACATCCACTGCGATGTCTGCCTGGGGCTCATGCTGGGTCAAAACTGCACATCTGTCCTGCTTCAGGTCTTCAGGCCTGACTGGAAACACTCAAAAAGCCAGCGAGGGTGTCTTGCACACCTGTTTAATGGAGCTTCTGGTAGTATCCAAAGTCCAAACTCCTTCTACGAGGATGCTGGTAGCCCAATTTGCTGATGGACTGCAGGGGATTCCAGAGATCAGCAAAAATGCAAGCTGTGGGTAGGGGTGGGGCAGTGGCCAAAAAAAAGGCCACTTGCTTGTGCTCACACAAGTACCTGGGTCATTTCAAGGGCATCCATCACAGCAGCAAAACTGAACATGTTGCCCATGGTACTCTTCAGCTCAGCAGCCAGCTGGATGGTCTTGTGAAGAAGGGAAGCCCTCTCTTCCATGCTTCCTGTGCAGCCCAGAATATCCACAGCAATCATTATGGTCATGGTATGGAACCTAAGGAAGGAGAAGAGGGAAGGAAGTGAGGAAGCCAGCTGGAAGCAAAGAAAGGGGTGTAGAAGAAGCGCTTCCAGATTTCTACTTCCCCAGCCAGCAACCTGGGCATTCAGAACCTTTGGGCAATGGGTTTCTTAAGGGCCTTAAGGGCTAGATTTTTTTTAAAAGCAAAAGCTCAGAGTGCCAGAATGCTAAACTCTGCACCTAGTTTCGCATTTCCTGCCCTTGAATCTCCACAGTGCTGCCTAAAAGGCAGCAGCCCTTATCTCTGCAGGAGAGACAGACATTGCAGGACTGTGCTTCGCAACGAGGGACCTGCCCACCCAGCCCAAAGCATCTCTTTTGTCTGCCTGCCCCTCGAACTCTACCTTTCCAACAAATCAAGCCGAAGTTGATGTCCGTGGGGCAGGGTGAGTAGCTCCATCCCTGAGCTCACTCCCATGAGCCTCTGCATCTCCTTGGTAACGCCCAGTATCCTAGCAACCTGCGACAAAGAGGGGGAAAGTGGTTTGATTTCCATCCTTGGATGCAGAAGGGAATCTTCACAATGCAAAGGATTGATGATGATAATGATGATGGTGGTGATATTTTTAGTTACTAAAAAAGTCACTGGAGAAACAATTGTTATTTGTTAGAATCTCTGCAACCACAAATCATTGTTCTGAATTGATGCTATTTCAGCTTTATATCCCACTTATCTGCATTTTTGCACGAACTAAAAATAATTTTGTAAAAAAACAGCAGCAGTGGACCTAACGCAGAGCCTTGACCCTCCCCTTCACAATTCCTAGGACTAGCTGTGTTGAGCATACAGAATGGCTTGGACAGTGCTGATTTTTCCCTTTCCCAGAGTCCTTCATGCCTGTATAAGGTAAAGGTAAAGGTACCCCTGCCCATACGGGCCAGTCGTGACCGACTCTAGGGTTGCGCGCTCATCTCGCTCAAGAGGCTGGGAGCCGGTGCCGTCCGAAGACACTTCTGGGTCATGTGGCCAGCGTGATGAAGCTGCAACTGGCGAGCCAGCACCAGTGCCGCACATGGAAACGCTGTTTACCTTCCCGCTAGAAAGCGGTCCCTATTTATCTACTTGCACTTAGGGGTGCTTTCGAACTGCTAGGTGGGCAGGAGCTGGGACCGAACGACGGGAGCTCACCCCGTCGCGGGGATTCAAACCGCCGACCTTTCGATCAGCAAGTCCTAGGCTCTGTGGTTTAACCCACAGCGCCACCCACGTCCCTTTCATGCCTGTATAACAGGCAATAATTAAACAGGTCACAGAGCTGGGTCTGTGTCCTCTGGAGCAAGGGGTGTCTCTGAGCAGGAGGAAGGCAAGATGGAGAAAGGCTGTCCTCCTGCAGGTTGCCTCACTCTGGCAACTTCAGCTGCTGTGCAAAACATTTGGGGACGGGCTCAGCAAAATTCTCTTGTGACAGGCTGTCGGCTTCAGGCTGGGAAGAACAGATAAGCGTCTGTTCCGGACCAGCCAAGGACAGGCTTACTCCTGGGACAATTTTGGTAGGTCTGCTTGCCAAGCCAGTGAATAAACACTTGGCGCTGACAAGAGAGACGGGCATCACAGTGCAAACACTTAAAGCCCAGAGAGTCCCATCCTGTGTAATGAGACTTAAAATAAATTAGCAGCCATTAATTTTCCATGAACCTGTGATTGAAATACGGAGGGGCAGGGAAAATTGGGGCTGGGGGCACAAGACCCTGGGGGCCCTTGGCATGGTGCTCTCTGGTATGCCCTCTCATAAGTTAGCGCCCCCTTCCCAGCAGGATTGTCCAGTGGAGGTAATCCTCCTTTTGGCTCCACCTTAATTTCCACTTTAATTTCCTACAAGGACCCAGGCATATTGTCACATCATATCAATGTGGAATATAAGACTGGTGACCAACCTACATGTGCTTTCTCTGAATGTGCAGGTCAGCCCAGAGCTGATCACCCAAACAGAATTCCCAGTGTCCAAATGCAATGCGCTCTATGTGGGGCTACCTTTGAAGGTGACCCAGAAACTACAACTAATCCAGAAAGCGGCAGTAGACTGATGACTGGGAGTGGCCGCTGAGACCACATAACACTGGTCTTGAAATACCTACATTGGCTCCCAATACGCTTCCGAGCACAATTCAAAGTGTTGCTGTTGACCTTTAAAGCCCTAAACAGCCTCGGTCCAGTATATCTGAAGGAGCGTCTCCACCCCCATCGTTCTACCTGGTCACTGAGGTCCAGTGTCGAGGGCCTTCTGGCGGTTCCCTTGCGGCGAGAAGCCAAGATACAGGGAACCAGGCAGAGGGCCTTCTTGGTAGTGGCACCCGCCCTGTGGAACACCCTCCCACCAGATGTCAAAGAGACAATCAACTACCAGACTTTTAGAAGACATCTGAAGGCAGCCCTCTTTAGGGAAGCTTTTAATGTTTAATAGACCATGGTATTTTAATACTTTGTTGGAAGCTGCCCAGAGTGGCTGGGGAAACCCAGCCAGATGGGCGGGGTATAAATATATTTATTATTATTATTATTATTATTATTATTATTATTATTATTATTATTAAAGCAATGCCACCAGCACAGCTGGTACTAACTGGCCCTATCCTGAACGAGAGGCAGCCCAAAGAGGCCACCAGCAACCCAAAATCCCATACCAGGCAATCCACTTGGGTGATATGTTTGGCCAGAGTCTTGGCGTCCACTTCTGCTAGGAGTTCCTTGACCTTCTTGAGCACTGCCATCTCCAGGGGCTTGTTTTCCAGAGGGATAAGGAGCGACTGGAAGATAGCTGGGTTGAAGGAGGAGGTCCTTTCCACAACAGGGACAACAAAGCCCACACTGTTCAGATCCAGCCTCTTCCTGGGCCCCACCTCCACGTCAGAACCATTCAGAGCAAGCCCTCTCTGGCCCTCGTCCCCTTTTAGCCTCTCAACGTAGCTCTTGGCTGGCATCTGTTTGCCCTCTGCAGTTGGCCTGTCCCACTGAACTGGGGAAGGAGGGTGGAGCTGGCAGTAATGTCCTGTGTCCGGATCGCTATAGCTGCTGACCGAGGGAGAAGGAGAGGCCCTTGAGTAGCCATGGGAAGGGGTCGAGTGGGGGCTGTCAGACTGGTCAGCCTTGCTACCATTTCCTTGGCACAGCTGTGGTTCACTGGAGCGTCTTATGACAGGGGATGACGGGGTTATGCCACTGCCCGCTTGGCCAGTCTGTGGTTTTAGCCGAGTAACTGCAAACAGAGGTAGAGAAAGGGGGTTTTTTATTGTAAGAGTGGACACAGGCAGCAAAACAAGTATTTGGTTTGCAACGGTAACATGTTATGAGGTCCACGCAATCATCTGTGTGTGCCCATGTTGCCGCTTTATAACAATTTCACCAAAAAACTGACATCCAATTCACTCAAAAATGGTGCCAAACTGTTGCAAATTCTCTTCTGAAAGGTTTGGCAGTAGAAACAGAAGGGTTTTTATCATAGGCCAAGAAATCAGCCCTCGACTACTTAACCTGCAGAAAAAGCATTGTGAAGTGCGGGATAATAATTACTTAACACAGCATAGTATAACCCCACCCCCCACAATCAAATCAGAATGAACGTTCAATAGTTGACATCATATGACCTCCCTGCAAGTTTTGTGCAGACAAATTATCATTTATTTGTATGCTGCCTTTCCAAAGTTAAAACTATGCTCAATGCCGTTTCCAACATAACTATAAACATAACAAAAAGTAGTCATAAACAATAAACAAAGCAACAGAAAGTACACAACCAAACTGAACAATTTCCACATAAAAGATCCAAAATAAAGATAAAAACTAAAAGCAACAACAGCAGCAACCTCTGCCAAAAGAGTCCCCTAAACAATTACTCAGCCCATTTCTGTAGGAGGACTTAATAAAAGATAATCTGGAAAGGACCAGAAAGTTTTGGGCTAAAGACCAGGACAAAAATGCTTTATAAACAGTAGGGAGAAGTTCTCACATGCCATTGTGATTACTCTTTATTATACGTTGAATATTTCTCTCACACTCCATTTTATTTTATTTTTGTTCTTTGAAAACCGTTCCTACCTGTGCTGTAGGCTGCAGTTGCAGGGCTCTCAGAGATGGGAGACATTGAAGAGTGGAGATCTTGGATTTGATCCACACTGACCGCACAATTCCGGATGATGTCTCGGTGATGTGGCAAGGAGACACTAGGCAAAGGATAAAAGAAGGTGTTGGCACAAAATCCTCCCAAGAGGACCAAGCAGGGCCAGACTAAGGGGCCAGACCCATGGAATAAGTGGGCATTGTTGCTTTGATTAAGGCAAAAAGTGCAGCGGCTAGGGACTCTTGCCTGTTTGTAGAAAAGCACAATGCCCACATCAAATGGACCTGCTTTATCTTCCCTCAATCTTAGTCGCCTCACTTTGCCAATGACATGGGCCTGTCCTGTTTGTGAGGTGCCCTAGTCTGGGTCCAGGATGCTAAAGTCTCCATCAGCTGGGACACTTTTTCCGTATGAGATGTGTGGTGGCATCACCCAGCCACAGTCCTCATCATGGAGGATGGATTACCAAATTGCATAAGCCAGCAAGGGAGTCGGTTCTAATTGAAGGCCACACTACCGTAAAAGTAAAGTATTATTCAAAAGCAGGAGTTCTATTTCACACAGGGGGACTTACGAGCCCCGGGGATATAGAGATGACTTGAGTTGCTTCAGACCCAGAGCAGCAAACCTCTTGCTATCGAGAAGCTTGGTTCAGCTGGAGCTCCACACAAACCTGAGAACCGTGGGTGGTATTCAACTAGGTTCCACTCAAAGCAGACCTACTGAAATTCAATGGACCTAACTTAGTCCTTCTCATTCATTTCAAAGAGTCTACACACAGCTGAATGCTGCCCTTTGTTTATTTTGCACATAGCCAAACAAATGAGTGTGGTGCCATTGCCAAGGAACCAGAGGAAGCTACAGTGGTTTTAATAGGACCTTCTCCATAGTTTCATGTCTTCCCACCTACCCACAATGTAAACAATGATGAGTAAAATAAGCCCACTGCAAGCGTAATGAGTCCCCAGAAACTTTTGGTATACCTAATGCAAGTGTATCTGATATTTTATTATTTTTATTAATGTCTATTTTGTTTGTTGTTTTACTACATATGAGGTTTTAATGTTTCATGATTGCAAGCTGCTCTGGGATTACCTTCTGGCTGGAAATAGTTTATATAAATAAATAATAAGCAAGTGAAGGTACCTCTATTCAGCTGTTAATTAATTCTGAGAAAGAAATTAAGAGGCTTTCCCCAACAAGCATCTTCCCCTGGTAGTTAAGCCCAAGGACTCATCCACACTTACCTTTTGCAATGCTATTTCCAGGTACAGGCCCACACTTTAATGCTCCGTATAAGAGCATTGTTGTTGCCCTGGAGTATTTCCCACAAAAACCTACTCTTCAGCGCTCAATCGGAGCAAACATCAATTTGGGTTTTCTGCAGGTTTTCTGCAATTTGCTCCGATTCGGCTTTAAAGAGCAGATTTTTGGTTCAGAAAGCTCTGGAGCAAAAAGAAGAAAGGGGAGGTTGCGCTTGGACACAGAGCTTTAAAGTGTGGACCATGCCTGGAAATAAGCAGAGGAAAGTTAAGTGTGGAAAAGCCCTCACTTGGGAAATTTCCAGGGAAATGCCTCCATCTTTTCCCCATGAGGGGCACCTCAGTCACCTAGCTGTAGGTTCTGATTCCCCCACACCTTTGTCTGACCTCCCCACTACTCTGTGACAGGAAATGTGAACTGATTTGTAGGACTCAGAGCTAGAGCTCATGAAATTCAGGAGGTAGGGGTGGGGATAGGATATAAATTTAATGAACGAACCATATTTGACCTCATCTTTGCTTGATTCTGAACCCTTTTCCTGGATGTTTCTTGTCTTGGCTGCTCTCCAAGATATCCAGGCACTGTCCTCCTACGAGCCCATGCTTGCCTATGCAGCAACTCTGGACTCTACTAGGAAACTCAGGATATTGCTTCTTTTTGCCTTCCCTTCCTCAGGACAGGTAATTAACAGAGTCTCTCTCCACTTTCCTCTCCCTCCCTGTCTCTGAACCTTCATGTTGGCCCCAATGCCTGGTGCACTGCGGTCCATACTGCAACTTCCCAAGACACACTCCATTAGGAGCAATCTCCTAGCCCCCTGCCCCCAATAGGAACCATTTCAGTTTATGGCCCAGGCAATGTGGGCCCGGGTACTTGATGGGATTTGCAATTGCGAAATCTCTTGCTATTTTATATTTCTGCATTTGCAGTTCAAGCCGCAAAGCCGTTTCACTCACTGCCTGCCATCTTTGTGGAAATGAAATTATATTCATTTATATTGGTAATTTGTTGGTTCCCAGTTCCCACATGTGAGAAAAGCAATACTGGCATTTCTTAAGTAACTGTGCCTGTTGCAGTAACCTCAATGCAGTTGTCTCCAGAAAAGAACCCTGAAGTTGTATGTCTATGAGCAGGTATTAAAGAATACAAGCTCATGATCACTTGTCTCCCTTGGAGCCAGAGGGTTGTGGCTAACTAAGTTCTACTCAGAACAGACCAATTAAAACTAATGGGCCTAAGTTACCCACGTGCATCATTTTCTACATGTCTCCTCTGAGGTTGAATGCAACCCAGAGCAGAGAAGACACTGGCAACTAGAGGGGCTGAGGCACAGCAGCTGAGACAACCAGAGGCAGTCCACCACTGAGAGTGGAGTCCACAGTAAAAATTGCACAAGTGCAAAGGTGGTTCTCTAACACTCATAGCTGGTCTCCCTTAACGTAGAAAGCTGGATGCACAAGGGGGCTCTGCAACAACCTGTTGCGGGATGCAACGTTTTTGGTCAGGGTGCCATCCAGCCAACCACACCCTCTTGCAGGATGCTCCATTCCATTTCCTCTCCCGCTGGCTTTCTGCCTACCCTGCCCTGCAGCAGTTAGCATTCCATGCCTATTGAACTTGCTCAGACCTCACTGGTCTGTGTTTGGCAGTCCCCTCCCTAGGGCTCCCTCTGCCACCTCGTTTTGTCTTTCTGTAACTCTTGGGAGTTCCCCCAAGCCTGCTGATGCTGCCTCCTTGTATGTGGACGGTGCCATTCTGGCTACATGCAGACGACTGGCTGTTGGAGAACAAGTTTGCCATTGTACAGGCTTACCTGGTTGGGCACCCATCACCCCTTGTGATCTTGTCAGCCGTCAATCCGTCAGTCATGGTAATGCTCCTCCGTTTGATGTGCCCCCCTTTCTGGCTGGAGTGGCTGTGCGAGCCGCTGTGCTTCCCGTTGGCAAGTCCATAGCTGGCCTCCAAGTAGCGCAACGGGAAAGTGCGGTTGATGGGGCAGTAGAAGATGGCCCCGCTTTGCTCAGAGATTGGCTTGCGGTTGCCCACGTAGAAGCGCACCAAGGCTGGCACATTGTCAAAGCTCTCCTGCTCGAAGAGGTACTGGATGTGAGTGCGGCCTTCGCTGGACTTCACCATCACCTTGTTGATCTTGAAGTGGAGGGGCTCATTCCGCCAACGGCACGTCAGCACATAATCCCCAAGGCTGGTGAGTGAGTCGCGGATCAGGAAGTCCCCGTTCCTCTGAATCAGGCTCTCAGACACCTGAAAGGCCAGAGGGAAGGTTTGTTTAAGCAAATTTGCAATGCCCTGAAAGAAAGTGAGAGGCTCTTTGTTTGCTCAGATGAATGGCTTTTTTTAAAAACCCAACAGCTCCTCATCTTGGAACGAGAGCAGGATTCCATTCTGAAGGTAAGTTGGGAAGAACTGTTTCTCTGATCATGTGCAGAGAACACTGTCCTCTCACCACTAACTAAAGTTCAGGAGCAGAGATTCCTAGGGTACCATGTTTGGACTAATGATGGGCCCTTGGTCTCAAAAAGCTGAGGACTATTGGGCTAAAGGGTGGAGAAACTTGAGCCTTTGGGGCAGGGGTGAGGGATTCCCCAATAGCACGATCATTCTCATGTTTCCCACATTAGTCCCATCTATTGGGAGTGCTGCCCTCTTCCAAACACAATTATACTGTTAACTGAAAGTCCTATCTTTTTACAGCAAGCGCCTCAGATTAGTGATGCTAAGCCTGAAGAACAACGAAAGCAGTCTTGTTTCCTATAATTGGCTGTTTATTTAATCTCTCTTGGATTCGTATCTTGTCCAGTCTTAGAGTCAGGATCCTAATTCTCCCTGTTGGAGAGTGAGCATACAGTGTGCTTGTAAATTCCCAGGTGTGCTCCACCTGTAGGGTGGGCAATGCCATTGCTCCCAATAATTCCTGCAGCGCTGTGGTTGCTCTGTGGGCAACAGCACATCTGTGGCATCTGGTTTACAGCCTTTTCCACTCTAAGGGGGTGATATCTCCCCACAAATGTCTGGGGTGGGGAAAACCTGTGAGCCTCCAAATGTTGGGACTACAACTCCCATGGTCCCTCATTGGGCTGATGGGAGATGTTTGCCAACAACTACTGGAAGGCCACAGGTTCTCCTCCCCTGAGCTAGTTCTCTGGATGTTTTGCATCAAGCAGGGGATTTGAGTAAATGGTCTACCAGATCTACTCCACGAGTCACAGCCATAGCAACAACCCTGCTGTGGAGGCCAGGTTCCCACAGGTCGGTGGGAACGAGACACTCCTGCCAAAGGGTGAAGCTTGCTTGTGAACAAAGCAAGGGAGGGGCACAGGTGCAGTTGGGGAATCCCATGTATAAAGGAAGGAGCTTTGTGACACTCCTGCTCCAAACCAAGGAGGATGAGGAGACCCAGGCAGCCATGATAGCATCCAGCTAAAGTCAAGGGGGCTCATAGACCACCCCACACCCTTCTTCACTGTTGCACAGACACAGCTCACAGACCCACGGGGCTTCCTCTAGCCAGAGATCTTCCAGCTGCCCCTCACCTCTCGGGGGATACGCCCATGATACCAGGCGTGGCTGCGGAGGTCCGTGCTGCTGAGTTTGAGCTCCTCTTCCAACTCTTTGTGAAGCTTCTCTGGTGATGAGTCAAGGATATATTTCTCCTTGGAGAACTGGGGGAAGAGAAAGAGAGAGAAAGAGCCTTAAATGAGGTGCCACCAAGTCAGCCTTCAGTGGTGGACACAACCAGTATGCCAGAGCCAAGCTGTGCCAGGTGTTATCCTGACACTGGGTGGTAGGTAATAAAATAAACGACAACAATAATAAAAAAATTCAGAATACTACAATATCCAAAGAAAGGCAATATTTACTGAAGCGGACATATCTGAACCATTTCAATTCTGATAGTCCTGGAATGCCTGAGTGGACAAGTAGTTTTTAAGCAAGCACTCAAAGCATAGCACAGTGAGCACATGGTGTATTTCTGAAGAGAGGCTGTTCCACATGGTGGACGTCGCTACCAAAAAGACCTTCCTCTCTTCTGAGTAGTGGAAAGAAGGATCCTTTATGGCTGAGGCACCACTGGGACACTGGCTCTCTTTCTGCACCCTTTAATCAGCTGCTTCATCTGTCAAGTGATCCAATATCTGAATGATCCCCTGAATCTCTAATCAGTGTTGTTTACACACGAGAGGAGAACAGTAGAGGCAAGAAAGCAATCCATCCAATTGCCCAGGAGACCAAGTCACAGTCCCGCCCACTCACATCCCCATAAAACTTTGACAAATGATGTAAAAATGAATTGGAATTCCACAAGAATTTACCTCTCTCCTAACACCAGAACTCGTGGGCATCCAATGAAGCTAAATGTTGGAATATTTAGGAAAGCGCTTTTTTCATGCAGCACAGAGTCAAACTAGGGAAGTCGCTCCCCCAGGAGGCAATGGTGGCCATCAACTTGGATGGCATTAAATGAGAATTGGGCAAATCCACAGAGGACAGGGCTATCAATGACTAACAGCCATGACTGCTCTGTTCTGCCTCCATAGTCAGAGGCAGCAATGCTTCTGAATCCCAGCTGCTGTAAAAGAGGGGAGAGGTCCTGCTTGTGCATCTGGTTGGCCATTGTCAGAACACAATGCTGGACCTGATGGGCCATTAGCCTCATCCAGCAGCCTCTTCTCCTTATGTTCTTCTCTCTCTCTCTCTCATATAATAATAATAATAATAATAATAATAATAATAATAATAAACTTTCTATTTATACTCCGCCCTCCCCAGCCAGATCCGGGCTCAGGGCAGCTAACACCAAAAAAAATTACAATAAAATGTAATAGGGGGGAAAAAAACCAGTTAATTAAAATACAGGTTAAAATGCAGCTTCATTTTAGTAGTAACCCATAGATCAAAACCATAAGGGGAGGGAAACGTAAGGGTCAGACTGAGTCCAAACCAAAGGCCAGGCAGAACAGCTCTGTCTTGCAGGCCCTGCGGAAAGATGTCAAATCCCGCAGCGCCCTGGTCTCTTGTGGCAGAGCATTCCACCAAGTCAGGGCCAGTACTGAAAAGGCCCTGGCCCTAGTTGAGACCAGTCTAACCTCCTTGCGGCTCGGGACCTCCAAAGTGTTGTTATTTGTGGACCTTAAGGTCCTCTGTGGGGCATACCAGGAGAGGCGGTCCCGTAGGTACGAGGGTCCTAGGCCGTATAGGGCTTTAAAGGTCAAAGCCAGCACCTTATACCTATTCTGTACTCCACTGGGAGCCAGTGCAGCTCGTAAAGCACTGGATGAATGTGATCCCATGGCAAGGACCTCATAAGGAGCCTCGCCGCAGCATTCTGCACCCGCTGGAGTTTCTGGGTCAGCTTCAAGGGCAGCCCTGCGTAGAGTGAGTTACAATAATCAAGTCTGGAGGTAACCGTCACATGGATCACTGTGGACAGAGAAAGGTAAGGGACCAACTGCTTGATACGGCGGAGATGGAAAAATGCTACCTTTGCTGTGGCTGCAACCTGCGCCGCCATGGAAAGGGAGGAGTCGAAGGTTACACCCAAGCTCTTGACAGAAGGCGCTGGCCCCCCAACCCCATGTCCCGACCCAGCCAGAGGACCTCTGTCTTCAAAAGATTTAACTTCAACCAGCTCCCACACAGCCATCCAGCCACAGCTTCCAAGCATCTGGTCAGTGTGTCCGGGGCCGAGTCAGGGTGGCCATCCATCAACAGATAAAGTTGGGTGTCATCAGCATATTGATATATATGGTAAGGGTGAGGAAAGAAACTGTAATGTAGGCCCTTACTTACAATGTTTATGACTACCAATTCTGGAATGATTTCCAAGCTCCCTGGAGTGCTTGTAAGCAAGGCCCAAGGGAATGATTTTTAAAAAATGAATAAAATAAAATGAAGGGCTGAAGCTTGCCTGAAGGAGGGGTGGTCATCCAGGATGGCAAAGCCTCCTGTGCTGGCAAAGCTTCTTTCTCGGCAGGCGTCCTGACCCTGGTTAACCAGCCACTCAGTCACTCACACGTGGCTGCCGGCATTGCCACTGGCTGGGAACCAGGCCAAGTGTAAACAGACTCGTCAGCTAACATGAGCTGTGAAGTGGTTTCTGCTGTGAAAGGCCTGTCGGCAGAGAAGAGTCAGTTGACAGATCAGCTTGGCTAGCCAACTCTGAGGCGATGCACCTTGATTGGTGTGCTTGAGTGCACAAAGGACCCAGTGGTGGAGTTAGGTAATTTTAGACTTATTCAGGGGTGGGGAGCATCTTCTTTAGAGGGAAATGTTTATTATTTCACAGCCTGCTGCATTTCTCTACTCATCCCCCTCCAGTTCTGCTGGTTGTGACCCTAGCCTCTGCTCCAAAGTCAGTCCCTGCTTGCACTACTGATGGGAGGACCAAGAACCTCAGGCATGCCTCTTGCCTTCCCCTCGCCCTACTCATTGTCCCAAGAGGGACATTTGCATTAAGCTACCCTTTGGGGAAAGAATCTTCCTTCTGCCTCTCCCATCACAGCAACCAAACACACAGTGCCTGACATTAGGTTATTTCAGTCTGCCTGAAGATTTTCAGCAGGTTAGGGAATTGGTGATGCAAGCTCAGCAAAAGTCATTCAGTGGGGTGGCAGGGAGGGTTGGAAACAAAGATCTCATCAGCGCAAGGGGCTCAGGTGGCTGCCGCAGAGTCTTCTGCCCTGTTCAACCAAGCGGCAGGTGGTTCCTCCCCACCCCTGCTTTCCTGATCTCCTCTCTCATTAGGCAACTTAGTTCAGCAAAGCCACTGCCACTTGTAATGAAACCATGCTGGTTTTGCAGCACTGGGAGACTGGGGCAACTTAACGTGCCTTTGGTTCAAATTAATGGGAAGCAGAAGCCTTTTCTAACCACAACTTTCCCATAAGTAACACCCATTTGGACATACCTAAAGCAAGAGTGGCCTCTTATTAGGGTAAATGAAAACACTGCGAGCAGGTTTTTGAACAAAGGTCTTCTTCAGGCTGGGTTGTTACGCAATAAAATGGGGCATACGACATGAGAAAAAGACATTGCTCCAGTCTGCAGTCAGTAAGATGAAGTGCAGGAAGGTGTTGACTTCAGCATGGAATTCAGTGGGACTTACTTCTGAGTAGACATGGTTGGAATTGCAAGCAAAAGGTTGCTTGTATCCAACGTTAGCCACATTCTGAGCAGACCCATGAACTCAATGGCATGGCTAAGCTAGGTATATTAATCCCAATGGGCACAATCAACAGTATTATTAACAATGAATTAATTCCTTATGCCTCATTTATGCACCAACTATTGTATTAAGGTAGCAGAATACCCCCTGACCATTATCTGTATAACAGGTAGATAAAACTCTGTTTTATCTCCATTTCCCCTCAAATATGTGGCTGTGTGAATATTTCAGCTGCCTCTAGGACAGGCATCCCCAAACTCGGCCCTCCAGCTGTTTTGGGACTACAGTTCCCATCATCCCTGTCCACTGGTCCTGTTAGTTAGGGATGATGGGAGTTGTAGTCCCAAAACAGCTGGAGGGCCGAGTTTGGGGATGTCTGCTCTAGGACATCTGGAAAGAGGAGATACTACAATATTAAGATACAGCACTACCAATTCCTTTCACGGAAAATGTCCTCAACATTTTCCAAAGGACTCCTGCTTGCAATGTGCTTTAAAGATAGAAGATTAAGGCTCAAAGACAGTGGCTTTATCAATGGCAAAAGGAAAAAGAATTTGTGGCTGCGTTTAAGCCAGCTCCGAACCACACTTTGTTTCCTGATCATGCCCTCAACATTGCCTCCAATGCGAAAGACCTGGTATTCAGTGAGACATCATTTCCTACCTGCCACACCCACCACGGCCCTTTTCCTGGTGGCCCTGAACATTGACAACAAAATGGCCAACATCCCTCCCCACCCTCAGTCTGGCCCTGTGCTTAATTTTCAAGGAACCTTATACCTTCCATACAGAACTGACGGGATCCAAACTTTGGTGAACGAGCCCTGGAATTTCTGCCAGGCTCTGTCCCAAATCACTACAGCACAGATGGGATTAAGGTGCCAGGCCTGGACTAATCGCGCCTGATCTAGCCTACCTATTAGTTTTCCTTGTTCTTTGCCCTCCAAATCCTTAGCTCCCTGTAGGGATTTAATGAAAGCTCCTCTCTCTCTCTCTCTCTCTCTCTCTCTCTCTCTCTCTGTGTGTGTGTATTAGCAAGGTTGCCACTTTCCAGCACAGATAAGCTAAGACGACGGATTGTACAGAGGGGTGTAGGGGTGTGTGTGTGTGTGTGTGTGTGTGTGTGAGAGAGAGAGAGAGAGAGAGAGAGAGAGAGAACAATAACCAACAAGAAGCAGCTGGCAAATGTGAACTGAAATAATGCGCTAGTAGGAAATTGCTAGTCCTTCCACCCCCCCTCCCCACCCATGCAGTCCCAAAATATTTCTGACAGATTGTGCAGAGAGGCATAAACAAACCCCACAAAGGGTTAGCCCTGCTGCATGTCATGCCGGCTGGTTTAATGAATAATAATGACAGATTTAAAAAGGGAATCTTCTGCATAAAGATGAGCTTTCCGCTAATGCCCCATTTCGCTAATGCCCTTGTGCACCTGAGCCTTAAACATACAATCCCACCCTCCCCATTTCCCCTGCTCTCCTCCCCATCGCTGGTTTCCTCTCCCTGGAGGAGAGGCGAGGCAATGATGTAATGTCTCAGCATCGCTGAATCAGGGACTTTGGTGGGTGAGAAGTAGCGATGCTCTGGGCAGGTGTGGCAGAGTGAAGGAGAAGCTCGTTGGCAGAGCACCTGCCTTGCATGCAGAAAGCTCTAGGTTCCACCACCAGCATCTCCAGGAGGGGCTGGGAGGGACCCCTGCCTGAAACCTTGGAAGGTAGCTGCTAGTCTGTGTGGGCAATACTGAGTAAGCGGGATCAAGGGGTCTGCCTCAGTATAAGGCAGCTTCCCATGTCTTTTGCAGAGATGTTTTCAGGTCTTCTAACACCTTCCAGATGCTAGGATCCCCGTATTAAGAATGCTGGACTAGGTGAGACCTTGACTCAGCAGCAGATTTCTCCTGTACTTAAATGCAAGGATCACTAAAACTGGACAGCCTTTTGCTTTGTTGAATTTAAGACAGACTGACACCTGGGATTCTGGGGTTAAAAAGAAGTAAATCACGCTGGGCTGAAATTAAAATAAAGTAGCCACATACCTTACAAAGTTGATTGGTTTGTTGTTGTTCAATTGATTTTCTATACTACCGTATCACAAAGTGCTTTTGCCAGCTTTCAAAAATAGCATCCAGAACACATTAAAACACTCAATAAAACCAGTGCATGACAGAGAGTTAAAAGTGTTAAGAGCAGTTATGAAAGCCTAAGCATAATTTTGTATAGCAGCTAACCCTAAAAATCCAGCCTTAAAAATATTAATAATTAATAGTGAGGAGTCTCTCCTAAGAGTTCCTCTGGTGGGTCGCGCTGGGAATCAAAGAATCATAGAACTGTAGAGTTGGAAGGGACCCAAGCAAAAATCTCAACTAGATCATGCATGGCAGGTGGCCATCTGACCTCTGCTTTAAAACCTCCAAGGAAGGGAAGACCACCACCTCTTGTGGGAGTCCATTCCACTGCCAAACAGCTCTTATAATCAGAAAGCTCTTCCTGATGTTTAGTCTGAATCTCCCTCCTTGTAACTGGAATCCATTGGTCCTACCCTCAGGAGCAAGAGAAGACAAGCTTGCTCTATCCTCCGTGCGACAGCCCTTTAGATATTTAAAGATGGATATCATATCTCCTCTCTTTTCCAAGCTAAAAATACTCAACTCCCTCCACTGTTCCTTGTGAGGCTTGGTTTCCAGACCTTTGATTGTCTTGGTCACCTTCCTCTGTACATCTTCCAGCTTGTCAATAAGCTTCTTAAGTTGTGGTGCCCAGAACTAGACTGAACTAGACACAGATCTATCACAATGTGTAGCTGGTGATATATCACGGTGCATTGCCTAGCCCAACTTTTCATGTGTACAGCTAATAAGCCAGGTTTCCCCAAACGTATATTTGTTCAGCTGGAAGGGTACTCCGTAGTAGGTTTGGGTCTGGCAGTCTCTCCACTGAGCTAAATTCTCAGGGACTCTAAAGCAAGCCCCCCCCCCCCGTTTTAAGTGATAAGAGAGCTTAACAGAATGGGGTGGGGATTTGCCTCAGAGATGCATCCTGAAAATCAGAACTGGATACTGGGGCCTCTGCAAGGTGCACGTAACTCTGGTTCATTGCTCACCCTTCACCCCCTCCCACCCCAACGTCCTCCAGTGTGCTTGAACCCTTATTAAAAATAAATAGTAACCCCAGGTCCTGCTCTCTTCCCCTTCAGCACTCCCAGGGGGTGTCTAGGCCAGAGCAGATGCTGTCACCATGGCAACCCCCATGGTGACCATGGGCCACTGATGCTGTCACCATAGTGATTGCTGCTGCAGCAGCCCCATATTTCCTCTGCTACAACTTCCTCCCAAGGAAGGTGGACGGAGGACCCCTTCAAGGCTAACTTTTCTCTGTGGCTATGAGAATTGCAGGGTGGGGGGAAGGAATCATTTTGGGCCTAGATTGTCCAGACCTGCCCATTCAGGCAGCATTGGGGAGAGGATGGAGTTTTGTGTAGGGAGAGGAGGTGAGATGAGAAGAGGGCAACAAGTACCATAACATACAGCCTTTGCCAACCTGGTGCCTTCTCCAGATGTTTTGGGCCACAAAACCTGCACTGGCTGGGGATGATGGTTGTTGATGCTTGAAAACATCTGGAGGGCTCAAGTCAAATTCTGCCCTATAGCATTTCGCAAATGAAAACAGTGTACTCTGATAAAGGGATCAGGGTTTGAGCCCCACATGGATGAATGGTTTTCTTTGCCGTCCCCTCATTTTCACTGCAGCTGCCTGCCTGACACTATATCTAAGAGCAAAGAGGATGTGTTTGCTTTTGGTTCAATATATTCACATGAGGGCAGCGGGGTGGCGGAGGAGGAGAGGCATAGTTGCTTTGAACTGCATTATCAACAGTTCACAATAAACCAAAATGGTAGGTGCTACACCTGCCTTTAGTGATCATGGCCATGCATTTACCATACTGAATAGTGATGGATTGTAAGAAGCATGTGTGTCTCTCTGGCCAAGCCAGATTTGACTTCTAAAAGTCATTGGGGGTGGAGGGATTGATCTCTAGACCCTGGAAAAAAAAATGACAACTCTGTGGCCATTTGTCCTAGTCAGATTTGAAGAAGGCAACTCCCAAAAGGCACAACAGGGGGACGCTGATTTATCAAACATCTAGACTGCCAGAATGCATGTTGTTCCATTTGCGCCCCCCCCCCTCTCATTCAGCTCAGCTGTCTCTCTGGATTTTTCCTTGCCTGCTCTACTCCCTCCTACCACTCTTCCCCTCCGCCTCACTGATGGACCTCCTGCAGAGAATAATAAGGGAGTCTGGAGGGCAACTGCGACTGAGGGCAAGGCAAGGAGCAGGATGACCTTGGCGTAGTAAAGGCCAAGAAGAAAAGAATAGCAAAGGAGGGAGGAGGGGATGAACAGAGTCCGAGGACAACAGCAACAGAATACCTCTGAGCTAGTTAGCTTTTCTAGTAGGGCAGTTTCCTGTACAGTTTGGTACCACTGGTCCATAGACACTCCTGACAGGTCCCTCCAGTATCTGGTTAGGATACTTCTAGCTGCTGACAGTTAGTGACGTATGAGTTCCTTGTTGTGTGGGTGCTCATTACTGTCTTGGAAGATATTTAGTAGGGTCAGTTCTGGAATTGCTTCTATTACCTGTCTGGTTATTTTGCAGGTTTCCTGCAAAAAGCCAACAAGACAATGACATATTCCAACCCCCAAACACACACACAAAATCAAAACACACTACAACCAATCAACCAACCATGCTTTGGGCTCTCTTGGTTTCTTACTCCACCAGCAAAAATAAGATATCTATCCACATGTCACCGATACAAAAATTCTACTCATATACGATGTAAAGAATGAAAGTTGACTGTTCCCCCCCCACACACACCTTTCTTTCTCTTTCTTTTGTTGTTGCTGGTTCAAAAGCCTGAAGTTCTCAGAAACACAGAATCTATGCCAGCTGTGGAACACTGTGGCATGGGTGTGGTACATGCCTATACCATCTCTTCTGAAATTGGTAAGAAATGGCAACACACACAGGTCATGAGGGGAAGATTCTTACAATGGGCCAAAGAACCACTCAGGATTTAAAAGCATGGAGTTCTATTTCATGATACAGTCTGTGCTTGTTTAAGAGCTCTGTGCATCTGGTATGCGTTACAGAAGGTTTGTAACATGCAGGGAGCAGAGTCGCACATCTGTGGGAGGTGTGGTGGGAGCTCAACCTGGCCCGTCTTATTCTCTGTGTGATGAGGAATAAACAAGTGGTTCCTCCTCTCATTCAGCCAGGGTTCAGAGAGGTCCAGGGAGGAGAAATGGCATGATGAAGAGGCCAGAGTCAACTTTTGGAATGTGCAAGTGAACAAAGGCAAAGGGCTTTACATCTTCTTTTTGAACCTGCTAGGGGTGGGGTGGGAAGTGCTGAAGAGACCTAGGAGCAAGGCAGTTTGGCTACGGCAGCTGCTTTATACAATGGTGAATGCTCAAGGTTCAAGAGAAAATTGGATGGGGGTGGGAAGGCACCAAACAGCCATGGGTGGGGAAGACAGATATGAGTGAATGTCCTTGGAATGTACTCCTTACTTAAATGCCTTTTTCTTATTTGCATATAAATAAATGCTGACAGCTCCCCCCCCCCCCAAGATGTTCCAGAGGGGTCTACTAAACTGCAGCAGGGGACAAAGCAATGCCTGCTTTGATGCTGGTGCAATCCCCCCACTCAGCTACCTCGATGCAGGATGGGTGTGTGGGTGTGTGTATGCTGAATATAACGTACATCTATCTATCCATCCCTTATCTCACTCCAAATGCTGCATCCCTTTCCTGGTCTGCTATTGGCTAGCAATGATGTAATTGCTTCAAGCGCCGGGTGCGCTGCCATTGGTAGAAAGAGGCAGAGATGCTGCTGTCAGCTTGAAAGCCCCCAGTCATTCATGCAGAGTTCAGCATGCCAGTTTGGGCACAAAATCTGCACACATAAGCCAGCCAGCCTAGAAGCAGATTGAATGTCTGAGGAGGGGACAGTGGGTGGGGTGTGGCTCTCTTAAGCTCTAGTGCTGTGCGGGAGCAGGGAAGCATGCACACACAAGGGTGCACGTGCACACACACACACACACACACACACACACACTCTTAACACTTATCACACCTTTCTTAACCTTTACATTGCCAGGATGGAGCTCTGCAATGCTCCATTCAACTCCGAAACCTTGATCAAAATCAAAAGAGACCAATATTTTAAAAACAAGCCCTGGCATGTAATGCTTTGGGCACCTTTGCCCTGGTTGTTGTGACAGGCTTCCAGCACCAGCCTCTTGATCACAATGAAGGATACACAAGGATATATTTCTTGACAGGTTTGGCCGGAGGGTCGTAAGAGGAAAAGAATGTGCAGCTCGCCCAAGCACCGCCCAAGCACACCTGCAGCCATAGTAACGTGAGCTTTGTTGGTTGGAGAGATGCACTTTTGCATTCAAGGCACCCCAAATGGGTGAGGTGTTACCCTTATACCCAAGGGGAAAAAAAAAAATCAATTGTCTCACATGTACGTAATTCTGCTGGATTCTGGGCAATAGTGGGAGGGGCCATTCAGTAGTACAGCAACTGCTTTGCATGCAGAAGGTCCCAGGTTCAGTCCCTGCAGTCTCTACCTTCAAGGGATCTAGAGGAGCCGGGGTGGCAGCAGGGGACCTTCCCTCCAAGACCTAGAGGAGTTGCTGCCAGTTAAAGGTCTTGGGAAATACAGTGGTGCCTCGCAAGACGAAATTAATCCGTTCCGCGAGTCTCTTCGTCTTGCGGTTTTTTCGTCTTGTGAAGCACGGCTATTAGCGGCTTAGCGGCTTTAAGAAAAAGGAAACAAACTCGCAAGACGTTTCGTCTTGCGAAGCAAGCCCATAGGGAAATTCGTCTTGCGGAACGACTCAAAAAACGGAAAACTCTTTCGTCTTGCGCGTTTTTCGTCTTGCGAGGCATTCGTCTTGCGAGGTACCACTGTATGCTTGGACACCTAAGAGGAGACTACTGTAGCAATCAGGGCCAGCCCAAGGAATGCTGCTTCCTGGAGCAAGAAGAATGGTGCCACACACCTCCATGTACCAAATCCAGAGGCATTGTTGATGAAACAGCACTCTCCAGCAAACCTGAAGGCTATAGGCTAGCTTTAGTTGTGTAAGGCAGTTGTGTAAGGCACACACAGCTCTGTTCTCCAGCACCTCACCATGGCTGCCCAGCTCCCCACATTTGCTGCTTGAGGCAGCTGACTCACTCTGCTTATAGTATGACAGGCCCCAAGACCAACCAGATTTTAAGAAGGCCTTCTCCAAAAAACCAAAATAGGGAAAATACTAGCACCTGTGTGCCAGTGCTTATAACTGAGGATCCAAGGGAGCCAATGCATGATAAAGATTTTGCCCAGGTACTGGCCTAAGGTGCAGTCGCAAGGTACATCTAGAGCCAGCCCTACCATTGGGCAAAGTGAAGCAGGGTAACTTCCAGGGCAGCAAGCGGTCAATCATTTCTTGGGGGCAGGCAGCAATTTGGCCTTTTATGCCTCAAAATGCCTTGGAGCCATGTCACTAACTTTTGGTCAAAGTCTCTTGGAATAAGGTGGAGGCTCAAACACAGGACATCTGGGTTTTTCATTTTCTGTTTTAGCACACACAAGATTGTCTCTGCACTTCCAGAACTGAAATGCAAAGGACATAATAGGAGCCTTGCTGGATCAGACCCAAGGTCCACCTAGTCCAGTATGGTATTTACCACTGCAGCCAATGGGATACCTCCAGGAAGCCCACAAGCAAGACACAAAAGCACTTTGCATTCAGAAGCAGACTGGAAGTGGAGGCTCCATTTGTATGTGATAGCCTGGCCTCTCCAGCTAGCTCAATAAAAGAATGACACTTTCGACAAGGTCATAGAAACAAAGGAAGGTGGCTTATAGTCAGTCGGACCAATACTGGTCCATTTTGCTCAGTATTGTCTATGTAGCTTGGCAACAGCTCTTCAAGGTTTCAGACAGGGAATTGTTTCCTTTCCTACCTGGAGATGCTGGGGATTGAACCTGGGACCTTCTGCATGCAAAGCAGGTGGTCTGCCTCTGAGCTACACCCCTTCAGTATTCTCAGGGTAAGAGACCCAAGCAAATTCTATAAAATCTGCCTCTCAGCCAGCTGCCTTTGTCTACTTCTCCTTTTGGAAAGCAATAAGAGCTCAGTAGGATTGCACCAACAGTCTGCTTCCCACAGAGTCCAATCAGATACTTCTGGCAAGCACACCCCACCTCCCAGCCAAGCAGGACATGAAGACAACAGCTCCATTCCAGAAACTGCTACCTAGAGGTAGACTGCCTCTGAATCTTGAGGTTCTGTTTAACAACTGTTACCAGTCACCCAAGGTGCACTGGGCGTGAATCATTTTCTAAGTTCCCAAAGTGTAATTAGGGGCGAGGAACTGATTTGGGGCCAGGGTGGGCAGTGTTATCTGCCTTAACAAGGCAAAATATTTATTTAGGGGTATAAATCATTTTAAGATGAAAATGTTTAGAGATGACTGGTGGGGTGTATTGGAGTAGGACATAGAAAGACCACCCACCACACCAGGACAAGGGGGGTGTGTGGGTGTAGAAAAAGAACGATGGACATACACGTCATCTAGTAGGACTTGGATTGGAGCGAGGCAAATACCGTAAGCAAATCTAATGCTGTTGCTTTCTGGTCTCTGGATGACATCATGCTCAAATAATCAATTTCCCCCCTCAGAGAGAGAGGCGGAGGGGAATGCTGCAATATTTAAAATACATTTTAAGTCAGAAAATCAAGTGAAGATGTTGTTGTCAGAAATCCAAATAAAATCAAATGAAGGGGGGGGTTGTACAAATAGGTGGGGCCTGGGGACCTTTTATAAAAAGGTCTGAATCCTAGGCAGGTACACAAGCACACACACCCCAGTCTGGAGAAGAAAAGACTTTTCTCCAAGACCTTCGTCTGTTCCTCCACTTCTACCTCCCTGCTCCATGATCCAAACACTCTTCCTCCTGCTGCAAAGTGGAGGAATCAAAGGTTGCAAAGTACTCTGGATATCTCCAAAGCCAGGAGGCCGCAAAATATTTCCCTCCCACCCCAGTCCTTGCACCCAGGCAGCAAGTGCATAGGAAAGTTAACTGTGGTCGTGGGGCATTACTCCAACCCAAGTGCCTTCCCTGCATCAGAAAGCAAGCTACCTTGGCAGACCCCAGCTGGTCCTGGGCTGGGCAACCTGGTTGTGGGCACCCCAGGAGAGCTGCCCTGCTAGCTGCAATCAGGAATTGTGGATCAGAGAGTCTCTCCACAACCACAAGTACTACTGAGGCAGGCATGATAGCCCACGAGAGCAAAAGAGATGCTCCCTGGAAGCAATTTTGGGGTGGCAGGGGGGAGAGACAAAAAGTCAAAAAATGGGTGTCCCCTAGTGAACTTAAGTGGAGATGGGTGCAATCCTCACACTCTCCTTTATTTGGCACAGAGCAGAAAGATAGATACCTGTGGGGGTGATTCTGACCTACTTTCGCTCACCTTGCGGCAAGAGGCCCCCCCCCCCGTTCTCCAGCAGGTGTATCCCCTCAACACGCCCTTGGTTTTGGCAGTGCCAAGAGTTGGGCCTCTTCCACAGAAGGCACCCCCACTCTTCACAGCTGATTGGGACCAGGAGACTGGGGGGGGGGGGAGCAGGGAATTCCCTGCTTCTGGGTCCCCAAAGTCCAGGTCAGATCAAGAAGGCTGGATCTCCTTGCAAGTCATGACCCACTGCAAGCCTGGAGCAAAGGCAGAATCCTGTCCCTCCCCATACTTTGCCCAGATTTCTGTCTCACAGAATGAATAGGGAAAGAATGCAGAAGCAAAGTTTACACACACACACACACACACACACACACACACGTCACCTAGAGAATATTCAGAGATGCTCATGAATGGAGAGATCGGCTAAAGCAAAGTTAATTTCTTCAGCATGGAAAAGTTCTGCAGCCAGCTGCCCCCATCAGTGCTGCTGCTGCTGGTGGTGGTGGCACTTGGGGGTCTATGTACAATGAACCTCTCTAAAGAGGGTCCCCAGTCCTCTGGATCTGAGAGGTCTTGAAAGTTTTCTGTCTGAACTCTACTGGGGGGGGGGGGAGAGAGTCATGGTGAAAGGGCACCTCATACTTCCTCCCACTCCAAGGAGTATTTCTGGATGTGGTTATTCATTTTGACATATGTAACGCAAAGAGATCAGGAACTGGGGTGGGGTAGGGACACCCCCTCTGCACCTAGAAAGAATGAATAGAAAACACACACCAGGGGATTCCCGAGGGTGTCCTCAATAACAGTAACCCTGAAGCTAGACAGAGACCCCCACCTGGACCCTCCTTGCGGAGAGGGTTCCTGCCACACACACCCTCAGCGGAGATATTGGTAGCCAGGTGCTGGCGAGGAGACTCCCCTCACATGCCACTCCTTCTGGAAAACACAAAGAATGAAAGGAGCTCCCATCGAAAGAAATTCTCCTCTGCACCCCTGAAAGCAGAAGCACCCCGGCTCTGAGCGTGGGGGTTGGGTCCTCATTCCCACAGAATGGCCCTGGATAGAAGACCCCGCTTTGTCTACACCCCCTAACCGGTGCTGGAGAGGGCGTCCCCCCCCCCGCTGTACCCCCCAAAGCAGAACGAGAGCGAGCCAAAGAGGGGGATCCCCTTCTCGCGCACACCCTCTGCTTGCGCGCCCACGCCCTCTCACCTACCCTCCGGGTGGTCTGGGGGCGGGCGGGCGGTTGTGGGGCTCCGCTCACCTGCACTTGCATGAAAGACCCCCGGTAGAAGCAGCAGGCGGCTGCAGAAAGGGCGCTCCAGAGGCTGCAGCGGTCCGTCATGGCTCCTCCGTCGGAGATCCGAAGCACCAACACGAGCCGCAGCTTCGGCGCAACCGGCTGATGCTCCAATCGCTCGCGGCTGGGCTTTAACTTCAGCCGCGGCGGCTTCCCAGATTACCTCATCCCTTGTCGTGGGGGCGGGGCTGGGAAGAGGGAGGGGAGGGAGCCCAGCCCCCCAGCCCAGCGCCTTCCTCTCCTGGAGGACAGGGGTGCAGGGATGAAGGATGGGGCAGACCCTCCAAAGCAGTTCAAAGGGTCCCCCTCGCCCTTTAATTCGAGACTGCATTTTCCCTGCTGTCACTGATCTCCAGCCCAACTTTTATTAATTTGCGGTTTTAAACCTGCTTCTCAAATGCCTAGATTGCAGGGCTGTGTATATGAGCAACAAGAGCAACACAGAACAAGTGCACACATGCACCTGAAGTTTATGAACATGGCTAATTTAGGGCCATGCATTTCAATGGGTCAAGGACCTAGAGGCAGGTTTTTAAAATAACGTAAGCCAAGCAGGCAGGGTTTCAGGTAGAGGATGCTTCTGGCCCCACCTGGAGATGTCTGGGACTGAACCTGGGGCCTGTGCAAGAAAAGCAGGCACTCTGCAACTGAGCCACAGCTGTTTCCTGATAAAGTAAGGTTACAGTCCTCCTCAGGACCAGCCTTATCTTTAGGCAGAGGAAAGCAGCGGCCTCTGGCAGCGGATACTGGAGAGTAAGGTGTCATGGGCGGAGCTGTGACTGCCACCTGGCTTGTCCTGCACCCCCTAAACTAGGCTCCTGTCCTCAGATGTCATTGGGGACACTGGATATGAGAATGTGGAAGCAAGGGGTCATCCACATGTCCGAGCAGTTTTGCCTTTGCTCTACTGCTCTCCACCCCCACCCCCCGGAAAACCCATTCCTTACCTATAGATCGGAACAAACTGCAATCCACAGAAAACCCAATTGCCATTTGTTCTGATGTAGTGCTAAAAATCAGATGTCACTAAGCCCCCCGTTTCGACTGCCAGTCCGCTCAGCTTCCATGTGTGGAAGGGGAGGTGGCACCATCTTGCACTTTGCCTTGAGCATGTCCTGGATAAGACATGACTGAGGATCTGAACAAAGGGTTGAGTTAAACTGAAGCAGCTGGAATTGACCAAGTCAGACTTTGGATTCCTCAAGCTCAGCCCTGTCTTATCAAATGGCATACCACAGAGGAGAGGTCTGTCAGATACCTAAATGGAATAGTTTATGGAATCTCAGTGTATCTCTGAATGCCACCATCAATGAGAGGACTGTTGCCTTCACTGCCAACAAGAGCCTGCCCAACCACATAAGTCACTCCAGGCAGTCATTATAAGGTGCAGCTGCCAGACCCCTGCCACATGGCAGAGGGTGCTGAAGGCTGACTCTTGCATGGCCTGTGAGAACAGTGACAACATCCAGTACTTTGCACCTGGCATCTTTTTAGCAATGTTGCAACTGATTTGGGAGAGACGACATGGCTCTCACATTTTGGGGTGCAGCAACTGAGAGAGCCTCCTTGCGAACAAGGAAAGCACTATCCCAGCGTGTTGTGAAGTGAGGTTTTATCCACACTTACCTTTCCTCACAAAAACAAAAAGCCCCACTATTTAAAGTTCAGAAAACCCATTTGCTCCAATTGAGTACTAAAGAACAGGTTTTCATGGGGAAAGCTCTGGGGCAAAAAACCCAAAACTCATCCACAATGAACTTTTAAGTACCGACCTGTGCCTGAAAAAGGTAAGTATTGATAAGTCTATGGAAAGGATTTGGGGGCAGGTGTCCAGAGCCCCACTCAGCAGAATGAGCAAGAGGCCTCCTCCCCCCCACCAAAAAAAAATAAAATCAGCAGAGCTGTCACATTGGGAAGCAAATGGACCCATGACCATCTTCAAAACACAGGAAGCTGCTTTGTATTGAGTCAGATCATTGGCCCATCTACCAGGCGATGGCAGGGACTGAACCTGGAGCCTGCATTCAAAACAGATTTCCAGAGTCTAAAATTACCACACTGCACCACTGTTTGTGAGGGCCATTAGCTTAACAGCTTTAAAGGCGGATTAGCCAAATCTTAAGATCTCCTTCATAGGTGTAGGTGCCCCTGCCAAATAAAGTGTGGCAGCTAACCAGAAGGCCTTTTCGATCGTGGCTCCTTCGTTATGGAGCCACCTTCCCAGGGACACTTACCTTGCACCACCTTTGCCACCCTTTCGGCGCCAGGTTGAGAGACTTTTCTGCTTTAAACAACTCGTGACATCCTGGCCCTCTCAGTTTCATCCTTCCCCCCTTTTTTTCCTTTACTTTGGGCGAGTTTTCTAGTTTGCTGCACAGGAGTGCCAAATCCACTTTAACTGCACGTGCCAAATGTGGTTGAACCCCACCTGAAATATGGCGAGAGTCTGGAAGCATCCCAAGAAACTTGCCATCAACACTCCCCATCTTATTTATCCTGCTGGGCAGAAGGCCATGGTGTACAGGGAGGGACAAACTCTTACCACCCCGCTTTCACAGCTTTAAGCTCTTGTCTTAACTCTGAGGCTTGTCCCCTGCCAATCCCACGTATCCTGCCAGATTCAATGGGGGCGCCAATCTTCTAGTAAGCACATCATCGCCTGCTTTTTGGCAGCAGATGCAAAAACTTCTGTGACTCCAAGCTGGATGAAGATTGCAATCTTAAAATTCCATGCATAATGTCAGGCATTAAACTTAATGCAGGGGTTATCCTAGGTTTGCCCTTGAGTAGCTTCTGTCGATGCTGCATAATACATCATGCGCACGCATCAATGTACTTCTTTAGTTTTCCAATCTCTTGCACATATTGCCAATTCCATCATCTCTTGATTCTGCTGCAAGCTTCCAATAAGCTCAAGCAAGGTGTGTGTGTGTTTGTAGCCTCTATTCCCTAACTGAGGTTCTTTTGTGGGAAAATAACATTTTCTGAACAATGAATTTCAAGGTCACTGTCCTCGTTGATTTCGGTGGGGCCTTCCTGGTAGACTGAGCCAAAGGGAATCAGGTCTGCCTGTTCCTTATTTTGCTGCTCTCTACAAATGGCAGCCTATCTTGATAGGGGCCATGGACATTTAGGGGGTGCCTGGGGGGGGGCGTTGAGTCCCTGGGGTTTTGCACCAGGCTCTGATATCTTTTCTCTTTGTTCCCTTTTTAGAAAAACTTACATTCCTAATGCAGTCACACCATAGATTTGTATAATGGCATTTACGATACTGGCCATTTGATTTTCAGTTCTTTTCCTAACTATCTCTAATGTGGAATTTGCCCCTTTCACAGTAGCCGCACACTCAGTTGACACCTTCATTGAACTATCCACTATGACAGGGACCCTGAGAACCTTCTAGTTCAACCCCCTGCAATGGACGGATATGCAGCTGTCCCTTACGGGGGTCAAACTTGCAATCTTGGCATTATCAGTACCACACTCTAACCAGTGCTGCTATCTTAGTCTTGTTCCTGGTCAGTCAGTCTCCTTTATTGGCATAGAAAGAATATATTAAAAAAAAAAGTCCATAGCACCTTAGAGACCAACTAAGTTTGTTCTTGGTATAAGCTTTCGTGTGCATGCACACTTCTTCAGATACACACGAAAGCTTACACCAAGAACAAACTTAGTTGGTCTTTAAGTTGCTACTGGACATTTTTTTTTATTTTTTAAAATATATTTCGACTGTGTCAGATCAACACGGCTACCTACCTAAATCTGGCAAAGAAAGAGTGTGTCATATACCTGGATCAGAACACAACACAGGTAATGAAACATAGCGGGAGATTTACATTTTCTTCATGTTGTGAGTTGCTTTGAGTGTAGTTTACTATGGAAAGGCGGAGTACAAATGTGTTGTTGTTGATGATGAGAGAAACCAAATAAGCCTCACAACCTTATGCTATTTGTTTGGGGCAAAGCACCTTAAGTTGCCGGAGATGGGGCTGCTCTGTCTTGCCTTCCCCCTTTCCAGGAGCTGTTTCACCACCCCCACCCCCATAGATGCCAGCTCCTTGGGGCCCTGAGCACCCACAAAATTGCCCATGAAAGGGCCAGGCACCCACAAATTCCAGCGCTAGGGCCATGTACGGCACAGTTAATATTTGAATAGTACTGCTCATTCCCTTATGTAATTAATTCAAACAAGTCAAGTGCAATTCCTCAGGGGAAAGGACACTGCAAACACACCTGAAAGAGAGATGGAAGCAGAGTATGTCTGATTTGTATACTTTTTTATGTTCAGCACCCAGGAGACCAGTATGGTTTTCACAAGGGACCAGCCAGATGCCCAAGGGGTTCAGAAAGGAATATTAATATTCAGACAGCTGTAGGGAATGGAGCCTATTATAGTCAGTGCTGGGTCGTCTGTGCTAAAAATAGAAGATAGTCTTTGCAGAACAAAAAATTATTTGCAGAACGAATGAAGGCCCACTTGGTCCAGAAACCTGCTTCCCACCATTATCAAAGAGATGCTTCTGGGAAGCCCACAAACAGGGGGTGGTCAACAGCGCTCTGACAGGCTGTTATTCAATGTTAGTCCTTCTCGTGAGTAGACCCTTAGTGGACTTGGCTAACTTGGGTTCATTAATTTCAGCAGGTCTGCCCTGAGTAGGACTTGGCTGAAAACAACTTTGCTGTTGTCTGAGGGAGGGCAGTCTTCACAGGTATATATATTTTTTTAACATGGAGGTTCTATTTAGTTTTATAGCTAATACCTGTTGGCAGACCTCCCCTCTTCCCTCTGAAAGTTAGGTAAGCTGGTGGCTGCCACCAACTCTTGTGAATAACTTAAGGAAACTAGAGTTCCACAGTCTGTACTAATTTTATGCAAATGAGCTTATTGTCACTACTGTTGCTGCCATTATGGACACCACCTCATGTCTTTTGTATGGTGTGTTTCAGGTGATGGTGACTGAGCAAAGTCTTCTGCTTTTTGCCAGTATGGGGCATTTTCTTTTTTACTTCTTGCCATGATTGGGATCCATGGTTTTTTATATAAATCCAATCGGCCAAGCACAGTGGTTCTCACTTCTCAAAGGGTGTGTCATGTGCCACACTGCTGTGATAGGAGAAGATGGAAAGTGTGGCAAGAAGATTCAAGGACAATTGGAGAAACATTTATACATTTCAGTATAGTATAGTATAGTATAGTATAGTATAGTATAGTATGAAATTAATTATTTCCAGTTTGCAGAATATGGATAAATATATTTTCAAAATGAGAGCAAGAGCATCAAGTGATACTAATATAAATGAGATTACTCAGCAAAAGCAAGCTCACACCTCTTAATGAGTTTGTAGATATACTTAATGTACATATGTAAGAGGCTCATTTATAACTATATTTTGGGAAGGATTCATGTTCTTATTCAGCTGCATTGTTTCAAACTTTCTGGATGTCCCATGATCGGGTTATAAAGTAAAGGTAAAGGGACCCCTGACCATTAGGTCCAGTCGTGACTGACTCTGGGCTTGCGGTGCTCATCTCGCTTTATTGGCCGAGGGAGCCGGCGTACAGCTTCCGGGTCATGTGGCCAGCATGACTAAGCCGCTTCTGGCAAACCAGAGCAGTGCACAGAAACGCCGTTTATCTTCCCGCCAGAGCGGTACCTATTTATCTACTTGCACTTGACATGCTTTCGAACTGCTAGGTTTGCAGGAGCAGGGACCGAGCAACGGGAGCTCATCCCGTCGCGGGGATTTGAACCGCCGACCTTCTGATCAGCAAGCCCTAGGCTCTGTGGTTTAGATCACAGCGCCACCCGCTGTGTTCTATGTTATAAATCAAGCACTAAGAGTTGTTTCTTTTTGTTTTCCTATGTATTTCGTATCAATAAAAAAAATGGTGTGGCATGAGTAAATTTTTATCCTGAAAGTGTGACCCAGAAAAAAAGTTTGAGAGCCACTGGCCTAGTGTGAGAAGGGTGAGTGGCACTGGGTTGAGCTTGGCCACCACAGGGCTTTGCATCTAGTCCAGCACCCTGTTCTCACAGTGACCAACCAGATGCCTCTGGCAGGACATGAGTGCAATGGCAACTCTCTCGCCACTGCCTATTTCCTGGCAACTGGTATTCAGAAAGCTGGAGAGTTACTGCCTCTTGCTGCTCATCTTTCATCCTGTCCGGAGTGTCCTTTAAATGAGGGATGGAAAGAATATTATTGGCACAAAAATGGAAGCAAGAAGAATTACCGACGAAAAAGAATGGCAGATGAAATTGATAGACTATGCAGAACTATATAAATTAACAGGAAGAATTTGAAACCTGCGGGACCAGAGATTCTTAGAAGACTGGAGTAAATATATGAACTACTTGAAAACTGTAATGAACAGATTACACTAGTAGGACTGCAAGAAGTTTTGTAAGGAGGACTATTTGAAATATTGCAAGAAAGATTATGAGAATTATTAGTTAATGATAATTAAAAGTAACAGAGAAATTAAGAAATGCAGAATAAGTGATAAAGAACAAAAAAGCATCAGAGGTGTTGACGGAAGTCTAAAACATTGTATAAGATAAGAAGTTATGTTGTATGATTGTTGGAAATGATATGTTAAAAAAACCAATAAAATTTTATTTAAAAAAATAAAATAAATGAGGGATGGGAAAGTCCCACAGATGTTGTTGGACTATAACTCCCATCTTCCCAAAGCACTGGCCATTCTGGTTGGGGCTGATGGGAGCTGGAGTCCAGCAACAGCCAGAAGGCCACAAATTTCCCATCCCTCCTCTAAACCTTCTGCAACAGCAGCTCCCACGCTCAGTTTCAGCCTAAAATACTTCACAGGGTAGTAAGAATAAGACAGAGGGGCAGGAGAAGAACCAGGTGCACTAACCTGAGCTGTTTGGAGGCAAGGCGGCAGTGGGGGGTGGAATATAGTAAATACATGGATGCTGGGACAAACAATGGGGAACCTCATTGCCTGTGTGCTCCGTTAGGGAGTTCCAAACACAAACTCTTCTTTCCATCTATTAATGGGGACAGAGAGATGGCTGAACAGATGATGGTTGAAAGATGGGGAGAGATGTTGGATTGGAAGAATCTGATTGTGATGCTGTCCATGAAGGTGCAGGTCAATTCTTTATCCATGGCAGCTATCTACCAGCTCCACCTGGTATGCAGGCTGAGACCCTACCTACCCGCGGACTGTCTTGCCAGAGTGGTGCACGCTCTGGTTATCTCCCGCTTGGACTACTGCAATGCGCTCTATGTGGGGCTACCTTTGAAGGTGACCCAGAAACTACAACTAATCCAGAATGCGGCAGCCAGACTGGTGACTGGGAGTGGCCGCTGAGACCACATAACACCGGTCTTGAAAGGCCTACATTGGCTCCCAGTATGTTTCCGAGCACAATTCAAAGTGTTGGTGTTGACCTTTAAAGCCCTAAACGGCCTCGGCCCAGTAGACCTGAAGGAGCGTCTTCACCCCCATCATTCTGCCTGGACGCCGAGGTCCAGTGCTGAGGGCTTTCTAGCGGTTCCCTCACTGCGAGAAGCCAAGTTACAGGGAACCAGGAAAAAGGGCCTTCTTGGTAGTGGCACCCACCCTGTGGAACGCCCTCCCATCAGATGTCAAAGAGATAAACAACTACCTGACATTTAGAAGACATCTGAAGGCAGCCCTGTTCAGGGAAGTTTTTAATGTGTGACATTTTAATGTATTTTTAATCTTTGTTGGAAGCCGCCCAGAGTGGCTGGGGAAACCCAGCCAGATGGGTGGGGTACAAATAATAAATTATTATTATTATTATTATCTGTTTGAAAAGCACTCCACCGCTCTCTTGTCGTAGGTGGTTGGTAGGGAGTGGGGTGCTCCTTCCCTAGACAGATACAGAACTTCTGGGGAGAGGTGGAGGCAGTTCCTGTGGGGAAAGGCACATTCCAATGTTGGAAAAGGACAGGCCCACCCCTGAAAGGGGGCACCCATGCCCCACCCCATTAACCCGCCTGTCTGTCAAAGGCTGTGTCTGGTTTCACTCAGGCTACAGAACAGTGCCCAGGTTTTTCTGGGCACAGAATAAGATTTCCCCATGTGTACAGCCCTCAGAAATGTCAGCTTTCCTCACTTCCTCTCTTCCTAATCCTCCCCCCCGTACCCCTGCCCTCCTGGGACCCACCAACCGGTCTGTTATTTAACATGACAGGACCTGGGAGCAGCCTGTGCTGTCTCTGCCATGCTTGAGAATCTGGACTTTAAGAACAAAAGGAAAGAAAGCACAAAGAAAGAAGGAGGGAGCGAGGGATGGAGGGAGGGAGGGAGAAGAGGCAGCATTGAGCCACATGGATTGGGCTTTAATAAAAGAAGCACCCCAACAGACGAGTCAGGAGATGTGAATATCACGTATAACTGCACAAGGGAGAGCAAAGGGAAGGTCTATGGGCTAGCTGGAGATAATGGACATAACCTAAGCACATGCATAATTTAGAGGGACCTCAAAAGGCACGGGTTCCACTTCTCCCCCAAAACACAGAGACTGCTGAACCCCAGAAGTAACCCGTTCCAGTACTTCAGGGTTTTGGTGGTCTGCAACCCGAAAAAAACCCAACCTGAAGCGTCTGTAACCCGAGGTATGACTGTATTGCATGGCTGGCTGGCTGGCAGCAGAACATTTTGCTGCAGATCCCATGTGTGGTAACTATTTTACGGATATTGTAGATCTGTATCTGGTGAGCAGAGGGAGGGAGCAAGCTGCACAAGCCCTCCAGGAAGCAATCACTGAACACTGCAGAAAGAGCTCCACAATGAGGAAACAGCAAAGAATCAAAGCGGTAAAGACGAAAATTAAATTAAATTAAATTAAAGGTGCCATTGCTGCTGCCATCGCCACTGCTAAACTACATAGGCCTTGGGGAGCAGCAGAAAACGGGCTAGGAGGAAGCAGATCTTTTGGCTCCCTTTACATCTGAACCAGGAGTCCTGGGTTAGTTTCTCCCCAAGAAGCCACAACTGCTAGCCAGCCTTAAACAATTGTTCATTTGTTTGTTATTTGTTCCAACAAGTTATATACGGCTTGACACTTTAAGCAGTGGTGCAGTAAAGTCATTGCCATGGCTTGTTAGGAAGCAACAAACCACAATCTGCTTCAGGTGTAACAGGAGCCCACGGAAGAGCAACTGGACAAGGACTCTGTGCTTGCATGTGCTTGGTTTGTGGTAAGCCATGATAAGCCAGTAAGGTAAAGGGACCCATGACCATTAGGTCCAGTTGTGGCCGACTCTGGGGTTGCGGCGCTTATCTCGCTTTACTGGCTGAGGGAGCCGGCGTACAGCTTCTGGGTCGTGTGGCCAGCATGACTAAGCCGCTTCTGGCAAACCAGAGCAGCGCACCGAAATGCCATTTACCTTCCCGCCGGAGTGGTACCTATTTATCTACTCACACTTTGAGGTGCTTTCGAACTGCTAGGTTGGCAGGAGCTGGGACCATGAAACGGGAGCTCACCCCGTCATGGGGTTTCGAACCGCCGACTTTCTGATCGGCAAGCCCTAGGCTCTGTGGTTTAACCCACAGCGCCACCCACGTCCCTCGATAAGCCAGTAACCTTGCATTATTGTTCTGTGCCAATGGGGCCATCTTAGCCTAACTACTGCAGAGAGTTGTTTGTGATGATAACGTGAGAAATAAAGGTAAAGGTAAAGGTACCCCTGCCCGTACGGGACAGTCTTGACAGACTCTAGGGTTGTGCGCTCATCTCACTCTAGAGGCCGGGAGCCAGCGCTGTCCGCAGACACTTCCGGGTCACGTGGCCAGCGTGACAAGCTGCATCTGGCGAGCCAGCGCAGCACACGGAACGCCGTTTACCTTCCCGCTAGTAAGCGGTCCCTATTTATCTACTTGCACCCGGGGGTGCTTTCGAACTGCTAGGTTGGCAGGCGCTGGGACCAAGCGACGGGAGCACACCCCGCCGCGGGGATTCAAACCGCTGACCTTTCGATCGGCAAGTCCTAGGCGCTGAGGCTTTTACCCACAGCGCCACCCGCGTCCCAACGTGAGAAATACAAGATACAAATAAAAAATGTAGCTGAAATTGTTCTCTGGCTTTGTTAATATTGCTGTAAGACTGGCATCTGGTTATTGGAGTGGTGGCGGTGCTGGTCTGTTGCTAATATTTTGCCTCTGAGGCAATACCTGTCTGGAGTCTGGGACTTGACAATGAGGAAAGTAATGGTAAAGGGCACCGGAAAGTGTGATATAACATTTGCTTTGCGGCACAACATCTTCAAAGCTCCCTGCAGAAACATTCAATAAATAGGTCACCTTGCTCCCTATCTGTAACCCAAAAGATGTTTGAATATTTATTTGCTGGAACGTTTTAAGTTTTAAAAAGACCTGTAAATGGTGTGTGTGTGGGGGGGTGTTTACATCAGAGGGAAGGCACCTTTTTCTAAGGGATTCTTCTAGCTGACTACTTCTTTTGAGCCCCTGGATGGATTTTCAAGCAATTCCCGAGATATCACACTGGAAGTTCAGATGCAAGAAACAGCGCTCAGCGACACTGACCTGCAATAAACTTAGCAGCACAGGCAAACAGCAGGATCAAAGTTTAGCCAGTGCCATTGTGGGCTCCTAACCAACCCTCAAGAATGTTAATAGTTTGCTGGCGGATAAGCAGCAACTTCATGATAGATTTGAGGAGATCTGCATTCCTTTCCATGTGACAGCTGGAGAAAGGGCTGAAGCTTGCCTTCAGCAAACAGGGCCGTTACAAAATCCCCAGGGGTCATCTCCATTGACACCCTGTTGTACACCAACCTTTCCCAAGCTGGTGCTCTCTAGACAATTTGTACTAAAATTCCCAACAGTCCCAGCCAGCACAACACAGGTATGCCAGCTGGGGCCAATGGGAGTTATAGTCCAAAAGATCTAGAAGCCACTAGCTTGGGAAAAGTCGCCATAAACAAATTATTATTATTATTTATTAAATTTGTGCACTACCCTTCATCCGAAGATCCCAGGGTGATTCACAACAGAAAAGGGTAAGCACAACCACAGCTAGGCCTTCACTGCCACCTCAGGTGAACAAAGGCAAATGTCATGGACTGCCTGGATGATGGGGAGTGGTGGGAGGCACTAGCTGGGGAACCCCCAAGAGAACCCCAAGAGGATGAAGGCTCAGAGCCCAAGAGTGCAATGGTGATGAGTGGTTGGAGGGACAAGAGGGAACAGACTGGGAGGAGGAGCTGTCAGAAGCTGAAGAGGTAACAAGTTTTAGTGAGCAGGAAGAGGCTGCGGCAGAGGGCAGTCCGGAATTGGAGGCAGAAGCGGAGGCTGGAGGAGAGGGACCTGGGCCTGGCAGAACAATGATTTCCTCTGCATGAAACAGCTTGTAGGGTTTTTCATCCCTCTAGACAGGAATGGGTAGCCTGTGCCCCCTCCTCTGTTGCTTATGAAGGGAGCGGGTGGCACTGTGGTCTAAACCACCAAGCCTCTTGGGCTTGCTGATTGGAAGATCAGCGGTTCGAATTCCTATTGCTCTGTCCCAGCTTCTGCCAACCCTAGCAATTCAAAAGCACACCAGGGCAAGCAGATACCGTATTTTTCGCCCTATAGGACGCACTTTCCCCCCTCCAAAAATGAAGGGGAAATGTGTGTGCGTCCTATAGGGCGAATGCAGGCTTTCGCTGAAGCCTGGAGAGCGAGAGGGGTCGGTGCGCAAATTAAGTTCTTTCAGTCCTAATCCATAAACAACTGAAACAACACCACCCACAAAAGGGGGGATGTATCACCAGACTTGGGACCACAAGGTTTGCGGGGGGGATTAACAGGGGGAACCCTAAGGGAGGGAGAACCCCTGAACAGCCTGATGAGGGCTCTGCGCAGCTCTGTGCAGCCCTCTGGAGCCCGGCGCAAAGTCGCGCCAGTCTCCCAAGGGTTGCGCAGAGCTGCCTGCATTCTGAAGCCTGGGGCGCGCTGAAGAGTGCCCCCGGGCTTCGCACAGCTCTCCACAAGCCTGGGGAGACCAGCGCGACTTCCCGCCGGGCTCCCTAGGCTTGCGGATAGCAGGCTGTTCTGGGGGCTGGGGTCGGGGGAAGCTTGGGCTTCCCCCGCGCCAGCCCCGCGCCTGGGGGGGGGGAAATAAATTTTTTTCCCTTTATTCCCCCCCCCCCAAAAAACTAGGTGCGTCCTATGGCAGCGGTGCGCCCTATGGGGCGAAAAATACGGTAAACCGGTACCACTGCATTGGGAAGGTAAATGGCGTTTCTGTGCTCTCTGGTTTCCGTCATGGTCCTCCGTGCACCAGAAGCAATTTCTGAGAGAAATTAATTTAAGAATGAGAATTAATTAAGAATGAGAGAACTTAATTTGCTATTAGTATTAATAATAGTTAGCATTATTATTAGTCCAGGAGCATGTCCAAACTGCAGACCTGAGCCCATCCAGCACAGACTGAATTCTTATTCCCTGATCTGCTTTCCAACTGACCAAAATCACCTGTCTCGTCTGGATTAAGTTTCAATTTGTTCACCCTCATCCAGTCCATTACAGGTGACAGACATTGATTTAAAACTGAGACACCTTCCCTGGATTTAGGTGGAACAGACAAATAGCGTGCTGGGTGTCATCAGCATACTGTTGACACTGAACTCCAAAACTCTGGACAACCAGTCTCAGCAGCTTCATGTGGCTCAGTCAGTAGAGCATGAGACTCTTAACTTCAGGATCGTGGGTTCAAGCAGCACATTGCAGGAGGTGGGCTAGATGGCCCTTGTACAGTGGTACCTCTGGTTGTGAACGGGATCCGTTCCAGAGGCCCATTCGCAACATGAAAAGAGTGCAACCTGAAGCGCCATATCAGCGCAGGTGCACGCGATTTGGCGTTTGCGCTCATGTGCGAAGCGCGATTTAGCCAAGGCATCAAATAGAGGTCCCCCAGCACCATCTTCTGGGTAATAACTTTCTGAGCAATTAACAAATAAAGCAACAGCTAGAAAAATTATGGGACACAATCAAATAGAAGAAGAAGAAGAGTTTGGATTTGATATCCCGCCTTTCACTCCCCTTCAGGAGTCTCAAAGCGGCTAACATTCTCCTGTCCCTTCCTCCCCCACAACAAACACTCTGTGAGGTGAGTGGGGCTGAGAGACTTCAAAGAAGTGTGACTGGCCCAAGGTCACCCAGCAGCTGCATGTGGAGGAGCGGAGACGTGAACCCAGTTCCCCAGATTACGAGACTACCACTCTTCACCACTACACCACACTGGCTCTCATGAAATAAACATGAAAAGCCAATAACTCAGGTCTCATACTATGCAACTGTAGAGATCATGATGATGACATTTACATCTGTGCTCACACAAGCAGTAATGGTCTTTCCCAACCATGTTATATTTAAAAGAGGCCCAATGAAGTTGATGGGCATGACTAACTGAGGTGCTTCATTTTGATGGGTTTACTCCCTATGTGCAGGAGTGATTATGATCAGACCCACATATGCAAATGATATAAATGCCAATAATCATGCATGCGCATTGTTCAACAAACTTTTGATTATTATTTTTTTAAAAGGTTGTTTAAGTGTTGGTGCAGATGGAGATGGGAGTCAAAAATGCTTCTCACCTGGAGTGCTATTTGGTTTAGAGATGGCCCTAATTTAGGAATGCAAGAAATGGAGGGAGGTGGCAATTGGTTTCCTACCTTAACGTATTCACTGCCGGACCCCAGTCCATCCTGGTGCCTAGAAAAGGAGAGAGAGAAATCAAAAGTGAGCCTCATTAAAAAGTGGGTGAAAGAAAATGCCAAAACAGAGGTAACATCACTGATGGCTATTCCAGGGCAGGGGAGCAGCAAAGAGATTGCAGGCCGGGAAGTGCATTCACTCTATACCATGGACACCATACTGTTAGGGTTGAAGCCTGACTCCTTCAGGATGTGTTGGGCTTATAAGAACTCCTTTTTAGACTTAATGGATGTCTAATAGTAAAGTCACTATGACTGTGATTATTGCTATATGACGTGAGACTATATTTTTATCTTATTGTTATCTAAACACACACACACACAGAGAGAGAGAGAGAGAGAGATTTTCCGTATTTATTGGTTGCAATTTACTGTTTCCATGCCAAGAGATGCCTTGGGTTTAGTGTGATAAAGAATTGTATAGAAATAATGAAAATAAATATAAACCATTAAAAACTATAAGCTATATCGAGCCATCCCAAATCTAACAAAAGAGCAAGCTTTACGTATTAAAATAAAAATAAAAATCACCCCTTAATAGTTTTGCATGGTCATGTATAACTACTTTGCCACATCCCAACTTTTATCAGGCTGTTACATTGATCTTGGTTGTCTTACAGTTTCCAGTTTTGAAGCAGCTAGGATTCCTGCTGAAGGAAATGTGGTTATTGCATGAAGATTTAACTGGCTGCTTCGGGGACCATTTTGAACACTAGGTTCATATTTTTCTTTCTCTGGAGGCTGTGCATTGCCAGTCTTGAAGCAGACCCTTGCTTCCACACTACTGCTCTTTGGTGCTGCTGAGGCCTCGCTTTTTGTCAGTTAGCTAGAAAAGGAATTTAAAAACTCTGTGCTCAAATTGTGGTTTGTAGGCATTTGCCATTTTTGATGCTCATTACACTTCCAGAGAGGCAAACTGGATGAAGGAAGCATAGCTGTCAACCGTCCCTTATTTGGCGGGAAACTCCCTTATCCCAGCGCCGTGTCCTGCTGCTGTCCCTTATTGATGATGTCCCTAAAATTTCCCGGGTTTCAAAGGAAGCAGCTCCTCTCCCTCCCTCCTTCCCTCCCTGCTGGCCAGGGAGGAGGGAGGCTCCAACTCTGTTGCTTGGCTGCACGGCCTGCCCCCCTCCGGCCTCCTCTCACCAGCCTCGGCCCCCGGGGCCCCCTCCCCGCCGAGACTGGCGGGAGCCTCGGGCCCTTCTGCCGCCATCCTCCTCGCGGCTGTCAAACTGAGCGTCTCTGCCTGGGGCCTCCCCTATGCCCACCGCCACTCCCGCTAGGCCGTATTGCGGCTGCGCCGCCAAAGGACTCGGATAAGATGGGCAGCCTGGCACGGCCTATGAATTGCTGAGAAGCCTTGAGAGGAGAGCAAGGGCAACCATAGAGAAAGAGGTTCAGAGAGAGGAGGAGGAGAAGGAGGCGGTGGAGGCGGAGGTGCGGGCAGGTGTTCCAAGGGCTAACCATAGAGGGGGAAAGCGGAGGAAGGACCGCAAGTGCTTCTCCCATAGATTGTAGTGGTAGACTAACATAGATGGTCTGATCTGTGGGTTTACTATTTCCTCCCCCCTTTCTTCCTCCTGCCCCGCCTGATGGAACTGAGAGCTGCAGATGGAGCACGAGAGAAAAGATACAGAACTGCAGCAGCATCTTCATAGCTTGGACTTCGTTTTGCGCGAAAAGTGGTTGCTGCTTGTAGTTATTTAATTGCAGTGTTTCGTCAGCTGGTGTCTTGAGCAGCAGCCTCTGGAAACGAAGGGCTAAAAACCAGCGCTGCTCTCCCAAATTATCTGGTCCCTTTTTAACTTTGTATTTCAGCTGGTTGACTAAAATCCCTTATTCTGGCTGCTGATGCCTTATTTTCGAGGCTGCCTGGTGCCTTATTTTCAAATCTGTAAGTTGACAGCTATGGGCTGGTGTGACTGGCTGCCCTCAGCATCAAATCTGCTGATCCTGGTGTTCCCTGATCCTACCATTGCACCTTTCTTCCTTCTACCATTTTCTTAGCGCTACAATATCAAGTGCACTGTGGGTGGTACATTTTGAAGTGGGTGAGTCTCATTGGCGTGGGATTGTGTCACAGTGAAGGGCCTCTGGTTGGCCGAAAACCATTATATAAATGTAGTAGTAGTAGTACTAGTAATAATAATAATAATAATAGCAGCTTCTTATCAAGGTAGCATGCCCTTCAACATTTCACAAATGAATCAACTGTAACTTGAAGAACTTGAAATGAATCAACTGTAACTTGAAGAACTTCTACTTGAACTTGCTTTCCCCTCCTTCCTCCTATTTCCTTCTTCTTCATGTGTTATATCTTTTAAAATTGTGAGCCTGATTTCATGGGCTGTCTTAATACTGTTTTTTGTAAGCCACTTAAGGGGCCTTTTTGGCTAAACACCAGGGCCAGGTGCTTCAAAGAAGTCCATGACACATTTTGCTAGGGTTGCCATATTTCAAAAAATGAAAGTCAGGACACAAAAGTTGTTGAGCTTTTCTTAATTTTGCCCAAAGTTGTTGAGCAAAAAAGAAAAATGAAGTTATTTAGCTATTTTTTGAGCAAAATCTAGACTTCCAACATGAGTTGTCATAATCCAAATTTTCCCAGACATTTTTAGCGATTTCCGCCCAGACACTGCTTTTGACTGCCATATTCCAGACGTATGGCAACCTTATATTTGCAGATGTTAATTCCTATGCATGATGCAAACTTAGGCTGACTTTAGAGGGAAAGCTGACTTTTAAGCAAAGCTTTTTAAAATTTAAGATTAAAGAAAGCAGGGAAAGATCAATAGATCTTGCTACTTGTGCAAAAGATTTGGTCTTAGGTATCCTTGGCTATCCCCTAGCAATACCACACCTTAATATTTTGTGCATGCTTGTTAAACTTCTATCACCCTGTGTTTAAAACCATAATGATGGCATTGGCAACTTGGGAGCTGTTGGGAGCTCTGAGAAGGAAAACCAAGAGAAGGTGGGACTGGAAGTGGTCTGGATCACCAAACTTCATTTGCAAATTCGGTTTGGATCAGGAGTCCATATCCTGGCCAATTCCACTAAAAAGTCCTGTGTTTGTTGTTGTTTAGTCGTTTAGTCGTGTCCGACTCTTCGTGACCCCATGGACCAGAGCACGCCAGGCACTCCTGTCTTCCACTGCCTCCCGCAGTTTGGTCAGACTCATGTTTGTAGCTTCGAGAACACTGTCCAACCATCTTGTCCTCTGTCGTCCCCTTTTCCTTGTGCCCTCAATCTTTCCCAACATCAGGGTCTTTTCCAGGGAGTCATCTCTTCTCATGAGGTGGCCAAAGTATTGGAGCCTCAGCTTCAGGATCTGTCCTTCCAGTGAGCACTCAGGGCTGATTTCCTTAAGAATAGATGCGTTTGATCTTCTTGCAGTCCATGGGACTCTCAAGAGTCTCCTCCAGCACCATGATTCAAAAGCATCAATTCTTTGGCGATCAGCCTTCTTTATGGTTCAGCTCTCCTGTGTTTAGTTGCCTTTAATTACCTCTGCACTTTTCAAGTTTTGGAGAGGGAAGCAGGCAGATGAAGGGAATGGCTTTGTTAGAGGGTTGTCTCAGTGCAGGGCAAAGCTCAGTTAAGCCGCTTCTTAAATACAGCAAGAACGACAACATAGTTGTGTGAACTTCCCAGAGCTACCTGACTCTATCCAAGTGCCCGATCTTTCCAGAAACTGGTCTTAACATCACTAAGAGGATTGGAGAGGAATTAAGGCTGAAAGGACAGAACACCAAAGCTGAAAGGTCCCAGAGCAGGATTGGCTGTAGTAAATTCTACCCCCGGCAGCTGTGCCCTGTGGACTGCTGTTTTCCTGATGGCTGGTGCCAAGAGACACCACAGCCAGGGATCTGATGAGGGCCCATAGCCCAGCAGACCCCACTGCATCTATTCCCCTTTTCCATGGGGTGGGACCAGCAGAATGCCTGATCTGGCCATGGTGACGCATGCCCTTGTTACATGCCCTTGTAGGACAACTGTGACATGAGCTATGTGGGGTTGCCTTTGCAAAGGGTTTGGCAGATTTTGCTAGTCAAGTATGCTGCAGCCATACTGCTGACCAGGGCCAGTTACAGGGAACATGTTACTCCTCTGTTAAAACAACTTCACTGGCTACTGTCCATTCCTGGGCGCCATTCAAAGTGCTGGTTATGACATTTAAAGCCTTATGTGGCTTGGGACCAGGCTACTTGAACAATCATATCTCCTTGCCCAAACCTGCCCAGATGCTAAGATCCTTGGGTGAACACCTTTCCTTGGTCCCATCAACATCAGAGCCACAACTGGTGGTGACATGAGAGAGGGGCTTTTCTGTACCTGCCCCCAAATAGAGGAATTCCCTCCCATCAGAGGTTAGGCTGGCTCCCACCTTGTTATCCTTCTGCTGGCAGGCTAAGACCTTCCTCTTCAGACAGGCCTTTGGAGAGGAAGGTGCAGGTGATGATGGCCACTGGGCAGCTGTTAGGGCAAACCAAACATTAACCACATGGTTCTAAATGTGTTTGACATATTCTTTTTAACTAGCTTGTTGTCATTAGATTGTATTTTATAATTACATTTCAAAATGTTGGGAGCCGTCCTGAATCCCAGCTTGGGAGAAAAGCAGGACATAAATACACTGAAAGAATAAACGGAAGACATGGCCTGCTTGCTTCATTGGCTCTCTGACTGGCAGTGAGCAGGAAAAGCAACCGCTGGGGAAGAGACGAGCTCCCTGAGGGGAGGTGGCCCATGAGGGGTGCCTAGCGCAAGGGCCCTCTGAAAACTAGAGCTGGACCTGGTCATCCTTGTTCCAGGAACCAGGCAGTGTGGCAGCCACCTCAAGTGGCGGATGCTGGGAGGACAAGGAACAGCAACAAGATTTTGTAGGACAAAGCTGAATGTGCTATGTGACCTGCCCTGAACTCACGAAGACAGGCTGCTGCCCTTGGGTCTGGTAAAGAAGGCCATCCCACCACAGTGTTGATGCAACTGCCAGTCTGCACTACTTCTATATGTGGAATGGGAGGGTGCCATTTCATACTTTGCTTCAGGCAGCAAAATGTATTGATCCAGCCCTGCAAGGACCATTCATGTCAGGCACAGCAAGGACAGGATCTATTTGCTTGCCTTTTCACTAAATAGCTGCCCCCCTGCCATTTCTGGAGCACTTTGGTGACAGCATGACTGGTGACTGGGAGCGGCCGCCGAGACCACATAACACTGGTCTTGAAAGACCTGCATTGGCTCCCAGTACGTTTCTGAGCACAATTCAAAGTATTGGTGCTGACCTTTAAAGCCCTAAATGGCCTCGGCCCAGGATACCTGAAAGAGCGTCTCCACCCCCATCGTTCTGCCCAGACACTGTGGTCCAGTGCTGAGGGCCTTCTGGCGCTTCCCTCACTGCGAGAAGCAAAGCTACAGAGAACCAGGCAGAGGGCCTTCTCGGTAGTGGCACCCGCCCTGTGGAACGCCCTCCCACCAGATGTCAAAGAGAAGAACAACTACCAGACTTTTAGAAGACATTTGAAGGCAGCCCTCTTTAGGGAAGCTTTTAATGTTTGATGTATTACGGTATTTTAATATTTTTGTTGGAAGCCGCCCAGAGTGGCTGGGGAAGCCCAGCCAGATGGGCGGGGTATAAATAATAAATTGTTGTTGTTGTTGTTGTTGTTGTTGTATCTGTGTTTTCCTCTGGAACCAAGCCAAGATCAAAACTGAAGGCATTTGTGCTCAGGTCCTGAGAACAGGATGATGGACCAGATGAGCCATTGGCCTGATCCAGCAGGTTCTTCTTGTGTTCTTATGCTTAGCACTTGAACCCAGTACTCCAGAATCCACAGACCCACAGAGGTCACTTGGCTTAGTGGAGCAAGAACGGCCATCACCCAGCCTCAGCTCCCTGGAATTTAAGGCTGTTTCTTGCAAGAACTTGCGTCAAATGCAACTTGGAATCAAAAGGGAGCGGGATTAATGCCTACACATCCTGGCCTTGGTGAGTTCAGCTGAGGCCACAACAGCTGCTTGTGAGCCCTCCCTCCAGCAGGGGAAATGGGCAGTCAAACGGTTCCCTCTCTTGCATGAAATACCCCAAGGAGAAAACTTCAGGGATTTAATGGGACCAGTGCTGCTGTTGTGCGGTGACAAATGAGAAGGCCATCCTCAGCTCATCTCCAAAACGATATTGTAGAGCTGAGAAAGGCGTGGAAAAGGGCAGAGCAAAAAGGGAGCAACTTCCTTATGAGGAACGCTTATGATGTTCAGAGTTTGTTTGGAAGAAAATGTGGGTATGGTAGAGGTTTCTAAGATTATGCATAGGTTTGAAAGAAGTGGATAGAGAAAGGTTTTCCATCCTGATAACGCTAGAAGCACATGGGGACCTCAAAAGACGGCTGAATGTTAGCAGACTAGGAACAGGTGGAAAGAAGATACGCATCTCCAGATAGGGTGGGAGAGAGGGTTTCTCTGAAATCCTGGAGAGCTACTACTAGGCCTGGGCGATGTCAGCTAGCCAACAGCCAACAGCGTATCACCAGCCAAACATCACAATCTGGCAATCTGGTGATACACTGTGATGTTGAAAGGGAGGAAGAAACAAGCTACATTGGTCCCAGCCCTACAAGACGCTGGGTTGAAATCACCACTGTTCCCACTGAGCAAACTAAGGTGGCTTCATCCTGGCGCCTCGCAAAGTCAGGACTGATGCAGCTTGATCCTCCCACTAAGAGCTTCACCCTCCCAGGCGAAGGCAGCCACACAGCAGTAGCCAAGAGCTCCGTTCACAAGGCTGCCTCTGCTTTCACAAGGGCAGAGGAAGAGGTGCCCCACCTGTGATATGACGGCAGCTGAGGCAGCTGTTCGCACAGTGGCTGTTATGTACTGAGTTGAATAGGATCCAAAATGCAGCAGTCTGACTGGTCCTAGAACAATGCAGCAGTCTGATTGGTCCACAGGAGCCACCCAATCCAGCTCCAGGTGGAAGTGAATCCACAACCTGATTGGCCTACAGGAGAATCCCGGAATTAGCCAATCACGTGCAGCCCATTGTGTAAATAATTTATATAAAGCAGATATTTTGGGGAAACTTCCATTCCTCCTCACTACTATGAGCTGAATAAAGAGCATGAAATCCACTCTCGACTCCGAGTATATTTCAGTGGCCTTGGGCCACTGCCGCCTTAGCATGGGCAGACAGGCTGCCTCTTCCTCCTGGGAACAAGCTACACAGGCCCTGGCCCCAATATACCTTGTTTCTCCCTCAGCTGTATGATGACCAGGGTGTGATGGTGGTTTCACACAGCACTATATTGCTCCTGAGTCCCTCTGCCTCCAGCACCCAGTTGCAGCTTGTTTTTCCCTCAGCGCACTGGGCTCTGGTGGCAGAGGGGACTCAGGAGCAATGGCAGTTTCACTCGCAATATAGTGCCAGGTGAAACAGCCATCATAACAGTCCTGAGTGATGTATCACCCGGGTCTAGCTACTAGCAGTCAGTGCAGACAATATTGAGCTAGATGGCGCAATTGTCTGACTTGTTTATAAGGCTAGAGTAACAAGACTAGAACATGGGTGTTATGTATTGTGTTGAATAGGATCCAGAATGCAGCAGTCTCATTGGTCCTAGAACAATGCAGCAGTATGATTGGTCTGCAGGAGCCACCCAATCCAGCTCCAGATGGAAGTGAATCCACAACCTGATTGGCCTACAGGAGAATTCTGGAATTAGCCAATCACGTGCAGCCCATTGTGTAAATAATGTATATAAAGCAGATACTTTGAGGGGACTCCGGGGTTCAAATCACAGGAAGCATGTGATGTAGGAAATTGCCTTACACTCAGTCAGACACCACACTCAGTACTGTCTGCACTGACTGGCAGCAGCTCCCTGGGGTTCCAGACAGGGAATCTTTCCCAGCCCTCCCTGGAGGTGCTGCTGGGGACTGAAGCTGTGACCGTCTGTGTGCACAGCAGATGTTTTGTCACTGAGCTACAGCTCTTCCCCTAAAGCCTGCTCCTTCTCCATGAACAGAGGACAAATCCTGTTCCTTTCACATTTTACTTTTACAGTGGTACCTCGGGATGAGAATGGGATTCGTTCCGGAGCCCTGTTCACATCCTGAATAGAACGTAAGGTCGCGTTTCGCTGCTTCTGCGCATGCGCGTGATGTCATTTTGAGCGTCTGCGCATGCGCGAGCAGCAAAACCCAGAAGTAACACACTCCGTTACTTCTGGGTTGTCGCAGAGCGCAACCCTAAAATACTTATCCTGAAGCATAGTTATCCCAAGTTATGACTATAATTTACCCAAAACAATCTGTCCTTTAAATCTACACATTTCCAAATTTTGTGAAGAACTCCTCCAACAACAACAACATTGTGTATACTACAAGAAACGTGCACTAAGACGCTGCTGAGTTTCTACGAGAGCTTAAAAACAAACAAATCACAAACTGATGCAGAAATATGATGGTCTCAGTTTAAGACTTGGGCACTTAGAGATAGTGAGCAACTGAAAGTGACAGGTTCTTCCATCCCGTTGGCCTAAACTGCTCATAAACAGTTGCACTGAAGCAACGTTTAGCGTTACTGGTCCCCGGGTGACGCATATTTTGACTCAGCATTGGGTGTTTTTTTGTTTTTCCCAGCTTCCCTTGGGAATGGGGAGGAAGCTTGGAGCACACGGATCTAGATGCACATGTTTCCGCTGGCCCTTCCTGTCCTGCTCTGCCCTCCTCCCATCTGTTTCCCTGAAATGTTCCCGAATGGCGGGAACATGAAGGAACACCTTGCAGTGCGGAAAAGGGTGGTTGGTGAAGATGACTGAAAATAACTCACCGGATCCTGGGGTCAGGAGCCAGACAAGGCCTCCATTCACGCTTGCTGGGGCCAAAGGGTGGCTGCTCTCAGCCCCACTACACCTCATCACGGACTAATTTCTTCGCAGGGAAGCAGGTTACGGCTAAACATCAGGAAGAGCTTCCTTCACAGTAAAAGCTGCTCAGCTGGGGAACATGGGTGGTTGAGAGGTTTCTTTTACTGGGGCGCTGTGGTTGCAAGATCCCTGGTTTTCATCAGGGGGTGGATTAGACTGCAGTACTTCCAAGGCCCCTCCCCATCCTATGATTATATATAAAGACTATACTATGAGAACAAGAGGTGATTTGTTTACGTCCGGCAACAAAGGTTGGCACAGTTGTGCCTTTTAAAAACAGCAACCATTGCATCCTTGATCCAGAGCCTCTTGACCCCATGCTTTACAGGCATGGAACAAGCACAAGTGTGGATGAGCATTAATCTTCACGCCCAATACCACTTTTTGCTTTGAATGGAGCTGAACACTCAGATGGAAGCAAGGGATGTCTGCTTCCAGGGAACAGGGAAACACTAGGCACTAAAGCTGCAAAAGCAACTTTTGAAATGAGGTTGAAATTGGAGAGATCCCTGCCCATCAGAAAGCCAAGTGGACACATGCAGTTTGTCAGGCACAAATGCACCTGATGTTTAAATATTAAAGATTGCACCATCTTATCTTTCTTAGAAGATAAATATACCGGTCAGTTTTTATGATTACAGTGGTACCTCGGGTTACATACACTTCAGGTTACAGACTCCGCTAACCCAGAAATAGTGCTTCAGGTTAAGAACTTTGCTTCAGGATGAAAACAGAAATCGTGCTCCAGCGACGCGGCAGCAGCAGGAGGCCCCATTAGCTAAAGTGGTGCTTCAGGTTAAGAACAGTTTCAGGTTAAGTACGGACCTCCGGAACGAATTAAGTACTTAACCTGAGGTACCACTATACTACAGCAATAACACCCAGAGCATATCTTTTGACTTTGGGATTCTTAAAATATACATGCCCATGTCTAAAAAAACAAACAAATTCAAATCAAATATTTGAGCACAGGGTTATAGTTTAGGATGCAGGTGGTGCTGTGGTCTAAACCACTGAGCCTCAGAGGGTCGACAGTTTGAATCCCCGCGATGGGGTGAGCTCCCGTTGCTCTGTCCCAACTCCTGCCTACCTAGCAGTTCAAAAGCATACCAGTGCAAGTAGATAAATAGGTACCGCTGCGGCAGGAAGGCGTTTCCGTGTGCTCTGGTTTCCATCATGGTGTCCTGTTGTGCCAGAAGCAGTTTAGTCATGCTGACCACATGACCCGGAAAGCACAAACACTGGCTTCCTTGGCCTGAAAGCAAGATGAGCGCTCCACCCAATCACCTTTGACTGGACCTAACCGTCCAGGGGTCCTTTACCTTTTACTTTAGTCTAGGGTAGCCATGTGTCCTATTTTGCAAAGGACAGTCGTAGGAAAGGCTATTGAATCAAAATCAATTTTAAGGCTAAAGAACCGACAGCAGGAGGAGATTTGCCCATCAACCATTGGCATCTGAGGGACAGCACATTCAGCAGGTACTCAGCTCACCTGGTCACAGTCTTCCCCACTAGGGTGAGATGTGTTGTATTCCTATTTAAACTTCCTATACATTACCATATGCACATTATAGCTTCTAATCTAGCTACCTCCTCTGTGGGCAGATACCGAGGGCAGATTGCCACCTTGCCAAGTCACTGCTTCCGGGCAAGATCCTTCCTGTGAACTCTTGACAGTGCACCTATTTGCAAACTTCTCGCACAGAATTAATGTGAGAATGGCATGGTGGGCTGCCCAGTACACTGTAGTTTCGGAGCGTTGAATGCACAACACAAGCTCATGACGGGGCTGGGAAAAACATACTGGAGGTGGCTGTGATTGCCAGCTTCAAACGGGGTGATTTTCACAGGATTGACTCTCAGATATGGGCTTTCTGAAGCACCATTTAATTTGGAGCCTCCTCTTTCATAGCCTGCCAGCTGTCTGGTGGGGGGAATTTGTTTCACACGCTGCAAGGACAGCAACTGGGGAGAACCATGAGAAAAATTCCAGGGCAGGAGGGAGTGAGGGCTCCAGGCAGGAAATTGGGAGCATGAGAGCAACTGGGGAACAGAATTTAAGACGGTCTTAAGGAACTCCCTGTAAAGACACAAGGCCCCTCAGCTTGTAAAATGCAACAGTTACATCTTAAGTACCAGTGTGGCCCCCCCCCCCCCCGCCAACTTGGACTTCCACTCAGTTGCCACAAGGGAAGAATGAAAATACTATAAATAACCCTTTCCGTCTCCTAACTGTAAGCAGATGTCTTTGGCTGTGACTTCATCCTGAGATGAGGCCGGCTTGTGGCAATGTTCAGGGAGTCATGCGAATGAATGGCCCGTGGGATTCTTGAATGAAACTAAACTTTCTCTCTCTTTTTTCCCCCCAGCCGGTCAAAGTGCCTGGGATAAATTCCAGTACTCTGTTTGGAAGTAGGCTCTGCAGCCTGGGAGCACCAGCTGGCCAAGTTGTTATGGCCCTGCCTGGGCCCTTTTGGAAGCTCAGGTGTGGAGCTGGGCAAGGATGAGAAAGCCTGTGCAGTTTTCTGAGAGCTCTTCCATATTTGAACTGAAGTGGCAGGGAGTGGGGGAGAGACATCGGTTTTAAGTGTGAGAACACCTGGTTAGGGGGGAGTGTGTTGGTTGGGGGGGGAGTGAAAAGAGAGGCTGACTGGGACTCCTTTTGTTTCCCTTCCTTCCAAAACAAATGCAACAAGTGAAAGCTGGGGTGTGGGTGAACCTAATGTTAAGCTTGCTCAGAGTAGTCCCACTGAAATGAATGGGCATGAATAAAGGCTTGTCCACGCTTCCTTTTGTGCCATGTTTCTAAGCACAGGTCTGAGCTTTCCAGGTCTGCATCCAAGCAGGGGTTTTTTGCTCCCGTCCTGGCTCTTTTGATAGGGGAAAAATGTTTTACTGCTAATTCAAAACAAATAGCAATTGGGTTTCCAGCAGACTGCCATTTGCTACAATTCAGTGGTAAAAAAAAAAAGCAACAGCTCAGATATGGAAAGCCCAGACCTGTGCCTAGAAAGCACAGCGCAAAGGTAAATTTGGATGTGTGATGCATGACAGCGAAACGTGGAAGGCATTTTTCAGCTGCAATAAGACTGCCTAAATGAAGCTGTTTCATTGGAAAAATCAGGGAGATGGGTGCATATTTTTTCTGTACTGCTGTAAGCTGCCTTGGGTTGACTATGCCACAAAAAGCAGCCTATTATTGTTTATATAAATTAAAAGTAAATAAATAAAAATAAACCTGCCTTTTAAGAAGTTGTGCATGATCCATCTCTGAAAGCCATTTTCTGGTTGGAGGTGTAGATTACAACAGCAAGTGGAATGAACCACTTGCCCCAGCATACTGTTTGAAGTTTAGACCTCTTCCTTCTTCTCATACCTAATAACTTGTCAGGAGCTTCTGTCCCTCCCTTGGAATTGAGACCTCTCCATCAGGCAGGATTGTGATAGAGGTCCCAGCTGAGGAAAGACTCCACCTTTAAACCTTGGCAGCAGATCCATGATCAAACACTCCCGCTTATACAAAGCACTGCACAACTAATGTTGGGGTGATGCAAGGTCTACTACAAAGCATAGTAACAATTTTGTGTTACTGAGATAAAAACAACAACCTGTTTATCTGAAAGGGCCCTCTTTGCTTTAGGACCAGCAAATGCTTAATGAATCTTACAGAAAACAAGGGATGAACTGTAGCTGAGAATCATAGAGCAATTTTGCCATGCTAGAAAGTTCCTAGAGAAATTATCTGCCATAATGACTTGGCAAAAATGGAAGAAACCTCTTGTGAGAAGGTTTTGTGAGAAAGGCTGTGTAGCGATTGCAGTAATTTAGAGACATTTCCTTACAGGAAGCATTGGGATGGGAGTTTAGAGACGAACCCTAGAGAGTGAGAGGGTTGTATGTAGCTGCTAACTGATAACATCACTGTGTTTAGTCTTGTCTTCAAGAATAAGAGATGCCAAGAGTAAGATAAAGTGCCTATGTCCAAAAGATTCCCCATATTCCAAGAACATATCACAATATTGTTCCTGGAGAACAGTCTTTTGTTTTGCAAACATTTCGCTCAGGGATGGGGTACCCATGGCCTTCCACAACGCCTATAATCTCTGACCACTGGCCATGCTGGCTGGGGGCATTCATGCAATCCTCACAACAACGCTGTAAAGCAGGTTAGCACATTTCAGACAAAAAAGGCAGTGTTCAGTGCCACTCATGAAGGGGACTAACTTTAAAAAACAACAACCCAATGTGCATGTCTTTTGATTACAGAGGGTAAACTGGATTTAGCCACGTGGAGGTTTAACTTTCAAGTTTCACTCTCCCTCCTGCATCTTTCAAATAGCAACCTACAGACTCTTAGCTCTCTCTTGCCCTTCACAACCGATCTCTTTCTTTCTCTGACTCAGACTCATGTATTTTTTAAAAAAGTTTGCAGCACACAGACACATACAGAGAGATTCTTCAGCCACTCAGCCGTTGGTGGAAGGGAAACCCCAAACGGTCTTGAGATTAAAAGGTGGGTCAGTTCCCCCAGCCCAACATCACCACATTTCTTTATCAAGCCTTAAGGTTATGAGAGAGGGAAAGGGAGAAAGAGAGAGAGAGAGAGAGAGCTGTCCTTAAGGGAGCCAGCAGCACAAACTGTCAAAGGAAAAGCACAAATATAGCCCCCTAGATGGCTGGGAAAGGGCAGGCGGTTGGGCTGCAAGGAGGAGGACAAGGCAGAGAAAGAGGAGCAGTGAAAGGAAAAGGTTAACGTTCCTGTGAGTGATTTTTCAAAATCAAATTACCAGCACTGGGGAGGGAGGTGAATTGGGACTGTGGCACTAGGGAACTAGGTGAGTCAGCGGGCTTTAACTGGAACCAACTGCCAAATACCTGCTATCTGCTGTGGATAAAAATACCCCTGAGCGCTAGCCCTGATCTGGCTCAGAGTCCCCAGAACCAGCTTAAAAAGATATTGCCAATAAGGGCTAGATACAGTGGTACCTCGGTTAAGAATTTAATTCGTTCTGGAGGTCCATTCCTAACCTGAAACTGTTCTTAACCTGAAGCACCAGTTTAGCTAATGGGGCCTCCCGCTGCTGCCGCCCGATTTCTGTTCTCATCCTGAAGCAAAGTTCTTAACCCGAGGTAATATTTGTGGGTTAGCGGAGTCTATAACCTGAAGCGTATGTAACCCGAGATACCACTGTACTGTAATATAATCAAATCTAGTTCAGCCTTTAACCTCAGAAGTTTATTTATTAATTGACATTTATATCCCGCCCTTCCCAGATAGTTTTGCAAACTATAGAGATGTGCACCTATCCCCTCCCAAAGTCATGGGCAATTAAAAGCGGCCTTGAATTCTACCTGACCATGCCTTTAAAACACTCTCATAACACTACGATGCAGCCATGGCTTCACCAAAAGAATACTGGAAATGGTAGATGGTTAAGAATGCTGTGAACTGTGGCTCTGTGAAGGGTCCCCTAACAACTCTCAGCACCCTTAACAAACTACAGTTCCCAGGACTGGTTTTTCTGTGCCGCTTTATTGCCATCTGGAGGGGCACTTTTGTGCCATAGCCCCCAAAAAACTTGTGAAAGAACAACAGCAACAACCTAGAACATTTGTGGTATGAAAAGTTACAGGATTTTGGTAGGAAATGACAGGGCATGCACTGATTGGAAATGAAGCAGTCTTTCAACCCCCAAACCCCTGCGTGTGCAAGCACAAAAGTCGGATCAATCTAGCGCAATACTATCATGATGAGCACAAACCATCACAAATGCACAACAGAAGGACATCTGGAGGTTCCATTAAATTGAGAGCGTTTAGTAAAACCCTCTTTCGCCTTTGTACCCACCATCTTCAGAAACATTCTGTTGCCCTGCTCCTGCTACAGCTTCCTACATGTGATGTGGCTGAAAAGCCATTGATGGACTATATGGAACTTGCCGAACTGACCGGGAGACTCCAAGACCAGAGAGAAGAGACGGTGGAAGAAGACTGGAAGAAGTTTAAGGAATATTTGGAAAAATATGTTAACATTTAAAGCTTAGAATAGCTTTGGAAGTGGATACAGGCTGTAGCATTAGAAGTAGAAGATAGGGTATTTTAAAATAGTATTATTTGTAAGTGATAAAATGTGAAGTTATTTTAAATATGATAAAAAAGATGGTTAGAAATTATGATATATGTAAACTGCTAAAGATGAAGTAAAATGAAAATCAGATAGGTAGGACTTGGGGAAGCCAACTTAACAATGTTTAGGAAAATAAGGATATGACAAGAATTTGTGCGTATTGTTTGTCTTTTCTGTCTGTGTTTTTTATTTGTGTTATAAAAGGAATAATTTTTTGGGGGGGGGGGGGAGAAAAACCACTGAGTAGCTAAAGAAAGCTACTCATTACACACAAGTGTGCGCAGCGAAACTCCCACAGTCCCCTTCCTTCAAGGAACAGCTGACTTAGAGCTGAGAAGAGGTGCTGGGGTGGGAAGAATGAGTGCTTAACCCTTTTCCTTAATGCTTTTCCTTTCTGCCATCCTCCTGCTGCAATTCCCCCTCCCCCACACTGAAGTACAATACCTGTGTTTACCTTCACAGGGTTCCAGATGTTGTATTTGCAATTATTCATGTAGTTCAGTTCCCAGTTACGGTAAACCACGAGCTAAGCGTCAGCTCTTCATATTCAATATGGAAATACATAACAATACTGGCCTACTTTACAGAGAGGGCTGCTGTAAAGATTAATACTGAGACAAGATAAAGACGAAGTTATTGGGTGACTGGGGAGAAATATACCATGAGTTGACTCCAGGTTTAGGGTTGTAGCAAATGTTAATCCTATTCAGAGTAGATCCACAGAAGTTAATGGGCATGACAAGTACTGGATACAGTGCAAAGTTGTACTTAGCACAGATCCACTGAAACCAATGGGATTTAAGGTAATAATGAATAGGTCTTAGAAGTGAGAGTAGCCCAGGCAGTACAGCATGAGACCCTTAATCTCAGAGTTGTGGGTTTGAACCCCTCATTGGGCAAAAGATTCCAGCATTGCAGGGAGTTGAACTAGACCCTCGTGGTTCCTTCCAACTCTACAATTCTTGATTCATCCCCATGTACATTTTAAATGTACAGTATTGCACTTTATGGTGACACTGCAGCTTCGCACAGATCTTACCTGATGATGGTGTGAAGATAAGTTGGCTAAGGAGGAAACAGTATACCTCCCTTCAGGGCAGGAGCTTAGTTTAACTTAGTGACGTTCTGCCCCCGTTTCTAGGAAGTCTGTACTTCCTCAAAAACTTAGTGGAGAATCTAAACCAGAAGACTGATAATGGTAGGAAGATGCCACCATAGGTGCCAACTCCCTGGGACCCAGGGTGCCAAGCACCCACAAATTTCAGTGCCAGAGCCACACACACTGCATGGCACCCACAGCCCTGGGCACCCTGGGGCCAAGTTGGCACTCCTGGATACCACAGAAACTAAGCAACACCCTCCGCTACTCAACCTTACTTAGCAGGGTGAGTTTGGATGTTCTTAAGGGGCCCCCCAAAAACCCAAGAGCCACTCCCACCTGGCCCAGCATGAACTGGGAATCCAGTAACAACTACAGATCTAACAGCTTCCTCAGCCCATAGGTTGTAATAGATCTTTGGGAGGAAAACTCAGCTGTACGGTGTTAGCAGGCAAAATCCTACATGGGAACATTGCTCAGTTATGCACGCTGCTCACTAACATCAGCCCAACATGCAGCTAAAACCGGTGTGCAAAAGATTAGCTGACTCACGAATGCACCTCACTCCATCTTTCACTGCTTTATTACTCAGCAGCTTGATGACTCCAGTGTACAAACTGTCTCTGCTGGAAAAAGAAATGGCTGTGAGCCAGTGAAATGTTAGCTGCATGACAGGAGTCCTATTGGAGTTGGTGGATGAAGTTAGTTGCTGCTAGCTCAGGTCCCACTGCTTTTCATGGGACTTAGAAGTGGCGAATTTCACGTGGATTGCATTAGAATTCTACCTGTGGTGAATGACCCACAATGAGTCAGCCCACACATAAGTCACTTAATGCTACATATTTAACAGTTACATTTAGGCATGACCCAGGCTGGATCTAGACCAGAGGTAGGAAACCTAAGGCCCATGGGCTGGATGCGGCCCAATCACCCTGTAAATCCGGCCCGCCGACGGTCCGGGAATCAGTGTGTTTTTACATGAGTACAATGTGTCCTTTTATTTAAAATGCATCTCTGGGTTATTTGTGGGGCCTGCCTGGTGTTTTCACATGAGTAGAATGTGTCCTTTTATTTAAAATGCATCTCTGGGTTATTTGTGGTGCACAGAAATTCATTCATCCCCCCCCCAATACAGGCCAGCCCTCCACAAGGTCTGAGGGACGGTGGACCAGCCCCCTGCTGAAAAAGCTTGCTGACCCCTGATCTAGACACATGAAAGAAGCATTTCAGTGAAATGCGTTGTAAATATAAACAGGGAAATCTGGTAGGGAAAGATGGGACTCCACAGTGCCATCTGGTGGCACAGTGTTCTATCGCATATACAACACATATAAATCGCTACGATAACTGCTTTCGTTTCTGATGTTTTTGATCTGTTTTATATTTGTTTTATGGGTCTCTTTTGTAGGCTGCCTTGGAAATCTAGATTAATAAAATTATGTTACTGTTTTTCAAATGGCTTTTTCTTTACCAATCCAGCTGAGTCCCCAGATTACGACCAAAGACCAATTTGGGACGCACAAAAGGACCAACAACATGTCTACAACATCACTTTTTAAGGTCTATTTTCAGTGACACTTATCAAAAGATATACAAAAGTTCATACCCAATACAAAGTATATTTTTATAATACACCAGAATAAAATAAATACTTTAAAAATCTAATATAAAAGGGAACAGGAACAAAGAGGGGGGGGGGAGAGAGAGAGAGAGAGAGAGAGAGAGAGAGAGAAGGAAATGGGAAAAGATAAAAAAAATATTTCCAGTTCTGGCTGTCAGCTAAATACAGTATTTACCCATTAACATTCAGCTATTCTATTTTTTATAAGCCAGTATTTTTTCAGTCTTCAAATCCAAGTTCATTTTCTCTTTCACATGAAAAGTCCAAAAGAAATTTCCAATTCTTAATAAATGTCAATAATGATTTTTATCTAATTAAACATGTTAACTTTGCCATTTCAGCTACAGTAAGTCCAATAGTTTTATCAACCATTCCTCCATAATAGGCAGAGCTGTATCTACCAATCTTTATGCATATCTACACATCACTTTTCAAAGAATCCAGATTTGCATCTTATCCAGCTATTAGACATCCATCCCATCCAAGCGTTGCAAGAAAAACATTATCCACACATATCCCAAGATTAAGGAAGGGTGGAAGTCAGGAACCCACAACTCTCTCGCACAATGTGGTGCCTTCATTTAGGGCGGACATGTTCCCACTCTGCCAGTTTTGCCAAACCAAGACCTTTGACTTTCAGATTGAGAAGTATACCTACACCAAATTCCTCTTTTTTTCAACCATTGCCACTTTTCTACCCTGGGAGCAAAGTTAAGTGTGGGCATTAATATTCTACAAACACCTCCGACAAAGTAGACTTTTGCCTGGTAATGTTTATGCCACCACAGATCAGTCTCGAATATGCCAGAAAACTTTATTGTCCTTCCCGACACAGCTGAAAAGCAGAGGCAGTCTATATAAATGGGGACAGGCGGAAGCTCACCGGTACAGCAGCCCACATACTTTGCAAGTTCAGTCTGTGGCCTCTGTAGAAGAGACCTCTGTTGGAAACTTTAGAGAGCTGTTGCAACCCGGAGTAGAACAGAAGACGATATTGAGCTTAGTGGGACAGTGGTCTGACTCAGGTTATATCCCTGGCTTTAAACACAGCTAGGTTGTTCTTTTGTCCAGTTCAGAGTGAAGCTGAATTGTGGGGAAATGCATCAAAATGCTGTAATTCATTTTAAAAAAACAACGAAAACAGGATAGATATGTGCTGCAACTAACATTGTATATAAACTTCTTCTTGAGCCAGTGGTGGGAGCGCACTGGATGCAGGGCAAACAGGAATGCACACTGCCTATGTCACTAAGTGGGGGTGCTACGTAGCTCGGTGGCAGCCAGACCACATGCTTTGTATGCCCAATATGCCTTGAATCCCCAGCATCTCTGGGTAGGACTAGGAAAGGCCCTTTCCCGCTAGAAATGCTGGTGGGATTTTGCCGGTCCGTGTGGACAATGACAAGTGGAAGAGGACCATAAGGCAGCTTCCTATGTCCCTATATTCCAAGTCTGACCAACTCCCTCTTCCTTCTCAGGATGGCTGGTCTTGCTTACCTGGTGTGATATCGCCTGCCCACTTCTGTCATCATCTGTCCTGTGCTGTTGAACCTCAAGAGGAAAATATGCTTTTCTCCCTCACTGTCCTGACCGCGCAGGTTTCTCAGCCGCTCCGGTCTCTCGCTCTGCCGGCAGTGAACTTGTGGAAGTGTGAACAGGAGTCCCTCCCTCTTGGTCTCTGTCTCTCCTCCCCAAAGCCCATGTCCTTCCTTCCTCCCTCCCTCCCTGGAATGCAGAGCCAAGCAGAGGCCTGAGAACTGAGAGAAATTCCTCTTCATTAGCACACTTCTGGCATCTGCTGCCTGCATGGAGGCTTTTCCATAACATGAACCGCCTGAGAAAACAAACCTCAAACTGTCTGTCTCTCTGTATGTATATCTGAGAGAGCTGTTAGGAAGGGGCATGTTATGATAGTTTGCTGCAGGACAGGAGCGTATTAAAAAGTAATGGGTGTTGTTAGGGGGTGAGCAGGGGTCCCTGCATCTCCTGCCCCTTCCTACCCTTTTTAAACACACACACACACACACAAACTTTCCACAGTTAAATTTAAGCTTGTGCAATTAAAATATATCAAAGCACTGGCAAAACTAGGGATGCAAGAAGGCATAAATTTCCATTCATATTTGCTGCACATGCCATTGTTTCTGTTTCTGCTGCAGTTTGACTTCTGACAACAACAAAAAACTATGTTATTCGTCTCCATGTTCACTATGGTGAAATTTTATGTAATTGATTGCATAATTAACTATGTTATAACTACATTATTCCACACTATTCATTTCATTGCAAAGGAAACATAATGCAAATAGGGGAGCAATTAACGGGCATATCATTATGATGACAGAAAACAGTGACTATGGATCATGTTCACTGGACTACTTTTCTTCCAGAAATGGGACAAATAAGCAAACACCAACAATGCCCACTTCTCTTTCTGTCAATATCCCCTGACTACCCTATCCATGATAAATCAATCTTTTTAAAAAGAACCCACAAAAAACCAAAACTTTTTCTGGTTATGAATGGGGTGGGGAAATGAATTCAAAATGCTGGATAATAATTGATTGGTGGGGAGGCATACAAACATTCATGCAAACAAATCAGGCAAAATTACCATAATCTTCCTCCTCATCAAATTTATTACCTCTCTTCACCTGCTGGTCCCAGGGAAGGTTACAACAACTTAAAATTCAAAATTAAAAACAATTAAAACATAATTACAATTACAGGAATAGGGCAGACCCTGAAAACGCACCTCTCAGATCCAAAGACCAGGGTAAAGAGGTGCGTGTTCAGTATTCACGGGAAGCTGTATTGTGAAGAAGACAGACACATCTCTCACACCGGGAATTCCATCTAACCCCAGACTTCCAAGGGAGGTGGACCTACCAAGAGGGTTCCCTCTGTTGATCTTAAAACCTGGGAGAAACTGCAGGGAAGGAGGCAGTATTTCAGGTATTTGGGGCCTTAGTCATTTATGGCTTTAAGCACTAACAGGAGCACCTTAAATTGGGCATGGAACTCAATTGGTAGTCAATGCCGCCGTTTTATAACAGGGTTCTATGGGTTCTAAAGGCAACTCAAGCCAATAATCTAGCCCAGAGGTCAGCAAACTTACTGCGCCTCGGGCTGGTGTCTCCAGCGCCAATTGCGTGGAGGGCGGGGGAGCGCGTGCCCATACGTGTGTGCACACGCTATTTCTGGCGCACTTCCAGGTTGGAGGAGCACCGGAAATAGCTTGTGTGCATGTGCATGGGCCTCCTCCAACCCGGATGTGCACCGGAAATAACACCTGCGCATGCACAAATAACGCTTGCGCATGTGCACAAGCTATTTCCGGTGCTCCTCCAACCTGGAAGTGGGCAGCCACGCAGCGCAGTGCCAGTAAGAGAGGGCGGGGGCAGCGGGTGGCGAGGGTTGCCGTGGGCCAGTTAAATGAGTCCCTTGGGCCTTAACCGGCCCACAGACCTTAGTTTGGGGACCCCTGATCTAGCCACTGCATTTTAATCCAGTTGAAGTTTCTGAGTTGTCCTCAAGGATAGCCCCATGCAGAGTGCACTGCAACAATCCAATCTCAAAGTTACTAGAGCATGGAGCACTGAATGCTTGATGAGGAGCAGACATCGTGTGACCTCTGCACAAACCTTGTGCAAAATGAATACGCACAAAGCACATACCACGAAGGAGTCAGGACACCCCATTGTCACACGCCTGCCTCTTACAGTCAGTTATGTAGAAAATAAGAACTATCCAGAAATCACACAGAATAAGCTCGGCCCCTGAATCTGCAGTAAACAACATTTGCGATTCCTGGCTCAGGATAAGTATTACAGAAGCACTCACAACTCTGGCTTCAGGATGCGCGGTCCATATTTGTCTCATAATCTGACATCTGGGCTTGAATGATAAGAAATCCACATTCTACACACTACCAAAAATATTATCTCTGTTGTTTTACACACCACCACAGAATCTGTTTTGATGAAGGGCAGTTTGAAATAAAGAAAAGCCAGCCCTGATGTTAACTCTGTTTCCATCATGTAGGGACCAAGTCAAGAATACCAAGCCACAGCATTGGTCTGCCCAGTTTAGCACTGTCAACCCTGATTGCCAGCAGTAATCCAGGGTTTCAGCTGGGGCGTCTCCCAGGCCTGCGTCAGGGATTGAACCTGACAGCTTTTGCAGGCAAAGCATGTTCTCTGCTACTGAGCTATGTTCTTACCCATCTTTTATGAGCATATTCATCTACACCCAGAGCCGTCTTCCCCACTGGTGTTAGTGGTTCGTTGCGCCAGGGCACCGGCCTCTTGGGGCACCCTAGCGAGTGGGGGAGCTGCGCGGCTTTGCCGGCAGCCTCCCCTTTCCCTGCACACCCGCCAGCTGCGCCCTGCCAACTATATGGCTCGCGAGCGTGCAGCTTCCTTCCCAAGCCTCTGCAGGAAGAGAGCACCACGGCGCCGGATATGCTTAAGACTGCCCTGTCTATACCAGCCAATTCTCACACAGTTCCTCCAAATATATGCCATTGGTATCTGGAGTGACTGGCTCCTAATCAGTACCTTTCCTCCAGTTTTATATTCTACTTCCAGTTTATGCCACTTAGTTCCAGAGCAAGCTAAGCCATTAAACGGATTGAGGGGGCTGCCACAGGCAGCTGAAACCCCCAGGGCGGCCCCCCCACCACCTGCACCAACACCGGCGCAGAAGTGGCTCCAGTATTGGTTGAAATATTTCAGTGTGCTCAGGATTTCTTGCGATTTCGGTGAGGTCTTGCCGAAAATTGGTGCCACTGCGCCGCTTCTCCACCATGTGCATGTATGGGCCGGGGACCCATTCCCTGGGTTTTTATAATAAAAGAGGTTTGGGTGTCTCCTCCCCAATCACCTCCCGACCCCTGAGGCAGCTTTCCAATATCAGAGCTGGCCTGAAAGGAAAACGTCTGAGGTGATGGATGGGAAGGGAAGGAAGGTGGGGAGGAGGTTCAGCTTTCCTTCCCTGTGTTACTGCCACCCCATGCTTGAAACATGTACAGTCATACGTCATGTTACGTTTGCTTCATTTTATGTTTTTTCAGGTTGCATCCCGTGGCGACCCGGAAGTACCAGAAAGGGTTACTTCCGGGTTTCGCCGCTCGCGCATGCGCAGACATGCAAAAGGCCACCACGCGCATATGCAGAAGCAGCAAATCGCAACCCGCGCGTGTGCAGACGCACTGCTGCGGGGTGTGTTCCTTTCATGTTGTGAACGGGCCTCCGGAACGGATCCTGTTTGCAACCAGAGGTACCACTGTACAGGACAAAAACTGTATCAACAAACATGGCAGCTCCCATCTTAAGTAATATTCTGTCCCTGAGAACAGCAAAGGAGTGAACTGAATGCACCACAGACCTACAAGAACTGAACTACAGCATTCAAAAACACAGTGTGCAATGAAGGTGTGCCATTGTGGACACACACACTAAGATCTAATCTACTGCATCCTGATATTGTAACAGTGCCCACTTCAAAAGCCAGGAAAAAGATCTGCAAAAACTAGGCCCCTTCCCTATTATCTGAGTGTACGATGAGCTTTCAAACAGCACTTTCTGCCTTTGGAGGTTATCTGCCTCTGTTTTGCCCCACAACAGGGCTAGCCAAGGTAGTGCCCCCTAGGTGTTTTTGGGCTACAGGTCCCACAATCCTGTTATTGGCCATGCTGGCTGGGGCTGATGAGAGACAGAAGCCAGTCACATGTGGAAGGAGCCACTTTGGCAGCCCCTATCCAAGAGAAATACAACCTGAGAGCTGCTGTTCCTTGAATGCAGTTCTTCAGCCACAGATTATTTCTCTTGTCTTACCTCTTGTCTGAGTGTTCTTGAAGGGCTTCCTCTCCAGGCGCTCGCCCTCCAGACAGGATAGGTTCTTTGGGAGCTTCCATATCGGCAGCTTTTCGAGGGACCTGAAAAGAATCCTGCTCACACCTCACTGATTCCTCTTTGGACTGCCTCTTTGACCACCCAGAGTTGGCTCTTGGCAAGGTCCCCATGTGGCTGTACATATCACCTGAGCAAGCATATGGGGACGGGCTTTTTGGCACAGTATTCAAGTCGTCCTGCACAGTTTCAGAGCTGAGCTTCCTGGGCACATGGGGAGAGTCCTGCTTGTTCCTCTTCGTCTTCTCTTTGGGTCCCTCAGGAGTCTGCCTGGGCTCAGGAAGAGAGTCTGAGGTGTTGACCACAACAGCCTGCCTCATGGTTTGGGAGTGGGCCTGGCTGTGTTTGGATTCAGATGGGGGCATTTTTGCTTTCTGCTCTGTGTCCACAGCTATCATAGGAGCATCTTTTCTGGGAGAAGGTGCCACAGCTATCAAGCTGGGCTCTGGGGCGGTGGTTGGCTCAGCCTCCTGAGGGGCCCCTTTGCCTTTGGCCTTTTCCCTCAACTTTCCAGAACTGCTTCGTGGAATGGTCCCCACGTGGCTGGACATATCGCATGAGCGGGCATGCGGCGATGGGCTTTTGGGTGCAGGATTCAAGTCGTCCTGCGCTCTCTTGGAGGAGGACTTCCCAGGCACCTGAAGAAAGTCCTCCTTTCTCCTCACTGTTTCCTTTGGGAGTCCTGCAGCAGAAGCTTGCCTGTGCTCTGGAAAAGAGTTTGAGGAGTTGACCATGGTGGTGGGCCTCACATATTGGGTGTGGGCCTGACTGTGGTCGGCTTTGGGTGGAGGCAATTTTTGCTTCTGCTTTGCTTCCTTAGCTACGAAAGAAGAGTTTTTGTGGGGAACAGGTGCCAGGCCAATTTGTGACCCTGCATCTTGATCCTTCTCCTTGGGCGTGCCTTTGTCTTTGGCCTTAGCCTTCGACTTCCTTGGCATAGTCCCCATGTGGCTGTACATGTCGCATGACCGAGCGTATGGGGACGGACTTTTGGGAACAGTATTCAAGTCGTCCTGCGTGCTTTCAATGGTGGTTGCCAAGAAGCCATTTGAGGACAGGAGCCCCCCTCCAGGGGCCTGTGGAGTGCTGGGAGCAACAGAGACACGCCGCAAGGTGAACGTCCGTGGAATGCTACTCAAGCTCCCAAATCCTTTAAACCTAAATAATTCTGGAGAAAGCAAAACAAGGAGACGGTTGGTGGTTTTGAGAGGGCACATTCCAGAAGATTCTGTATTAGTTAGTGCTAATGAGAATATCAAACTAGGATTGAGGTTTGGAAGACCCACATGCAAAGTTCCTTAGGTCACCTTGGACCAGATTAGAACCTGGGAAACCAGGGTCCACGTTATAGCAACGTAGGAAGCAAATGACATAGGAAACGGCCTTATACTGAGTCAGAGCGTTTGGGTTTGTCTAGGTCAGTATTGTCTACACTGACTGTCAGCAGCTCCCCAGGGTTTAAGGAAAGGGCAGAGATGGCCCAGCCATTGGGCAGGGTGAGGCAGCCTCCCAGACACGGGCATAGCCAGGATTAGGGGGATATTAGGGAAGCAGGCTTTATGTTAGGTGGGCAGAGCCAAATTATTTTTTACCGAAATGAGTATTTTTATTTATTTACTTGATTTAGGAAGGCATTTGCCCTCCTGGCTATGCCCATGCCCCCAGGTGGCATTCCTGTGGCCTGCCCCACCACCGCCATCACTGGCAGGGAAGCACCACTGCCACTGGCTCCTATTTTGGGCGAGATTTGGGTGCGATCTTGCCTGAATTTGGTGCCGCCCAGCAGGGCACAGGGTGGTAGCAGTGGCTGGGCAAGACAGCACTTCCTGTTTCGCCTCAAGCAGTGAAACGGGCCCCACCGCTCTGAGTTGTATCCAAGTAAGCCCCACTCAGAGTAGGCCTACCGATATCAATTAAGTTACCATAGCCATGGCACATCTGCTCTTGAGACCAATAGGATCCTCCCCATAACATTTGTTAACATTTTAATTAAAAAAATACTAACACTTGTATTGTTTTACACTTGTGTTGTTTTAACGCAGCGTGGAATATTGGGTGAACTTGGACCACTTGTTATCGTTCAGCCTAACTTACATCACAGGGTTGTTGTGAGGATTATAATTATAATTTATTATTTATTATTTATACCCCGCCCATCTGGCTGGGTTTCCCCAGCCACTCTGGGCGGCTTCCAACAGAACACTAAAATACAATAACCTAATAAACATTAAAAGCTTCCCTAAACAGGGCTGCCTTCAGATGTCTTCTAAAGGTCTGATAGTTGTTTTTCTCTCTGACATCTGGTGGGAGGGCATTCCACAGGGCGGGTGCCACTACCAAGAAGGCCCTCTGCCTGGTTCCCTGTAACTTGGCTTCTCACAGCGAGGGAACTGCCAGAAGGCCTCAGAGCTAGACCTCAGTGTCCGGGCTGAATGAATGAAACATGGGGAAAGGCGGGAGAAGTTTACATGCCACGCTGAGCTCTTGGGAAGAAAGGTAGGATATGAAATGCAATAAACCAATGTTTGGGGATATACAAGACCACAACACAATTTCATATACTAACTTTCCCTATTTACCAGGGACTGTCTGTTCATTCCTCCTAATGAATTAGACTCCTAAAGCAGTAGAATGACTTGTGTTGTTTCTGACTGCAGGAAGGGAATCATAGAATGATAGAGTTGGAAGGGGCCCTGAAGGTCATCTATTTCAACCCCCTGCAATGCAGGAATCCTGCCCAATGCCGTCCCTGGGTGGACTTGAACCAGCAGCCAGGCACACTGAACAATTGCACCACAGGAGGGTCCCTCCGCCACTGATCCCCTACATTTCAAAAACCTCCCTGCAAGTAAAGAATTAAACACACTGTTCATTCGCGTGCTAGTTTTCTACTTATGGGGATGTGTGTTTTGGGGTTGTTTGTACAGAAACGGTAAAATAAATGTGATTCTCTTGCTGGCATGAAGTGCTTGCTTCATTCCACTCTGAACTCAGCTGGGCCTGCCACACTGGCAAGAGAGATACCAGAGTCAAGAAGCCTAAGAAGGGAGACCAAACTGGCAAGAGATGAGAGATCGGGGGGGGGGGGGGGGGCTGTTAAACTGGTTTGTGTTGGGTGGAGACACAGGCATAAACAATCCCTCAGGGAAGGCTGGGAAGAAATTTCCAGGCCAACCAGCCTCAGAAATCTATGCAAAGGGACACCTGCTGTCACTGCCCTCCCTCTTCTCACAGCAAAACACAAACAGCTGCGAAGGAAAAGTGTGGTTCTTGGCCCAGCTGCAGAGAACAACTGATTACATGCCGATATAGTCACGAGGATGTTCAGAGGCATCGAGTGCAGCTGCTGTGCCTCAGGGCAGGTCTTTGGAGGGGAGGTCAGCAGGAGGAGCCCCCCAGGTGCAGCAGGCCATGAAGAGATGCATACTGTCTTCTAAAAAGGGGCTCCCATCCTTCCCCATAAACCATTAACTGCACCCCTGTCTCTTTCCATGCTAGCTATACTGGTAATTGCATGTTAACATCTTCCACCTTCTACCAGCTGCTGGGTGCAATCTGTGCTAAGGGGATCAACATTTCTGCAGAAACTGGTGCCCTTGGGACCACAATTCAGTGTCTTTAAAGCTTCTGCTCTGATTAGCCCCATTATTTAGTTTCTAGTCCTCAAGAAGCTCAAGACAGCCTTGAAAGAGCAGGGCAATAAAACCTGGTAAAAACTGAAAGGGATCGGAGGTGGATCAATTTTTGAAGGCTGAGGAGGCTGGGCTGCAACATGCTTCTTTGCTCCTACGCCCTGTGCAAGTGCACATAATTCTGCCCTTGCCAGCCCAGTACATGCCAACTTTTAAATGCCCTCCAACATTTTTCCAATGAAAATAGCAACGTCCTATTCCATTATAATAATTTTATCATTTATATGACACCCATTAAACATGAAAAACAAATCCCTACACAGGGCTGCCATCAGATGTCTTATAAAGGTTGTATAGTTACTTATTTATTTGGTTTGGGGGTTGCATTATTCCATACGCCCCAACATTTCTCCAATGAAAATAGGGATATCCTAAGGAAAAGCGGGACATCCTGGGTCAAATCAGAAACTCGGACGGCTTCTGGAAACCCAGGACTGTCCCAGGAAAATAGGGGCACTTGGAGGGTCTGCTTTTATTAGTTGCAGAATGTGGGTTGCCTGTGCAAAGAAGCTTTAGGGATTTGTTGTCTGTTTATTGTAAAATCTGCACAGCACCATATCTGCTGTTTGTTCTGATGGAGTTCAAAAAACTTTAACTCCAAAAAGTAGATCACACAAAGTAGATCCCACTCCAAAAAAAATGAAAGGCACTGAAAGTAGCATAAGGCACACAGGAACCTGCTGTGGAGTTTTGTCTCAATGAGGTCCAGTGGACTGAGATGCCTTCATCTAGGGCATGGGTAGATAATATCTGAGCTGTAGCGTGTGCTGCTGTCTAACAGTGACATGGATGCATTGTCCGTCCCGCCCCACCGGACGTAATGTGGAGACTGTCAGCTGTGTGTGGCGGTGCATCTAGACCACTGTAAGAAAACAAGCGACAGCTCATATATTATCTACCCACTTCCTAGATGAAGGCATCAGAAGTTCATCGTCTCTTGAGCTAGCAGCTGACACCTGCTCATGTCAAATACAAGGAGTTCGCTCGAGTTACATTTGCAATAGCCCCAAAACAGTATGGGCTCGCCTCTCACAGAAGGACTGCAGCTCAGCGACAAAGCAAAAGTGTTGCACGCAAAAGGTCCCCTGTTCAATCTCCAGCATTTTCAGGTGGAGCCGATGAATCTCCTTCTCTGTCTAAAACCCTGGGCAGCCACTGCCAGTCAGGGAAGACAACACTAGTCTACTAGATTGGCTCTGGTTTGATTTGGTTTGATAAAGCAGCCTTCCTTTATTCATATTTACATCAGCCCTGATGAGGACTGGAACCTTAATGAGTGCAACTCAGTGACAGAGCACCTGTGTTGCCAGCAGAAATTGCGAGGTTCAGTCCCTGAGCCTCATCTGAAAACCTGGAGAGCCTCCGCTAGTCAGTGTAGACCAGGTGCTGTCCAGATGTTCCTGGACTCCAGACCTTATCACCCCCAGGGGGAAGGGGTGATGGGAGCCATAAGCGGCAGAATTTAGAAGGTGCCACACGGGACACTCATGGTGTAGGCAAGGCTGAACTAGATGGGCCAGTGGCCAGGCTTCGTATAAAGCAGATTCCTACGTTCATGCAGCCTTTTCTTGTTTCAGAGCCGCTTTTCAGGAGTCCTGTGCCTTTAAACAGGTGAAAATGCAACAGGTGCAGCAAGTGTTTCCAGGATGGGTGAAAACTTCTCTTGTTGATTTCCATATGCCATGCACTGGTTTTCAAAAGCACAGGAGCCCTATTGGTGGGTGGGGGAAAGTTGGCAACTCAGCCACCACACAGGTTTGGGGAGAAGCGACCCCTGCACACCTCCTGCACAACCCCTCTTTCCTGATGTCTTTTGCAGGCTCAGCCTCCAAGGCACTCAGATTTAAGCAAGCATCAGAGTCCAAATCTGTGCTGTTCTGCTGGCTACTTACTTTTAAAGCCTCCTCCTTTCTTCTGGCTTTCAGCCATCTTTCAGGTTCTTCTGGCAGGGTGCTGCTAGAAGGAGAAGTGTGCAAAAAGTTGTAAACGTTCATCAAGCTTTCCCTTCCGCACTGAGCCTCCCTTCCTTTCCCACACCCTCCCCTACTTCTCTTGCTTTCTATTTTGCTCACATTTCCTCTGTCATTGCACAACACCCGCCTACACGGACACACAGAAACACACACACAGAGGGGCCTATTCAGCATCTTTTCCTCACCTCCTTTTTTTTCAGCTGCACAGAACAAAACCCTGCACTTGTGACTTTCAAAAGCATTTGTTTCACATGCAAAGGTCTCAGACTCAGTCCTCAGCATCTCCAGGCAGGGTTGCAGAGACCCTGCCTAATGATGATGATGATGATGATGATTTATTATTTATACCCCACCCATCTGGCTGGGCTTCCCCAGCTACTCTGGGCGGCTTCCAACAAAATATTAAAATATAATAATGCATCAAGCATTAAAAGCTTCCCTAAATAGGGCTGCCTTCAGATGTCTTCTTAAAGTCTGGTAGTTGTTTTTCTCTTTGACACCTGATGGGAGGGCGTTCCACAGGGCCGATGCCACTACCAAGAAGGCCCTCTGTCTGGTTCCATGTAACTTGGCTTCTTGCAGTGAAGGAACTGCCAGAAGGCCCTTGGCGCTGGACCTCAGTGTCCAGGCTGAACGATAGGGGTAGAGACGCTCTTTCAGGTATACTGGACTGAGGCCGTTTAGGGCTTTAAAGGTCAGCACCAACACTTTGAACTGTGCTCGGAAACGTACTGGGAATCAATGAATATCTTTCAGGACCAGTGTTATATGGTCTTGGCGGCCGCTCCCAGTCACCAGTCTAGCTGCCGCATTCTGATACCCTGTATAGCTGCTGCCAGTCAGTGTACAGAAGGTCCAGGCCAGAGAACTTAGAATCAACACTGTTGAGTTGGAAGAGATCCATAGGGTCATCTTTTCAATGCCCCTAAAATGCAGGAATAACAGCTAGCAAAAAAAAAAAAAACAACCTAAAATGAGGAAGAGCCCACCACCTTCTGAGATAGTCCATTCCACTGCCCAACAGCTGTTACTGTCAGAAAATTCTTCCTAATGTTTAGTCAGAATCTCCCCTTTTGTCATTTGAATCCATTGGTTTGGGTTCTCCCCTCGGGAGGAGAAAGCAAGCTTGCTCCGTCCTCCATGTGACAGCCTTTCTGCTTCTTTCCGTCAGTGCTGGTAGATGTAAAAGGAACTAGACCCAAACATGGATGGAATCCCAACATTACAGGATTATAGCATTTATCTTTGTGATGATTCCAACTGTCATCAGCTCAGCTGTGTGAGAGGACAACTGCATGGCAGGAGTTATAAAGGAAACTGCCTTATGCCAAGTCAGAACACTGGTGCATGTACCTCAGTATTGTCCACTCTGAAAGGCAGCAGCTCTCAAAGGTTTCATAATAACATCAGAAGAGCCTGTTGGATTAGGCCAGTGGTTCACCTAGTCCAGCATCCTGTTCTCACAGTGGCTGAACAGTTGTCTGTGGGAAACCAGCAAGAAGGATTTGAGCGCAAGAGCCCTCTCTCTTCCCTCTTGTGGTCTCCAGCAACTGGTATTCAGAAGCGCTGCTGCCTCCAACTGTGGAAGCAGAGCAAAACCACAACTGCCCCTGAGGCAAGAGGGTAACTCCATCAAGTCCCCTCCTATGGGGATTCTAACTGCTTTCAAGACTCAGGCTCCATCATGGCAGGAGCTGGCCTCTCTTCCTGGACTGGATGCTCCTGGATCTGATCAGCTGTGGAGGTGGGTGGGTGGGGGCAGAGAGGATGCTTGTGTGGGGAGGGACTGCTCAGGAACAAGGCAGCCAGAGCCACTGGCATGGGTTGCAACTTTAAGGACTGTAAGCAGTAAGGAGAGCCAGTGTGGTGTAGTGGTTAAGAGTGGTGGACTCGTAATCTGGTGAACCGGGTTCGCTTCCTCGCTCCTCCACATGCAGCTGCTGGGTGACCTTGGCTGGTCACGCTTCTCTGAAGTCTCTCAGCCCCACTCACCTCACAGAGTGTTTGTTGTGGGGGAGGAAGGGAAAGGAGATTGTGAGCCGCTTTGAGACTCCTTAGGGTAGTGATAAAGCGGGATATCAAATCTAAATTCTTCTTTTTCTTCTTCAGTGCTGGATTTATGTATAGGCTAAGTAGGCTGAAACCTAGGGCCTCTAAATCTAGGGGGACTCCCCAGCCCACCTGCCCCTCAGCAGGCAGCCTCCCCTCTCCCAAAATTGCAAACCCAAGACTTCACGCAAGGGCAGGGCAACTCAAGCCCAGCAACTATAAGACTCAGAGCCAGCCAGTGGGGCCCAATTTGAACTCTGGGGCCCAACTTAAAAAAATAATAATTGTGGGGCCCCAGTTCACAGCCCAAGTCTGCAGAATCTTAGAGATATAAATAAAATCCATCTAGATTGCCCTGGTGCAGGGGGGCCCTTAGGAGCGGCCTGCAGGGCCCAGTTTGGCCCCATTGCTCCAATTGCCTTCAGGCCAGCCCTGATGAGACTGTGCAGCGGTTGGACGGACAAGTCCTGCCCCTTTAGGTCCCTGGTGCCACCATTCAGAGTACAAACTCCAGGACTCCAGAGCTAGCAGGCCCAGAGTCAACAACCAGCTGCACAGCCTTCCCAAGCTCAAGGGTCAGGTCTGTAGTGGTCAGTGGGAGAGTCGGAGTAGGGGGCCGGCTGGGGCAGATAGACCAGGCAAGCGAGCTCTGCCAAGTCCCTTCCATTCCTTTCCTCCTCCTTGTCTTGAACAGAGCAAGGCAAGCACATGTGACTGGCACTGGCCTCACCCCTCCCAGGCAAGGAAGACTATGTTTCACGCTGCACAGAGCCCTGTTGGTGCCTGCAGCATGCACTGCAGATTGCCCACAGGCAGAGAGAGGCCTTGGGGATCAGGGAAGGCAGCAGTGGGAAGGGATCCCACTGTAGAAGGCAGGAGGCCAGGCTGCAGGTTGGTAACTGAACCTCATCCTGAGGGAAAATAAGTAGAGGGATCAGTTCAGGGACAGAGGAACTGTGTTTTTTTGTCTTATTTTATTTGTGCCCGGTGGTGTTTTCCTTTCTGTGTTTGGTTTAAAGTGCCTTTTTGTGTTTAAAATCCTGTTAGTTGTAAATAGTCAATAAAATCTTTATTCTTTGTTTAAAAGCCTAGTCTGGTGCTCTGACCACGGAGTCTCCCCCCCGCTCTGTCCACTACCAGTGCCTTAAGAAGGGTCCTGGGAGGGGGAAAGCCCAAAAATGTGCAGGTGCCAACCCTCCAGGAGAAACCCAAAGGAGTTTTCATCTCCAAACCCCAGGAGTCAGCCAGAGGGGTCTCACTGCCCCTCCAGAAAGGCATAGCGAAGTCAGTGAGCAGTGGCAGCTACTGAAGAGTGATAGAAGCCCACCAAGTTTATCCAGTTGAAGATTTTTTTAATTTTTAGATTCTAATCTGAGCAAGAGTAAAAGATTTGAAAGTGGTGCTAGCAAGCTCAAGAGATTAGAGATTCGAAAATGCTATGATAATGAAGTTAAGACCAATCACTGCTTTTGTGCATCAACCACTCATTGAAGCACTGAAGCTATCCAGCCTGAGCTAAGTACTAGCATGCAACCAGAAAAAACCTCCCTGAAAGACTTAGCTGGATATATATTACCTTGAGTAATATCCCCATGTATGACTTATCTCGTGGGTAGGCAAACTAAGGTCCAGGGGCTGGATCCGGCCCAATCGACTTCTCAATACGGCCCGCTGACGGTCCAGGAATGAGCATGTTTTTACATGAGTAGAATGTGTCCTTTTATTTAAAATGCGTCTCTGGGTTATTTGTGGGGCATAGGAATTCATTTTTTTGTTTGTTTTTTCAAAATATAGTCTGGCCCCCCACAAGGTCTGAGGGACAGTGGACCAGCCCCCTGCTGAAAAAGTTTGCTGACCCCTGACTTAGCTGGATATATTATATTACCTTGAGTATGACTGAAGTGTTAGTTCACCCTATAATTCTACATGGGAATATTATACAGTGGTACCTCTGGTTACATATTTAATTCGTTCCGGAGGTCCGTTCTTAACCTGAAACGGATCTTAACCTGAAGCATCACTTTAGCTAATGGGGCCTCCTCCTGCTGCCGTGCCGCCAGAGCACAATTTCTGTTCTCATCCTGAAGCAAAGTTCTTAACCCGAGGTACTATTTCTGGGTTAGCGGAGTCTGTAACCTGAAGCGTCTGTAACCTGAAGCATATGTAACCCGAGGTACCACTGTACATCTCACTGTAGTGGGGAAGACTGTGGCCTGTGCGTTTGTCCTTAGTCTGCTGCCAAGGTGACATCTGTTGATGGGCAACTTTAGTGCCCCTGCTCTTCCTTCTGTATCAACCAGACCTGAAATGCACAGCCATTCAAATAGAGGACACCTTCATACAGAGAATGGTCACCTGTCCACATCCTCTGATAGCCCTGAAAACTGACAACTGTCTTCTGTAAAATAGGACACCTGAGCATCTTATATTTGCTGTTCTTCTTCTGCTGATGAGTGAACGTGATGCCATTTCTCTTTTATCCCGGCCTTTTCCACATTCTGCATAATCTAAATAGGATCCATTTGTTTGTATATTTAGGTTACTTCCTAAACAAACCATGCAAATTAAGAGACAGTCTCTCTCTCTCTCTCTCTCTCTCTCTCTCTCTCTATATATATATATAAAAGATAAATATTTTGTTCCCTGTGGCTGGGAGTGCTAGGATGAGAAGCATCCATGTAATCTACCTTGTCTTAGACACACACCAGTGATATATCAGGGGAGAACCTTGCTTGATTTAGTTTTTTTGGGGGGAGAGATAGATAAAGAGATAGAGAGATAGAGAGAGAGGTTGCATTGGAAGTAAGCAAGGGCACCGCAGGGACTTGAACCCCATCCTGGAAACCAGGAGTGCCAACCACCAGCGCCTTTTTCTTTTTTTCCTTTTTCATTTTTTGGCAATGCAACAAGGTGAAAAGCAAAACCTGAGCGAACACTCTGAATACTGAATGTTCTCTCAGGAAAAAGAAAACCCTTAAGAGTTATGAAGTTGCAGACAGAACACAGTCGAGGTTTTATCCCTTGCCAAGCAAGGGATATTCTTTTTTTAAAAAAAATATTTTTTATTCATTTTACAAGAATATAAAAACACATAACACAATTTTTCACAAATACATTTTTTGGAGTTCCCTCAGCTCCTCTGCAAATCCTCCGTTTTAATCCTTCTTCCGCATTTCTTAATCTATTATTGCCTTTTATTAAAAGCATCCTCCCTCTTATTCCCTTTTTTACAATATTTCTAATATTATTTTCACAGAGCCTCTTGCAAACCTACAAACGTTAATTGTTCATTGCAAATACTTTTCAAATAGTCTACAAATTTACTCCAGTCTTCAGTGAATCTGTGGTCTCGTAGGCCTCGGATCCTTCCTGTTAATTTGTCAAGTTCTGCGTATTCCATTAACTTCATTCTCCATTCTTCCATCGACGGTAATTCTTCTTGTTTCCATTTTTTGGGCTAGCAGTATTCTTGCCGGCCAAGCAAGGGATATTCACCTAGATGTGTTTAAGTCATAGAGTGTCATTTTCACTGCCATTAATTTGCAGGGCAGAACAGAGAGAGAGGCTGGTTCCAGTCTTAAAACTCACCTTTTTGTTTGTCCCTCTGAAGTGTGAATTCATGGGCCTGGAAGTTCCTTCTGCTGGTCTGTGAAAAGCAATCTGGACTCATTAGCTTGTCCCCAGCCCATTCCCACCAACTCCAGAGAAATGTTCTTACCAACCTGACTTCTGCAGGAGGAGCTGGCTTCCCCTGAGTGTGGTGGGCTCTTGGACAGAACTGTGAAGAGATCAAGCGAACGGAAATGGAGAAGCCAGCACAAAAGGATTGTACTGAAAAAGATCACTAAATTGTGGTGTGAACTTCACTTGCTTGCAAAATTCTATTTCTTGTGTCACTGAGATGCACCTGGAAGAGACTAGGGTCTTCAGCAGCCCTCCCCTCCAGATACAGAGGAGCAAAAACAGCAGGTTACCTAAAGCAGTGCAGTCAAGACGCAGATATCTCTCAATCCAATGCTGCAGATGTTCACTTGATGTATCAAGAGCTCTGACACTGCCTTACAGTGGTACCTCGGGTTAAGTACTTAATTCGTTCTAGAGGTCCGTTCTTAACCTGAAACTGTTCTTAACCTGAAGCACCACTTTAGTTAATGGGGCCTCCTGCTGCCGCCGCGCCGCCACTGCACGATTTCTGTTCTCATCCTGAAGCAAAGTTCTTAACCCGAGGTACTATTTCTGGGTTAGCGGAGTCTGTAACCTGAAGTGTCTGTAACCTGAAGCATATGTAACCCGAGGTACCACTGTACTTGTCAGTTGAGCAGGCAATCTGCTTCAGGCACAGGTAGCTCTGTGAGGTCTGTAAAAAAAAGAGCTGGAACAAAGCAAGGTTGGCTGTCCCACCAAAAGATGTACCTTATTGTGTGGTGATGGCACAGGAAAGGGCCTCCCTTGCAGTGGTGTCCCAACAAGATAGAAGTCCCTCCAGGTAGAAGCACGGAGAGTGACTGCATTAGGCTTTCGAGTTTGCAGCTCTTCTGAAAAAGTGATTGAATAACCAACATTGCTCAATACAAGCTCTTTGGAATATTTAGTTTGCATATTTGATGTATTATTCCATTTGGAGCCTACCTTTTCTCTAATGGGCTCAGGGTGCTTGAATGGTCCCCCTCACTGCGACCTGAAAGAATCTTTGTACAAAGAGTTGCAGGCAGAACACAACACATATTTTCTCCTCAGCCAAGCACAAGATACTCACCTAGTTGACCTTCATCCAGAAGACACACAACTGTATTGCTGGTATAATTACAATAGAGCAGTTAGAGATTAAAGGTAAAGGTAAAGGGACCCCTGACCATTAGGTCCAGTCGTGACCGACTGTGGGGTTGCGGTGCTCATCTCGCTTTATTGGCTGAGGGAGCCGGCATACAGCTTCTGGGTCATGTGGCCAGCATGACTAAGCCGCGTCTGGCAAACCAGAGCAGCGCACGGAAATGCCGTTTACCTTCCCACTGGAGCGGTACCTATTTATCAACTTGCACTTTGACGGGCTTTCAAACTGCTAGGTTGGCAGGAGCAGCGACCGAGCAATGGGAGCTCACCCTGTCACAGGGATTTGAACCACCGACCTTCTGATTGACAAGTCCTAGGCTCTGTGGTTTACCCACAGCGCCACCCGTGTCCCACTTAGAGATTACTTGTTAGTTATTATCGCCGCCTCTGATAATACAAAAGTATTGCAGCTGAAGGTAACTATGATTTTGCGTGCCCCATCTGGTCATTAGTGGAACGTTCAGCCACCCTCTTATTTACGAGTGAAAATGGCCAGTCAGGATTCCTAAGCTTTCAATAACTTCTCAGTCAATTCTGCCTTATCTTGTGAGCCCCACCACACCCCATCTGGTCATTAGTGGAACAATCAGCCACCCTCTTATTTATGAGTGAAAATGGCCAGTCAGGATTCCTAAGCTTTCAATAACTTCTGTCAATTCGGCCTTATCTTGTGAGCCCCACCACACCCCTCTGGTCATTAGTGGAACGTTCAGCCACCCTCTTATGTATGAGTGAAAATGGCCAGAGAGTTTCAAATATTTGCACCCCAGGCAAAGAAAATTGGGAGCTACATGCCTCCGTTATCTACAGGATATAGGGGTACATATCTCTATTCCAAAATGTTTCACAAATGTGGGTTGTTATTATTTTGCGTGCCCCATCTGGTCATTAGTGGAACGTTCAGCCACCCTCTTATTTACGAGTGAAAATGGCCAGTCAGGATTCCTAAGCTTTCAATAACTTCTCAGTCATTTCAGCCTTATCTTGTGAGCCCCCCCACACCCCTCTGGTCATTAGTGGAACGTTCAGCCACCTTCTTATGTATGAGTGAAAATGGCCAGAGTTTCAAATATTTCAGCCTTACCATTAGCAGACAAAGTTTTCTGCCCTTTATGTACAGGGGAAAATGGTCAAGGCTCATTCCTACTAATTATGAATTTGTAGGTGCTTAAACGTTTGCTGGACTTTTAATGTTTGTAGTTTTGCTTACAAATGGCTGACAAAATGGTGGAAACCCCTAAATACCCACTCCAATCCTTGCAGACACATTTCCTTCCATACATCCACATATTCGCAGGGTTGGAAGGGACTTTGGTGTCACCTAGTCCAACTCTCTGAAATTCAAGAAAACCAGTAGCTATCTACCCTATCATGCAAGTTTTTCACCAAAAAGCCAGTAACACAATTTTGGTCAAATTAAATTTCTAATAAAGTCTCAGCGTTAATGGATCGTGTTTCCCGCATTAAACAGCCCTATTTGCACCCCAGGCAAAGAAAATTGGGAGCTACATGCCTCCTTTATCTACAGGATATAGGGGTACAGATCTCTATTCCAAAATGTTTCACAAATGTGGGTTGTTATTATTTTGCGTGCCCCATCTGGTCATTAGTGGAACGTTCAGCCACCCTCTTATTTACGAGTGAAAATGGCCAGTCAGGATTCCTAAGCTTTCAATAACTTCTCAGTCATTTCAGCCTTATCTTGTGAGCCACCCCACCAACCCCCCTGGTCATTAGTGGAACGTTCAGCCACCCTCTTATTTACGAGTGAAAATGACCAGTCAGGATTCCTAAGCTTTCAATAACTTCTCAGTCAATTCTGCCTTATCTTGTGTGCCCCACCACACCTCGCCGGTCATTAGTGGAACGTTCAGCCACCCTCTTATGTATGAGTGAAAATGGCCAGAGAGTTTCAAATATTTGCACCCCAGGCAAAGAAAATTGGGAGCTACATGCCTCCTTTATCTACAGGATATAGAGGTACAGATCTCTATTCCAAAATGTTTCACAAATGTGGGTTGTTATTATTTTGCGTGCCCCATCTGGTCATTAGTGGAACGTTCAGCCACCCTCTTATTTACGAGTGAAAATGGCCAGTCAGGATTCCTAAGCTTTCAATAACTTCTCAGTCATTTCAGCCTTATCTGGTGAGCCCCACCACACCCCATCTGGTCATTAGTGGAACAATCAGCCACCCTCTTATGTATGAGTGAAAATGGCCAGTCAGGATTCCTAAGCTTTCAATAACTTCTCAGTCAATTCGGCCTTATCTTGTGTGCCCCACCACACCCCTCTGGTCATTAGTGGAACGTTCAGCCACCCTCTTATGTATGAGTGAAAATGGCCAGAGAGTTTCAAATATTTGCACCCCAGGCAAAGAAAATTGGGAGCTACATGCCTCCTTTATCTACAGGATATAGGGGTACAGATCTCTATTCCAAAATGTTTCACAAATGTGGGTTGTTATTATTTTGTGTGCCCCATTTGGTCATTAGTGGAACAATCAGCCACCCTCTTATGTACGAGTGAAAATGGCCAGTCAGGATTCCTAAGCTTTCAATAACTTCTCAGTCATTTCAGCCTTATCTTGTGAGCCCCACCACACCCCTCTGGTCATTAGTGGAACGTTCAGCCACCTTCTTATGTATGAGTGAAAATGGCCAGAGTTTCAAATATTTCAGCCTTACCATTAGCAGACAAAGTTTTCTGCCCTTTATGTACAGGGGAAAATGGTCAAGGCTCATTCCTACTAATTATGAATTTGTAGGTGCTTAAACGTTTGCTGGACTTTACATGTTTGTAGTTTTGCTTACAAATGGCTGACAAAATGGTGGAAACCCCTAAATACCCACTCCAATCCTTGCAGACACATTTCCTTCCATACATCCACAGATTCGCAGGGTTGGAAGGGACTTTGGTGTCACCTAGTCCAACTCTCTGAAATTCAAGAAACCCAGTAGCTATCTACCCTATCATGCAAGTTTTTCACCAAAAAGCCAGTAACACAATTTTGGTCAAATTAAATTTCTAATAAAGTCTCAGCGTTAATGGATCGTGTTTCCCGCATTAAACAGCCCTATTTGCACCCCTAGGCAAAGAAAATTGGGAGCTACATGCCTCGTTATCTACAGGATATAGGGGTACATATCTCTATTCCAAAATGTTTCACAAATGTGGGTTGTTATTATTTTGCGTGCCCCATCTGGTCATTAGTGGAACTTTCAGCCACCCTCTTATTTACGAGTGAAAATGGCCAGTCAGGATTCCTAAGCTTTCAATAACTTCTCAGTCAATTCAGCCTTATCTTGTGTGACCCCAAACTTCCGGGTTGGCGCCTCCAGGCAATGGCGGAGTTCCTCCGATCGGGAGGAATTTGCTCCGTGGAAATTAGGGTCTGACTGCCACGGCGAAGGCGGAGACCCACTGAAATCACAGGCGGGAGAAGCCTGTGAACTTGGGATTCGGCTGGCACCCTTTGCGCCTCCCCTACTCGTGGGGAAACCCTGATTTGGGGATCTGGAGCGAAGTGGGGTGAGTGGCGCGGTGCTTCAAATTGACTGCTTCTTTCACGGAGTGAAGCCGCATCGCTGTTGCCAGAGAGCGCTGACTTTTTCTTGTGGACAATTGGATTTTAAACAATGACCCGTGAGTAGAACGGAAAATTAGATCCTTAAATTCATTAATTTGGCATCGAAACGGGAAGGTTCTAAACAGGAAGTCCGCCTTCCCTTTTTTGTAAACAGATTGAAGCAAAGAAGTTGCAAGTTAAAGCCTTGGAAAGTTTATTTTTGTAAAGTTTATTTTTGTAAATCTCCATCGGTTAAAACTATTAAACCCCCCTTGGAAGCAGGAGAAGAGGGGGGAAATTTTGGACCTAGCGAGCCTGCAGGAGAGAGTGAAAAACCAAATTACCACTGCTCTGAACCTGGAAATGGGCTGCCAGAAAGAGTGACTTTTTTGACAGCTAGCAATAAGAGAAATATATTGTTTCCATTGTACTCATCTGCGTTTAAAAAGTAGGAAAAGAAACTATAGTTTAAATTGTGTTTGAAAGGATTGATACAAGTGGAGACTGTTTCCCTCTAGAGGGAGCTTTTGAAACTGTTACAAGAGTGGAGCTGGGGTTCTTCCAGTCGCAAGATAAGAACTGTGTGAAATAGAGTTTGACCTTGGAGAGAATGTTGACAGGAGCCTTAGTGACTGTATTATGAAAGATAAGCTATTCGTTGGAACAGCTCCACAAGAAGACGGACGCTATGAATACCAAACTTGAGAACTTGGGACAAAAAGTGACTAATTTGGAACAAAAAGTGACCATTAATACAGAAATTGTTTAGGATTTGACACAGGAACCTATCTTGATAGGACAAACTGGGGAGAAGACGAAGGAGAATATTGGTCTTGCTAAACCTAAAATAATACAAGTGGAAGCCCCAGTTTTACAGAGGCAAACTGAGGATTATAAGTGGAGGCCTTTTATGAATGAATATAGAAAAAGTCAGAATTTGAAGACTGGAGCCCTGCTTGGATTGAAGAAGGAAGGTTGGATAGACTCTTTCAAGCAGAGATTTACTGACCTTTGGGTCCTGAATCTGGGTCAGGAGGTGATTGGAGTTGTGGGGGCCTTTGGATCTGGAGGAGCCTTGAAACATGATTTGGGACATTGTATGGACACTGGTTTTAGCTGTGGAGAGTTGGTTGGTCTGTCGAGAGGGAATAGGGGCATGGTTGGATTGGGCCCCCCCCCCCAAGACTTGCGCTTCAGCACCCTCAGTATCAAAGAATATGAAGAAAAACTGCAGACGGGACTTGGAAAAGATTTAAGAGCTTCGGACAGAAGATCTCCAGGTTGATGAACTATATGGAATGGACGGAAATGACTGGCAGAATCCGAGACCAGGGAGAAGAGATGGTGGTAGAAGATTGGGAAAGTTTAAAGTTTATATATAGAAATATTGTAAATTTAATGAGTGTTAGAAAATTGTTGGAATGAAATTTTATGGCTTTAGCAGAAATGTTATAAGGAGTTAGGTATAAATAAGTATTTCAGTATTAATGGAAAGTAAGGTATAAAATATGTTAAGATATTCATAATGATAAAAATAGAGAAAGATGGAAAGGAATTGCTGAAACAAGTAATAGAAGTGGAATACAAAAGGGAGGTGAGAGGAGGTCGATGAAATAAGGGAATGAAAGATAGAGTAATGAAATGGTATGGTATATGTTTTTAAATTGTTGTTCTTTTGCTTTGTTTAGGTTAATGTGTTAAGGTTGTGTTTTGTATTGTTTATTGTATTGTTTTTTCTTTTCTCTCTCTTTTTTTCCTCTGTTCTATTTTGTCTTTTTCTTTCGCCCATTTTCTTCCTTTTTCTTTTCTTGTAAGTTTTAAAAGTAATAAAGATTTTTTTTTAAAAAAAAAATCTTGTGTGCCCCACCACACCTCTCTGGTCATTAGTGGAATGTTCAGCCACCCTCTTATGTATGAGTGAAAATGGCCAGAGAGTTTCAATTATTTGCACCCCAGGCAAAGAAAATTGGGAGCTACATGCCTCCTTTATCTACAGGATATAGGGGTACAGATCTCTATTCCAAAATGTTTCACAAATGTGGGTTGTTGTGATTTTGTGTGCCCCATCTGGTCATTAGTGGAACAATAAGCCACCCTCTTATTTACGAGTGAAAATGGCCAGTCAGGATTCCTAAGCTTTCAATAACTTCTGTCAATTCGGCCTTATCTTGTGAGCCCCACCACACCCCTCTGGTCATTAGTGGAACGTTCAGCCACCCTCTTATGTATGAGTGAAAATGGCCAGAGAGTTTCAAATATTTGCACCCCAGGCAAAAAAAATTGGGAGCTACATGCCTCCTTTATCTACAGGATATAGGGGTACAGATCTCTATTCCAAAATGTTTCATAAATGTGGGTTGTTGTGATTTTGCGTGCCCCATCTGGTCATTAGTGGAACAATCAGACACCCTCTTATTTAGGAGTGAAAATGGCCAGTCAGGATTCCTAAGCTTTCAATAACTTCTCAGTCAATTCTGCCTTATCTTGTGTGCCCCACCACACCTCGCTGGTCATTAGTGGAACGTTCAGCCACCATCTTATGTATGAGTGAAAATGGCCAGAGAGTTTCAAATATTTGCACCCCAGGCAAAGAAAATTGGGAGCTACATTCCTCCTTTATCTACAGGATATAGAGGTACAGATCTCTATTCCAAAATGTTTCACAAATGTGGGTTGTTATTATTTTGTGTGCCCCATTTGGTCATTAGTGGAACAATCAGCCACCCTCTTATTTACGAGTGAAAATGGCCAGTCAGGATTCCTAAGCTTTCAATAACTTCTCAGTCATTTCAGCCTTATCTTGTGAGCCCCACCACACCCCTCCGGTCATTAGTGGAACGTTCAGCCACCCTCTTATGTATGAGTGAAAATGGCCAGAGAGTTTCAAATATTTCAGCCTTACCATTAGCAGACAAAGTTTTCTGCCCTTTATGTACAGGAAAAAATGGTCACGGCTCATTCCTACTAATTATGAATTTGTAGGTGCTTAAACGTTTGCTGGACTTTACATGTTTGTAGTTTTGCTTACAAATGGCCGAAAATATGGTGAAAACCTCTAGAATCTAGATACTCACTCTAATGCCTCTACCAAGCCGCCTCTACCATTGCTATCAGTAGGTTCATCCTCAAAATGCATTATTTGTTTTTTTCACACTGAAATCAGCAAGGCAACTGTTATAAGATAAAGGAAGCAGTTTGAGGCATCAGATTTTAAAATGGCTCTTCTAAATGTATTACCTTGGGAGCAGAAGTACTGGTGAGGATCCAAACCATGCTTGGAACCTTCTGGATTTATACACATCTGAAGGAATAAAAACTCAACAATATTTTGGTAAGCCTCTTCTGCAGTTGCCCAGTAACTACAATTAGGTATAATACTCTCACCTTTAGTTGGTTGCTTTTTGCTGCTGCTTCTTTTGGCTTTCTCAGTTATTTCCTCCTTTTCTTGCTTGCCCCAGAACCAATTCTTGATCCTAGTGACTTCCAAAGCTTTTCTTTTCAATAGTTATTTCTCTTTTTGTGCTTTCATTCTGTTCTAACTTCACCAATCTGAAGTGGCTTGTCAGTTGCCTTGATTCCCATCAGGGAAAAGGGTGGGGTATTAATAATAACAATAACAATAATATTAATGCCTCTTCCTAGCTTCACATGCCAAATGCCACCACTTTTAAGCCAGCTGCTCAAGAGGGTTTGTTATTCTATTCCTTGGAAGCCACATTATAAATAAAATGAAGTTCTGCCCATTAGCAAAGGAGCTTATCTATAGTCCCCAAGAACCTATCACAAAATGGCTGCAAAGCGTTTTTGTCAACAAGGCAACCTGAGATAACATGAAATTAAAAGGAACTATGTTGTCTTCTCCCCCTCTGCTTTGCTCTTTATCACATGCACAGCCTTCTTCCCCCCTGGATCCACCTACCCTTCTCACTTCTAAGTCTTACCTATGTTAAAATCTTCCCAATCTTGGTTTTTCTAACTTCTGGAGTGAAGTTCTGGAGCGAATGGTCGCAGACCAGATCCAAGTGTTCTTGGAAGAAGCTGATTTTCTGGATCCATTTCAACCAGGGTTTAGGCCTGGTTTTGGCACAGAAACTGCCTTGGTCACCCTGTGTGATGACCTGTCAAGAGAGAGACAAGGGAAACATGTCCCTGTTAATTCTTCTCGACCTCTCAGCGGCTTTCGATGCCATCGACCACAGTATCCTTCTGGAGCAACTCTCTGAACTAGGAGTAAGTGGCACCAATTTGCGGTGGTTCCAGTCCTACTTGGATGGTCGCTCCCGGAGGGTGTTACTTTTCAGCCCTGTGGAACCTCCAACAGGGGTTCCGCAGGGCTCAATTCTATCCCCCATGTTGTTTAACCCTGGGAGGTCGCCTGCTCTGGATGGGGTTACACTGCCCCTTAAGGAGTAGGTTTGTAGCTTGGGGGTACTCCTGGATCCTTTGCTGTTGCTTGAGGCTTAGATCACCTCAGTGGCCCAGAGTGCCTTCCGTCAGCTTCGGCTGGTGGCCCAGCTACACCTCTATCTGGACAGGGATAGCCTAACTACTGTTGTCTATGCTCTGGTAACCTCAAGGTTAGATTACTGCAATGCATTATGCATAGGGCTGCCTTTGAAGAAGGTTCGGAAACTTCAGCTGGTGCAGAATACAGTGGCCAGGTTGCTCACTGCAGCAAGACGGTTTGAGCATATTACATCAATCCTGGTCCAACTGCACTGGCTACCAATTAATTTATGGGACCAATTCAAAGTGCTGGTGTTGACCTATAAAGCCTTAAACAGCTCAGGACCACAATACTTCAAGGAAAGCCTCCTCCCATATGAACCTACCCGGAGCCTGAGATCATCTTCTGAGGCCCTTCTTTGTGTGCCTCACCCATGTGAGGTCCAGAGGGTGGCAACACAAGAAAGGGCCTTCTCTGCAGTGGCTCCCCACCTGTGGAATGCTCTCCCCAGTGAGGTTTGCCTGGCGCCTTCACTATATACTTTAGGCACCAGGTAAAAAACGTCTCTTTTTAACAAGGCCTTTGCCTGACCTGATCTACATCCTATACCCTTTTTTAAATGCTGGCTCTTTTTTGGGGGTGGGGTTATTGGGTTGTTATTGTTTTGATTTTGTGCATTTGATATTTTATGTGAACAGCCCTGAGACCTTCCAGTATAGGGCAGTATAGAAAACAAACAAACAAACAAACAAACAAACAACAACTTTGGCAACAGAAATCCCAGCCTTCTATTTTCTGTATTTATTCTTCAATCTGCTTGAAGCAGACTTCATATCCACCTACCGTCATTTCCTGTGCTCCTTTTCACATCCAAAGACTTGTTGGCTGAAAGGTAAATAAACTTGATTTCGCCCCTCACATTCTTTCATTTCTTAGTTTTCCCTTGTATCTCTTTTTAAAGTTGTAAATAATAATTTTTCTGTGCCTTACAATTCCTTTGTTTACTTAAAAAAAAATACTAGTTATAGTTTTGAAAAGAAATCTAACCTAAGCTGGTTTTAGTTTCCATTTTAAACCTATTCCCCCAGCCTCCCTCTCTGTTATGTACTAAGCTTGGATCCTAGAACAATAGGCAGGTAGGATCCTAGAATGCAACAACTGGATTGGCCTGCAGGAGCAGCCCAATCATATCCCAGGAAGAAGTTAATCAGCCTATTAGGCTGGTAGGGTCCTAGGATGCAACAACTGATTGGCCTGCAGTAGCAGCCCAATCAGGCTCCAGGAGGGAAACATAATCAACCAATCAGATGGGATTCATTGTGTAAATAATGTAAATAAGCCTGAGGTTTGAGGGGAAATGCATTTGCTGTTTTTCAAGCTGCAATAAAGAGCGTGAAATCACTTCTTGACTCCGAGTATATTTCACCCTCCTAATCCCTCTGCTCATTAGCTCCTTCACCTCTGACCAGTGAGAGGGCTAAAACCAGTACTATAGCCAGGGACAGTCTCTCTCACTAGAATCTGGCTCGCTCCTTCCACCACCTGTTGGTCATAAGGACACATAAAAAAGTCCCTCAGCCCATTAATACAGTGGATACAAATGTGTATTAGTGCCCACCCCAGTCCCTAATAACAGGGTTGCTGGGGTACCAACTTGAATAAAATATTGGGGGGGGGGCAGTAAGCACCACCCTCCATAATCAATTACATGACATGGCGCACCCCCCCCCATTTGAATGGCAATACCCATCAACTTTTTTGGGGGGGGTCCCAGCCCCTTCAAATATTTTATTGGGGAGGGGGCTTAAGAAGAGTTAGCTCTTAAGTTGGGGTATATGTCGTTCCTGGATCAATGTCTTTGCTTGCTTTGCTATGTGTAGCACCTGCTGTGCCTTTGAATGGCATTTTGCCCATGTACACTGATCTGAGCATTAAAGATTTTGGTAGACTCTGCAGCCTGAGTTCGAATTCTTCACTGAGTGGGAGACGGGAAATTCTCCTCCACTGTGTGCTTTTCTGGAGATTCTCCTGAGCCTCCCATAGCCAGTTTTTCTTGGGGGGGGGGGTGTCTATGCTCTTCCCTTTCCCTATAATAAGATGTTCTTGTTCCTCCCATAATTTCTACCTAGTTGTAATTGAAAGTGGCACCATCAACAAACATCTCCCAAGGGATCACAGGTAGAAAATTGTCTTTCTTGCTTTTATTTTTTAAAATCAAAATCAAAGACTTTTCAATTCCGAAATTGGAAATATTATTTAACACAATATGAAGAGGTGTTGATGTGCAGGGTACAGGGAAACATTTTTGTATTGGATTAATTCCCAAACCCAGATAAAATAAAGTAACGGTTTCAATTCCTTTTGCCTTCTTAATCTCCTGAATCAAGATCAAAAAATGTTCACAGCAGTCCTAGTCAAAAGTTTGAGTTGTAGCGCTCCACCTATAGGAACATCGCCCAGCTGCGAGGTGTGGAGGCCTCTCCCTACAAGGCCCTTTCTACCTAGCCTAAGGGGCAGGGCCCACACTCACCAGCCCCACTGAAGAGGCTCCTCATGAGGCCGGAGGAACATCGCCCGGCTGTGGGGCATGGAGGCCGCTCCCTGCAAGGCCCTTTCCACTTGGCCTAGGGGGCAGGGCCCACACTCACCAGCCCCACTGAAGAGGCTCCTCATGAGGCCGGAGGAACATTACCCGGCTGTGAGGTGTGGAGGCCGCTCCCTGCAAGGCCCTTTCCACTTGGCCTAGGGGCTGGGCCCACACTCACCAGCCCCACTGAAGAGGCTCCTCATGAGGCCGGAGGAACATCGCCCGGCTGTGGGGCATGGAGGCCGCTCCCTGCAAGGCCCTTTCCACCTGGCCTAGGGGCTGGGCCCACACTCACCAGCCCCACTGAAGAGGCTCCTCATGAGGCCGGAGGAACATTACCCGGCTGTGAGGTGTGGAGGCCGCTCCCTGCAAGGCCCTTTCTACTTGGCCTAGGGGGCGAGGCCCAAACTCACCAGCCCTACTGAAGAGGCTCCTCATGAGGCCGGAGGAACATCGCCTGGCTGTGTGTGTGAAGGCCACTCCCTGCAAGGTCCTCTCCACCTGGCCTAGGGGCAGGGCCCACACTCACCAGCCCCACTGAAGAGGCTCCTCATGAGGCCGGAGGAACATTACCCGGCTGTGAGGTGTGGAGGCCGCTCCCTGCAAGGCCCTTTCCACTTGGCCTAGGGGGCTGGGCCCACACTCACCAGCCCCACTGAAGAGGCTCCTCATGAGGCCGGAGGAACATCGCCCGGCTGTGGGGCATGGAGGCCGCTCCCTGCAAGGCCCTTTCCACCTGGCCTAGGGGGCTGGGCCCACACTCACCAGCCCCACTGAAGAGGCTCCTCATGAGGCCGGAGGAACATTACCCGGCTGTGAGGTGTGGAGGCCGCTCCCTGCAAGGCCCTTTCCACGTGGCCTAGGGGGCTGGGCCCACACTCACCAGCCCCACTGAAGAGGCTCCTCATGAGGCCGGAGGAACATCGCCCGGCTGTGGGGCATGGAGGCCGCTCCCTGCAAGGCCCTTTCCACCTGGCCTAGGGGGCTGGGCCCACACTCACCAGCCCCACTGAAGAGGCTCCTCATGAGGCCGGAGGAACATCACCCGGCTGTGGGGCATGGAGGCCGCTCCCTGCAAGGCCCTTTCCACCTGGCCTAGGGGGCTGGGCCCACACTCACCAGCCCTACAATGTTAAATATGTATTCTGTAGTTGACCTCCTTTGTAATGTTCTATTTTGAAATCTTTAAGATAATATTTAAGTTTTCTGTTATGTTGCTTTGACTTTATTCTCTACATTTGACTTTCTTCAGACTGTCTTATTTATGTTTTATTGATTTAATATTCTGTAAACCACTTTGAGATTTTTCTTAAAAATATAAAGCGGTATAGAAATTTATAAAATAAACATCTGCCCACTTCCAGGGTTGTGGTTCTTGAAGATTTTCCAAAAAGTGTAACTAACCACTGACATAATATGTGCAAGTTCCTTTAGTACCCTAGGGTGCAATTCACCAGGCCCTGAAGACTTGAATTAGTTTCAATGGGCTAAGGCTTCCTTTATCACCTCTTCACCTATCTTGGGATGCAACTCTGTCCATTTATCACTTAATCTGCTTTTATGAGGTCAAGCACAGTTTCCATTGTGTGAGAAGACTGAAGCAATCCTGTCTGCTCCCTGTCACCTGCTAACACTTCTCTGTCCTTCACAGCGTGAACCTATCATTTCCTGAACACAGCAAAACACACACACACACACAAAACTACCCTCCTTTTGGTTATTTTGAACACTTCTAATAAGCCTTACACACATTGTGAGCTTTAGCCCTGCTGATAATCTGTACAAGCTTTGGCTATTTATCTGAAATTGTCCTCAGTGATTTTCCCTTTCAGAACTCTTTCTTTCTGAAGCTCAAGAGAATACAGTCAAGCAAGGGTGTCAGGCCTACAGGTAAATTTTACAAAGTCAGAAGCTATGTGCTTCAACGCCCCTCCTCACACCCAAAAAGAACTCATGAAGGTCACCAAAATAAAACTTTGCCACACCAAGTTCAGATACCTAGGGGTACAAATAACCAGAAACCTCCATAAATTGTACCTCTACAACTACAAGCCCCTGTGGCGACAAATTAACAAAGACCTAAAGAGATGGAATAACATGAATTTCACTCTCTCAGACAAAATAGCCATGATCAAAATGATCACACTCCCAAAACTAACCTACCTATTCCAAACCCTCCCAATCTGGATCCCCTCAACCCAACTCCACAGTTGGCAGAGAAAACGACACTCTTTTATCTTCTCACATAAAAAACCAAGAATAAGCCCCAAATACCTGCACCTCCCCACCTCAGAAGGATTTCTTCGATGAAAATAGGGACATCCTATTCAATAATAATAATTTTATTATTTATATGCACACACCATGTTACCTCTCAGCTGTTTAACTGTAATGGCAAATAGCTTATAATTTATCCATTCTCCATTGACTTAGGCCTGAAGTCTTCAAAGCCCTCCTGAGCTACCAGTTACCACCTCCTCTTGGGTCAGTGAATCAAATAATGCATTATGTGAAATGTTCCCAGTGGAGGACTGCAGGATCACATTAACAAAACTGCTTGTGGCTGGTTGTTAAAAGCAATGTAAACCATGGGTTGGCATTACATCTGAACCAGCTCCAAGAAAGCCAGGGGTAAGAGTGAAGGGATCTTCATCAACTGAGTTAAAAGATACTGACAATATTTGCAGAGATATTAGATGGCATTTGCACCACACTTTACAATGCATTACCCCAGTGCTTTTTTCTGGGTGTACGCAGGGGTACGCATACTCCTAAACATTTTGTGAATCTTTGTACTTTTGTCCATTTACTGTATTTATTTTCCCGGATTTGAACTATAAAATGGTGATTTTATTGAGTCAAAATGAGAGTACCCCTAAACATTTCTTAAGAAAAAAAAGCACTGCATTATCCCATCACTTCACTTATCGCCGAAAGTCCAGACTTTTGGAGAAGAAGGTTGTTACGCAAGACCTACCAATCAACTACAATTGCACAGCTTGAATTTTCCAATACAGTGGTACCTTGGGATGCGAACGGGATCCATTCCGGAGCCCCGTTCACATCCCGAACAGAACGTAAGACGCGACAATGTGTCCGTGCATGCGCTGGTCGCATTTCGCCGTTTCCGTGCATGCGCATGACATCATTTTGACCGTCTGTACATACGCAAGCGGCGAAACCCAGAAGTAACGCACTACGTTACTTCCGGGTCGCTGCAGAGCGCAACCCAAAAGCGCTCAACCTGAAGCGTATTTATCCCGAAGTATGACTGTAGGTGTTTGTTCCTATTTTGGGGTGGGATTCTATCTGGAAGCACCCTAAAAGTCTATCAAATTCAACAGTAGGTTCAATAGTCACACCTCCGCAGCGAACATTGGGAACTGTAGCTCTGGTGAACAGATTAGGAGTCCCCTGACCGCTCTCATGGCAAGCTACAGTTCCCACAATTCTTTTGGGGGAAGCTCTCACTGTTTAATAATAATAATAATAATAATAATAATAATAATAATAATAATTTTATTATCTATACCCCACACACATCTGGTATCATAGTGTTTTAAATGCATGGTGCAGATGAGGCCTGTGATTGTGGGGGCCAGATAGCAGAATGCACTTGATGATCCCGTTGCTTGAATATGATAGGTATTGTGCCTTGTTTGTTGATAGCACAGATAATCCTCCTTTGTGGAAGTATGGAGCTATTATGGTGATTTGTGTTTTTAACTACTTCCCCTCTCTTTTACCAGCATAGACAATGAGGCCTATGAGGCACCAGCATATGAGGTTACTTATTGGGACCAACTATCTGGACCAGAGGTCAGCAAACCTTTTCAGCAGGGGGCCAGTCATAGCTATCAACATTTCCCTTTTTTTAAGGGAAATTCCCTTATTCCGAATAGGATTCCTCTCAAGAAAAGGGAAAAGTTGACAGCTATGGGGCCAGTCCACTGTCCCTCAGACCTTGTGGGGGGGGCCGGACTACAGTGGTACCTCTGGATGTGGACGGGATCCATTTTGGAGCCCCATTCGCATCCAGAAGTGAATGTAACCTGCGTCCACGGGTCACGATTCGCCAATTCTGCACATGCACATGACGTAATTTTGATCGCCTGCACATGCGCAAGCGGCAAAACCCGGAAGTAATGCGCTCCGTTACTTCTGGGTCAGCACAACACGCAATCCGAAAATACTTATCCTGAAGCTTCTTCAACCCGAGGTATGACTGTGTATGGGGGGGGGGGGATGAACGAATTCCTATGTCCCACAAATAACCCAGAGATGCATTCTAAATAAAAACACACATTCTACTCATGTAAAAACACCAGGCAAGCCCCACAAATAACCCAGAGATGCATTTTAAATAAAAGGACACATTCTACTCGTGTGAAAACACACTGATTCCTGGACTGTCCACGGGCCAGATTTAGAAGGCAGTTGGACCGCATCTGGCCCCCAGGTCTTAGTTTGCCTACCTATGATCTGGACCATCACATCCAGTCCAGAAGCCCCCTCGTGCAGCGTGGTCATTGAGCCTCCAGCCCATAGAGAGACTGTGGTCAAGGCATTCAGTGTCTCGCTGGCCCCAGGCACACGGCTGCTTCGAAGGCAGATCTGCAGTCGAGGTTCCGACTCAGGTTACTCACACCGCCAAAACTGCAGCGATTTGTCTCGGATACCCATGAACTCAAAGGTGTTGAAGAGCAGGTGGGACGCCTGGAGCCCCTCACAGCCCCTCCTGCTTATGAAAACGCAACTGTGGAGGAGGTCTTTGAAAAAGAATTTCAGCCCCCCAGGCTATGAGAACAGTGCACCGTGTACACTTTTTCATCAGACTTCCTTCAGTGGTCATCTTGTTGCAATCCATATAAATCCAGTAAATAAATAAAATAAACAAGCAGTGGATTTGTCCTGGGGAAACTGGCAGGGCAAATGGCAAAAGCCGCTCTCAAGACCCTCAGTGAACTTTTGCGCTTTCACCTATAGGCTTACAGCAGAGCACTCTCTGTCTCATACAGACCTTTATCAAATTATATACAACAAAAAAATTCAGATGGCCTTTCCTAATGTGGAAGCAATCTTGTGGCTATTTCTTAGCTTTATGGTCGCTAACTGCTTGGGAGAGAGGAGATTTTCAAGACTCAAAAGAATTTAAAATGAATTAACAGCCACCATGTCTCAAGAGAGGTCCGCACTGAGCATTCTGTACATTGAAAGTGACAAACTTAGACAAAGAACTTTTGACGAAGTTTTGGATGATTTTGCTATGAGGAAGGCGAGAAAAAAATATTTATAGTCTTACTGTATTTGATGGTTGTAGTTTAAAATATGTATTTTAAAACTGACTGTTTAATGAGAACCTAAAGTAGAATCTAAAAGTGCCGCACTGTCAAGCAATCATGATCATATTATTTACACTTCTCAGGCAATATAATTTGTAAACTCAATGTTGTTGTTTTTCAAAATAATAACATTACAACTTCATTTTCCTAAAAAGTAATGCTGATTCCACAAAAGGTTTACAAAGTTCAGTTACAGCAGAAGTTTTTCAGTGTTAATTTTAACATTTATGCATTTATTTATTTTAAATCACCATGGTATTTAACAAGAACATCTTATGTCCTCTAGAGGAGAAAAAAGTAAATTGCAAAATTTTAAATACCTGTCATCATCCTTGGCTTCACTCAATTTTGTTTATAACACTCTTCCATTTTCTTCTAGTCGTGAGCGTGGGGGATTGGGGTTGCCCCTCACAAGTGCAGTAGCCTAGGACCTCTCTCCATCTAGATCCAGCCCTGACTGAGGGAAGCGGAGTTGTGTATAAGCCACTCGGACAGCCTTTTTGGCGTAAGGGTGGGGTATAAATTCTGTAAACAAATAAGCTGCGAGTAAGTGGGGAAGAGCAGTACCTCTTCAGACTGCAGACCAGGTTGCAGCTCATATCTCCCCCGCCACAAACACACACACAGAGAGAAAATCAAGGTTGTCCTTGACATTTTGAGATGTAGGGGATTTAGCACAGGTAGGAACATTTGCTCATGTTATTCTTCACTTGACATTGGGCGAGTGATTATCATGAGTGGATCTGTGTGCATTGCTGTTCTTAATTATGTTTAGAAATTGCCTCTTCTCTAAGGAGTTGAGAGTGCAGTATGTAGCTGCCATTCCTATCCATTTTATTCTCACAACGTGGGTGTGTGGCCAGCCCAAGAACACTCTGTAATCTTCATAGCTGAGTGGGGTCTTTTTTTTCTTTTTAAAGGTTTTTATTAGGAATATCAACATAACATTTTATCAAAACACTTATCATCCTTAATTCCCCCCCCCTATTTTTTCCCTCCTCCCTCTCCATAAAAAGAACCCCCCCTCCCCTCCCCCCCAGACTTCTCTCAGCTCCTCCCTCTGATTTTTTCAATACATATACATATTATAAAATTATAAAGATCCTTAATTTATCTATCTATGTGTTATTAAAAATAAATTTGTATATGTTTATTCAAAACCTGCCAAGGAGTCCAATTCATTTTGTTGTTTCTTTAAATACTTTGTAAAAGGTTCCCATTCTTCTTTAAAGTCACAGTTGTCCTTGTCACACAGTTTGTGTGTCAGTTTCGCCAGTTCCACATAATCCACCAGTTTCTCTTGCCACAGTTCTTTTGTCAGGATTTCTTCATTCTTCCATCCTTGTGCTATTAAGACTCTTGCCGCTGTTGTTGCATACATAATGTTCTTAAATTTCCTTGGCAGGTCTTTTCCTACAATCCCTAACAAAAATGCTTCAGGTTTTTTAACAAATGTTAATTGGAACATTTTCTTCAACTCATTATATATCACTTCCCAGAATTTTCTAATCTTACTGCAATCCCCCCACATAGGATAAAAAGTCCCTTCTTTTTCCTTACATTTCCAAAACATGTTTGAACCAGTTTTGTACATTCTTTCTATCTGCACTGGTGTTATATACCATCTATATGTCATTTTCATATAGTTTTCTTTCAACAAAGAGCAATCTGTAAATTTTAAGTCGGTTTTCCACAATGTTTCCCAGTCTTCAAACATTATATTATGACCTATATCTTGTGCCCATTTAATCATGACTCTTGATCTTTTGTTTCCCATTTTAGCAGAATACTATATGCACCTTTCAATAGCTTTACTTTCCCTTCTTCAACTTCCTTCTGAAATGTAGATGTGGTATAACTAAATCCTTTCTTTTGGTTTTCTTTATAGATCTCATGTAGTTGCCAATAGTGTAACCAACTCTGAAAATGGTCTTTTATTTCTTCATAATCTCTTAATTTCCATTTCCCTTCTTGATCCTTTAACAGGTCAACATATGTAAGCCACTTTCCTTTCTTTCCAAGTGGTTTGAGCAGTAAAGATGGCTGAGTGGGATCTGCTGAACCTGGATCTCCCCTCTTCTACTCAAATGCTCTGATCACTACACCCCACTGCTGTTACAGATTGCAGTTTCCCCATCATGCCAACTCTCTGAATAAATACCCATGGGACTTGAAACAAAATGTTTCACTATGGAATGCTCTGTGTTCAGGATTCTGGCCTCGCATACCACCCCCTGCCCACCCACTTGCTCTGGTCTCACCCCCCCCACCCACCTTATAATTTTCTTTTTTCCTCCCTTAATGGCGTTATAGATTGAGAGAGGAGGAGACCCCCAAACCCTAGAAGTTAATGAATGGTAGAATTTTGATTATTTGGGATGTGAAGGGAGTGATGCAAACTGCAGAGGAATTCCTGGGCTAGCCTATGCCAAATGACCTGACCAAGCTAAGGCCATTGAGAAACAGGTAAAAGTCATTGAGGGCTATTGGAAATGTAAGAGAACTGTTTCCCCCCCTTGCCTTGAGGTGTAAACAGAGATCGGGGAATGGAAGGTTGCCAGGGTGGGTGGACCTGAGGGGACAGGAAAAGAGAGGTTTGGGCAAGGGTTCCTGGGAAGACGAAGTGGGGGAGACTGGGATCCATCTTTGGGCAGGCTGGCTGAAGGCTGGCTGCACTGCTGTGGGGAACAAGCCCCTCTTGAAATGACTATGCAGTAAGGTCTGGACTCCCTCCAGGTGTAAATAGGTGAATAAACCACATTTCTCAAACGTATGACAGTCCCCGTCATTTCTCGATCCTCCAAAGGAACGCAGACCCTGCGTGAGTCCCTGGAGCCCCATGGATTCTTGCCACCACTAAGCAGAGAGGGGGAGGCATCCAAATTTTGTAACGATATTTTTGGTACTTCTGCAAATCTTGGGATTTCCCCCAACTCTGCTGATATCTCCCTCTTTTGTGCTGATGGTGCTGTTTCATCTGCAGAGCCCTTACCACTCCACAGCCTGAACCGCAGAAATAGTGGGAATGACAGCCTAACTTCCTGACTGGCTTCCATCAAGAGTGCCTGCTGCGGCTGCCTTCTTTTATTTTATCAGACATAAAACAAAACAAAACAAAAATTTGTGCCATGACACAGATTTGCACAACAGCTGCCTGCGTAAATTCAGGAACCTTTTAGAAGAAGGAAAGCCACACTGTGTCAGTGGAGTAATAATAATAATAATAATAATAATAATAATAATCCTAAGGAAAAGGGAGGTAGAGACGGGAGATCTAGGGCCTGGTGCAGAAGACCCTGGAGCTGAGATTCCCTGGGCCCATGCCCTCACATCACTTCTGAGGTTTCCACATGGGATGACACTCCCAGCTTCCATTCACATACCTACTACCTGCAGCCTTGAACAAAACCAGCCAGTCATTCCAGCCCATCTTGACAGTGTATCAGCAGCAAAGGGAGATAAAGGAAGGCGGAGGAGAAGGGAGCTGGATGTAGTTCTTTGCAAGGTGGGGTGGAGCCACTACATCACCTCCTTATTAGGAGCAAGAATAATATAACTGTAGAGTTGGAAGGGACTCAAAGGACCATCTAGGCCAACCCCTTGTAATGCAGGAATAGGCAGCTGTTCCGTATAGGGATTGGACCTGCAACCTTGGCATTATCAGCACCACGCTCTAACCAACTGAGAGTGGGGAGGTTGGTGCAGTGCAGATGTACTAGCAGAACTGGCTCTGCAGCTGTGTTTGCATTGAGTCAACCTCTCTGCTGCCTCGTCCTCCCGGTATGCAACAGGGATCTACCCTCCCAGGAAGCTGTGTCTCCAGTGGCTCCAACACTTCCTGTTGACCACTTCTAGAACTTCAATGTTGTTGGCAGAGTAGGTAAATTGCAGCTAGGAAGCCAAATCATATGCAATACTGACTCTTTAATTGAAATTAAAACAGTATCCAAACACTTATTAAAATATTCAAAAGCCTATATACTTGAAGAAAAGCCTAAACTTACAGAGGGGGAGTGGGTGGCACTGTGGTCTAAACCACTGAGCCTCTTAGACTTGCTAATCAGAAAGTTGGCAGTTCGAATCCAAGCGACAGGGTGAGCTCCCATTGCTCTGTCCCAGCTGCTGCCAACCTAGCAGTTCGAAAGCATGCCAGTGCAAGTAGATAAATAGGTACCACTGTGATGGGAAAGTAAACAGTGTTTCTGTGCACTCTGGCTTCTGTCACGGCATTCCGTTGCGCCAGAAGCAGTTTAATCATGCTGGCCACATGAAGCCAGCTCCCTTGACCTGAAAGCAAGATGAGCGCCCCAACCCCATAGTCACCTTTGACTGCACTGAACCGTCCAGGGGTCCTCTTACATGAAGAACGCATAGCTAAAGAATAATATATGCAAAGTATTTACATTCACATGGGCTTAGCTTTTCTTAGTTGAAGATTATAGCTTCTTCCTTAAACATTCAAACAGTGTCTTTCTCTCTTTCCATACTTGCACTCAGCCTTCGGCACGTGACGCAGCCAGGCCAGGCAGTTCCTTCTGAGAGGTTCCCACTTTCTCCTTCCAGCAGACTTCTCCTTACTTCTGTACTTATTTCTGTCACACTCACACTCACACAGAAACATCAGCACTCCTCTCCTCTATTGCGTTTAGAGGTAGAGTTATCCAACATTGTCTCGGGGGAATTTTACTTTTTAAAATATGGCAACCCTAACATTGTCTCTTCTTCAGTGTTCAAGGAGATGCAGCCATTACAGTCAAGTCACTCCCATGTGACCAAAATTAAACAATCACACTAGTTACTGGGGGACAATCCATAATTAAACACACAGTAATGCATTTAAGCATTCCCAATTTCAGTAAAGTAAATCACTATGCTTTACAAATGTGATACAGCTATTGTTACACACCACCCCAACCGCTAAGTGGTGGGAGAAACCAGGTTCCAGACGCTCACTCAGAGTTCAGCTTCCTTGGAGTTAAGGGTGGTGTACTGTGTATTTAGGATAAGTGGCTTTATTTACACATATATATACTCTGAGCATAGGGCATGAACACCCCAACAGATATTGCTCCTTCATTCATCACAATTTTGGATCCAGGCCAGAAGAGCACATCTTTCTGTCTCTAGCTCCTTGTCTACCAGCCACGTGTGGGAGAGAAGGCCCATGCCTTTGTCCCATGGCACAGAACAACTTATTTGGTCATGCTAATGATGGCACTTGACTAGTCAGCCACAGTCAATGCCTAGAGAAGGGGCTGGTTTGGCAAGCTTTCTTTCTTTCTTTCTTTCTTTCTTTCTTTCTTTCTTTCTTTCTTTCTTCTGCCTTTTTCCATGACAGGGACTGAAGATGGCTTACAGATAAAATAAAAACAGCTTTAAAAAGTTAAACATTAATAGAATTGAAACAATATATATGATCTATTAAAACATGCAGATCAGTACAATAAAAAAAAAATCACAGCACCAGTCCTTTTATTGAAAGCCATCAGTTCCCAAAAGCCTGTTGGAACAAGTAGATCTTCACTTGCATGTGGAAGGATGGCAAGGAGGGAGCCAGTCTGGCTTCTCTAGGGAGGGAGTTCCAGAGTCTGGGAGTAGCCACCACTGAGAGGGTCCTCTCCCCCATCCCCACCAAGGGGGGCAGGACTGAGAGAAGGGCCTCGCCT